TTTGCGAGGAGAAGAGGAAGGTATCGAGTTTGTCCACCACGAAGAGTCGATATGAGAGTGAGGAAACGCGACACATAGTCGCGAGGGCCCAATGCAAATGCATCAGGCGAAAACGATGTGCATGCAACGACATCAGTCAGACAACAAGCAATGTCGAATAGCTTCTCGATCTGCAGTGCTGTTAGCTAACGTTTGGCGTGACAGATAGGGCAAAACGTGGCAGGGGTCACAGGTGGAGGGGTGGACAAGCCAGTTTGGCTAGTCAGGGCATGGACGTCAGAGATAGACGTTGCCTAGTGCGGCGCTAGCGCAATCGAATACAACAGGGATTGTTCCAGCGAGGGATAGAGGGGCTTGAACAGAGACAGTCTCCAGAATTGGGGCTGACGATGCAAAAAATGGGAAACTACTCACCAGTCCTACGCCGTGCACCTCCATGGCCTGTTGAGAAAATTGATGGGAAACAGTGAGAAGGTCCCTAGCGATCTCAATCGGGTATTTGAAAGTGAGGGGGTTGTCGTTGGATACGCTGCTCACAAGGCCCTGGCAGACACTAAGCTGCCATGCCTGCGATCGCAGCCATTGTTGTGTGATGCGAATCTGGACTTCTTGGACTTCTGTACATTCAAAGTATGCTGGGACGGCCTCTGACAGTTGGGTTTGGACTTGCGTAATCCAGGCAGCACTTGCATGTGTGTTGTGCACTCGATTCCAGATGTTGATAAATGTGTCGTCGATGATTTTGAACATGTTGATCATAAGTTCCAGTCCAACGGCAATGGGTCGATCGGAGGGGACCTCGTCCAGTGAAGGCGGGTGTATGGTCGGATGTAAGGAAATTGGGCGATGTTTGTGTAATGCATAAGTCCTGTAGGCAGTTAGCAGGGAGCGCTCGAGAGAACATGTTGACTTGTAACTATACCTTTCGGCTATGAAGAGGAGCCAGTAGAGGACTCGTTTGCGTGAGATATCGAGAGGGTCGTGTTTGTAGGTCTCCTCGTCATGCATACCAAGTAGCTGTGCTTGTGTGGTTGCATCACGGAGATATGTCCATGCTGTGTTCTCGCGCGCCAGTCCGAAGTAGCAACCGCTGTAAAACCACGATGTGAGCACGCTGTAGTGGGTGGGATTCTCGCGGTGATCATAGCCTTGTCGCACGCGAACCGACTCTTCTAGTAGGACATGGCCGATACCAACATTTGACATGTGGGCCATTTCTGGACGCGGTAGTACGTTGACGGGCGGTTTGTGGTTGGCCTGAATCATGACGTAGGCGCATAGTGCGACCACCATGCAGTATGCTTCGGTCGAGCGATCCATACCGACGGCGGCTTCTTGCGCTCTTTGGCGGTGCAAAACGGGCTCTGAAGGGTAGACATGGGCGAAGAAGTATTCAATACAACTCTCAACGAGAGCGGGGGGCATGAGGCCCGGTGTACGAGCAAATGTCGAGGATAGTGACCGGCCATCGAACCCAAGATCGGTTGGGAATCCGGCGGCAAGTTGTGCATTGCGTTGAGTTTCGCGGAGTTCAGACAGGACTTTTGCGCGGCTGCCTTTAGGTCCTTTCTTCTGTGGGATCGCATTGTATGTGCATGCAAGACCGGCAGAGACGCAGTTTTTGCAAGGGGCCGTGCCTTCACCAATGCATTTGACCTTTCTTCGGTGACAGCTACAAGTTGACAGAGTGAGTGGTGTGGCATGGGAATATGTACCGACGATACGTACCTATCGCAGGCTCGCTTGACCGGAGCAGTTGTGGTAGGAGTGGAAGCCATGATGGAGTGCAAGCTAGTGTGGGAACGTCTCGTCATCTACTTGATGAGGAATGCAGTCGCCGAGCGGATCCGCTGGTTCCTATTAGTACAACAGACATGTTGCGCCTACACTCGGGGAGTTATCATCGAAGGTTCCTTGTGTCATTGTGCTTGAATGAATGCTCATTCGCACCTGGTTAACCTGGACGATTGAAAAGCCCAAGCGTCCAAAGTGCATATTAGACCCAACTAGTTAGCATCACTGCGCCAGTCGACATGGGGCTGATGGCTCACGAATCCAATGATCTAACATGGAGAAGCGGCCTACGTCCCTGGTTCCACAGCTGGGGAAAGAGTCTGCAGGGCAGCGCGTCGGACGCCGGTCAAACGCCTACCACACGGTCGCAAGCCATGGGGCTTAGGCGGTCTGGTGGGCTGGACCTTGCTTGGAGAAACATCCTAGGCTGACCGCTGAGCTAGCTGCAGCGATGGCACGGGCAGTTCTAGCAGAGCGACGGGAGCTTCGTTAGTACCATACTAGGGTGACCTGTAACTAGCCGAGATTCCCCCGTTGGGCTGTTATGGGCAGGTATTCCGTAATGGATGTCCTAGGGTTTTGTGATCATTTTTCCAAGTGCTGATGCGCGCGCGAGTATGTAAAGGGTACTGTGCACTCAAATTGTGGCAATTTTGACATGGCAAGGTTGAAAGGGTCCAGTCCACGAGGCTACGCGGTCTCCATGGCGGAATCTTGGGCTCTGAACATTGTACCTGACAGGAAGCATGGCCTCAACTCCGGACTGACCGCTTCCCGAACATGAATTTCGGTACTGACTGGGCATGTCCCAAGGATAGTAGAGAGACGGGGCAATGGTGCCGACAATTGCTCCATACTCGAGTCTTCATGTACGCTTCATTGGCGGTATGGACCGGTGCTTGCCGCAATCGTCGTCATGCCACCCAATAAGTAGGACAGAGCTCATGCACCTGGTCTGGAGGAAGGTAGACTGTAGCCATGATCCGATTTCGTATCCGATGGGTAGTTTCAGCGAGGCGCAGTTGGTGATGCGTTTGTAAGGTTCGCGGAAAAGACCCCTGGTAAGCGTAGCGAGCGAGGGTTGCATCGGGATGCCGCATTCGCTACGAGGCGTTGTCGAGCACTGTGCTTCTCCGTACGAGATAGCAAACACAGAGTTCCTGTACTGGAACAGTAGCGACTCCCTCATGGCTTATATCCTCTTTCCTAAAGGGCCTTTTGCGGTCTCCACCATCGGATCGAGACAGTCAAGGTTCCGAGATGCTGCCGGCAGCGATCAAAATTGGTTCAACGGCGTCGAGACCGCGAATGGGAGAGGCTGGACCCGCCTCCAGAAGTAGGTTTGCCACCAGCCGTATCATGCGTATGCCACACGTCATTGCTCATAGGATAGTAATACAACCAACTGGAGGAAACTTAGAAGTTCGCGAGCATAGTCTTCGTAATGTGTGAATAAGCGGTGATGTTTTGAGACTTGTCGTAGATCCGGGGAGCTGGAATTATGTACCTCCCCTCGTCCATGCTTCGCTAGCGGCAGCGCCATTGGTAAGATTCGTGATGCTTGGTATGGGCTCCGCGGAGGACACAAGGCAACGTCACCCGTTAGCATGAACATAGCGTTTTAGAGCGTGCGGCATGCATTGCAGGTTCATCAAAACACATGCTTTGATGCAATGAAGCCGCTTTTGGTGGTAGAATTGCAGCGGGCAGCAGTGTTAATTTGACTGCATATCCCAATGAAGAAGGCATCGTCAGTAAAGCTTGAAGAGATACCTGGGTATCGTACGTCCGTCCATCACCCGCGATTACTGAGTCATGCATCTGAAGGCGGCAGATCAAGAACTACATATGGCAATATCTCCGTTATGTCGTTGTCGCATACGTTTGACCAAGATGACTTCGGGAGTCAGTGCCTTGAGCTCAGACTGCCGCCTACCGGGTGTCCTCTTATTTATATTATCCAAGCCGTGCTTGACAAGCATGATAACTGTGATAGGTGTCAGTTGTTTCGCTGGACAGTTGTCTGTGACTACACGAAGCCAGTCTTCTCACAATGTTGGACGTTCACGAATTTGCTTTGCTCGGCGTTGACTTCTTCTACTCTTCACGCTCGAGCTTGATGAACCTAAGTACGGTAACTTTAGATTGGTACTTTAGATAGTTCCAATATTTAGTGACATTGGTATTCCAGGCTGCATCTGAAGTGATCATCTTCTTACCTAACCATGGTAATGATAGAGGTACTCAACCACGGTACGTAGGTAGTGCTGGTAACTTTGCAATGACTATGCGAGGAGTCTTTTGGATGGCTCATACATCATCGAATTCTCAACGTTACAACGTATTAATCAAGATATCGTAGTTTTCCCAAGAGCGTGCTCTGTAGAATATTCAGTTTCGTCTGTGGATGGGAATTTGGAACGTATGTATATGACATTTACCACAAACTTCATGAACATCCAACTCATAAAGCACTCGTAATCGGATCAGACGCCGAGATTAGGCACCATACAACTACAAGCAGGCCGGGAAAATACCAGAATGCAGGATGATTCTCCTAACAGTACAAATAAACTGGCATCGAGGCATGGAAGAGAAGAACGAAAGCGTTTAGATCTTTTATTATTATTTTTAATTCCCCAGTGTAAGCTGCCTTACATATCACTAAGTATACCTCTAAACTTGACAAGCATCCCGCACGCTCTTTCATCTTTCTTAAAACATATAAAAGATCTTTGTCGGCACAACCCAGACTAGACTAGACGAGGGATGATTTTTTTTATAAAATATAACCACCGACCTTGAAAAGGTTGTCATAAGAGTGTTGTACCAAAGCACTCTATGGCTGACGGCACGTAGACTAAACATCATAAGCCTTAAGCTGCTTCTGAAGACATTTCGATATGACCCAAAGTGGAACATGACTTCCGCCATAGATGACGCCATGTCATGATACAACATATGTCAAAGTACAATTTTCAAGTTGCATGATGGAACTCCAAAGACGGATGCTTATACTACGCCGAGGCGCAGATGGATACATTTATACAAAACTATGCTCAATCTATCTACTATTCGTCATTCTGCAACATGCAATTGCCATGACGCTGCATCTGCCAAAAGGCCAAAACTCGATACCCAGAACGCCAGAAAAATGCAACTCGCGACACCATCCCTTTTCTTCTCTCATCACCATCGAAACGTCATTACGAGAACTCGACGCGACTTCCTCCCAACCTAGCTTGCTTAGCTTGGGCACGCTCTGCTCTCCGCCTACGCCTGTTGGAATCGTAGTTACTAAGGTCCGTTTCTGTGCCATAGACGGGACTGCTCAAGACAGTGTCCGCTGCTGGGATTGGCGGAGGAGGTGGGAGGTTGCCATGGTCTGGAGCCAGGTTTTGGTTGTTGCCGAACATTGGTGGTGGTCCTGGTGGAGGAGGAGGAATGTTGGCCTCGGGCATGCGTAAGGTGCTTGAACTAGGCATCGGCATTGGTGGAGGTATTCCGGATTGCTGTGCCATCTCTTGTGCCTGCGCTGCTTCCATAGCTTCGGTCCTGCGCCAGCGGTCTCCTCCAACGCCACTCATTGAACTGACACTACCAGCGCGATTCTTCCGTTGACGGTCTCTTCTCCGTGCCTCTCGTTCTGCCGCAGCTTCTTCTTCGTTCAGTCGTCGTAGGGTCACATGTCGACCGTCATTGTGCATCTTAACTTTCACAGATACAGGAGGGGATGCTACGTCGTCTCTGCTACCGCGGCGCTCCTTCTTAGAAGGAGACCCGGCAGAAGTTACCGTGCCTGCTGCAGCCGCACCAGCGGGTAGCACTGGGTTGTCTCCGGTGCGCCGTCGGCTATGGTGACGGCCTCCAGGTGAGTCGTAAGCTTCGGATCCAGAGTCGGACAGGACACTGTAAACACCTGCGCGAGGGGGGCGACTAGGGTTGGGCGTGACGGTAGAATCCATGGGTCGGGATGGACGCGCTACTGAAGGTGTAATGCCGGTCATATCGCTGTCAGACAGGATGGTGGACGGCGGTCTGTTGCCTCTCCTCGGCACTCCATCGCCAGTGTACTTCTTACGACGTTGGCTGTTCATGCGAGCGATACGTTCTTCTTCTTCATCCTGTTGCCTCATCTCTTCCACACGGTCGTCTTCCTTCTTCTTACTGCGTCTGCTTAGAGAATGCTTCAGGAAACCAACCACACCAAGCGAAGCGACTCCTTCCTTCAATCCGTATGATCGATCCCTAGGCCTCATCTCAGTCTCTTCGCTAAGGCTTGTCCGACTATCGAAAGAGTCAATCGACGTTACACTTCCAGCTGGGCGATGACCACTCCGCAGATTACTTCCAGACATTGCCGACGCTTGCGGATTATCGCGACGCCAGTTGTCCCGACGGTTTGCTGGAGACTCAGGCGCCCTTCCTTCTTCAAGCCTGGAAAGATCGGTCTGAGTGATTTCTGAGGGTTCTATTGGGCGGCTGTAGCTGAAGTCGCTTCCTGTCTCCGTCGGAGGATGCTTCGGCTTACGACTGAACAGCTTCTTCACGGCGAAGATGCCTCCAGCCGCGGCTCCGGCTCCCAAAAGACGGTCTTTCCATGTGGAACCCTTGTTGCGATCACCGCCGTATTTTTCGTCGCTCAGATAGGATTCTGTGAACTCAGAGTCGGCGACACGGGAACGAGAATCACGCCGAGACTGAGAGCCAGGCCTTGAACTGATAACTGTGCCACCACGTCGGCTACGGGTGCGACTTCGAGATCTTCTTGACCCCAGGGCAGCTAATCCTGCACCGGCTGCTCCAGCTGCTGCAAGCTTCCCAACGCCAGGTCCTCTACTAGTCCGCCGACTTCTCCTGGTGCTGTATGTCATATCGGTCACGTAGGTGCTACGATCATCAAAGTCCATCTCTGGTTGAGTCCGGTACGAAAGGACGAAGTAGAGGACTACTAGGATGAAGGTCCAAATGGCGAAAAGTACGAACAAGGCAAGTGGTGATCCATACAAGGTCAGTCCAAGGGGAACCTGCGCAAGGCCGAGGAGTGCAATAGTACGGCCTAACCATTGGTGGATCTAGAAACGTTAGTGGCTGTTGGAATTGCTCGTATTGTATGCATACCATAAGCTTAAGAGGAATCTTGTATCGTTCCTTGCCCTTCTCTAGTCTATGGATGACAGAACCACCAAGAGCTTGCACCATGACAAGAGTATATAGTGCGACACCAATGCCATGATGTGGGTTGGACAGGGACCTCTCGAGGCCAACAGCCTGGAAGCTGCAAACGATGGCAGCAGTCGAGAGAAGGACTGCCAGTACTTGCAACCAGATGTGGACTCGTAATGCGGTTCGTGGATTCCGGTGATAGAAGCGAGCCATGAAGATGGCTGCTGGTATTACGAATAGGAAGGCAATGGCTGCTAAGACGCCGTGAGCTGTGATGAGAGCCTTGTAGCCGACCATGCTGCGGAAACGATTGCCCATGCCTGCAAGGTCAGTGTCTGCACTCTTTTTCTAACAGCGTGATTTCTTACCATTCAATCGCATGGTTTCAAAGTTTGGGCTTTGCAAGTTGGGCAGCAGAAAAGTGTTGCGCTGCGAGTCCCATGTTCCATCACCCACATGCATTGTGGCCGAGTCGTAGTTACTCGACCCAGGATCTGACAGTCCCGACATGGTCGCGATCAAGTTTGGTTTCCAGGTGAAAAGTCAATTCGGTCGGGTACAGTCGTGAAATAGATGCGTAAGTCGTTAAACACACCAGGCTGACGGACGAGGAAACGACAGAAAACCGGAATCTCGCTAACAACGCAGGCAAGCAACGATGAACTGGAAACAGAGAGTCGTAACGTCGTGACAGGCGTAAGAATAGCGAATGTGAGCCTTGCGCTGTCAATCAATTGCACACAGGCTGAGAACAAGGTGTTGTAGTGTAGAGCGTGTCCGGTTGGACAGCTCGCGGTGGTGGGGGAACGTCAGCTCCTGTCGCCGTACGGTTCGACGTCGTTTGGGCGAAGGGGTCTCCGAGGAATGCAGGTTGCGAATTCTTCTCTAAAGCAATGCAGCTGCAGATGTCATGAAAGGATGGAAATCGGTAGCCAGCTCAACTAGCTCGTCGAGGGATCCACCTGCGCCTATGTTTATGGGTCAATGGCCAGGCAACGTAATCGATAGGTCTCTGGCGGTGAGTGGCTGGGGCTAGCCAACCACAACGCGCCAAACCCCTGCACCCAGCCGCCCAGATTATGTTTCAACTCGCATTTCTGGTTTCCGAGGCCGATTAGCTCCGTCGTCCCTTGAACCGCGATGCGTTGGCAATGAGGCGAACGGTCACTAAGACTTTTAGGCTTGCCGGCATGTTCAACCCCGTGTTCGCGAGTGCATTAGGAAGGAGATTGTGCAAAGAGAAGGAGAAAAAAAAATTGTTCTGAATAGTGGTATCTCGAGTCCGTAACGCCGTCAGCAGTATCTCACATGCACGCTCATGGCAAAAGACGTCATCCTTCAATCTCGAGCATTTCTCTTAGCGCCTTTTCAGACGCTCGGAGCCATCTTCCTCTCTCTTCTAGCTCATCTCCGATGCCACCGCCTTCTTCCTTCCGTCTCCGGGCCTCTTTGGCTGCCGCTACGGTTCCTTGTTTTTGTGTCTCCAGTGGCCTCAGCTCACGCTCGAGCTTCTCCAGATCTCTGGTCCGGTTCGGGATGGTAGCTTGGAGACTTGCTATTTGTGCATTCAGGGCTGCGAGTTCCGCTTCTCGTTCGCGGACTAGTCGCTGAGTTTCGGGAAGCGGAAGAGACAACTCAGGGTTCTTGGATACCGGTGTTTGCTCGTTCTTCAACTGCTCAATGCTCGCTTCTAGGCCTGCAATATCGGCCGGAAGTGATTCAAGCTGTTGTGTGCGTAGCTGTAGACCCTCATAGCGTAGTGCGAGCTCCTTTCCCTTGTCCTCCAGTTGCTTCAAGATGTCAGCTACTTCTAGCTTGCGCTCTTTGAGCTCTGCCTTGAGACCCAGTATCTCCCTCTCCTTCTCATCGTTCTCCGGAGCCTCGACTAGACGGGGCGGGTTTTCGGTTATGCTGCGCAGGAACTTCTCCTTGGTGACCTGTTCGACGTAGCTGAAGCGCAGTTTGCTGAAGAGTTCCTGCAACACCAAGTTAGACATGCCTTTCTAGTGGTGTTCTGAGGCCGCATACTTTATAATGTAGCAGGTCGGCTTCGAGAGCTGCCGGATGAGTGTCGCCATTCTGTTCACTGTCCTCCGACGCTGCCGAATTGCGCTTCTTCGTAGGCTGTGGAAGATCCTTTGGCGACAATGTTTCTGCAATCGCCAGGAGCTTCAGTGATTTGGATTGCTGTAACTGTTCCAGTACTGATTCTGGTGTTGGCGGCGCCGATTTTCGTTTGGGTCCCATGTTGTCCGTCGTATATATGCTGAACTGTAGCAGGATTGAATGTTTGTTTGGGCAATCGCGACTGCCCGCGTAGGGCTGAGTTCCCCGCGGCGACTACCGCATGCAGCTAGCTCGGCCCGTCGCATGGAATGATTTCACATGGCCGTTCAGGGTCATCAGGTTCTCTGAAGCCCAAACTTTAACGACCCTTCCTCTCCACTCACACAACAACCGCCAATCATGGCGCGTGACATAGACGACGACGCATACATTGCAGAACTGCTGAAGCAAGATGCAAAGAAGGCGACAAAAACATATGAGCTTGTTGGCATCGATGCCTTCAATCCGAGGAGGTGCGTTACAAGCTTCCGTACCCGCAATGCCGTTACATGAGCATTGAAAGTACACAAGCCCTCCATTACGAGGCTTCTCGGGCTGATATTTGTAGGATGAACTCTCGCGCGCCGAGACCGAACAAGGGCTTTTTGCAACACCTCATTCGTCAGACTGATAGCCACAACGCTGCGCTCCTTGCCAAAGAGGCTGAGGAGTCACGCGCTCGGCTGAGGAAGATGAATCGAGATCAGAAAAGGGCGAGAGAGTGGGAGGAGGGCAATGGCGGAAGCGCTGGGGGACGACTGACCCCAGTAGCAAGCGATAACAATGTGCGCAGCACAACACCGAGCAGAAGACGAGATCGTAGTGAGGACGAAAGTAGGCACAAGAGAAGACGCGGAGAGCGGGATCGGGATGGTTCGGCAAGCGCTTCATCTCATCGGCATCGAGATAGAAGTAGAGATGGGCATCGACGTAAGAGGAGACATGATAGTGAAGAGGAAGACCGCTCCCAACAGAAACGGAGACGGTCAAGGTCACCCCGGGACAAATCGCGCAAAGGCAAATACAGCGAAGAGCAAGAACGTTGGAAACCCCGGAGGAGAGACTACAACGACGGCAGGCATAGAAGGCAAAGGTCGCACTCCAGAACAACCTCACCATCACGGTCACGGTCACGGTCACCACAACGTGAAAAGCATGGGAAGCGCGATAGGCATCGAGACCGGATCCGTTCTCGGAGCCCAAGGAGAAATCACATCACCCCCAACTCGCACAAAGACGACCGACGTTCCAATAGTCGAACCGCCACCCCAGCATCCGACTCCGACCCTCTCGAAGCCATCGTCGGCCCACTTCCACCACCTCCCGAGCCCACCGTACGCTCCAAAGGACGTGGTGCGTACAAAGCAAACAATATGGGTATCGAATCGCGCTTCTCGTCCACTTACGATCCCTCTACAGACGTCCGCGCAAACTCCGATGTGGAAGACGATTGGGGCGATGCTCTGGAAGCGTTGCGCGACCGTGCTCGCTGGCAGCAACAAGGCGCCGATCGACTCAAGGCTGCCGGCTTCACAGACGAGCAAGTAAAGAAGTGGGAGAAAGGAGATACACAGAACGAGGAGGACGTGATATGGACAAAGAAGGGTCAGGCGAGGGAGTGGGATCGAGGCAAGGTCTTGGACGAGGATGGACACGTCGAGCTCAAAGCTGATTTTGGGCGGCTCAAGTGAGGATTTGGTTTGGGAAGCTATATTGCGTCAGGTATCCAACTCCAACTCCAACTCCAACTCCCATCGACATCTTCATGCCCTGCGTCGAAATCATTCCCAGTGCCTGCCCAGCAAACCAACCGCCTTGTTGTCCATCGGTATCCACTGCCCCTCATTATACGACGCACTGTCAGAGTCGGTATTCAGGAAACTCAGATCGCTGCGCAGAGTCTCAACTTCTGCTTTATCACCAACCATCGTACTATCGTCGCCGAAGTCGGAATGCGGATGGCGATGAGCAGTATGCATCGGAGGTGGCTGTAGATGCGAATTATTCCCGCTACTACTGCCGTTATAGTTACCACGCTGTGGGACTGGGGGTGGCAGCGGGCGAACATTGTGCGTAAGCGGCTGGTGGGCTGGTAAGGGTGAGCGGGGAAGGACATCGAGCTCGATGGGGTATGGGACATATGGTGCGGTGATATGGAAGATGTTTGGTGTACGAGCTGGTGTGTTGGCGAGTTCAAAGGCTCTTCTACTTGTTGCTGTTATTGTTGCTGCTGCTGCTGCTGCTGCTTGCTCGCCATCGTCTTCAAGGTCTCTTCTGACGATGTCTGAATTGGAACTAGAAAACCCTGACCATAGTCTTGGTACGGGCTGCTCTGTTGCATTGTTCCGCCTCAGTATGTCTTCCAAAGGCCCACTAATCGTAAGGCGCTTGTCCGCTTGCTCTGATTGCGTGGCTTCGCTTGTATCATCAATGAAGTTGCCTTTGTTCTTTTTGCTCAGCATGACGGCGACAAGTACAACGACGATGCTGGCAAGTATGGCACTGATAGCGATAGATGCAAGTTCGATTGTAGGGTTGTGTGGAGATGCAACAAGGCCTGGAGGAGGTGCGAGCCATACAGTGGATAAGGAAGCGGCTGCCGAGGACGACATGGTACGGACCGAGATACGATTGATACTTTACGATGGTAGAAAGAAAATGACTCTGCCTGCAGTGTGAGTAGCTATGAAGCATTACAAAATGTATGTGTACTCTTCGCAATCAGTACATGCAAACGCCACAACATGCACTTCACATCTAATACCCTGAAATCCTCCCTTCACACTGTCAAACTTGCTTCGTCGCTTGCCGATTAATTGCCGTAGCCTTAACATGCTCCTGCAACGTATGCGTATCTTCCGACGTCTTCCCACTGCTCTTTCTCTTCCTCAACTCTGCCATAGAGATCGGCGGCTTGGCCTTTCTTATTTTCTCGTCAGATGAGCTCATCTTGCGCATCTCGGATTCCAATTTCATCGCTAGCCTTTGTAGTAGCCATTGAGGCTCGGATTGATTGCCCATGAGCGGACTACGAATGCCGAGCCAGCTCCATGCGAGCCGCTTTCCGTCATCTGCAGAGCCGATATCAGGAGCTTCACCGTCGTCATGGTGAGTGTTAGCTTTGGGTTGTCTATGTTTGGAGGCGTCATTTTCGTCTTGACCGATCAAACGCAGGTAGTACTGCCACTCGTGGTACTCGTATTGTTTCGATGATGAACTTTCGACGTCCTTCATCAACTTTCGAACCTCCTTTGCGAGAACAAAGTGATAGAATCGGATATCGCGCTCTAGGTAGTCCCCATGCTCACCGGCCTCTTGTGCTCTCCCAAGCTCTTCTTCTTCAATGTATGCTGCCAACCGATCTTGCATGCGCTGTTCGGCAGGGCCCTCGTGATTATCCGCCTTTTCCTCTTCGCCGATCTTGCCAGATTTGATCCTTGTCCACCCGACTTTAAGTGCGGCACTCAGTCCCTCCTCGTCTGGTAAGACTATAAGTGAACCCAACCAGATTGTAAAGTCCTTGAAGGCCTTGATGACCGTGTCACCCATGTTCGAGATGAGAATCGTCAGAGTGGGCACCGCAAGTAGACTCCAAAACACCATGAAGGCCTTTCCAGCATTACTTTGGACGACATAGTCCCCGTAACCAATCGTCAGGAGCGAGACGTAGGCGTAGTATAGCGCTACGAAGTAACTGAACCCCTGTGGCTTTTCCGAATACATGAAGACCAAAGCCCCCAGGAACCACAACAGAAGCGCTGCAGTGGTTGAAAGAGCCAATGCAGTGTACCTTCTCTTTCGCTCAGACAATATTTGGACACGCCGCATTATGCGGAACTCTTGCTCTCGCCTTTGTGCTTCCGTCAAGCCCTTTGAGGAGAACTCGACCTTTTCAAAGATTGAGATACGTATTGTATGTGTTTCGCCGTCGATAGACTTGAGGACCTTTTGTCTCTTGACTTCCATGAACCGAGCAGCCATCTTTTGTTTTCCATGCTCAAGAATGAGGGATCGAATTGAACCGATTACCAAACCAACTGTGACTAAGCCACCAATCGCATACGGGATTAGGAGTGAGCGACCTGTGTGCGTCTTAGGCACAAACTCTCCACCGAATCCTATTGTGAGAAGCGTGAAGTTGGCCCAGAAAACGGCATCTAGGAACATCCAGCCTTCCACGTACGAGAATATCAAAGCACCGAGAAGCAAGTAGACCATGAAGGCGATAGTCTGCAGCATTAGCGTTCTCTGACTAGCCGTTAGTCGGAACTCTCTAGCGTAATGTCCCTTGTACGCTCCGAATGCAGTAAAGGCCATGAGAGAGGCGATGATGAAGTAGATACCCGCAGCTATGATAGCATAGTAGAATGCTTGGCCCAGAGCATGCTCTTCCATAGGCTGGATGCGAAATACGGATGATGAAGCGACCCCCACAAGCGCCATCAGGAGGAAGCCAGCCAGATAGAACCCGATGATAGTAATAGGCTGCGCAATCTCGAAAGTCAGTCTCCTTGACATGGTGAGGAGCAGACTGATGTTTGCGCTCAGAGCGAAGACGAGAGAGACTGAGTTGACCGCGATAAGCCATTTCGGATCTGTGATCTTCGAGCCATGTCCCTCGTCGCTTCCGGGGGGAATGTACACTCTCCATTTTTCAACAAGCGCGCAGATCGAGAATCCATTGGCAACGGGACCAAACGTTCCTGCTATGAGAGGGCTTGCGGTAGACGCAAACCACCATTGACTGAGTCTGTCAGCGTACGCAAAGCAAAACTAGGGTATTAGGGTACATAACTTGGATCGAGATATTCTCGCTCTTCCTGCTCGGCTTGTTCGTCCTCGGCTTGTACTCTGTCATTGATATCTTGCGCTGCTTCCCCGGCAGGCTCATCAAGGCCAGGATCGTTCATGATAAATCAAGTATTGGTGTCGTAGGTGTCAGGATCGAGAGAAAAAGAGTCTGGGTGCATGTTGTGTAAAAAAGAAGTGGAACCTGGAGACTGCCTGCAGATATGTGCACGAGGGGCGTGCATGTGAGATAACCAAGATGCGCGAGATGCGCGGGTTGTCGCGTGGACAACGCCAGGAAATCAGGGATTGATGACGTACACCCGACGGACTACTCGTTAATTAGAACAAGCCACCAATCTCGGACAGCTTTGACCGCAACATCAAACAGTAACTGAATCTGGAGCGGTCAATGAAGAAATCTAAGATGTATTGCATTAATGTGTAGTAGGGTCAACAAGTCGGCCCGAATCTTGTAGGATGGCTCTGTAATAGCTCGCCCAGACTAGACGCGAGACAGTCCCGCGGATAGAGGCCGAACCGCCAATACCTTTACCTTTCTAGTGATGCATGTCCGTATAATATATATTGGACATAGCGATGTTTGATGGAAGTTCTTTGAGATCGCAAACTCTGCTTGTGAGAAGTACATTGCACGCTGAATGAGTGAACATGGAATTTAGCTACCGAGTACACCTTAGTCTCAGAGGCAGGAGGCGAATTCTCTGAGAGTACTGGTGATCCCAAGTACGATATTCGCAGATCAACTGGACTTGAGCAAGTGATAGCACAGCGGACGGTGTACCTACGAGTGTATGTAGGCACAAACACGACTCTACGTACTGTATAAACGATCCAGCGGTATGCTCTGATGTAGCATGGCTATACGTAGAGAGTTGTTCTATGAGCCCGCCTTATCTTCTTCGTTTATACTACTGCGACAGGCACCATCAGAAGCAGCAAATTGAGCAGCTTGCTGTTTCCTATATCTCTGCTTTGAATGATCAGTTCCAGACTAGAAATACCCTGCGAGAGTTTTGTACAAGCGCAGCACCGAATCTTCACATCACCACCCGTCGTAGTATCTGAGCCTTGGGATAGCCCTACTACGGCGTCCAGAAGTCCATGATAGACGGCGAGGCGCCTTCTATGCATGTGTGCTTGGGTTGTCGCAATTACTGCTGTCAAAGCTGCCACTGCCCGTTTCGAGCTCGCGCAATAGGGTCGTGGTCATGAGACCATGCTATGTTATGTTCACGCAGGGTAATGGCGCATAGGTATTGCTGCCGTGAATGTGGGCGTCGTGCGTTGGTCGTGGTTGTAGCGATCGAGGGGCTGAGGAAGCTGCGGAGAAGTCTATCAGCAGCGCTCTCTTCCATGCACCCCAGAATGTGTAACCAGCGAAGGTGACACGTCGCTCAGTGGTTGCGATCTCAGGATTTTTACTCAAGCGTTCAAGAAGATGAACGCTAGGGCTGCGCGCGGCGTTAGAGTGGGCATGCATGGCGCGTGTTCGACGGCCCGTCATGCATGATTCAGACACATGGTACGCCAGCGCGGTTCCGGCATAGTGTCATCCTTCGGGCGTACCTTGTCGACGACGACCGCTGCAGATGTCTTCCCGTTCTTCTCATACAACTGCGGCTCGTTACGGCCGCGACCCCCTGCTATGGAACGTGTTGTAGACGAGACACAGCAGGGTGGTCTCTTTCGCAGACGGTTCCGGAGCCTTTCGTGTAGTGAGCCCCCTCGTGAGGAAGAGCATGTGGGAATGGATTCGAGTTGTGAGTATATCTAGGTATGTACGAAGAGTTCATGTGGCACCATTTTATTCTTAGTCAATAGTTCTCTCGGAAAGGCACACCTCAGTAGCTCCGTTATCATTCTGTCATGTTGAACATGTCGGGCGTTTATACGGTTGCTATTTCCGTCGGCTTGCAGAGCTAACATCTTACCACCAATGATATGGACCTTCTCATTGACCTCAAGCTCATCAGACGCTCATCAGACGCTCATCTTCCTTACGTAGAAGCTCGTTTCTTCTGAGTTGTACTCATTGCTACAAAATGTGTCCAAAAGGTGTCTATGTTTTCCCTGTTGCCCCTCTCACTTGGGTCCATCACTTTGAGCGGTGCTTTACCGCCTACCATCTTGTGTCGTAGCTACATCTACGGGTCAAATATAAGAAAGCGGGCACCACGTTGGCCGGTCACATCTTCCGACCGTATCTAGTTCGACATCAGCCTGCATATCACTAGACATACATATCCGGACCGTCGATACAGACTCATCTTCACCTAATCCTCGCTCACCTGAGGTGCAGAAGCTTCTGGTCTCTCGCTTATCGCTGCAACCGTCTTCAGGTACTGAAATATCTCTCAGGAAAGCGCGCTAAAGGACGCTACTGCGCACTGCTCCTGCTCTCTCTGTCTACATAAACAACACAGCCTCATCTCCCCGCGACCTCCAACTTCCTTACCCCGCTTGCCCAACTCTCATCCACGCTGCAATTAGCAACCCTGTTCAAGCAACAACTACACGCTCTACCTTCTCTCATCTCCATCATGTCTGACGCAGGAGCGCCCGACGCAACTGCCACCGACCCTGCCGCCGCCCGCAAGGAGCAGCAGGCCAGTGATCTCGCGCGCGCTCAAGAGGCTGGATGGAACAATCCTGTTCCTTTTCAGTACGAGACCGTTGTCGGTGGCACTCCCGCTGAGGATGAAACTCGCGACACAGCCGCATGGCTGTCTGATGCCGCCATCTACCAGTGGGACGATGAGTTCGGTGACGTTGGCGAGCCTAATCCTGAGTTGGAGAAGATGCTCTTCCACGACGAGTACCTCCAGCGCGCCGGTGGTGCTATCAAGGCGCTCTCATTCGACGTGACTCTCGAGGGCCCTACCAAGATCAACCCTGTCCGCAACGTAAGTTATCCGACAACGACTTGTATGTCTTCGCAGACCTTATCGCTGACGTGTTTAGTTTGAAGATGCTGGTCTTCACCCTGTCATGCTCGAAAACGTCAAGTTGTGCCAATACAAGTACCCGACTCCGATCCAGTCGTACTGTATCCCTTCCATCCTCACAGGGCATGACGTCGTCGCTGTTGCACAGACTGGTAAGTTACCCAATTCTGACTCGTTCTCTTCTTTACTAACGCTGTTTAGGCTCGGGAAAGACCGCTGCATTTCTTCTCCCGATCCTATCCAAGCTCATGGGCAAGGCCCGTCAGCTGGCTGCTCCGCGCCCAAATCCCGTCCGTTACAACCCGCTAACTGACCGAGTCCGTGCTGAGCCGCTCGTTTTGGTCGTCTGCCCTACTCGCGAGCTCGCTTGTCAGATCTTCGATGAGGTGAGATTTCTACCCTAGTACTATAAAGCAATCTAAAGGCATCCGCTGTATTTTCCATGTACAAAGTAACACGTCAAATACAGCGTATACCTTTACGGTAGACTTTGCCTTCCAGACATACACTAATTTTGTACGCCCAAATTCTAGGCCCGCCGCTTGTGTTACCGTACCATGCTGCGACCTTGTGTCATTTACGGTGGTGCGCCTACCAAGAACCAGCGCGAGCAGCTCGAGATGGGCTGTGACATCCTCATCGCCACTCCGGGTCGCCTTATGGACTTCATGCAGAACGTCAATCTGCTCTCGTTCAGCCGCCTCAAGTAACTCAAACAAGCTTGCGACATGGTTACATTACCAACTGACATGAACAGGTTCACTGTCATCGATGAGGCTGATGAGCTGCTTTCCACTGGCTGGGAAGAGGCCATGGAGAAGCTGTTCCAGGGTTCAGGTACGTTGACTTCCATTTTCTGCATGTACCTTCAAGATATAATATCAGACCCGTCTTCTCTGTCATCCGCTAACAGCTTCTCTAGACCAGAACACAGATGCTGACCATACCTACCTTATGTTCTCCGCCACATTCCCCAAGCCTGCTCGTCGGCTTGCGAAAGAATACATGGATGATGAGTGCGTTCGTATCAAGGTCGGCAGGGTTGGCAGCACCCATCAGAACATCACGCAGCAGGTCATCTTCGCCGAAGAGAGCGCCAAGAGCCAGGCATTGTTGGACTTGATCTTCAGCGAGGTAAGTCCAAAACCCAATGTACGAACTTCGTTTGAGACAAATAATGACTTCGTACACCAACATGCAGGGCCCTCAGCGTACCCTGGTATTCACCAACTCCAAAGTCAAGTGTGACATGGTCGACGACTATCTCTACAACAAGGGCTTGCCTGTCACTTCCATTCATTCGTAAGGAATTTTCCTATACGAACTGCATCTGACACACACACACACACACACACACACACACACACACACACACCTGACTTCGTATCAGGGATCGTACTCAGCGCGAACGTGAGGATGCTCTTCGCTCCTTCCGTACCGGCCGCTGCCCCATCCTGGTCGCTACAGGTGTCACTGCCCGTGGTCTCGATGTCGCCAATGTGAAACATGTCATCAACTACGACCTCCCTTCCACCATGCATGACGGTATCACCGAGTACATCCACCGCATTGGTCGCACAGCGCGTATTGGCAATGAGGGCAAGGCCACCTCCTTCTACAACGACCGCAACGAAGATATTGGTCCAGACCTATGCAAGATCCTCATCGAGTCGAAACAATCCATCCCAGATTTTCTCCAAGAGCACATGCCCGAGGACCCTACCACTATCGACTGGCATGACGGCACCGACGACGAGTCTGATGACAGCCTTGGTGGTGGACTTGGTGGCGGCTTTGGCGGTGACGCTGGCGGTTTCGATGCTGATGCTGGCTTTGGTGGAGAGTCTGCCGCTGACACGGGTTTCGGTGGAGATGGTGGTGGCTTTGGTGATGGAGGCTTCTCTGCTGATGCCGACGACAAGGTGGCTGCTTGGTAGGCTGCTTTGGTTCGTCCACGTCTTGTTCTGTCGCCCAAAAGTGCTTGAGAGCTAGCCTGCTCCATGCGGCTTGTGCTCCTCGTCTATGCCAATCTATGGCATGGTGATCATGGTGAGCTAGTCTACATATACTGAATTTCACGGCAAATCCGGGACCTATGTGCTTGTCGATATCTTGTGATGATAATCGACATGCCTAAACCAGACGCTAAAGGTATTCGTTGTGTTTGGAGTACGAAACCTAAAAACAAAACACATCGAATACCTCTAGGATTTAACATGGTCTTGCGTGTTCGCGCGAATCGTTAGTACCCGACGCATCATCTGCATGCCTTGACACTTTGGCACCAGAACGACGCGCAAACGTGCAAACAATGTCTAGATGCGTCCAAATAGCGGACACGACGCTAATGTGATCTGCAACTGCTAGGACTCCGTTCAAATATGGCTGCACTGTCCTTGCGATGCTTCGCTCATTTAAGCTTTGGCCCAGCCGGGGGCCAACTTGAAACACAATCAACAATTCCCGACCAAGGCACGATTCCTCCCTGTGTCGCAATGCGCGAACAACATCTGACGTCACACCAGCTCATGGCTTCCGTGCCTTCCAGCTGGGCACACAGTCCGCGTCCCCTTTAGTATCTCAACCGCGCCCACGCACATTGCTCACTCAGCACTCAATGCGTGACGCTGCCGCATACGAGTCCTTCGCACCATGAACGCCGCCGCCGCCCTACCTACCTCCATGCCATAATCACGATGAGCAGCTATTGGCATTCGATTGCCTATTTCTTTCGCCTTCCTTTCCATATACAATGGCGGTAAGCTATTGCATGATACATAATCTATGACATGAACACTGACTGTATTTAGCACAGCGCTTGTCCAAATACCGCGATTCGTTCCTCTCTCAATCCTACACGTCACATCGCCTAAGGGGCCGCATCCATTTCTTGTATCGCTACCAAGTCGAAGGGGCAACCTCATCTACATCTACGTCTTTGTGCCACCGAAACCGGTCGATCTTGAGGGCAATGGCGATCAGGACAGAAAAGAGACTGGGGAATGGCGTGTGCCTGTGGTGCTGGATTTTCATGGTACGAAGCCCGGACACAAGGCGCAGAATGTCGAGGACGCTCATGGCTAACGGAACCAGGCGGAGGCTTCATAATGGGATCGCCGTTAGAGCAAGCGCCATACGCTTCAATGATGTCTCGCGAGCTCGGGGCCGTCGTCATCAGCGTGTCGTATCGCATCGGACCCTTTCACCAGTTCCCTGCGGCAATCCACGACGCCGAAGACGTTCTATCAGCAATACTCGACACTAGTGGAGTTTCGAAAGCCGGCAAGGTCCTTAGAGAGGAAATTCAGCGATACTACTCTATAGTACAGTCGGACGCGCTGGAAAAGAAAAAGGAACATACTGCTCCGCACCTCGAGCACTGCAAGACCATCACTCTCGATCCTACACGTCTCGCCATCTCGGGCTTCTCGGCAGGAGGAAACATTGCTTTGAACATGGCTATATCAGTGCCGCCTTGTCCTGAGCTTGGCATGTCGACTACATTCGGCCCTCAGTCGCGCACACATGGCCCTGCACCCGCCGATACCATGTCACCCAGATTGCCCGAAAACCGCAGAGCCACGATACTAGACGATCCCTTCGAATCGTGGCCGTGTCTCTTACCTCCTCCTCAAGCGCAGCCCCGCATGCTGCCACTGCTCCTGTTCTACCCTTCGCTAGATGCACGACTACTCCCACACGAGCGCCCCATGAAGCCTCTGCCCAACGCGCTGCGACCCGACGATCACCACAAACAGAAGCCGAAAGCACCAGGGCTGTTTTCAATCATGGGTCCGACATACCTCCCGCGCAAACTGCGACCGCATCCACGAGCTAGTCCCGGCTTGAATGACCCCGCACATATCCAGAAGAATGCTGCCATCCTCCTCGTCTTGCCTGAAAAGGACAGCTTAGCAGTGCAAAGTGATGTCTGGGTAGACAAGATGAACAACAATGATTGGAATGGTCCTGTGCATTTTGGCGACGGACGAGAGGGCGACTGGGATGGACACCACGGTGGACAAGCCGGATCTTCCAATGTCCCCAGTACGAAGAACGGAGGCATGGAAGTTTGGCATGCCCCTGGTTGCAGACACGGTTGGACACAATTTCCGGATACGTTTGTGCCTCAGCATGAGCGCAACGAGAGAGAATTGGTGTTTGCGAGGACATTGGATTTTGTCAAAGATAACTGGAAGAAGGAGTTGCTGGTGGAAAGGCGACAATTGGGGAATCAGATTCAAGAGCTGAGGCCGTTGAGCATACCTAATTCGAACGAGTAATTGCGGAAGATGGACGTGTATAGTAAACTTGCTTTTAGCGCATGACTTTGCTGGAGTGCTTGATAGGCGTGCAGAAGGTTGTTACAGTCCATCGAGACAATCATTTCCATCATCACAAGAACAGACTACATTGTGAGCGAGTCTTGTGGAGTGTCGAGAATCGAGGTTGTAGTCTTCAACAGTCAGGCATCGTTTCAAGTTTTGTTGGTTTTGGGTGACTTGTCTGAATTCTGTGATGTCTAAGTAGTCTACTCGACGTAGCTTCCTGTGCACAGGCGATATGAGAGACGTAGTAGAGGATCCAAGTCTCGCGTCTTCCTGAACACCTGCTTTGTGACCAACGCGCTAGTTTTGAGCAGCAGCGGACAACTACTAATGGCAGCTTAGTGGAATAGGATAATCTCGATTTTGGTTCTCGGAGATTACAGTACTTGATCCACGTTCTTCCCAACCCCATAGTCTGACACGAGTTCCCCAGATTATCCCCGAGTATATGCCTTGGCTTTCGGCATTATCCGCAACTGATCAGCATCTATGAAACAGGCAGATGACTAGACGTGACTAGTAATGCCCAGTACTTGGCTGAAGTACGGAAAGGTTGTGTATTGCTTAGGCGGCTTGGCTAGGATGGACGGGACGTTATTGTGCGACGGTGAGATTGAAGTGGTGTGCAAGGGCTGGAGCGTTTGATGATGTTGTATGGAAGGTGTGGTATGATATGTCGGGTGATGTCAGATGAGTGGAAAGAAAGGCGTAGACATGTGAAAGACTGCTTTTTTGTGTAGGTATGTGATCGTGATCGGGTGAAGATGAGTTGTTCACAACATTTTCTCACCTATCGTTGCTACAGCATCTATTGGCACTTGACCGGACGTTAGCCTGCCGAACTAGCTCTTGCAGTAGGTGTACTCGAGCACGTTCCTAAGTGTGTTGCGACATGTCTCGGGCTCTAGTGTTTTAGCAAGTTTGAAGACAGCCATCCAGGCAAGTATGGCGTAAGTGCCGCTCCGCTGCCGAGTCAACTAGCAGATGAGGGGAACCTCGACGACGTTCAAGGTCCACCTTCGACACGTGGAGGCTGTGAGCAACGACATCTGTTTACGAGGTCGTAGACCGATGAGGGGCATTTCGAGTGTTGTATATCACGCGCATATGCAAAGCGGTTATCGGCTTTGAAGACAACGTCATAGCGGTCTGGCAGGGATTGTATCAAGGGAAGACAGCGCTGTTAGGCCTGACCGCAAGTAGCAAGCGCGCCGAATATCCGATGATACCTCAACCTCGTAACGTGGAGGGGGCACTTGAACGAGTATCCGACACACTTGTAGAAGGCACACAGGACTTGGGCATTGGCGGGAAAACCGCGCGTGGGGGTAGTCGGTACATGATATTGCGTGAGAACTAGCTTGCAACAGAGTCTGGAGAGCATCATGGGGTTCGGCTGATTCCCCGCGTGCGCAATGCCGGCGATTGGAACAAGCTTGATCTAAGCCGGCTGAGGCGCTTGCTGGCGAGATGGTGTAGGCGAGCATACTCGCTATCAGCGAACGAAATGCCAGATTCGCTGGACCCTATTGCTGGGCACTGCACGCGACGGCGCGGCGACGTACGAGCAGTGTATTGCAGATTGGGGCAGGGCACGGTGGTTGAAACCGGTATCCCGTTGTTTTGGAGGCTTGAATGGCGTCGCCCCATACGCAGTCAGATGATAGACTACAACGTAGACGCGTCCACCATGCTAGAACTAGGAGGTGAGGCGCGAAGTACGAGAAGCGGTCAAAGAGCGGTGTAGAGTCTGTAGAAAGAGATGAAGCTGCAAGTGGAGCTATGGACGGAGAGATGGAGAAGTATCCTGAAGTGAGGCATTTGAGAGAAGGTGAGGTGCCGTACTTGGGGTTGAGCTGAGCAGAGATGCATAGTGGGCGTGCATGTGGTCGTGTTGATTGCAGCAGGATGCATGCGAAGGTCGGACGGATGGTCAAAAGAAGGTGTGAGGCATGGGCACAGGCGTGGCTAGCGTGGCGTTGTCGGCGGGATGCAGCGCTTCGAAGGGGAAAGTGGCCCTGGAGAGCGTCCTTCGCGTTGATCAGGGTCCTTTTCCCGAAGCTTGCGGAATCAGGGATGTGCGCAATTGGATTGCGTCTTCCATCGGCTGTGCTGGAGCTGTCGACGGAGGGCCGTGGACGTCTGATGAAACCTGATTCTGGTGTATTCTAGTCGCGGGCGAAGACGACATCCATGTCCGTTTCTTTGTTGACTTCATTTCTTTGTCAGTGCGAAGTCAACAACCAAAGGCCTTTGATGAGTGATAATGACAGAGCACGGGCAAGCTGACGAGATTGTCAATTCTTAATTCTGACCGCCAAGTGCTTGTGTCTCTTGTGTGCTGCAGCGTGGGCTGGAATGGAAGCACGGGAGCAGGTGCATGCTTAGGCACTGCGCAATTGACAAAGGCCAAGCGTGGCATTGGCTGTGTTGCGTCTGGTGTCCGGGGGCACAAATCAAAATGCCGATTACCCACTGTTTCCTGCTCTGCAAACCAAATCGTGCCGAGACGCCAAAGTGCATATCAAATTCCTCTCTCTCCTCTCTCCTACAAGTCAAGTCCCACCCGCCGCGCCACACTACTGTTGCAGCATTTCCTGCGCAGAGTCGTCTGACAGCAGACTCGCTCATCGATCTGCACAACCGCTAGGCCATCACTTGTCAACGGGCTCATTCCTAGCCTACGGCCCGTCGCCACACGTCGCGGTGGGTAACTCTACCTCATCATCACCAGGTACCCCTTCCCACTCGACACTGCCCGACGCTTTTCGCTTCTGACACGTCCTCAAGCCCGCCTTTAGTTCCATTCCAGGTTCAATTTCACTCTTCTCCACCATGTTGCTGGCGATATTATAACACTTCGCCTCCCTTGGGGCCCCACCCTCCCACACAACTATCGATACAGCCAAGCAGTAATACGCCAGCACCGACTCCAATACCGAGACATTCCAAAGATCGACAAAAACACTCCTCCTCGTCTAACTTGGCTTCAGGAACGCTGCAGCAGGTGCATTGCGCCAAAAAAGAAACAGACCGAACGACCCGAATTTTCTTCCATCACCACCCTACTACTTCACTATTCCGCATTACTCTTCGGACATCACTGCCCCATTCAACAATTGCAACTGTTTCTACGACTTCGCACCCACTCCGTGCACGTTCCGCCATCGGCACCTAGCCGAATACACAAGATATGGCGAACGAGCAGGATTACATTGGTAGACAAGGCGCGCTGCGAATAAGCACACCGCAAAACATGTCAAATCTATCACCACCCATCATGACGGCCGAGGAGGACGTTGTAGGCGACCTGGACGAACCCCCTGAACCTCGCGCGCAGCGTCCTGCACCCTTGGCCCTTCAACATGCCTCAACAACATCCTTCACCAAATCGAAACCTCTCTTCGATCAGAAAGAATCGCTGCTCACCTCCGCACTCAAGTCGGGCTCAAACACGACCTCGCCCGTCGAGGAACATTCGGATACGAGCCCAGCCCGCGGCATGTCATGCGTCTCGACATGGAGCAACAACAGCGGTACAGCCGATCTCACAAGCGACGGAGGCTTCACGAGCCCTGGTACACGACCTTGCACGCCGAGCCCACCGCTCCCCTCGGCAGCGTTCCACAACATGCTGCCCACGTTCAACAAGAAACCGTTGGAATTACCCGTATCCCTTGTCTCACACGACGATAAGAACGTCACCCCAGTACCGAAGACGGCGCCTCAGAGCACCGAGCAGAGCATCGAGGCCGTTCTGGGAAGGAAGAGGTGTATCATGTTCGCATGCGGCCCAAAGGAGGAGAAGAAGAAGAAGCCAGTAGAGGCATCTGCAAAACCCGCACCCGCACCTGCACCTGCACCTGCACCTGCACCCCAAGCCGAAGAGCCCCCCAAGCGCGTCTGCACCATCAAGTTTGCATGCCCATCCAAGCCATCCACAGAGGCTTCTGCCAAACCTCGACGCATGGCCAGCCCCGCACCGCCGCTACGCCGCATACCTTCGTCCCCCAAACCAGTCACCAAAGTGCATCGCGACTCTGATTCCACAGTCCGCAACAACTCTCCAGTCAGTGTCCGGAAAGTACGCCCGGTTGACCGGACTCGCCGCCTGAGTTCCAACTCCGACCTTGCCCGTTGCGAAGCATACCGGTTCCATGAGTTTGCTAGCTCGGAAGAGGAGGTCGAAGAATGGACTCAAGAAATTACTTGCCACCGAAGCCGACTTACGGTCCAAGACACGCTCAAGATTGAGAACAACCTGCGTAAGCTAGGCGAGGAGGTCGCAGAAGAAGAGGCCATCGACGAAGAAGACGAGGACGAAGATGAGGATGAGGACAATGTCGAACTGGATGACGACGATGACGACCTGCTTGAAGAGGATGCAGACGGTAGCGATGCGTACAGCGATGCTACTGATGAGGGCTTTCAGACCGACGATGAGAATGGATTCGCCGTCTCAGACGACGAGGACGATGCTGGATCTGACTACGACTGGTGGGCACCTGGAGCATCAACCGCAGCGACGTCTGTAGAGCATCTGGAACATGTTCGGTTGAAAACTCACCGAACTGTATCCGAGTCATCGATTGGATCTTTGGAGAGCCGTGAAGGTCTTAAGATCATGGATAAGCCCTCCAAGCGCAGAAAGTCGAAGCCGGTCAACATCCGCGTTCCCAGTCCTGAGCTACCTGACAGTACCGACTTTGTTTGTGGTACACTCGACGAGGACAGGCCTGCCGAAGCTGCGTACATGTCAACACTAGAACGTCGACGCGCAGCCAAACACAAGCCTACTCCACAGGACATCGACCCTACATTCCCAACATCGGATCCCGAGCTTCCTGACGATGATGAGGATGAGGTCTCTGAAAATGAAAAGGTTTCCGAGTCTGACCATCTTATGATTCATGGTCGTATGGATCCCGTCAATATTGACGTACGAGGCCGCCGCAAAGACGTTCCGAAGAAGCGTTCTCCACTACCGTCACCAAAGCGCTTGCGGTCACCTCCACCCGCAAAGCGTGCTGTGCACCGCTCTCCACCACCCCGCAAGCTGTTCGGAAACTCTCCTAAGCGGCTACATTCTCCTCCGCCGCCAATGCGCCTCAGGTCACCACCGCCTACACGCCGCGGCTCTGTCAATCCTGTAACCACACGTCAGCGCAGCGACACCTCGATCCGCTTTGCCGGCATTGCTGAACGTCCTGCACCCACCGTCTCAGCTTCAGTTCCTCGAACCCCCATCACTATGAGGAATCCATTTGATCTCGAGGATGATGAGGACGTTGATGGTTCCGACATGCCCATCCGCCGCGCCATTGACATCAAAGTCGGGCTCGAAAAGAAGAGGCAACGACGTAAAGAGAAGCTGTACCGAAAGCAACACCGCAAAGGCGCCAAAGAGAAGCGCCCCGCCCCTGGACGTGGTGCAGAGCGCATGCGCGAGATGGGATTAGCGGTACACGCTCATAAAGGCAAGACAACTGCCTTCCAACCATTCCAAATCTACCCTGAGGCGGATGAGGACATGCACGTGCTGTCGGCCTAAGCGACAGTATATCCGTGAGGATCAGCGCCGCCGTACCTGTCGGCACTTCACATGCTCCTACAATATGTTGTAGGACTTGTTGGTCGCTGATCCCACATTTCTACAGGGTCAAACTTGGTTAAGCAAGCACCCAGCATTCACTTCTTTAACCTTTGTTTTCCGTTACATATTTTTTACACCGGTTCTTCTTCAGGCTTCTCATGTACATAGCCTTTCATCCATATCTTGCCAATCACTTCATTTTGACCTTCCGTTCTGGCTTTCACCTTTGCCGTTGTGCTTTTATATCTTTTAGTGTCTCTTTTGTCTCACTGCATCTAGGAGTTACTCCTAGCATTGATGGCCTCCCCGTGCAGCGGGTTGAGCGCCTCTGGGGTGTTGGTGGGTTACTCTGAATCTATCATACAGGATACAATATCCTACGAATTGACTATCATTGAACTGTATGTGCGCTTGCGAACAGCGACGTCCGATTTCTCGTCTACAGTGCTCCATCCGTCACACGTATATGATCTGCAGAGAGAAAAAAAATGTTTGCCTTGTAAATCGACATGAAGTTATCGTGAGATCCACCTGTATTTCACGCGACATGGTTTAATGATGTAATACTCCACACCGGCAATTGTGAGGTGCAGAGATGCATTGCGCTATGGTGAACCCACTAGCAACGGGTTTGACAGCCAGGGACGGCCCACAAATGTAGAAGTTTAATAGCGACTAACAGCGGCTTTGATGTCGTCGGGAATTTGTTTGGTAGGTTGAGTTTCAGCTGCCGTGACTACCGCCACAGCTAGAGGAGCTAGAATCCTGCCTGTTTATGCGAACACATGGAGACGCCACTGCTGCGAAGCTAGAAGTACATGGACGGGCTTGCGGTAACAGTAGTAACAATGTTTGCGACTATTGCATCTTCAATAACCGCGCTTAGGTGACATCAAGGAAATGCAAGTGGGTCGCATGCCACCTTACTAGATTGGGCTGGCAGCTGCTAGAGGCCGCGCGTGTTCAACAGTTCCAAGGTTGTCGCATCTCACGAGGGATGCAATGTCAGAATCGGACGTACAGGCACAGCTACATGGAACGCCTGAGGCTGCGCAGCGAGCGTGATACTCGCCTATCTACCCCAGCAAGCATGGGATTCTCATGCTGGATGGGATGCTCGTACTTGGTGCTGCGGTTACAGCCGAGATGCTTAAAAAGCGACAAACAATGGCGCACCCCTGTCCTATGCAAGCGTTGACCCTATATTTCCCGCCCACTGCACTCTCCGCAACGCCTCACCGTATCTCCAATGGGGGTAAACGTCTTGTCAATAACCATGCCAAATCCACTGTGAAAGGACTTTTGTCATCCCTCCCGCCGTCTATCTCATCGCTGCCCCTCTTCTTTCCTCCCCCCGCGGCTTGGCTCTGCCTTCGACCCTTCACCTCCACCAGTCGCATTGCCGCTCGCCCTTCACCCTCCACCGAGTCCTAGCGTTCCCCTTCGCCTGTACATATCCACCTGGTAGTGTCGCCATCCATGTCGCCTCCATCCACGCTTCGAAGCCTCCCAATTTCGATAATATAGACACCCGCGACCGACCACGTTCGCGCGTGTACGCTCTCGTCCCATCGTGTCTCGGTTTCGCGTCTCCCGGTTCCGGCTAGCACCAATGCTCATGAAGAAGATGTGGATAGTGGAGGAGCGCAAGGACAAGACTGTATACCGTCGCCGCTGTCCGACGGGCGGAGAGGTCCTCTCCTTCTTCTTTGTCTCGGCATGCGCTCTGCTCTTCCTGCTCATCTGCACCATCCTCTACGGCACGCGCACACAGAACCCCTCCTTACCACCGCTGGTTAAGGAGTATATGCCCGCAGGACGCTGTCTGTGCGAGTTCAGTACTACTTTCTCATGCGACACTTGTCTGGACTGCGCCTCCAATCAGGCTATCCTCCTGGAAAATGCAACCGAGTTGGAAGAACACAACTTGTGGACTTTCACGTATCCACGGGACAAGAACAACTATGGCCTGGATGAGGCACAGTGTGACAGCGCGTTTCCAGGGCAATATGAGGACATTGAGCGCGCGGTCAAGGTGCGGAATCGCTGGGGCAAAGTGACACAGGCGGATCTCAACAGCTTCGAACTTACCAAGGGCATGGTCAGGGCTATGATTTATGACAGAGAGGTACGCGTGGTCTTGGCGACTTACTTGGATTGCTGGACACACACTGACACCTATGACACAGCTCTACGTCCTCGAGACTCACATGGTTGATAATATCAACCGCCAAAAGGCTATCGCAACTCTCAGTGCTATATACCGCGCCGTTCTCGCTGCCCCCTCATCCACCGATATCCCAAACATTGAGTTTGTCTTTTCCGTTGAAGACCTTCCTGCTCAACCTGCGAAACCGATATGGTCCCTCACACGCCGCGTCCAAGATCACAACCTGTGGTTAATACCCGACTTTGGCTTCTGGAGCTGGGACATGCCTGCGTTGGGTACGCTAGAAGAGGTTGCACACGAAGCGGTACAGCGGGAAACCGTCGAGCCGTGGGATCAGAAGATTGAGAAGCTGGTTTGGAGGGGCAAGATCACATTCGCACCCAAGCTGCGGAGAGCGCTGCTCGATGCGGCCAAGGGCAAGCCATGGAGTGACGTTGGACAGCTCAAGTGGACCGATCCGAACTTCAAGGAGCAGTTCCTTGGCCCAGTGGATCAGTGCAACTACATGTTCATTGCCCACGCGGAAGGTACTAAAGTCTCCACTACTCTCAGACAGAATCAAAACTAACCATAGTCACCAGGCCGTTCCTACTCCGGCTCCCTGAAATACCGCCAACTCTGCCGTTCTGTAATTGTCTCACACAAACTGCAGTGGATCCAACACCACCACTACCTCTTCCGCTCCAACGGTTCGAACCAAAACTTTGTCGAAGTAGAACGCGACTTCTCCGATCTCTCCTCTGCCATGGAAGACCTGCTGGACCACCCAGAAAAGGCAAAGCGCATCGCAGACAACTCAGTACAAGTGTTCAGAGAAAGATACTTGACGCAAGCTGCTGAGGCGTGTTATTGGCGCAAGCTGATGAAGAGGTGGCGAGACGTTGTGGATTGGGAACCACAGCTATATTCCGGCATTGGTGCTGAGGGCACTGATCGGAATAGGGAGAAGAGGAGGGGTGTTCGCTATGAGACATTCATGTAAGTTGCCACGATGAACAAAAAACAGTGAAAGTATCAGGGGGGGACTAACAACATGCACCAGGCTTTACGAACCCAAAGTCCAACTCAGCTACCCTGAGTCCGCTATGTGAGCCCCGCCTCATACACATACCTATACAACCAATGTCTTCGTCAGACTGCCTCACTCACGTTTGGCGTATACACACAAGAAGAGATTGAGCAAAGCATTGTCATCTTCCGGAGTAATACGCGGGAACAAGCATGTGAAAGCGATTATACCCCCCCATTTAGCGTGTTTTTGTTTTTGTTTGCATAGCAAAAGGGATGGGAGAGTTTACGGAAGATATACTAAGGGGTTTCATGAGTGCGTATAGACATGTATATAAAGTGTGTAATAGGGCTTTCAAAGGCCTGGACATATAACCATGTATGATCTTGAGTATCGAATAACTAGTTGTCGTGTGTTATCGTTGCAGGGTGTATTCTTCTGCTTTGCAAAGAAAGGAGCGCATGCATGTCAGCATTGGACGAAAGTGTGCATTCCCAAACTGCCAAACGAGAGCTAGATACTGTGGTCTCTCTCAAGTGACCGATGTGCAGAGGAACAAGGTTGGCTGTGAACAGTTTTTTTTTCCCAATCAACAAGATACTGAAGATCCTTTCCCGGCTTTCTTGTGAGAACCGCCTATGCGCATTATTCGCTTCCTTGGCCCTGTTTGCTGGCTGCTACTCTTTATAGCAATCTTCGGCGCCTTTCGTCTGCAGATGTAACCCCTTTTAACCCTTATCGAAGAATAGAAGACAGGCAGCTTTGAGCGCTCCTGCAGAAGCGCACGTCTCGGTGTGGATGCTCTGTCGAGTCCTCACAAAGGCGTTGACAGGTGTACTGCGCTATATTGGCTCTTACAAATATGAAAAGCAGACTTGGAGAAGGCAATGGAAGTGGTATGCCTTCAAAGACATCCTCATTGGGGAATGCTGCTGCTGTCTTTGGTAGGTAGGAGTTGAGTCGGATGAGCTCTTTTGCCGTAGTCGTTGCTCTCCAGGGGAAAGCCGCCTATGCGACTGTACTCCTGAGATGCCCCTCAACGAGGGTTTTTTTTGATATAAAAATAGTATGGTACCAGGTAGTCGATGTCGTGGGTTTCACCAAGCGCAATTTCAAGGGTAGTCGATGGACAGATTCGCTGTCGACGATTCGAACTCGGCTCTCAAGGCCTTTTCGTCTCCTTCCAACTTGATGCTTCCTGCACGAGAGATATACCTACAAGGCAAATAGTCAGTACGCATCTCCTTGACTAGACACTCGTAGTGGCTTACTTGATCCAAAGGTACTCCCCAACAAGGTAGCAGATGAGGAGCAACATGAACAGTCCCAACACGGTACCAACATAATGTACCTCTACCTCCACGCTCTTATCACGAATGCCCACGTGTTGAACCTCGTCTCCAAACCCGCAGACGATCTTGTTCTCGTTTTGCACCTTCTCCGCTGGATCCAAGGGCAGTGCTTGTCCTTCGTGGATGCTCTGGAGAATGCTACTAGGCAAGGGCTTGGCAATAGTAAGGACCTTGGTCATGGCTTGTCTGCTAGCAAACTGCATCTTGAGATTGTTGACAGTTGCAAGCGAGTGAGCCGTGTCCCAGTCGAGTGTGAGTAGTTCCTGGTACGAGCAAAGCGTAGGCGCAGCACTCGTAGAGAAGGTGAGGCAGCGGCACTGGAGGTCTTCAAGACGGAGTTGCTTGGTTGGAGCAGCGAGTACGCTCGTAAGACTCGTGAGGAAGAGTAGAAGATTGCTCTTGGAGAACATGGTGGGAAACGAGGAGATCCAACACGTGCGGGGGCGGAATCTCACGATATAGTGACAGTCTGCTTTGGGATGAGATATGTAGTCTATCACTGGGATCTAGACCCTCGTTAGCGCGGTCACTCTCGTATGTTCCTGTTAAGCGACGCACTCGGTATCAGGAATCCCTCCAATGGTGCTCGGGTCAACGTTTTCTGTGTAATTGATTTGAACGCCACGTTTAGTTGAGAGCAGTCGAGTAGCTTATGAATTGAACGAAACAAGAGTGGAATGAGCGTGGGAGAGCGTCAAAGCGTATGCGCACGCTTGCATTCACCTTTTGCGCTAAGCTTCGGCAAGTTACTAGGTGAGTGAATATCATACCCTTGCAGCGATCTTGTTCCAGGCACAGCCTCACCCAAATTCGCTATATTCACAGCGGTCCCACGCCAGTCGGGCCAATAGTCTAGGATTCGTGACATGTTCGAAGGGTTCTGGTTCGGGGTTTGCGCACGCACTATTGTTCCATAGACTGAGATGGTGCCGGTAATGATACCTAGCCCAGCCACAGTCTGTTCACGTTGCTCGTAAAAGTGGGCGGATTGGTCCCCTGGGTTGGTCCTTGAGAGGTTTAGTGCCAACGCTTCGGCCAGCAGCGCGTCCGAACATGTGGCTTGGATCTCCGCGAAAGGGCAGCTTGAAACAAACAAGACTTGTACTGAGGTCTACGAGCATGGTAGTCCTGACGGGCCAGGAATAGCAGCTGCATGTGCTGAGTGGTGTGATACCGTTTGACGTCTCATTCGAGGAAATAGCCCTTGTGCGCTTGGAAGCCGCGAAAGCACTTGAGGGACCGGAGTGAGACAATACGAAGTACAAGCTACCAGCTAGGCAGCAAAGCGGATTGTCAAGAAGCATGTGTGAAAGCTAATAGGAGCACGATCCATCGTCAGCCGGAAAACAAGCCTTGCAGACGTATGTCAGAACAAACCAAGACTTGAGGCTTGTACATCCTACAGAGTTGACGTAAGCCATCCATTGTGGTGAGATGATCAAACGTCAGCCATTTTCATCTCAAACTATGACATAACAACGTTTTTGCAGGACCCCACCTTAGCTCATGACGGGAGCATCATCAGATCGGATGGCAGGAAACCCATTATTACCGCGGCCGGCGCAAACTCCGAATGTCCATTGTACCAACTGAGCACGTTTGAGAACACGGGAAGCGCGGCAATTTTCGGCGTGGTACTGCTGGTGACGACGCAAAGGAGGCGCAACTGTACCAAGCCGGGGTATTGATGAGCAAGTGGAAAGGACGGGCCGTAAAGAACTAAGCAATTGATGATGACCATGTGGCGGGTTGAAGAGACTAAGTGCATGGAACATGGACGACCAGATAATGTTTCCATGGATGCGACATGACGTGCACAGAGAAGGAGCGAGTTGGCACCCATTGACACACCACTCCCGCAACTACCGTGTAGAAGCAATGCATCGCCAGCAACGCATGGTGCTGTTGACAGTAAAAGACCAGGTCCTGCATGGCGCTTAAACAAATTAGAAGAGTATGGAAACAAGCGTTCTAAAGCTCTAAACCATCATCTCCTCGGAGTTCCTTGATGCGCACCTCAGACGCCAACACTTCGTCTTCGCATCCAACACCAAAAGCTTTGACGGGCCGTTCCTAGTCAGCCAAGAGTACCTTGGCTAAAGATTCACAAATGGTATCGAAAACGTTGTAAGCGAAGCACCCTACCATGATAAGCATCAACGCAGGTTACCGTAGAAGGAGCGATTCGGCTTCATTTCTCCACAGATGATCGGCGAAGCTTCAAAAGGGCATTATCAAGCGACGAAAGAGCCGTGTAGTGCTGCATAACCATTTTACCGGTGGGATTTTTGCTGTGATTAGGGATGAGGATGGACGCGCAAGGCAGAGTTGGGGTCGTATGATATGTTAGAGGGGTGTGTCGGTGCCATGCAATTTCCCACTCTTGATCTTTTCGATCATTGCAGGTGTTTGCGTGGACATGTACGTGTACGTGGCCGTAGCTGTGATTGTGGTAAAGTACTAGTGATTCGATAACAACTTGCATAAACTTACATGTAATATATCAGGTTTCTTCAGCATCCTCTCCGGCATGTGCATGTTCTAAATCCTGTCCCTCAACATGAACACTCCCATCTGCTTCTTCCACCTCCAGTACAGAGTCGTGTAGCTCATCTTTTGCAACATTTTCCTCCTTCCTTTCCATGCCTTCCTCCTCTTCGAGCTCCTCAACGCTAGCCAGCCACCTCTCAACCTTGAACCATCATTTCTCCTTGTCCTCTCCATATCCCGTGATGCCTCCAAGAAGACCACCAACTCCCTTTCCAACACCACCAAGCGTACTTCCAACGCCGCCAATGACGTCGCCCTTTCCAAGCTTGCTTACGCCATCGCCAACTCCGCTGGTGATGCCACCAACAGCGTTGCTGGCACCTTTGCCCACGTTTCCAACAACCCCGCCGACAGGACCACCTACAGTGCTTCCGAGACCAGCGAGACCATCGCCTACGGTGTTTCCTACGCCTTTGCCTACTCCAGTCACCGTGTTGCCTGAACGACGTGTCAGTAGAGCTCTGTATACCCCATACAAGAAAGTGGGAACACGGAAGATGAAGACGTACCAACTCCACTCGTCGCACCAGCGACAGTACCCTTGACATCACCCCTTCCAATAGCGCCAGTTGTCTTGCTAACAGTACCTTGCACGCCCTTGGTCGCCGAGCCAACGGTATAGTACGCGTTGTCAACCGCACCCGTAGCCGTTTTGCCAACATTGTCCGTTACATGCTTGACTGGCTTTCCTACGCCACCGGGTAGCTTGTCCAGTCCCTTGCCAGCATATCCAGTCACCCCATTGACTGTGCTGTTTACACCCGTAGTAGCAGAATCGGTGATGGTGTTGAGACCTCCCGTCGTCGTACCAACAGTCTTGTTCAGAGTGCCTGTGGCGGTATTGATTCCCTTGCCAACGATGCCGGGTTGTTTCTTCGGCGTTAAGGTGGACTGAGGGGTGGGTTGGCCTGGAGCGGGATGAGCTTTTATTACGGAGAGAGGGGTTGGGTAAGTACCGTCAGGGTTTACTTTGGTGGGGGCTGTACCGTCTGGGTTCACCTTGGCTGGCGTCCTCTTCACGGGCGTAGCTTTGGCTGGGGTAGGCTTTGCTGTGGTAGAAGACGCCGCTGCCGCCGTCTTCTTCACTGGGGCAGTGCTAGTCGTCTTACTGACAGCACTTGCAGGCTGAGATTGCGCTGCACCTGTAACCGGGTTCTTGCGTATTGGCAGTGGCTTGGTAGTACCGAGAGGTGTGCGTTGTCGTGCGGGCTTCGAAGCTTCAATGACTGGTGTTTTGCCTGTAGTGACGGGCGTTTTCTTTACAGCCGTAGTAGAAGACACTGGCTTGCTCGCTGAAGCAGCGGTTACTGGCTTCTTTATCGGCGTTGAAGTCGCAGCTGGAGTCGCTTTCGCAGGCGTTGTAGCAGACGCGCCTGCTGCATTTAACTTCCTCGGCACTCTCTTTACTGGTGTAGCAGCTGATCCTGCGGTATCAGTAACTGTCGCAGCGGGCTTCTTCACCGGGGTAGCTTTGGCAGCTGATGTTACTGTTTTCGCTGGAGTCGTAGTGGTTGGCTTCGTTGTGCTTGATCCAGCGACTTTGGAGATGTTTCCAACACTCGCTGAGATAGATTAGCTAACATCCTTTACATCATCTGCCAGCTTACATTGAAGTGCAGCATTCTGCTGCTTGAGCTGGTCTACGGCTGACATATTGGAATAGCAAATGTGCGCTTCAAGAAGATGAGGCTGAGATGTCAAGTATCGTAATGGCAACAGCAAGTGTGGGCGAGGTTTGGTAGTCCGGACCTTGTACCAGGAAATCGCGTTCTAGACATGATAAACGCGCTTCCTCATACGTCATGCACCCTTCGCATCCTTGCTGTTGGGGAGGTACGAAAGTGGTCCAGGCTGTGTGGAGATCCTGTTTTTCGGACGCGGGACGATCACCGTTGCATGGCCGGCCCTGGACCCTGACGTTATTAGATCGATCACGACACCAAACTGGCGTCTGCCAAACCAAGATGCGCAAAGTCAGTACTAGAGATGGCGGAGCAAATTCAAGCGACCTTGTTACGGTCGATGGATAGTAACTGCTAGTCGTCAGTCAAAACACCACGAAAAAAAAGCAACGGCAAAAGCAAACAGCCGAGGTAAAGATTGTTTTGAACATTTCATCATTCATGAAAACTACCCAGAGGCAAGTCTACGTAAGATACATTTCGGGATATCCATTACTCGTGATGCATAAAGTACCACCACTCTAAGACGCCATCGAAGATTAAGCTCCGTCCATCATGCAAGTGAGGTGTAGAAAGTGAAAGAAAGCCATGACACATGAAAGGGATATCAGAGCGCCGACCAAACTTTTCGAAACCAGCCAACATGGGCGATGCGCTTAGTCAACCTCCTCCATGGCGCTCTCGCCAGCCGCTGCTGGTGCCTCGGCGGAGGCGTCGGTCTTCTCTTGCTCAGTCTCGACCTCCTCGTCGACGTTCAGGCCGAGAGAGACAAGCTTGTGGATGCGCTCAGCGTACTGAACGGGCTCGTCAATGGTGAAGCCAGAGACAAGAAGCGAGGTCTCGAAGAGAAGCAGGGTGATGGACTTGACGGTGCGGTCATCCTCACCATCAGCCTCAACCTTGCGCTTGAGCTCCTTGATGATAGCGGACTTGGGCGAGATCTCGAAGGTCTTCTTGGAAGACATGTACGAGCTCATGGAGGTGTCACGGAGAGCCTGAGCCTTCATGATACGCTCCATGTTGGCTGACCAACCGAACTGGCCGGTACGGATAGCGCAAGGTGAGCCGACAAGCTTGTGTGAGACAACAACCTTCTCGACCTTGTCACCGAGGACAGTCTTGAGGCTCTTGGCGAGACCCTCGAACTCCTTCTCCTCGGCCTCGCGCTCCTTCTTCTCCTCCTCAGACTCCTCAAGCTCGAAGTCCTTGGTGATGTCGACGAGCTTCTTGCCATCGAACTCCTTGAGCTGGGTCATGGCGTACTCGTCAATGGGGTCAACAAGGAAGAGAACCTCGAAGCCCTTGTCCTTGAGGGTGTCAAGGAAGGGCGACTTCTGAACAGCCTTGAGCGACTCGCCAGTGATGTAGTACATCTGCTTCTGGTGCTCGGGCATGCGGGTGACGTAGTCGGTGAGCGAGGTCTGCTCCTCACCAGACTTGGTGGAGTTGAAGCGGAGGAGCTTGGCGAGGGAAGCGCGGTTTTGCGAGTCCTCGTGGATACCGAGCTTGATGTTCTTGCCAAAGGCGGAGTAGAACTTGTCGAACTGCTCACGGTCCTCGGCAATCTCGTTGAAGAGTTCGAGGGTCTTCTTGACAATGTTCTTGCGGATGACCTTCATGATCTTGTTCTGCTGAAGGGTCTCACGAGACAGGTTGAGGGGAAGGTCCTCAGAGTCGACGACACCCTTGACGAAGCTGAGCCACTCGGGGATCAGGTCAGTGGCATCGTCAGTGATGAAGACACGGCGGACGTAGAGCTTGATGTTGTTCTTGGTCTTCTTGGTCTCGAACAGATCGAAGGGAGCGCGCTTGGGAACGAAGAGGATGGCACGGAACTCGAGCTGACCCTCAACGGAGAAGTGCTTGACGGCAAGGTGGTCCTCCCAGTCGTTGGAGAGGGACTTGTAGAATGAGGCGTACTCCTCGGTGGTGATGTCCTGAGGGTTGCGAGTCCAGATGGGCTTCTGCTTGTTGAGCTCCTCCTCCTCGATCTTGGACTCCTTGACCTTCTTGGTCTTCTTTTCCTTCTTTTCCTCCTCCTCATCGTCGACCTCCTCGACCTTGGGCTTCTTCTCGTCACCCTCGGTGGTCTCCTCGGCAGCGTCCTCATCCTCGACCTCCTTCTCGGTCTCCTTCAGGACGTGAAGGTAGATGGGGTATGAGATGAACTCGGAGTGCTTCTTGACGACCTCCTTGATCTTGGACTCGTTGAGGTAGTCCATCTGCTCATCCTTGAGGTGGAGGATGATCTTGGTACCGCGGCCGATCTGCTCGCCCTCGGTGTCCTCGGTGATCTTGAAGGTGCCACCAGCGCTGGACTCCCAGATGTACTGCTCGTCATCGTTGTTCTTTGAGACGACGGTGACGCGGTCAGCGACGAGGTATGCGGAGTAGAAACCAACACCGAATTGACCAATCATGGAGATGTCGGCACCAGCTGACAGAGCCTCCATGAACTGCTTTGTGCCTGAGCGGGCAATGGTACCCAGGTTGTTGATGAGGTCGGCCTTGGTCATACCGATACCGCTATCTTGGATGGTGAGGGTCTTGGCCTCCTTGTTGGGGATGATGTCGATGCGGAGATCCTTGCCGCTGTCGAGCTTGCTTGGGTCTGAGAGGGCTTCATATCGGATCTTGTCGAGGGCGTCGGAGGCGTTGGAGATGAGTTCTCGCAGGAAGATCTCCTTGTTTGAGTAGACGGTGTTGATGATGAGGCCGAGCAGCTGAGAGATCTCAGCCTGGAACTCGAAGGTCTCCCCAGACATGGTGGCGGTTGTGTGGGAGTTTGGACTGTGGGAGAGAAGAGTCAGACAGAGCTCGCAATCGGTGCCTCAATGCAGTGCAGTGAAGTGTAGTAGACTAGGCTGGAGTGACAGTGTGGGGAAGACGTACAGTTTAGGCGGGGTAGTTCGATTGCTGAGCTCTTCTATAGCGCGTGGGAAAGAGCAAACTAGAAGACGTGGATGTCTGTGTAGTGGAAGTGGGAGAAAGCAATTCGATGAAGAAAAAGTAGTGGGAGGAGTCGAGTTTGGGGCTGATATAGCCTTTGGTGGAGCTCGAGAATCTTCTAGACAGAGCGGCAGAAACGCAGAGAAGGCCGCAGCTAAGCCAATCAGAGTGGAGCCGTCCTTCCCATTGCGCCTCACCGCCAAACGCGCCTTCCCCGGCAACGCCTAGTAGCGAGGGGCAGAACAATCGCGACTTCTGCATCTGCCTGCTTGTCCCCGCCAACTGCGCGCCCCTGCTTTGTTTCTAGAAACCTCTGATCTATTGTTGTCATTGTCTGTATGGAATGGAGAGTAGGAGTCTTCACGACAACGACCCTCATGGCTTCCCATCTCAAGCTCGCTCAAGCTCCGCAGCATCAGCCCCGAGCAGCCTTGCTCAGCCTCACCCATTGCTAAACTTCCATAGTTGCCTACATACATCGTACCACCACAGAAATCGCTATAGCCTTGTACCCCACTGATACAGCAAACCACGGCGCATTCGTGCCACACATCATGCCGCTGCCCTTGTTCGACTTCCCGGATGGGCTCCGCGATGGCGTCTACAAGAGCGTCTTCCGTGACAACATGGCACTGCCCGATAGCCACGATCCCCTTCCACACGCTCGATGAATACGGCTGCCTTGCGAGGTACTGCCCGCCCTGTCCGGTGCGAGACTCGGAACTTTGAACACTTTTGTTCTCTCAGCTGAGATACTTGGGTGAAGGCTGCAAGACTACCGCATATGTACAGACGTCGTCTTAGGAATAACCAGTCCCATATCGTGGCTAACATCAGACATTCTGATTCTCCGAGGTACGCCCAAAGAAATCGTCGCGCAACTCCAACCATTGCATCTCGATCAAGAGCACCTCGAACTAGAGCCGAACCGATCCATTGTGTCGGTGAGATACTTTGAAACATCTACTACAGAGGATATTACAAGGTTCGCGCATGGATGCGTTGGTGAGAAGTGGAAGAGGCTTCCGAGCGACAACCTGGGAGACGCCCGCTAGGAGCTAGAGTTGACGCGCTTCTTTGATACATCTTAGACGTAGACACAGTCACAATATACGTGCTTCTTGGTAAAAGTGCTGGTATTCAGCCATTCATTGATCATTTGATATGTCTTTTCATATAGCCATCTCTTAGATGAACGTTCTCATAAACTCACCAAGTGCCATGATAGCCATAGCCTGCCCATATGGCATACTGGTAATCGCGATATCCTTGTAATGTTGCAAGTCGTGTCCCATACCAGTTCCAAAACTTGTCTGCTCCAGCTCACCCTCCGCGCTGATGCAACCCATTACAGCCTTGATCGCCTTGACTGCACTCTGCAGGTATACGTCCCCGCTGATGTATCGTTTCCGGCACGCCTTGAGCATACCATACGCGAAACCTGCCGTGGCCGACGCCTCCTCATAGCTGCCTTCTGAGACAGGAATGTCGAGAAGTGTGCGCCACATGCCGTTCTCGGCTTGCAACTTCAGCAATGCTTGGCATTGCGACTCAAGGATGCCGATGAGGAATTGACGGAGGGGATCTGTCTCCTTGAGGTCAAGCAGCTCAATGAAATCCGGAATCGCAATCGTCAACCACGAGTTACCACGCGCCCATCGTGCCCGCGCAAAGTTGTGACCCACTTCCAGTCCGCCCTTGTCCTCCCACTTCCAGCCATGGAAGAACAAGCCCGTGGATGTGTCGCAGAGGTACTGGCAGTGCAGGACGAATTGGCGCTTTGCCTCCTCCACGTATTCTGGTCTGTTGAGCGTAAGACCAATCTTTGCGAGGGGCAGCGCGCTCATCATAAGCGTGTCGTCCCATAGTTCGTCCTTGTTGAATGAGTTGTATGTCTCGTGTTGGAATCCGCCAAACTTCGTGCGGGGCAGCCCATGCATCACCCACTCGGCCCACGTGTCCAACCAAGGCACAAACGTCTTGTTTCCAGTCTCTTCGTACAGATACGCCAACGTGAGGAATGGGCTCATTGTGTTGATGTTCTTGGTTGTGCCCTTGCTGAGCTGCTTCTCGAACCAGCCCTGCATAATGTCCATCGTCGCCGTGCTGCCCGTCAGCGTGTAGTAGTGCCAGAGACCATAGAGACCAATGCCGTGTGTCCACTCCCAACCGTCCCAGCCTTTGGTGTCGATAATGCGGCCATCGTCGAGTTTCAAGAGGAACTCGCCGGTTGTGTCGTGGATGTTGATCAGGTTGTGAGTCAGGAGGAGGATCTTCTCGTCTATTTGACCTTTGGTCAGACCATGAACTGTGAGGGTAGACATGGTGAACGCGTTCTTTGAGTAATGTCGCGTTCGTAGCGGATATTTGGTGGGCTTCTCGCAAGCAATTGAGATTTATGGCAATACAAGTAGGAATCGAAGGAGGAAAGTAGCAAAGAGACCAGATATCATCACACGCGTAGTCTAGCAAGTGGGTATTAGATATAGCCCCTCGGTCACACGCGTCGGTAGAGCTCAACCCAGATACAGAGCGGGGAGCAAAAACCGGGGAACTTTCAGGGTCCTCGACCGCGTCTATTACATCTGTAACGCATGTCGCTGCCAGATTTCGCCCAGATTTCGTGCCCTGTTGCACCGACTCGTCCACCTCTACCCCGACTGGGAGCTGGGCACACGTGGTGTTGCTTGGTGTTGCTCCAGCAGATGGGTTCTTGGAAGACGAGGCTCTTTTTTCGTGTCAAGCATCAACACCAAGACCTTTATCGCCCACTGCTGAGATCCCAAAGTAGCATGTCTGCCGCGCTCGCATTGCATTACGCCGACGCTCGTCGAAAATTATACCGATAACACCGACTTGAAGGGTCACCAATCGCTTGTGTCTTGGAGACCCGGAAGGCACCGTGGTGGGAAGTGCGACCGCCGTGAAGGAGCTTGGCCGCCTGACTCGACTCAAGCTGGGAAGGAAGGCCAACCGCCGCCAACGATGCAGGCGGACCAAATCTTCCACCAGCCGCCGAGTGCCAGGGAGCAAAGCTTCGTATCACACTCACACGAGCTTAACTCATCACATGCATTCCTTCCCACGTCCGAGGGGCGGTTCGGGATCATCTACGCCGATGTTTTACCACACTTGGACCATTGCCAAGCGGTGGCACTCTCCACATTGCTTGATCCTTCACACCCGCAATTCAAGCACTCCACCATCTGTATGGACGGCACGGTCGCGGGGTTGGCGAACCCCATAGACTAGCGACTCAAGATGCAGCATTGGCGCCCACAGGGTCGCGCTTGCAGCACGCTTTTCCACAACACTACGTCAAACCGTAGTACGGAGACAGGGAGATACGCAGTAATCACGAATCGTCAGTACCGACTATACGTTGAGGTGCAGGTTCTTATCCCAGGATTTGCGGAGGAGCCTGCCAGCATGGGGTAGACCGGGGAACGCTTGGACAGACAATCTAAAATCGGGTAGAAATATCAACTCGACCGCTCCTCCATTCTTCTTGCCAGCTCACTGCGAGTCCTGGGGTCTTTCTTTCAGAACCTCATTCTCTTCTGCTGTCAATTTCTCGCAAGCTCTTTTCAAGATGGCTACTGCCAGAGAAAGCGCCGATGGCGTGCACAACGCACCCGAGACTGTCCGTCACTCCGACGATAAGAAGGACATCACCCAAGTCGAACGCGTGCTTTCTGCAGGAGACGAGAAGGGCGAACATGCCGACTACAATCGTATCGACGCTGAAGTTGCCAAGTACGCAGGCGCCTCTGAAGTCTTCGTCTCCGAAGAGGAGAACAAGCGGTTGAAGAAGATGATCGACCGCCGTGTACTGCCCATCATGGTCGTCACGTACTTTTTGCAGTCGCTGGACAAGGGCACCATGTCAGCTACTTCGATTATGGGTATCCGAAACGATATTCCTGTCCTTCTATCCAAGGAGACTGTGAGTTGCAAAGTCTGTGGGCACTAGTATCGTGTACTGACTCATGACAGTTTGGATGGCTCACCACCTGTATCTACCTCGCTGTGCTTGTCGTCGAATACCCAACCAACTGGATTCTCCAACGAGTACCAGTTGCCAAATATCTTGGAGCCAACATCATCTGCTGGAGTATCGTACTTTGCTGCCACGCTCTCTGCTTTAGCTTCCCTGCGCTCGTCGCCGTCCGAACACTCCTGGGTATCTTCGAGGCAGTCTGCCAACCAGCTTTCTTGGTTATGACTGCTCTCTGGTACAAGCGTGAGGAGCAGGCTGGAATTGTTACTTATTGGTACATGATGAGTAAGTGGAATGCAACAAATTTCACGGGACAATGACTAATCTCGTACTTTAGACGGTGCGCAACAAATCGTTGGTGGTCTTCTCGCATATGCCTTCTCCACAATCAGACATCCTAGCTTCAAAGAGAACCCTGGAAACGCGCCGATTAGGTCATGGCAAGCCATCTTCATCTGTTACGGTTGTGTCTCCTTCCTCTGGGGAATCTGGGTCATCTTCAGACTCCCTGATAGTCCTATGCGCGCCAAGTGCTGGTCCGAAGAGGACAAGAAGCTCATGGTTGAGCGCGTCCGCTCTAACCAGACCGGTCTCCAGAACAAGAAGTTCCGTGCTTACCAGTTCAAAGAGGCTCTTCTCGACCCCCAGACCTACTGCTACATGGGTATCCAGATTTTCACCACCCTACCCACTTCTGGACTCGGTGCCTTCTACAACATCATCATCAAGGATCTCGGTTTTGGTACCCTCGAGGTCCAACTGCTCGCCATGGTTCTTGGTGTAGTCATCATTGCCACGCTTATGGGCTCTGCCTGGCTGGTCAAGAAGACAAAGCAGAATCTGTTGACCATGGCCGTCTTCATGATTCCAGCCTTCACCGGTACCATCGTTATCATGACTGTTAAGAACACCAACAATGCCACCAAGGCTGGTCTGCTCATCAGTTACTGGATTGTCTTCACCTTTTGGGCTGCCCAAGGTCTCGGCATGTCCATGCTGACGCGTAACGTTGGAGGCCAGACCAAGAAGTCCGTCTGCATCACCATGAACTTCTTTGCCTGGTGCGCCGGTAACGCCATCGGTCCCAAGGTCTTCTTCGATGGTGACACACGCTACCTCAAGACACTCTCTATCCATCTTGGATGCTACTCTGCTCTGCTCTGTGTCATTGCCTTCCTGAGATTCAACCTCATGCTCCGCAACAAGAAGAAGGACCGTGAGTTTGGAAAGGACATCAACGCCGCTCATGGATTTGATGACTTGACGGACAGAGAGAACCCCAACTTCCGCTATGTTTATTAGGGAATATGTTGTTATGGTCGCATGAATGAAAAGCATTCTGATGCTGTTGTAGCTACTGTAGCACTCACTACATCAAACAAGCGTCGCTCAAGCGACGTCTTTACCTACTTGTCACTCTGTGAACATGTCTTGCCCACTGCCTGATGTGCTCGGTACCCGTCGTAAATGCTTTTGCCTCTCTTATAGAAAGAGTTTTTTTTTTCCTTATCAATCACTGTTTGTGATGCTACGCAGAAGGAATGTTCCAAAAAGGGATGATCTGGTGGCAAATCAGATCAATAGTATACTAAAACTTTGACTGGCATTGAGCATTTCATCCCTGCATATTCAGGACGCCCGCGAAAGCTACGCGATTGGGGTGTTCAGGTTTTCTGCGCGTTCCAGCGACCCTGTTACATTATCGTTCCGCGGCGAACACTTGCCCATAAGTAGAGCGATATCTCTTGAGGGTCTTCACGTTGCTGCACTTCCACCTCCTCGCTTGGGAGGACCGAACAAACAGGTCAAGGCCTTACTTGAGAGCTTTACTCCATGCTCTAAATTACTGAGAGGAACTGCATGTGTTGTTAACTTTCGAAAGCCCGGGTTCCATCGTCTCATCGATGCATTCTTAGACTCGATGTGTATGCGCGCATCATCTTGATCGTTAGATACCCTACTTGTTTTGGCGTTCAGAGATTGGTACTATGGAGTATGTTTCGAACAAATTTGAACTCTTTCTTGAACTTTCTTCATGTGGAGCTAGCGATATGCTTGGACATTTCTATCGTGGTTTGGTCTTCCCTGGCAGATTCCATCACCGCTTCCCTTCTCCATTGACATGCCCGTCCTTATCCAACATCTCATTCTTCTTAGCACTCCCCTCCAGCCCCGCCAAAATCGCCTTATCCTCGCCCGGTATCCGCATCTCAAACACCTCCCTGACAACCGCGTACTCATAGTACCCACACCTAGCAATCGGCTCCGTCTTCCTCACATCAATCTTGCCGTCGGTCAAAACGCGCTCGTCGATATGCACACCGACTACTTTCCCAATCACCACATCTGCCGACCCCATTGGAGGATTTCCAGGAAGGCGCAACGTGGTATAGTACTCGCACTCAAACTTCACCGGGCTGCGCTTCACCATGGGTATCATCATCTCCTTCCTGTCCTCCCCACTTTCGCCAAGTACAATGACTCCGCTCAGCTTACTGTCCTCCTTCTCCACACCCGCCTTCTCAAACTCATCAACACCATACTCTTCCTGCACCGCGCTCCTGTTCACCTCTTCTCTCAGCTCATAAGTAGCGAGACTCCAAACGAATTTCCCAGTGGCTTCGACATTACGGACGGTGTCCTTTTGCGAATTGCTAGGTGTTTGGTTGGCGCTGAACATCACGTATGGGGGGTCAAACGTGAGGTTGTTGAATTGAGAGTAGGGTGCTAAATTTGCGTGGCCGTTGGGGGAGAGTGTTGATATCCAACCTATGGGGCGGGGGAGGACGCATGCCTGAGGTGGGGTTAGTAGGGGGTCTGAGGGATTGGAGGTGCGGAACTCTGGTTGGTGAATTCTGTTACTGGTTTTCACCAAGCCGTTTGAAATTATGGCAAAAGAGTACTTACCTTGAATGGGTCATACGGTAATCCGTGGTCTTCTTTCCCGGGTTGATAGAACATCGCGCCCTTGTTGATGCCAACTCCACTACAGCTTTGCCTTGTACTTCCTTACGCCGATGCAAATCTTTTTCTCGGACAACAATCAACCTGAGGTGTCTCAGATCATTAAATTATCCCCGGGTAGACCTTATGTACACATACAAAGCCGAACTGTATTCGGGTCGTTGTCCGCCAGTCAACGGGTAGACTGCGGGGAACCACTTCCACTCAGAACTCGGCAAACCTAGGCGGCAAGGACCCTGATGCAATTCACCCCCCGCTAATGCCGATACCATCACCTCTTGCAGCATAGTTTCCAACAAAATTGCCACATTGAGACGTGATATGCAGTACACTGATCATGTACCTACACCCATTTGCAACGAATCCACACGCCTCAACAATCATCGCACTCGCCAACCAGCGCAAAACCCCATCTAAACACCAAAAATGACCTCAGAAACCGTCCTAATAACAGGTGCATCCTCCGGTCTCGGTCTGGCCTTTGTGAAACACTACGCTTCCTTGCCATCACGACCCAACATAATAGCCTTAGACAACCAACCCTTCCCATCCCAAATCGCCGAACAACAAGAAACCATCCATTTCCACCAACTCGACATAACCTCGTCCCAAAAACTTCAAGATGTCGCCTCAAACCTCACCTCGACCCCCATAACTCTCATCATCCACTGCGCAGGCATCCGCGGTCTCGTTCCAGAAGTCGTCGCCAGTGAAAAACAAAGCAGCAAGGTCGTCGCAGCCGCTGAAACATTAGAAGCCATGAACCATACCACCATGATGAGGACCCTTGAAATCAATACCTGGGGCACTTTCAACACCGTCAAATCTTTCCTGCCAAACCTCCAGCTGGCCGCCGCCACTGCTGCTCAAGCCTCCTCAAAACCCAGAGTCGTTATCCTGTCCTCTCGGATGGGTTCAATATCCGCGAATACGGCCGGTGGCGGATATGCATATCGTGCAAGCAAAGCAGCGCTGAATGCTGTGGTCAAAAGCTTCGTCATTGATGTACCGGATGTACAGTTTTTGATGCTGCATCCGGGACGGGTGGAGACGCGATTGGTGGAGTGGAAGGAAGAAGGGGCGATTGGGGTGGAGGAGAGTGTGGGGGATTGTATGCAGGTTTTAGAGAAGATGGATAAGGAGGAGTGGGAAAGTGGGAGGTTGGTGGATCGGTTTGGAGTGAGGATTCCTTGGTAGCAGGGATAATAGATGGGAAAGACTAAGGAGGGTTACTAGAAATTGGAGGTAAAGGAAAATGCTGCATTTCTCTATGCATGTCTGCAACTGCATGGCGTACCTTTAAATCAGATCGCCGAATTGTCCTCTGGCTTTTGCCTATGTATCTGTACATTGTTTTCTCCGTCTCGGATTTCTGCTCCTGACGCCTTTGTATGCATACCCGAAAACCAAATCCTTGTTGAGCGCGACACGTGCTCCCACGTTAACCGCACGCATCAATCGTCTTCGCCGACGCGGCTTCGGTCGCAGTTGATGCAATAACCTGTGAGGCGATTGGAAATAGTTGCGGCCTTCTTCGAAGAGGTGCAGTAAGTCTGAATGGTGGTGTAGTTGGTAATATCCTCCATCGTTGTGCCCGTAGGTTTGGTAGATGTTGCCGACGGATCGTAGGGAACGTAGTTTATGCCGCCAATCGTTGTGCCAATAGGTTTCGCGGACGCTGCCGATGGGTCGTAAGGACTGTAGTTATCGCCGCCAGTCAGAGTCGCAGGCAAAGTCATGACCTTCGTTGTTGTAATGATCGTTGTCATAACAACCACACCAGGATTTGAAGTCACCGCTGAGAGACCCTTGCCGTAGAAAGAGGCGAGAGTGATTGGAGTTGTAGCAGATGCCGGCGGATCATACGGACCGTAGTTAGCGCCATGAGTCATGGTTGCAGGCAACGTCACGAGCTCTGTGGTCGTCGTTGAGAGGTCTTTGGTGTCGAAAGGAGTGCGGGCCGTCTGGGCTGCAGTATGTGCAAGGGTGCTCTCCTGGTAGCCACCGCCGTCGCCGTCCTGATAAACTCTCACCGAGTTGATGAGATAGAAGACTTCCTTGAGCTTGCTAGGATTAGTTGCAACGAAGTGGTTACAAGAATCATCGTGGGTTTCTGCTGCGCAGCCTCTATAACCAGACCAGGCATCACCGCCAGCGTACCTACCACAGAAGGTGATGTCTGAATATGGGTGTACGAAGTCAGTATATGTCTCCCATGTGGTTCGCACAAGGACGCTTACTGATGATCTTTCTATGTTAGCGAATACTCAGGTACATAAGGAAGCGCATACGTACAATCTTCATCTTTTTGAACGTCTTCTGTATATCACAACCGTCCCCAGCAGAGTTCATCACGGGCGTACCCCATGTACTCGGGTCAGGATTAGCGCCATCCCAACCCAGTGGCTCACTACCTCTAGCGAAGAACCACGCTTTGATGCCATCATTCTCGACCTGTGCTGCCCAAACTCCACCGTGATGGTCGTTGAAGGCTTGACCGAAGGAGTCATCAGGACCATCGGCGCCACAATCGTAACCGCTCATACACTCAAGATCTTGGCGCGTCTTTCCGGATCCGCCGTTGTCCTGCATCTTGCACGGTGTCTGAGCGGTATGCAAGCTGAGCTCATTCCATGTGTTCTTCGAGACGCCTTCGATGATATCAAACTCAGAGTACCATTCCTCCTGGTCGGCGGTATCGTGGAGTAGCCAGCTGTGATTGGTTAACTGCTGCACATATCTGACGCATCTCACGAGCAATGACGAGCACACATGGTAGCGGGGGAGATGGCGTGACTCTGAGACTTCAAAGTACGATTGAATGTAGTACTTGCAAAGGGTAGGACTCACAAAGCAGGCCACATGCCACAGCCACTGGGTAGATGATCGAAGTCGGCGACGAAGAGTCCGTTGTCGAATGTCTGCACTCCTTCCAGTCGGAGGCTCTTACGGCCATAGCCCTCACCGGGCTCCTGTGGAGTGAGCACTTGGGCTGTATCTACTCCGAGATGTACCTTGCTACCCTCGATACGCGCAAGCCCAAGTTCAGTTGCTTCCTCCTTGGAAACGTAGAGAGCGAGGCCTTGGGTGAACTTGTCCCAGCCGTTGTAAAAACGGAAGGAGTTATCGTCGAAGAAGTTACTCGCGTCGTATTTCGCCTTGAGCTTGTAGCCCGTGGTGAGGGAGACCACTGGGATGACAGCGAGGAGGGTGCGTAAGATAACCATTGTTAGAGACTTGACTATGGAAGCTAGGGAAAGATAGAAGAGGATGAGAGTGACGAGGAGGATTGACGCAGAGATTTTGAATCATATAGACTGTGTGCTCATGCACACACCGTCTTGCATGGTGAGAGAAGGTAGTGGGAAGGAGCGACCTCAGGGCGGTGAGCCAAGTGAGAGAAACCACACTGGACTGGCATCTGAAATTATTCGTCCCTGTCGTGTTGCAACGCCTACCAAAGATATACATGATGCTCCAATTTGTACATGATCTTGCACTGTGTAAGTCGTGCGCTGCAAGGAGTATTCAGGGTGAGTGAGAGGATACGAAAGGAGATCATATCCTGCCATCGACTGGTAGACAGCGTGCGCCCTGCTCCTGGCATGACTGTCCAGCTCTTTAGAGAGAGCACGTGGCTTTTGATGTTACTGCGAGAATGCTGCAGGTGAGCAACCGTCCGTCTCTAAGCCAACGCAGCGGTAATAGCTTTGATGCACACGCTCAACATCGATGACCACTAGGCCGAGGAGTAGGACCTAAAGCCATGTATGAAACGGCTGAGCACGCCAGTATCATGCTTCATCACCCACCGTCTTGCCTACGTCATCCTCGCGAACATCAGTCAGCGTGCCTTGTTCACCCTCTCTTAACCTCGCGCCTGAAATCTTGTCAGCTGTCTCCAATCCTCCTTCGATGCCCTGCACTAGCCCGTCTAATGCATCGAAGATGTCGCTTTGTTGCTCCCTCGCCACAGTCAGCATGTCCTGTCCCGCTTGACTCCTGGCCTTGGCCTTGCTCTTCCTCGGTATCTCGACTCCTTGTATTCGTAGCATGTACCCTTGATCTGGAGAGTCCTTATCGAACGAGGGAGCTGTTCGTACGTGCGTATCCGTTATTTGCCACTCCGATGAAAGTGACTGCGCATCTACGATTGTGCGCCCGTCTGCCCCAACATCGATTATGAGGTAGTGTTCCTTGACACCCGGTATAGGCGGGGGAAGTGGTGACTCGACTGGTGAGTGTTGCTCGTCTCCTTCTTCGCTTCCCTGGTTGCGCCGCTTTTCCCCACCACCCGGCGCATCGTGAGGGAGGTACTTTGTATCATCCAGCCCTAAGCCTCGCATCGATGCAGCAGTTATAATGGTCGGGTCGTCGTCGGCGAAGACATAGTGAGTATATGGGTGGTAGTGCTCGCTCGACGTTGTGTCTTCGATTAAGGTAAAGAAAGGTCGAAAGTTTGGTGGCGGTAGCAGCGGTTGCTCGAAGTTAGGCTCAGGATACGGTATGTCGTCATCTTCGTCTTGCGCATCGCCAGGCTGCTGCTGCTCGCGGAGGTAGTCGTCGGGAGGATCTTCGGCATGTCCCAAGGGCGTTGATCGTGGGGAATAAGATGCGTGAGGATCTGAAAGGGGCTCTCTAGTGTTAGGGTTGTTAGACATGTCGTCGGGATAGATGGAAGGCTGGAGGTAACGGAGTTGTGGGAGGTATAGTAAGATGCGTGATCGATAAGAGACGTGGTCCATGCACCCTACCAACAACAAGGGAGTGAGCCAAGTATTGAAGTGTGGAGAAAGTCGCAGAGTGAATAGGCTGAAGTATGTAATGCAATCCTTAGGGTATCGTCCAAATCCAAACGCCAATGGTAACAGTCCTTGTGTAATCCAAAGTATCGCTTCAGACGTGAAGCACCACTGTCTCGACTTCCACCCTATGCGCGAGAAGCAGATGGGCAACAGGCCGCTTCACAGATGTCCATAATCGGTACTACGGTTCGAAGGCTATAGCGGGCTCGTGTCGGGTTCTTGCGTTTGTGCCGGGGTTTCGGTGACCGTCGGCGCGTCTTGACTCTTCGACTTGAAAGCTAGAGATGCAAGTCAGCCGATATGCCATGCGCTTCAAGTTGTACGTACGCTGACGACACATGGGACACTTCTCTAGAGAGCTCTCTTGCTTCAACCAGGAGAAGATACAGTGCTGATACATGTTAGCCATGGGCGCAGAGGGTACTCTATGAGGACAGAGGCGTACCATGTGGAAAGAGTGGTTGCACTCTCCTAGTACTACCTCACGTTAGTCTATATCAAACCTCATCGTCGTCAGACATACATAGCGGACACTCATCTCCAGGAAACTTGCACTTGGAGCAAGTGCTATCGTAAGGGTTGCGACAGATACCGCAGACATCGTCGTCTGGCATGTCCCAGCGCCAGGCGGCGACAGCATTCCACTCTCGTATAGTGACTTTCATCGTGTCCTTTGGCGCTCAATAGGTACTTTTCAAGGCTGGCACACAGATTGTGCGGAACACAGATCAACAATACCAAAACATGCCGAGGCGGCAGATTTACGGCGGTGAGGGGCGGCGATTGCGCGTTAATTCCGCTGGGGTCTGAGCTCAAGCTGGAGCTTCAAGCTTTGGAGCGCCCATCATGCATCACAAACTTATGAACACGCCAATGCCGTTATACAAAAGCGTAATGCTACTGTTGTTTGGTACAAACATACTAAAGACAAACAAGTCACATGATGTTATTTCTAGCTAAAATTGCGTGCGTGCAAGGGAGATCGCACCTTCTTCAGGTTTGCTGCAGTTCCCCGCACTAATCTTGAAGCTTGCTGCGGACCCTCCTCTACGCGATGAACGTAGATAGGGAAGCTTCACCTCGCCGTCTACTCCATATATCTTCGCTCCTTCTACTTCCTCGCCGACCAGGACATCTTTTGTAATCCACCGTATCCACCACTCAATTTCCAACATGTTCGTGTCACGCTTCCGCTGCTCTTTACGCCCACTCTCTTCCATCTCCCCCATTCACGTCCCCATTACTGTAAGCAGCAGACGAACAATGTCTTCGCATCATCACTTCTCCTCCTATCTCATCTCACCATCCGAGCTTAATTCGGCGTTGAAGCACAATGCCAGCAAGCTTTCTACAGAGCCGCGCATCGTCCCGCTGTGCGCTTCTTGGTTCCTGCCCAACGACGGCCGGAATGGATATGATACCTTCCTTGCACAGCGCATCCCACGCGCACGCTTCTTCGATCTCGATGCCGTCAAAGATGTACACTCGCCATACCCACATATGCTCCCCTCCGCTGAAGACTTCGCAATTGCAATGAGACACCTCGGTATACGACGGGACGATAGCGTAGTCGTTTATGATACAAAGGAGCTAGGCATCTTCTCTGCCCCGAGAGTAGGCTGGACGCTGCAGGTCTTTGGACATCCCAAGGTGCATGTGTTGAACAACTTCCGCAAGTGGGTTGAAGAAGGGTTCCCAACTGAGAGTGGAGAGCCAAAAGAGGTTGAGCCGACCGAATACGCGGTGCCGAAGTTGGAGGAGGAGAGGGTGGTCGCCTTTGAGGAGGTAAAGGACATTGCCAAGGAGCTGGGCAAAGAAGGGGCGGATGAAGTACAGATACTAGACGCGAGGAGCTTAGGCCGGTGGAAGGGCGTTGATCCGGAGCCTAGAGAAGGTATGTTCATCGTCGATTGCGAGACACTATAACACGACTAAGCTGACTACATCAGGCCTTTCATCCGGTCATATCCCATACTCCACCTCTGTCCCAGTCACTGACCTCCTTGACCCGAAAGACAAGACCCTCCTCCCTGCCTCCGAACTTCAGGCCATCTTCAAGTCGAAAGGCGTCGACCCTTCAAAACCGATCATAAGCAGTTGTGGCACAGGAGTCACCGCGGCCATCATCGACGCTGCATTGTCGGAGGCTGGCTTCCCTACACAACAGAGACGCTTGTACGATGGCAGTTGGACCGAGTGGGCGCAGCGCGTGAAGCCTGGCGAAGGTCTCATCCGGAAGACAGAGTAGGTTGCACACGAAGCTCCAGGCTAGTTGGATCATGACGGGTTTCCTTGAAAAGTTGATACCCCTTTCATTTTCGTGTACGTATTTTGTATTGTCGAATATATGATGCGATTCCGTTTCAATGACCACGGCGAAGAACGCACAACCTTTTTTGCTGGCCTGATTTATTGCATTCAGGAGTGACGCAGTTTAGTGATTGTAACGACTCATCAACAACACGTTACCATGTAGGGAACACAGCTGTTGAACGTATTGGGTGAAATTCGTTTGTAGTACAAACGTGGTATCCAAACACCGAAAACACGGGGTATAAACAGACACTTAAATCGGATGGTAAGGAATGCTTAAATGTAGAAAAGTCAACTTCTCAAGACTGTGGCGACTGAGAAACCAGTGATGCTTGTGGCATCTGGGACGACGGACATGGCTGTTTCGGGTCGAGATATGTACGGAAAAACTCCTTCACTTGTGGATTGGCACCACCGAGGTGTCTTCTCGGAAGCGCCACGACTTCGAGACCTTTGAGCGAGCGTGCTCTACTGACTGTTCAACATGTTAGCTCGTGTTTTGCAACACTGAGAATAGAGTACGCCTTACGAGCAACGTATAGTTGGCTTGCCTCAAAAGCATCTCGCAGATCGACAATGACGCGATCCAGCGTCATGCCCTGTGACTTGTGCACAGTGATAGCATAGCCTGCGACAAGTGGGATCTGCGCCCGCGACAGTAGGCTAAGCTTGCTTTCGTCTCCATTCTCGCCAACGTTTCCGAGTTCGTTACAAGGACAATCTGCGTAGATAGTCTTCGTGCGGCCGTTGTCAAATTCGACAATTGGCCATGGCTGACGGTGGTTCGAGTCGGCGTATCTTTTGATCTGCCCCTGGGCGTATTTAGCATGGGTACCTCTGAGATCACCTGGATCATCTTTGCCCTCTGCCGCGCGGGGAAGCCTGTTAAGATCGAACGGCTCAAAACCGACGATCAAGCCTTGGGAGCCGTTCACGAGACCGGCTTCGGGTTCGAGATTGGCTTGTAATACCACGCGCATGCCCTCCTTCAGATGCACGATAGCTTCGTAGCGGTGATCTTTCTGCGAGACTGTTAGTGATGTTCGAATGTTCGAAGAGATGTATTGTACCAATTGTTTCAAATTACCGTCTTCCGCCTGTTCACTATACTTCTCCAACGTCTTATCCTCGTAATCGTTCCATTTGAAGTCATCCAAGCACTTGAAGGCGAGTTGCTCTGAAGGAAGCCTCGCAATGTTCTCCTTGTTTACACGGTCTACATCCCAACGTTTTGAGAATATACGGATGGCGCCCTCGGTCTCTTTTGTATGATTGAGGAGAATTTTTGCGTGGGGTGGGACGATTTCACCGTCTGGTACGCGTTAGTATGCTATGTTCATACATAATTACATGCAGAAGCAACATTCCGACAAAGGGAGACTGTACCTCTGCGAATCTTTTGAAGAATAGAGATGAATTTCCTGTCGTCTTGCCTATGGATTTCCGTAAGGTTGATGTGTTCAAAGTTGCATTCCTGTTTATATCAGTGCTGTTTTATGGTACGAGCCAAAGGGAGTACGTAACATACCTGCCACGCTTTGCTACGGAAAGCCCACTTGTCGGTAGCTGGCCAGAAATCGTAGCGACATTTTTTGTTTTCGCAAGTATGCTGTACAATGCTATTTCTAACTTCTTTAATGAGCTCCCATCCGCATCCCATACAATGCTGGAAAGGCTTCACAGGTGAAAGTTGACAGAAGTCTCCCGTAACAATGATCTGGACGCCGCCAAACGGACCAGTGGCCTTGCCTGCGCGACTTGCCTTCATGACTTCGTTCAATCGCTCGAATTGAAGATTCTCAATCATGCTGATCTCGTCAATGACAAGCACATCGGTGGCGTCGAACTTTTTCCAAATCTCTTTGCCATTAGCAGCCGCCTTCAGTTTGTCTAACGGCTTTTTCATGCTGTCAGGCGTCCAACCAGCGAAATTCCACGTTGTTTGACCACCAACGTTGAGCGCGGCAAGATTTGTTGGCGCCACGATCCGAACCTTTTTTCCTTTCAGTTTAAGAAGTGGGACGAAAGCCTTTAAGATGGTAGATTTTCCACATCCTGCGGACCCAGTGTAGAAGACATTCTTTCCACCTTCCACGATGAGGTCTACCACCCGCTGCTGTTCGGCGCTCAAGTTAATTTCGGGTTCAGGAACGTCTTTGTTCGGGGTAGTGTTCGATCTTGGAGAACTTGTTGCAAGCTGTGGCTGCTCTGCAACATATCGTGGGTTAGATGGTGACGGGCCGTAGTTCGCGGATACATGTGAACGCTCGGTTGGTGGTGTTAGAAACGGGTAAGTGTACATTGGAGGAGGTGAAGGTGTACGCTGAGCCGTACGTGTATCGCATGTTGAAGAATGCCTGTGGGGCTCCTGTGCTTCTTCTCTTTGGCGCCGGAGCGCTGTTTCAACATAGGTTCTGTTGGCGTTCATGAAATCCCATGCCTCGTCTTTGGTGCGGAACTTCTTTTGCAAACAACCACTGTAGCCTTTGATTTGTTCGACAACGTTATCGTAGTTTGTGTAGATACCGGGAACTTTTCCGCCTGCTACTGCGTAGTATGCGATATTCCTTGCGGAAGGATTGAGCGCCTGAACGTATAGTCCAGCGTTACGCAGATCTTGCAGCAGGACCGATTGTGTTGGCCTCGTCATTTGTTTCCTTCGTATGCTCTGTGTTTGCTCTGGCTCTGGGCTCGATAGTATCTCGACCGGGTTGTGTTGGGTTCCATGCTGAGGCTCGCTGTAGGTTCGGGCGTGACCTTGCATTGCAAACTGAACCCTGGGGCTGAGTGGCGATACGGTTTGTCTTGGTCGCTTTCCGAATTCGTCAAGGTGTTCTCTATCTGACTTTCGTTTCTTTGACCTCTGCTCTGGTGCGTCGTTTGGCCGCAATGCAGTCACGGGTGGGATGTTTTCAGTGTCTGATATTGGCGGCGGTGAGCTGTTCGCATGGTACTGCATGTGTGCGGGGTACTTGACAGGTATGTCTGTGGAAGAAGCGAAGCGCAAAGGGGTGTAATGCGAGTACTGCGGTGGAGCGGCCACGGAGACGGTACTGGGATGGGTACCGTGTATATACGCGTCCTGCACGTACCCATCTATACAAGCGGTATGAGTATGCAGTTCAATTCACGATTTCCATGGGGAAGGACAGACAGGTGTTGGGCATGGTGTGGTGATAAAAAGGAACGTATGCACCGTCGTGTCAACTCGTGATTCAAAGAGACTCCTCAGCGAAGCTCACAAAATACAAAAGCGACCAAGACAATCGTGTATTCCCGATAGAGATAGCCAACAAGAATAAGCTTGAAAGGTGCAGCCGGGCCGGACTGCGGGGTGTGGAGCGATGATAGAAGATGGTCGCTGTTTAGGCCAAGCTCAACGCGACAAAGCGCGTTGGTTGTCGCGCTAGCGCAGGCTAATGTGGCTCCCGCCATGAACATGTGGAGCGAAATGCTCGAGATACGTCGGAAGTTTGCACGATGGCACTAGGGGAGGAAACAATTCGTGCTGCATTAGATGGTTCAAGCTAAATGTTTCTCATGTTGATCTAGAACGGACAGATCCGCATAAATGAGTATTGAATCACTCCTCCGTGCTCACTGCAGCTTCCGATGCCGCTCGGCTACCACTCTGTGCTCTCCTTTGCGTCTTGCTCGCCCTGCCAGCCTTTGTCCGCCCATTCCCCAACCATCCCGGCTTCGCCGTAACAGGTTGTAGGAACCCGTCGATGTGCACACCACCAACCGTTCGTTCTTCGTTGTCAGAGTCGTTCGTTCTGGGGTCGTAGCCGTGGACTCGTATGCAGTGCTCGACCACGCGATAGGGCAGAGCGAAGTCTTTATCGTGGCCATAACAATCTACATGTGGGCAACGCAGTGTGCCAGTCTGGAAGAAGGGACGCTTAGGTGTTGGAGGATGCGAGATTGAGGGCATGTTTGGCGGCAGTATGACTGAAGGTGTATACGACACAGGCTCGGTAGCAGGCTTTAGGGCGAGAGCTTCATGGAAGGGCATAAACGACATGCCCTCGCCGAACAGAGCTGCACAGCGCTGAGCCGTACGTGCAACAGCCCCTTTATCCCAGCCCTGAATAGCCGCTAGCCCAAGTACTTCGCTCCAATCTAAAAGCCCTTCCCTTAGCAGCGGTTCTTGTGTTTCCGAAGCATCACTACCACTCATGCTGCTTGAGGATCTTCGACGTTTCCGTTCGCGAGTTATAGTATTGGACGCCTCCCAGTCAGATGCGCCGCTTGAGGTAACATCACTATCAACGGGCTTTCTTCTATCTGTGGTAGTCTTTTTTCCTTGTCGTGCTGTGCGACTAGTCCGCGCCGACTTTGCACGTGAAGAAGGTCGGTTGCTTGATCCGCGACTTGTTGCACTCTTCGATCTGGCTCTTGACGTAGACCTCGACGCAGGTCCACTCGACTCTGCCCCCGATGTGAACTCGCTCATGGAGGAATCGGCTGACCCGCCACGGCCGAAATGGTTGGTACGGGTTCGACGAATAGCCAATGCAAGCTCGTCTAGCTTTTCCATCATGGTCTGGATCGTTGGCTGTAGAAGCCGCTGAGCTCTCGCGTCGTCCGCTAACAAAGTCGGCTCTGTGTGTCTCTCAATGCGAGGTTTCCTGCCACGTTTCTTTCCAGTCGCGCGATCGTGTCCATCGTCATTGCTGTGGTCTTGTGCCTCGTCTTCATCCTCTGGCATAAGTGTAACTATGGACGTAGAGCGCGACTTGGCAGGATTGGCGCTTTGAGATCGTGACCTGCTTCGTGAAACTGTTGTGTGACCGCCAGTATCGGATTCAGACGAGGCCGCTTCCCGCGAGTTCCACCTCTCTTTAGCTAGCCGTAAGAACACAGCCTGGAGTTCTTCGCGGAGTTCGTCTCCTACCTCTTGTGTGCTTGCGCCTTCAGTAGTCCATTTGCCGACTTGGTCGCCCACCATGTCATCGCCCAGCTGGTCGTTCAAGTCCGAGAGCTGTGGTGGAGGCAGTGGCCATGCTGTCCACTCTCTGGAAGGCACCAATGCTGTTTGCACGAAGCCTGCTGCATCCGTATATTCAAGATCCCTTCCAGTCTTCAGCCAGCTGTCCTTACTCTGCCAATTCTTGCACTGCGCCGTGGCTTCCACAGATCGTCGTAATCGTCTCTTGAGCGCATGCGCATTGTACAGATGTGCTGCAAGATCGGAGTCCTGGATCTGACCGAGTGACTCTGCTATCTGGCGATCGGCCTCGGTGTAGCTCTGCCATGCTTGGGGTTGTCCGAGAAAGCGGTTCGGGCGCGCCGGTTCGTCGTTGTCCTCGTCTTCAGACTCGTCCCGTACCGAATCGCTATTGGTATCGAGGTCGTCGTCTATATTCAACGAGATCGGTATGTCGGGTTTTGGTGCTTCTTGCGCGTCGCGCGGGTTTGGAATCTCCTCAACTGACGGCGACGAGCGCACAGAAGAAGACGGCGACGAGGTATCGGATTCGTAAGAGGAGCGAGATGGCGGGGCGCTACCACCAAATAACGACATCTTGGTTACAGTAAATATCGAAGCGAGCTTGTGGCTGTCTTGAGATCAGCATCTGGGTTTTGCGATCCATCCCTTGCGGCGGTTCAGAGTCGCAGCCAAATTATGGTGGGGTTCTCGAAAACGACGCGCCGTCACGTTGGCGCTATCAGCCCGAGTCGCTACCAACATCTCGCAGCAAACCTTCCATTCCCAGCATGTGTTACCACGTTAGTACATTGATCGACGTCTCTTTCGCTTCACATGGTCCACCCTCAAAGCAGCCCTGAAGGAACTACTAAATAGGCACACTCTGAATATTCCAGAGCGCGACTGTAAAGCGATCTTCATTGTACCCAGCCGGCGGATTACTCATGTGTAGTTGGGTCGGCAAGTACTAGCGAGTACCCGCCGTTGGATCTGCACCTGGGCATCAGCGAGGCTAGAGCATTAACCTTCTCTTTTGCCGCAGACTCCAACGTCGTTACGCATCAACAGCACCAACAGCTCGCCTTGTCACGACTACTCTCAGATCGACTATGCGTTGCGCGCATTGCGAAATAACGCACATGCTGTCCGCTTTTCGTCAAGGACAATGGCGCCACGTTGGCGTCTACTATCATGTGTTTGCCCCCTTTCGAGAACAGGGTAGTCGTCCCCGGCATATCATTATTGGCAGGCAAGATCAAGGACACCAATCAATGCTCTACCTCCGATCTCTGCGGAAGTACTCCCACTACGACCCATTAGCCTGTGCGGAGCGTCGATTCTTAGGTAGGAACTCTGTTCGGAGCAGAATGAATTTAATTACAGACATAGATTACCCAAGTGGTAAACACGTCGATCTCCGGGTAGCTTTAAACCTCTCATTTTGTACAAACCGTCAATGCTCCGGAGATTCCACCGAAGACCGTGCCAAGGACAAGCCCTCAGCAGGCCACGAACTCCTTCCACGAACCGGATGAACGCTCCGAACGCGGCGCTTCAGCAAGGTCAGCAGCAGCATTGAACTAGCGGCGAAATTCATCAAGGTGTTGTGCCTGATCTGGGGAAGAGACCCAGAGTCGGCAATACCAGTGATCAACGCCGTGGCAAAAAGCCTGCGCTCAAGCGATCAGCACTAAAGAACATCCTCCAAAACTTAGCGTTGGTAGTACCATCTTGCAATTGAACGCTCTTTTACAGCGCCGCTCTAGTGTACAAGTTGTGAAACTGCAAGCTACTCGACATTTTAGCTAGCACCTGGCCCATGTGCTTCAAAACTCTATAGCCACGGCGCTTCATCAGCACCTTAGACCTAGGGCTATCTCCCTGCTGACAACCCGTACAAAGTTAGTCGTGATGCTTGTCGTCGATTGTTCCGAGTGTGCGGTCTTACTTTAATTACACTCCAGCTTACACAGTAGGACCGAGCCGGAAGAGCCACCGCATATACAATCACCATGTTTGTGGCCATATAAATGCAGTACGCCAGGTGTGCTGCGAGAAGATCATCACTATACACTCCTTACTTTTCATATCTTCCTATACAACTACCTCAGTCATGCGTTCCTTTACTTCAATCGCCGCTGCCGCGGTGGTCGCCCTTCCTTTGGCCATTGCAGCGCCCAACAAGGCAAACAAGATGGATGCCAGCTACTACAAGCCAGAGCAGGTCATCAATACCGATGTTGTCATCATCGGCGGAGGTGGCATGGGTGCCTACTCTGCCATTCAACTCAAAGACGCGGGAAAGAAAATCGTGGTCATTGAGAGCAAAGACCGTCTTGGAGGTCATACGGAGACTTACATGGATAACGAGACCGGAATCCCAATCGACATGGGTGTGAAGCTGTACCACGATGAACCCCTAGTGCACCAGTGGTTCGCACGCTTCAACCTTTCTACAACCCGGTTCAGCCCAACGCCTATCGGTCCATCTCAGAACGTTGACTTCAGGAGCGGTCAGGTGTTGCAGGGTCTGCCTGCTCCCAACCAAACGGCCATGGGAATTGCTCTGCAGAAGTATGGTGCCGTTCTCGCAAAGTACCCTCAACTCGAGGGTGGTTTCTACCTCCCGGACCCCGTTCCTGAGGACCTGTATATGCCTTTTGGCCAGTTTATTCAGAAGTACGACATTGCTGATGCGGTGCAAACCATCTTCGGTCTCACCTCCGCCTTTGGTGATATCCTCGAGCTACCCGCCCTGCAGCAGATGCGTACGTTCTCCCTTGGTCTTCTGGCAACTTTGCAGAACTTCCAAACCAGCTCGGTAATGGACAACAGCCTTCTGTTCGAAAAGATCACTGCCGAACTTCAGGCTACGAACTCTCTACTTCTGTCCTCCAAGGTCACGAAGACGCAGCGTGTGAGCAAGTTCGACGGCGGCGTCAAGGTTCTCGTTGAGACCCCAATGGGCTGCCGCCTCATTCAAGCGAAGAAGATCCTCATGGCTATTCCGCCCACTCCCGAGAACCTTGCCAAATTCGATCCCAGTGGTGACGAGTTGAAGATCTTCAGGCAATTCACTTCTGTCGGATACTACACTTCCATCATCAGAAACGCCGGCCCTACCAACGTTACCCTCCAGAACCTCGCACTTGACAAGCCCTACGCACTCCCACCTATGCCTGCTATCTACAACGTCAACCCCACTGCAAACCCAACCCTTAGCCTCGTCTACTATGGTACCAAGGTCGGCCAGCATCTCAGCGACGAGCAGGCCAAGGCTGCCATCATTGCGGACCTCAAGCGCTTCCAGGCTGCAAACAACATGACCGAGACTGAGCCGGAGTTTGTCGCATTCAGCAACCACAGCCCGTACAATATGATGGTCGGTGAGAAGGCTACTCGCGCTGGATTCTACAAGCACCTGTATGGATTGCAGAGCAAGCGCAACACTTTCTGGACTGGTGCCGCATGGAGGGCGCACGACAGCTCTTCCAGCTGGGCTTTCACTAGCCGAAGTGTGCTGCCCCAGCTATTGGCAAGCTTGTAGATGGTGCAAGCATGTAGTGGTGGATCGCTGAATTAGTAGGCTACAATTGGGCTGTGACTCGCTGCTTTGGTTGATCGAAATAGTTTCATTGATACGCTAATCTAATGTCTTCAATCCTTGTATTAATAGAGAATATTTACTCCATGCCAATTCTCACGCTTTTCCTGTCTTTGAATACGACTATAGATGATGAGTTGAGGTGAGCTCTATATAGTGCAGTGTTCTATCTTTGATAGTCGACTGGTATGAGTGGTCGAAAATCCAAACAGTCTACCATGGGTATCTCCTGGACCGGCATCCTGGACTACTTATCTAATGCTTCTCTCTTACCTCTTGCCTTATAGCATCAAATTCTTTCCGTAATGTCCTCAACACCCTCAAACCAAATCACGGCTATTGAGAGTCCATCGAAATGTGCTCTAGCCGAGGGCAGCCATTCCCTTTCCACACCCGTCCGTTTCCTGATACTCTCCGACACACACGGCGCTAAGCTACCAGAAAAGCTACCGCCATGCGATGTGCTATTACATTGCGGTGACCTCACAGAAAACGGCACCCCAGAAAGAATCCGTTCGGCCCTCCAAGATCTGGGCAAAATCGAAGCTAAGTTGAAACTCGTCATCGCTGGCAATCACGAAATCTCGCTTGACAAACTGTACTGGCTGTCCCAAGGCGGAACGGAAGCGGACGCAGAGAGAGCACTTGCGCTGTTGAGCCCCGAGACAACTCTGAGGCGAGCAAGAATGGCATCACCTTTCTACGGGAAGGTACATACACCTTTACGCTCACATGCGCCGCGACTTTCACGATATATGCCTCGCCGCACACTCCTATTCATGGTGCATCAGCATTCCAATATCCTTCCAACGAAGATCGATTCAATTCTTCAGGTACCCCATCGTGGGCTCAGAACGTCGGTACCGAGACCTCGACCATCCCCGAGAACGTTGACATCGTCATGACTCACGGCCCACCGAAATACATTTTGGACATGATTGACGGCCAGAGCGCAGGATGTGAGCACTTGCGACGCGCTATCTCGCGAGTGCGACCACGACTGCATTGCTTTGGGCACATTCACTCTCCACGTCGCGGGTTCTACGAAGCGTATGTGCTGGGGTATGGAGGGGAAGCGGAGCTAGATGCCGATGCCGAACCCATTGGATCGATATTCAAAATATGGATAGGAGAGAACTCATGTCGGAAGAAGGGGTTCAGAAGCTTGACTCCGGGCGCTGCTCAAGAATTTCGAGAGAGCAAACAGCAGACGTTGTGCATCAACGCAGCAATGGAGGGGGATAAGCCAGGCCTGCTCGAACACCCACCCTGACTCGCCGAGTTAAATTTGCCCGTGCAAAAAGATATGGACATAGTGAAGAATACCGCCGGCAATATTCTAAATCCCACGTAAGCTCTTGGGAGATGCGGGAACGCCTGTTGAGCTCGGAGTTGACGGAGCGCTGTAGCTCGGAATCCGTGGAAGCCGGCAAGGCGTCCCAGATTGCATGATCCCATCTCATGACCGGTAGCAGCGACCTCCGACCAGGGCCTTGCGACAGCGCTATGCATTAAACTTTACAGCTTATTGGCACATTGCAAGATGCTAACGGCTCCAGGAATTGCGTTGTATGGAGGAAGGAGGCATACAAGAATAGGAACCCCGCTGCTTGAACCTTTTGCTCCAGGATAGCCATCTCCAGCGGAATAAGGCCTCTCGTCAGCGAACTCGCAACGGACACGCTCCAAGTCATCTCAGCAATACTTCAAATATGACAACCTCTTCTTCGCTCATGCTGTACCGCCCAGGGCCATCAAATTCGCTATCAACACGCTCGTACTCAAGCTCGCTCATCTCGTCACGTCTGTTTAGCCAGCAAACCGGGACAGCAATTGCTACCGAGCTTCTTTATCGCATTCTCATTGACATCATCAACCGCTTCCTCTGTTCATTCCAGCGCCTTGCATCCCGTGGTATTGACGAGGCATCATCCTGGATGGAGCGCAAGCTGCAAGAACGTCGCGACAGACTGGAGGCCGCCAAAGCCGGTGCTGAGGAGGGCCTGAAGATCGTTAAAGAGGTGGGCAGATTGGCAGAAGAGCGGAGCTTCATCACTTGCCCGATGACGGGTCATGCAATGGACTCTAGGGTAGAGGGCAAGAGGGGTCCGCCTGGGCCGCCTCAGTGGGTTCGGGGAGTGCTCGCGGGTATTGATGAAGGAAGGATAGCAGAGAGAGATTTCTGGATCCATACACATACCGGGTGAGATTGGAACATCGATACATACGGGACGATATCGAGCACTCGGAGATTAGCGCGACACTCTACTAGCCTAAGGACATCCGCCAAAAGTTCAGTCGCGCCCATGAAGTGCACCATTACCATAAAGCGGGTTCTACTTAAGGTACGTGCCTTCGCCCTTTGCTGCAGGCCGCACCCTCGACGAGAGCATCTTCCCAAAGCCCACTAGAACTGCGATCGCTGTTGTGAATGTCATCTCACCACTACCGCGGCATCCGAGAATGAAGGCGCAGTGAATACTGAAGTCTCAGGGCGAGACTTCAACCCATGCAGGTAACAGGACTGGATCGAGATACTACCTTGATGAGCCCTATGACATTACACATCCTCGCATAGCCCTACGAGAGCGCATTGGAGGATATGGGCTCTATCGAGAAGTTTTGCATTGCTCGCCAGCGCCCAGTAAACGTGTATGCTATAGTAGAGTCACCGCATCGGCCATGAAATCATGCTTCTTCGGTTCCAATATTCAGTCTATCTTGTTCTTTGTTCTCCCTCCAATAGCTCTCTCTACCAATATTATACATATCTCAGTCCATGCCCTTCCCCTATCAGCTGTCTCGTCGTCCCTAAATCTCCTTGGCAGTGTGATGTTATATCTTTCTGTCGCGCTGTTCCTATGGCGTCTGGTCGGCTCCGCCTATAGCGTGCTCATGCACTGTCTATTGGTTCCGTTCGTCAGTGTCGTTTATTGTGTGTAGCGTAAGTGGGTGTTTACCAAGTGCGGCGACGGTACAGCACACAACACAGCCTCCATAGTTGGCTGCCAGCGGCCGCGGGCGAGCAGCCGCGACGACAGGCAGTAGACTGAGAACAATTCCAGAAATATACACAAGAAACTTCACGTCTTCTGCAGCTGAGTATAGCACTTATCTACGTTAGTGTTTACTTTCGTAGACTCAGCATATGCATGGGCGCAAATGCGTATCGCCTGCTACGGGTGAGTGCCTCTGTCGCTCACGTCCGTGGGCGCAGTGCTGAATCTCAAGTATAACGATCACAATGTTGACGTTAGAAAATAATATGGCTGCCATGCAGTCACGAAAATCAACGTAGCTCTGCTCCACAAACTGTGGCGAGCTCACAGCAGGAGGCACGACACCTTCTGCAAGCTTTTACAGCGCAAAAAGAACTGTCTCAATAAGATTCTTCTCTCTACTGCTCTTGACTGAGTTCCTAGCTGTGTCAAGCTTGAAGACATGTCTTGATCTACCGCTACATCAGGGCGCCATGCTTGACACGTCTTGCACACTAAGCATACATTTATTCGTGTCTGCTACAAAAAGAGAGAAGATATAGTTCCTCGTTTCATATATTAATGTCCTCGCGTGTCTCAGATCCGCTTCGTCTGTCTCTAAACCTACACTGTCGCACTGCCCGTCCAGCTCAACCTCACTGGCTTCTATCACGTCAACACATACCTCGTATACTCTCAATTTCTGCCCAATGTGCTGAATTCCCAACTCTCTCTCACTTGAAGTTGCCGCTCGGGCCATGTTGCTTCGTGTAATCCTACTGGTTTTCCCCCTTCACCTGGCCACGCCCGCGCGCCCGCCCTTCTACCGCTCACGAGAACGTTCCATACCCGCTCCATTTAGTCCAAACCAACCTTCTTATCTCCGGCAGAGCCCCGGCTGGAGCTGAACCGCCGCCTCCTAGCGCTGCCTGCGCTTGGACCAGTAGTTCGCATATATAACGGCCGTTTCCCCTTCCTACCTACACTCTTTTCCTACCAGCGACAACAATTTCTACCCCAACTCAAACTCCTACTTCATTTTTTCAAATATTTTCACATCAATTTCCTACTTCAACTCACTTCGACCATGGCTCAACATCTTAACATCACTTTGGATCACTTTGGATCACTTCAACTTTATCACATGACATTATCCATTCACTCACATACTTCAACCACTTCCACCATCATGAGCATCACTCTTGTTCAATCAGTATTACTACTCAACAATATTCACACCTTATTTGGTTATAAAAACTTCACTCAACCTTGATCCAACATGACCATCCATCGATGATCATCAACAACCTTCAACCACCTTGAGCTATGGTCACTGTTCCAACATTCTCTTTCGCCTTTGAGCATGGTAACTATATTCCAATTCCTTCCTTCTTTTCAGTCTGCTAAGCTTTCCAGCCTGCTGCCCTCGGATCGCTTCAACCTCTTCAGCTCTCCATCATTCAAGCCCTACACACTAGGCCACTATCGAGCTTCTTCAGCATCCTCAAGCCCCCTTCGGGCCAGATTCCATACAACACGGCAGCATTGCATATTCACGGCAACTCGGGTCGCACAACATCAAGGGAATTAGGTACAGGGTGCAAAATAGATTGCAGGTGGCCCTACAAGCAGTGGATGGAGGATTGGCATACCGGTGCGAAGTGCAGGATACATGGTGAAGACAGTAAGAGTTGGAACATACGGATCTCGCTGGGATCTCGCTTTGGGCCTACAAGGCTGCTTCGGCAGACCCCATGGCTGGTGGTTGATGATCTGGAGGACATTCATTCTCACATCAAGGTGCTGGAGGACAGACAGTCTATGGTACTTCGATACTAAGCTGGGCCTACCTTGGAGATGTTTATTCGCCAGTTTGAGTTCGCTCGCCCAGATCATCACCCCTGCATACCTCGATGGCGGCCCTTATGGGTTTGGATCAACTTCGAGAACTGCAGCATGCGAAAGGTTGTGAGAGACTTGAGGTGAGAGTGCTTGCAGTTGGTGATCGATGTTTGGATTGGGGTTGAGAGCTTTGGACATTGTGCTGATGGCTGGTGGACTTGGGCGTTATCTGGTTTGGTTGGATCTTGGTTGGACTTGGTTTAGACTTTCTTCTTCTTCATGGTATCGCCTCAGCATCAATGCATCCATTTGCCTCACTTGAATTCTTCCTTTGCTTGCTTGACTTGACTTCTCTCTTGACTCGATTCCCTCCCTCACTTGCCTTGCTTATTGCTCGAGTTACTTCTCTACTTGACTTGGTGCTTCATGAACATCTTGCTTCGCTTAATCTGACCTTGCTCATGTCCTGCCTTAACTCACTCCAATTCTCTACTTCTACTTATTCTATATGCCCTTGCTATGCACTTCTACTTCACAACCTATGCCAAATGCAACAACTTAACATCTTAACGAAGTCTTTAGTTTGAACAGCATTTTGGCTACATACAACGCTTGCGCTCTTAAACATGCCTCCTCCTAGCCCACCTACTTAGATACTCTCTTCCTTCAAGCCTCCAAGTATCCTCCTCGACATAGCTCCCATTATACCCTCTTCCCTTCGCCTGGATCACGAGATCAAGCCCATGCGCACTCTCATTGTATTGCGGCCATCGTGGCAGCGCCTCTCCATTTGGATCCCCACTAACAACGAAGTTGATCCACTGCGCGCTCATCTGATTGCTCAGCACCTTGTACTCCTCCCACGGCCCATAGAAGCTAGGGTTAGCGAAGACAAAAGCTACTTCTGTAAAGTGCGCAACGCCTTTGTATGCGCGTGCGTTGCCGCCTTCGTCGGCGGTGTTGTTGTTCTGCCAGGGGAGCGTGTTGAAGCGGTAGATGTATGTGGGAGAGTACATGGAGTAAGCCCGGGCGTCCATGAGGCGGGGCGCATGGTAGAATGCATCGCCTAAGATGGCGGCTATGCGTTTGTACTGGAGGCCTTGCTCTACGAAGAGCTGTACCCCAGTGTTGAGGGGGATGCCAAGGGTAGGATCATCGGGGTAGAGCCTCATGATACGCTCAATGACAGCATCGGGAAAGTCGAAGCCTGTGCTGTTGGTAAGGTAGGCACGAAGGTCATTGTCGTTGTTGATAACGCCGCCGGCAGGCGCATTGTCGGTACCTTCATCGGAGTTGGTGCCGTAGAGATGAGGAATGTGAGCAAAGCGGCCTGAGGCGAGCAGTTCAGTCGGATAGGCAGGAATGATGTCTCCGTCGACGGTAGGGTACCAGCCTGGACCCTGACTGGGAGCCGCGAGTAAGGGGAACATAATCTCGTACGGCACTGTACGCAGGCACTCAAGTGTATCAACTTCATCCGAGCAGTTGGCCTTGTTAACTATGTTGTCATAGATGGGCTGATACCAATCTGTAGAATTATACCATGCTGTTGCGGCAGATCCCGATTCCTGGATGCTGCGATGGAATAGGCCATCTGTACGCCCACCATAGGATATAAGTAGCTGGCCCACTGCGAAGCTCCCAGCAGACTCGCCCCAGATGGTCACGGTGTCTTTGTCGCCGCCGAAGGCTTCAATGTTCTCTGAGATCCAGGCGAGTCCTTTCCGCATGTCACGAAGTGCAAGGTTTGTCTGACCGGTGCCCTGGATCTCTCGCGAGTACAACATACCCCACCCACCCTTGCGGTAATTGATACTGGCTGCAATAATGGGTTGACCGAGATCCATACTTCTTGCCACAATATACGTCAGATTGTAGTTCGGGAGCGCGCTCGTGCCCACTTGATAACTACCTCCGTGGATCCAAAGCGCCACTGGCAGTTTTGCGTAGTCGCCGGATGATAGACCAGCTGGGCGAACAATGTTGATGCTCAGACAGTCTTCGCTCATACTGAAGCTAGCATCTGATGGGTCCGGACAAGTATCTCCGTAGGATTTGGCAGGGCGCGTGCCGTTCCATGTCGAGTTCAGTGATTGAGGTATGCGAAAGCGGTTCTGACCTCCGGTATCCTGCGCATACGGGATACCCAAGAACAAGTCTTGATTGAATGAGGGAAGATGTAAGCCTTCGTATGTTCCATTCAACACCGTGACCGTAGGTCCAGCAGCGCTCGCTATCGTTGCCAGTAAGCACGTAGCCAACGCCCCTACTATCCAAACTCTTGCAATAACTGCCATGATGCCGGCTGGTATATGGCGGGAGGAATATAAGGGACTCAAATGCGAAGAAGCTGCACTTGTATTCCACAGCTAGCTGCAGCCTAGAAGCTAGCGGTGATAGGACATATCTTAAGAAGACCCGAAGGGACCCTGCGACGTGACGTGATTGCCCTCCCACTCTTGTGGTGGACATGCATATCCAGCGCGATCGGCAGAGGTTGCTCGGCTGTCCTCGCCAATCAGGAAGGTCGTTATGGACCTATATACCCGCGAAGATGCCGACATATACGAGCTGCAAGTTCTCGTCACCAGCATACGACGTCACGCAATACTGGAGCTGATGATTGCAGAAACGACAGCCCGATACCTGGCTAACGGTTGTTTAGAACAGCTTCGAAAGGAAACTTCTTCTCTTCTTGGCTGGGTCTTTCTCTGGTAACCCTGTTGCTGTGTTTGATGCGGAAAGTAATGCATTTCCTGGTAGCTCCACTGGCAAGTCTACAACACCATAGTACGGCGCCTTATCCCCGAATATAACATTCGGCACCGCGTTCTGCTGTACAGGGCTCGTGTATATAGGCAGAGGCGTGTTCGGCGCTGATTGCGGCGACACCGGGATAGCCATCGGTAAACGCGAAGCACTGATGATATGCGTCGACTGTGGTTGAAGATAGGTTTGCGCTGGAGGTTGTTGCGCGTGTGCAAATGGCTGTGCTTGCAGCTGGTGTGTACGTGGTGGGATGGCATGTTGCATTCGTGAGCGCTCAGCGGCCCAGAGGTCGAATACTTCGGTCATGAGTCGCGTCCATTCTGAAGGGGCTCCCTGAAAGTTGTATTTGACGGTACGGTCCTGGAATGCGATGAAGTAGTGTTGCTTGTTGTACGGCGAGATGGCCACATACTGGCATGCAATCAGCGCTGCACTCGTGCGATCATTGGAGCATGTCCTTTGTACTTACATTCACAGTACCTGGCGCAGTTTCGGTCAAGATCTTGTTCAGTCCGCTGTAATAACCTTTGAAGTTCCACGCCAGGTCTCCGTTAGAGAACAAGACGAACCAAGCATCTTTCATTCCAATGCCAACACAGGTCGGGGTGACTAGTGACTTCTTTACTCTATTCTCGAGATCCGAAGGTATGCCGGCCCATATCGAGCCATGTCCAGGTGCGCATGCAAAGTAGCTGAAATTCTGGCCGAAGGTCACAAAGCATGAGCGGGCCGCATTCGGGAACGACTTGATCCATCGCGCGAGATCGGGATAATTGTCGTCGAAGTACGTCTGCGAATGGACTGGGATTGATTAGTTTCATATCGGATGAGAAGAGTCTGGCCCGCGCCGTCATCTGCTATGTGTTTCATGGCCGCGCAGTTCAGGCTGGGGGTAGGCACTCACAGAGCTTGTCTTCCCCATCTAAAGTCTTGCACCCTACATACCAAATCGGCTCTGGGGAGTTACTTACTTGAGGCGCAAGGGCAAGACAATAAGGGCTTGCGACTCTCCAAGCCGGGCTCATAGAGCTATTGAACAACTGACGAAGTGTATGCGGTATCTCGTGGCTGCACTTTGTTAGTCATGCCTACCCTCTACGATGCGCGACTTACAATTTCCATGTCTGTGGGCAGTCGAAAAAGAAGCTATTTCGCGGACCAAACACAAAAGATATGTCCGGCATTCTGTTAGCTACATGCACTGTAAGATCGTACAAGCGAGGCAGAGAAAGGAAGCAGTGCTCATGCGCACGTCGTGAGGCGTCCGCCCAAGGACGTGGCGTTTGGGGGCCGGCAACCAGCAACACCAATTGACGTGCGGTTCGAAGCTGACAGCACATACGTACGTATCTCACCCATGCAACGACCTCGAACATATGTACATAAATGCACAAGATTCCTACCTGTACACCTAAGAGAACAATAATACTTAATCGATAGCCGGATCAACACCACCTTTCTCTGCTACTTCAATAAACCACATATTCTGTGTAATCCAGAGCGGCACAGATCTTGGCCTAAGCGCCAGTTCTTTATACTCCTCTAAGTGTGGCAACGGTGCTACAAATACAAAGCGAAAGTTGATCATACGAGCACAACACTTAAGCCCGACAGCAAGCTCGTTCCAGAACTCGGCGAGATTGAATGGGTGCGTATTGAACCCGCCATCAATAAGAAGACGGATAACCGCTGTTGAGTCTCGCTGTAGCTGCCTCATCGTGCGCCGAAAGAGAGCCTGAAACTCGTGGCCATTGGTGATGGAACTGCTTTGCGGAAGTTTGGTGCAGAACGATTTTCCTATAGCAATATTCCGATCCGTATCACCACTGTATAGCCAAGGTAGAACGACATTGGCTCACTATCCTACTTTTTCAACATCCGCTGTAAGACCCTGACCAATGATTTTGAGCTGATGTCTGATGTAGCAGAGGGCGCTATCGTAACGGGTTTGGCTAGTTCGTATGGTCAACGTTGGGGGACCCGTTCCTTCAATTCGTCGAGTAGCGTGAGGGCATGGTGCCGCACTCGATCTGCGCTTCGCAAGAGAAGGTGTCAAGACCGCCTGCTCAGGCGATTTGGCCTTTCATTTCCTAGGACTCGTCCATATGCCGGTGAAATCAGTGCTGATGTTGTCAAAGTAAGGAAAGGGCATCCTGAGAGACAGCTCTTGTCGTGCACTAAAATCTTGAAGACCAAATCAGATCAATGTCCGGATAACACAGGAAGAGAATGACAATGGAGTCTCGACGACAGAGCTCGCTCGTGTCGTCATTGATGGGGGAGGTGAAGCACGCGAGGCTACCATCGTTGAAGTAAAAGAAAGCGTTCCACACCACGACTTTTCCACATAAACAGCAGCGCCTCATGAAAACTCCCAGATAGCAGATTCGATAACCACATGGAAGATGATCAGTGCCGCAGAGTCAACGAGCTGTCGGAAGCGTCTTTTTAGCGATATCATTGGCCTACTACGTCCTGCACGATAGGTGCTTTCTTCTCTCGTACAATGGGTATTTCTTCCTCGTATATTTCCTTCACCTGCGCACCGGGAAATTCCATTCTCAGCTTTTCTCCTAGAAAGCGAATGCCCCAGTCCTCGGCCTCTCGATGACCTACGCAGACTACAGACATGCCCGAAGCTTTCGCGGCTTCAAGACCGCTAACTCTTGGCTGACCAGTCAAGTATAGTATATGCCTGCCGTCTTCGCCTTCTGCTGTCCAGCCACGCTCCTGAGACATTGCCAACACGTGATGCACTTGGTCCTCGTTGAAAGCGTTCATGATCGCGACAATGCTTATCTCGTTTGATGAACCTTCGTGCGCGAGTTCGGAGACTCCGAATTCGTCTTGTATACGGTTGAGAAGCGCATCTAGAGGTGTAGGGACCTGTCCGACAATCCCAATCCTCCTTTGCGGGTCTCCTTTGTAGCCCTGGACGCAGAGACAATCCGCTGTCTTCATGCCCAAGCGTTCTGCCAGCGCCGTGTTCCAGCCCACAGTGAGCACCTCATCGAAAGATGTATGGCTCGAAAGTACAAGTGTACCCTTACGCACACTACGCCTATCGAGGTTGAAGGGTCGATGCAGAAAGCATAGTGTTCGCGGCGGACGGGGATATATTTTCGGGAAGGGCACCGTTGCGCCAATGGTGTTCCCATCTAGTGGGTAGCCGATCAACGAGTAGACGCCTGGTGTAGGAGTAACGCTCAGTACGATTTGCTCGACCACAGCAGTTTCAGCGTCGTATCGAGGGTGTCGCGGTACGTGGTAGAGTCGCGGGACATCGTTCTCCTTCAGTGGTAGGCATGTTTCGACAAATCGCGTCGCCGCCGCATGCGTGGGCTTCTTAGGTCTCGACATAGTAAGAGATTGGGTCAGTAGTCTGTTCATTAGCATTGATCAGGAAAGTCTTCCAAAGCTTTGCGACTTTTGGCATCAAGTACGTCATCATCGCTTCTAATCCGTGAAGCGGTGGGCGTCCAGGCTCCGTATTGATCTCCGTCGCATCGATCACTGGAAAAGGTACAGTCAAGAATGGAAACTGGACTTTGGAGGCTGTGTTTGTCGCGCGATAGGCTGATGAGCAGTCCAAGATGGCATCGTGGCACATCCAACTCTGGACGCGCTCTGATCGGACAGAAATGAACTAATCTCATTGTGGTCTAGTCTCAAGGTGTCATGTATCTCATCCCCATTCGCATACGCTGACTTCCCAATGGTCGTGCGATTTAGAAAGGACTTCCATCTCTCGATCTTGCAACTAGACGAATGCGTATGTGTCAAGACTTCGTCTAGCTGTGACTTTCGATGCCTGTAGTCAATGTTCTGACTAAGTGCACTATTTCCCTCGGCTTCTCTATCTTTCGCTCAAGTTTGCTCCGAACATCGAGTCATACTTCATCTACCATTCGAATTCCTCATCTTAGATTTCAGCCGTACAGCTTTGTCGCTATGGGCGTTACCGCAACCACCACCCCCGCCATCGTGGGCGCTTTACGATGCCAGAAAGATTCTTATCTCCAGACGCTCGAGACTGAAGTAATATCATGCGAAGAATTTGTGCCACCAAAGTCCTCACAGGCGAATAGCAAGTCAAAGACCAAAAAGTCTACAGATCCGACGAAAGGCCTTGAGAACGGAGATGCATCAGGAAGCAAGACATGGCTTGTCGAGCTCGCGGACTCGGTACTATTCCCGGAAGGTGGCGGCCAGCATACAGACTACGGTGTGCTCACCACACTGAAAGACGAGAGCAAAGAGGAGATTCCTATAAGAAGTATACAACGCCACGGTCTCCGCTGCATTCACTTCTCTCCCACGCCCCTTGCGCCTGGAACACCAGTCCGTCAAACTGTTGATTTCACCCGCCGTTGGGACCTTATGCAACAGCATACTGGTCAGCATCTCCTCTCTGCCATCATGGACTCTATGGATCTGCCTACTCTCGGCTGGAGCATGGGTCAACCCGGAGAGATGAACTACGTAGAACTGCCACGGAAGCCATCGGAGGAGGAACTTCAAACCATCCAAAAGAACTGCAACGCTAAGATCAGGGAGAGCATGCCGATCACCGTGGAGACACCAGAAGGCAAAGGAAGCGACAGCCTACCAGAAGACTACGATAGAGAGAAAGGAGTTGTACGCTTCATCAAGATTGGCGACATGGACTACAACGCTTGTTGCGGGACGCATCTGCAGAATTCATCTCATATTAATGTCATACTACTACACCATATGCAATCCGTACGAGGCACCAACTGCCGGCTTTTTTTCACGGCCGGAGATCGTGCCATCAAGATGGCTACGGAGTCAATCAACGGTCTTCGCTCGATCGCTGTATCACTGTCATCCGGTTCTACGCCAGCGGACGTGGCGGCTGGTGTGCAAAGAATGAGCGACCAGGTCTCAGAAGGACGGAAGAAAGTCAATAAGTTACTAGCTGAGATCGCAGTGTTTGAAGGCGACCGTGTCAAGAATCGTCTGCAAAGCCACACCACTGCATTCATGCATCGCGCAACGGATGGTCTCGATTTCATCAATCTAGTCCTCTTTGAGATCAAAGACGTTGTCAAGGAGCGAGATGCCGTTGTTGTGCTTTGTTCGGGTGAAATCAAGAGCTCTGGATCTATTGTTGTGTTCGGTAAAGCAGAGTTAGTGGAACAGATGGCTACGAAGATCAAGGAGGTTGTGAGCACAGCGAAAGGAGGTGGCAAGGGTGAGAAGTGGCAGGGCAAGGTCACCGAGTGGCGAAAAGGTGAAGTTGAAGCGTTGAAAGAAGCTGTTGATATGCAGTAGAAGCCGCCAAAATATAGATAGAAGAGAACTATATACAAAAAAGATACGTTGAACAAGGGAGAATGGGGTATAGAACGACTGTCCAAGATGCACACCCCTCCAAAGCAGTATAAAGAAGAAGAAAGAGGTATATATATCGAAAAAATGAGGTAATTGTAGAGTACGAGGGAAAGGATGAAGGGCAAGAGTGGAAGAGGGGTTCACAAGTGTCTAGACACTGTACACTTTAACGGAGTTAACAAGCCAGTACGTCTAATCACAGTCAGCACATCCTTACGATCAGTAATGCAGAAGGAAAACTTACATCCGAGAAGCTCTGTGGCTGATTTGCCACATAAGCGTTACAACTCGGGTTGATCTGCGAGCAAGAGTTCGAGCCCCAAACACCGCCCGCCCAATCTCCGCAGAACGTGATATCAAACACAATGTTCAGGTCTCTGAACCTGGCATTGTAATCACAACCTGCACCAAAGTTCGCAATCGGAGTACCCCAAGTCGCTGGATCAGGGTTACCGCTTCGAATGTTTGCTGGTACATTGCGAGTAGCAAAGTACCATACTTTGATACCAGAACCCGTCCATAGTGTGGCATATACCCCACCGCCGTTGGCATTGAAAGGTGTACCGTATGTGACGGGGTTGTTGGCTGAGATACCGCATCCGTTGAAACCACCACCAGCACCGCAATCACCTGCTAAACGACTTCCAGTTTCTCCGCCGGGACCGATAGAGGGGTTGCATCCGGGGGATGTGTGAAGGGTGACTTGGTTCGAAGGGCTCATGTGTACGCCTTCGTAGATATCGATCTCGCCTTGATTTGGCCAGTTGGGACCGACCATCCAACTGTATGTCGTTAGTGTGGTATGGTAGGAGAGAGGCACGAATTACTTACAAGGCAGGCCACGAGCCGCATGCGCTACCAGGAACGTGTGCAAAGTCTGCGATAACAAGCGCGCGGTTGTAGGCTGTCTTGCTCTGCACACGTACACTCTTTCGGCCAGGACCGTTGGGGTTCAGGTGAGATGTTGAGTCTACACCCATGTAGACCTGACCATTTTGTGTCTTTAACAAGCCCAGCTGTTGAGCTTCTTGCCCATTGACGTAGTCCACGAAGCCATCTACGATCCTTGTCAGACTCCAACGCTGGAATGAATGCTAATGAACATACGTGTAGGATCGGCAATGTCCTGGACATCAAACTTGCTCACCCAGTTACTCGAGTCGTACGTATCGATCAAATTGTAGGCAGCTGATGCGTGCACATCGTTTGAAGAAGAGTGAACAAAAGAGGTTCCATTAGGCCACGAACCTGGTCCTGCTGGTAGTGCGGTGGCACAGCGCCAAAGGAACGGAACAGAAACGAAGAGTGACTTGAGAGACATGGTGTCGTATGTACAAAGGATCAAGATGTGTTGTCGTACAGATATCAAAGCCGGGATTCTTCGATATACTTATAGCCATGTGCATCTTCGTCGCGATGAAGATGCACATGCTCCTGTACCCCCTGGCTAAGGACGGAAAATGCATCTGGGTCGGCTGCACTTGGCAGAGGGAAGTCCAGTTGGAGAAATTACATGGCCTACTCGTTCGCTGTATACACATACGATTGGGCGCGACAGTCAGATTAGGAATAAAAGCCTCGCAATGTTGCAGCACTTGTGAGGACATCGGCGCAAGGTTCAAACGGTTCCGGGTAATTCGCCTAGTCGAGCAGTTCGAAATTGCCCATAGCAAAACGTGGACGTGCCGCATGATGAAGGTCTAGACACTTGTAGCCTCGTGGTAGAAGTATCAGCGACTAGACTCGATGGATGTTTGGCGGTTTCAGTAGTTTTGCTAATGAACTGCTTCTAGGGCTCGTGAGTGGTCGAGAGGCATCGTCATTTCATCAAAGGGGTCTTGTTCCCGCGGACCGCTTCGCCACACCAACAGCGGAGCCGAGGAAAAGACAAAGAGTTTTGAAGAATAATGAAGAGGTGAGATCGTGGAAAGGAGTTGTATGTATCCAAGCTCACCATTTTGCTTCCTTCAGGCGTTGGTCCAACGTACGTTCCCTTGGTCGGTTCGGGAATAGCGCTTTCACCACCTGGGCAGCGACTGCCTATTTTGCCTGACACGTCTTACTCTCCTGCCTGAACTAAAATCATATTATAGAGCCCCGGGACCGGAATGCGTCGATTTACGGAAGGTAACAATGAGATTTAGATGAAATTTTGGTAAGCTGTGATACCGACCCCGCAGTGTTTTCCCCCATGGTTGGGGCATCTGATGATGTTCGAGGTCACACCGGGCAGGTCCCACGTCACACACGGACTTTTCTAAAGACGCATTCATCGGTTTATGAGCCTCGACCCCGGATTAACATCGCATGCGGGGAGCTCGCGTGGTTTTAGGTAGCACTGCTTAGGTTGACTAGGGACGCGAAGTCCATAACTTCGTGGCCTCCTGCTACAAATCCTTCACCGCTCAAACTGCACGATGAACACTCGCTAAAGAGTCAACACCGTTAAGATTTGTTGGAAAGACAAGTCAAGTCCATCTTTCTAGAGAGAGGGAACGATGCGCTGGTTGCGGCCACGAGTGTGAAGGGCAGCACCTTACATATGACCTTGCTTCAATACTGCATCCGGAACGTGGAAATAAGGTTTAACGAGAAATTTTTGAGCTAAAACTGAAGGATTATATCTCTATCATTCTCCACGACCCAAATTCATTAAGCTCATATCTATCAGTGTGCATACCTGGTACTACGTTGGAAGCGGCACGTCCTTACGCACGGCTTGATAGAACAAAGAGAGGTGTTGAACCAAACGCTTATAGACTCTTGGCTGTACTAAGATCCATATCCAGCAGTGTGCCTACTAAGAGCATAGACTTCAGTCGTCCCGCTCGTACTAGCCAACTATGCCTGTCACTCACGGTTCAGAGGTATCAGCATTTTTCCTTGCAGATTTGGGCAGTCATTGCGTATGCTATAGCTACATCTATGGTGTCTGCGGCAATATAGAAACATGACATCGATGACGATAAAGATCTTTACGGTACTGGGTGTCATGAGTGAATTTCCATTGACTCGCGCGTCCGGTTTTAAAGATGGACAAAGTGAGTTTGTCTTGCTAAATCATTCGTATATGCAAAGTCATCCAGAGCCAGCTATAGGACGTTACCGCACCCAGCTCTGAACATACGCTCTCAATATTTCTCCTTCTCTTAACCATGGGCCTAAGGTTCTCTTACTCAAGATTAGACGACATGCTAGCATGGCGATTCAAGCAGACAATTGTGGGTGACTAGTCAGAGGGAGCTATCGGGCGTGAAAGCTCTGTTCAGGAGATGGTTGACATACGATTGATGAATCTCTCACCGGCATCCACTCACTCTGTATCCGAGCGTCTCATAGCAATATGTCATGTCGGAAATGATTCGACTGCTATACCAAATCGAACCTATCATCAAGATAGGAACTCAACGTTGTAACATGTCGAGTTGCGAGTCACTGTCGATACAAAGAAAACATACATCCAAGGTAACGTGCAATAGGTAGTTGGGAAAGTCAAGACTTCTGGTATCGCTGTAAATCTCGGGTGTACTCATTTCGAGCGCCTATTTGGGATACACATTAGTACGGGCCATTCACGACAGTCACTGCCAGTTTCATTCGCACCTGTCTTGACCTGGATGTGACCCGCTCGTCTGCAGTTGCTGCTGTGAATACTCATCAAATTAGTCACTGTAGCCTATTGTAATACTTTCGCAGGCGTAAGAGCGCTGTAGTAGGCTCATGTGTTCACCACAGCGGAGGACTTTCACGGTCGACTCTGGTCGTACAATGACTTTCTTTGGACTATATGAACCAATTCCGACCAGACTTGGTCTTCGACACAGCAACAGAATGCAACTGAGAAGCAACAGAACGAGAGCTGCAATGGAGAATTCGAACAACATCAACTTACGCAGCTCGCGCACGTCTTCCAATATGCCCTCTCCTTCAATGCGTATGCGAAAGCTCGCCCTTGTTTTCGGAAGCATATCTGCAGGCTGGGCTTGGTGGCTTCAGAGTTTGAAGACCAATGCGATTACTACTCCATACCCAAACTGGTGGTATCTCTATAACATCTTCTCGCTAGGTGGCTGGTCTGCTTTTATAATCTACTACACCATGATCAACTCCAACCGAGAGAAAACTCCAGGTCCTAAGCCCCATGAGCTGTGGAATTTTCTTCACATCGTTCCAATGCTACTCCTCAACGCTACTATCACCAAGAGCCTGTCTGTTAAGGACAAAGGACTACTTTGGTTTGCGGCCTTGATGGTATACCGATACTACCGCACTATTCTCACTGTGTACTTCTACTTTCGATACGAGATAGCCTTGGAGCCTTCTCCTCAGGATCCGGAGTCCAAACCATCAGACTGCACCGTAATCGTACCAACAGTCGGCCCTGCGATGAACTCAGTTTTCGAGGACATGGTTGCAGCAATTCTTTGGAACAAACCAAAGCAGCTCCTGTTCTCTGCGAACAAGCCCGAATCGCAAGCAGATATCGAGACAGAGGTTAGGAAGATAGTTGCAGCCTTCAGAAACGGCGACACCACTTACCAGAAAGAACATAAACTAGGGCCGCCGGGGTGGCATCTAGAGACGGTCACGAAGATTGGATATACATTCATAAATGACTCCAACAAGCGCAAGCAGACCATGAAGGCTATAAAACTAGTGGAAACGAAGATCACGATCATGGTCGACGACACTGCCATCTGGCATCCAAAGTTCTTGAACGCAACTCTTCCAGCTTTCATCGACAAAGACGTCGGCCTCGTTGGTACGCGAAAAGTGGTGAAGTATATTCGCCCTAACCGTGACGCTAATGTGAGCCTCATGCAGCACTACAGTGCATGGTATTGGGCCGGTCTCTGGAACACAATTGGCGCGCTGTATCTTCAGCGTCATAACTACGAGATTCGAACATCCAACGCCGCTGATGGTGGTGTATTTACGGTATCTGGTCGAACCCTTCTCATCCTGACTGGAATAGTACAGGATGATCACTTTGAAGACAAATTCTTGAACGAGTACGTCCTCAAGTGCATCTTTACCTGGCTGACAAGACTCGTCAAGTGGCACGTCCCCTTCGCAGACCAACTACTCGCTTACTTTAAGGGAAATGGCCTATCGGAAAATGGATTCGGACCTCTTCTTGCGGATGATGACAATTTCATCACACGATGGGTCATTGACCATGGAAAGAGCATCAAAATCCAATCCTCACCCGAAACAACCATAACTACGGTGTTAGGAAATGTGGAGAATTTCAAATTCTTAGACCAATGCAAGCGCTGGAGTCGCACGACCTTCCGGCAAAATCCGATCGCTCTCTTCAGCGATCGCACAATCTGGTGGAAGTGGCCCATCTCGGTGTGGACAGTGTACTTCCCCTGGATGTACAACTTCGCAGCGGTTTGGGATTCCTTGGCAATCATCACTTTTCGGCGATCAGGGCTGTACCTTGACTCCCCCAATGGAAACATGCGGCTCTTTTTCCTGGTCTCGTTTATATGGCTGACCAAGCTTATCAAGACCTTTCCATGGTTCTTAGAGCATCCTTACGACTTCTTGCTGTACTTCTGCCCTATCCCCACCTATCCCTTGTTTGGATACTTCCATTCGTATGTCAAGGCTAGAACAATGGTTACTTGTTGGAATAACGAGTGGTCTGGCAGGAACTTGGAGAAGGTAGAGGCTGTTGCAGGAATCGTGTCAGAACGCAAGAAGGCTGATGATGTTGCGGAGCTTTAATAGGACTAAAGAAGAGTAGTCCGGAAGGGATGGCCGCCTTCTTTCGGAGAGATTGACTGTGTTGGTCATTTTGTCACGTCGACGGCAACTAGTGCAAGTACATGCCGCACACCTCGCTTCTCATCGGTTGGCGTCCGGTTGGAGATGAAAGCGTGCTTGGTCGGTCGGTAGGAGGCTTTCCCAGTGCTTTCATTTGGCGTTCTTGTTGTTTTCGATACCCAGGGCTTCTCACAGATAGTAGACGAGGATAGATTTCTCCATTTGGGTGTATAGACAAAACCTAGATAGAACTCTGTGAATTGGGTTATGGATTGGGTCATAAAGAAGTCGCTTATGTTTCTACTCGTAATGCAGATGACATGCTCTGTACCAAGTGAGCTTGACGTATGCCCTGGGGTGACCTTTGCGTTCAGGCTTCGGGTAATCTGCTGCTGAAGATCACAGCTCCCTGGTGAGAAGCGACAGTCTTGATAAGATCGGAACGATGGAGACCGGAAGGATGCATCAGTGCGCATCTGATTTGACGTGATATGCGGTCTGTTGTAGACACGCCTTGCTACCACTTGTTGGTCTGTTCAAAGGTGGGGATTTCAAGCGGCCACGGGTCACTCAAATACGTCATACACATCGCTTGTGGGCAAAGCATATCTCACAACACCAAAAGGATGTATCCACCATTAACTCGACTGCAAAACGAGCGACATCGTTAGACAAGCTTCCATAGCCTCAGTACAAGCTTGGAATGGCGTTCGAGCGCTAGGCGCAATTGCTTCATTCGTACCTTCCTCCACCAGAGCTGAAGCCGGACCCGACGTGTTGGGCTCGCTCCACATCAACTCTACTTTGACTACATCTCTTCTATCCCTCTTCTATACCCCATATATTCTACACATCTAACTCATAGCAACAGCACACCCATCATCATTCTTGGGTCCTGGCAGGGAAGCGACAGGCGACAACGCATTCTTTCATTTCGCCACGTTGTCGGTCCAAAGTCAGGCGCAGACAGCGACCGCTCTCAAAATAGTATCGTACTGGACGAGGGTCGATAGAGTGGTCGGCGAACAGTAACTCGCACACCACATACTGCATCAACCAAGGAGTATGATATTGGTCGATCCACAGGCACCCCGGACCCTCGCCGCCAAGCATTGTCACTCACCAGCTTAATGGGATCGCGCGCGCATACGGGGAAGAGTATCGCTCACCTTGATGCTGTCCTGCAGGACTGGGGGTGGCGACAATGGGGGCCAGAACAAGCGGAATGTGTTAGCCTACGAAAGGAAAGTTGGCGCCAATCAAGTCCTCCGCTTTCGGGTCCCCAAAGAGCGTTTCGTGTTGTTGAAGGGTGAACTAACTTTGTTATCTCGTGGTCCCGCAAGCCCCTTCGCAGCGCAGAATTGCTTTTGCCTTTGTGCCAGGTGGTCTGATTACAGGACCTCCTCGGCCTTGGCCTCGATCCCCTCTCAACCCCACCGCGACGGTGAAACTGGCCAGCCTAGGGTACTATGTGCAGCATGAAGCAGCGCTACTTCAGCCAACCTGCAGATATGGGGCGGCGCCTGGCAAGACCTTCTGGTACCGTAACCGTGCTCGCGATATAGCAAACGTACCTTAGTAGTCAAGGCTGCTGTCACGTCTTTTGGACGCCGTCGCGCGAAGCGACGACAGGCTGCGGTCTAATAACGGACTGCATCATGGGCGCCATGAACGGTAGAAGGATATTTGGTCGTCTCTTTCTCTATCGACTTTTCCTGGAGACGCAACATTTGTCCGTTCCCTGCCAAGAGGATGCTCAAGGAGGGATATAGATCCAATGCCTGCCTTGATACTCAGAGACCTGCGGGTTGGGCATCCGGCCATGCGCATTTTGCAACAGTGCTGCGAGGATCATGAGGCTCTGCTCGTGAAAAGCAGTCCATCAGCCGAAGCCACTGTCTAGACACCCGCATGTGCGACGAAAAAGCATGCGCGGGCACCGGCAGAAGAACTCCTCGTACGTTCACTCCGCATCCATGCTCGCTTTCGGGCCGCCCTGTATCTCACGTCCAACACAGCATGGTATGGTATGGTATATAGTGCGCGGGAAGGATGATCAACCATCTGGCCGGTGTTTTCGACCCCCCCCAATTGGGTTTGTGGCTTGCTTGCGGGGTTGCTCGTGCATAGGCGAGGCCGACGCCAGCGAATTACCTCTCCGCCATCTCACGGTGAGCTCGGTCAACGGTGGTCAATAGTGAACATGGCGCTTTAGGCCTGTAACGGGCCATGCCGCTCATTATTCGCAGTCTTCTCCTCGGAATTGTGCACCCAGAATGCGAGGTGTGTGCGATCATAACGAGCCCAAATTTGGCCCCCGAGCTCGCACAACACTATCAATCAAGCATGAGCATAGCCCACCAAAGACTATCAGTCCTTTCATCGTTCACATGGCATGGAACCCTACGATTTTGACATCTAAACTAGGGTTCCGAACTATTGGTACTCACATAGCAGGCAACCTGTGCTGATCACCCGTCAAAGTGGCTTCGGGCGTCCCCAGTATCTGCCCATGTCCTGCTGCTGCTGCACATCTGTACGGCCTTCTCAAATGAGGGTGTACCAACGAGTGGATCTAGTACCGCGCTCTGTTGTAAGCGGAATGGCTTCAAAATTGGCTTAATCACTAACCAATACAAGCGAAGAAAGTAATGCGATGGGCGAGGTGGCCTAGATCTTGTCGCACGGTTAGTCAGAGTTGGATGAGAACTTTGTGCCATCACTGTCCTGGCTCGTCGCCCCAAAAGACGTCTTGAACCGATTTAGAGTCTTTTCAAGGCACTGTATTGCGTGGGGGTGACGGAATGTTTTGATGCTTGTGGTAGCGGTGGAAAGCCTCTCTGCACTTGTCTTCAGAATTGAACGATTTATCAATATTGCGGAGGTCGCCAAAGTCCCTGCAAACATGTTCGCATGCCAATAGGAGTAGCCAGTGCGAACACCATCAACCGAAAATGAAACACGTCCTGCATACAGGCGAACACGATCGTGACCTGGTCAATTATTGTTCGGATGGGAGTGTGCAAGACAAAACGAAATGGTTGTGGTCGACCAGCATCTTCGCGAAACAGGCCCTTTGCGCTATAGTCCATCTGATCGGCCCCTTCGTTCGCTGTCTCCCGCATGCCCATGTCCAGGACGGGCAAGGTGGATGCTGGTCGCAGAGTGTTCTAGGCCATCGCAACAATGTGTGGCGGTGCGACCTCTCATCTTTCTGGGTGGTCCAAGCACGTTTCTCAGAGGCTGCGGCATGTTCCCTTGATCACTCTGGAGTGTCGTACATATACACCTAGCGCTAATAATATGGCTAACCTACAGACCTGTGGGGGTGCGCAGTCACAGTACTGAGACATGTTGTCTGACTCCTGCAGTAGCTTCGTTGTGGATAGACGTATAACCAAATCAATTGCGTACACAAGATTCGATCATCCCACAACGCTCGAATCTTACCCAGTCGCAAGTCCAAAGTAGCTTTTGGCCTCGCATATCCCAACCATAGTCGCTGGCTCTATCGGCGTGAATCAGCCATAGGCTACGCTGGAGAATTGCGGTCTGTCAGATGACACGGCTCCACTACCGCGTCAAGTGTGTGATTCTCAAGGACCGCGTAGTACTTTGGCAAGAGCAGCCTTTGCAACTAAAGTAGCCTCGATCAGGCCCAAGTAGTGTGACTTCCATGGCTGGCGCACCCCGCACATGCTATAGCTAGCTCTCCTGCGCCGTTATGAGCGGCCTCTGATGTACATCGGGCGGGGAGATTAGTGTTGCGCCCATGGCGACATAATATAATGAAGCTTGGGGTGCTGCTGATGGCGTGAGACTGGTTCCAAGCCAATGTTAGGCAGCTGTGTTACATTTCATGGCTGAGGTGCATCAGGGTGTAGCAACGCACTCATTAATCATGTGCCAGTTGCACTGCGGCCGGTATACTTGGCCAAGAGTAGGCGGTATGGCTGATAGGATGACTGGTCCCAGCAAGAGTGCGGTTCACGCCTTCGCCAACCTTATCCACGATGTCGGGCCATGAGGGTTCAGGGACCACGCGGAAGAACATGTCACGCCGATTACCAGATGGTCCGTTAGTATGGTACGGAACATGGGGTCCGTGTATAACAGCTAGCATTCGGGAGCCTCTGGTCAAAGGCACACGGCGTGGGCACATAGCGTGCCGTGGTAGCGCAAGGCCTCCCAGAGCGAAATTGTTCTGGCTTAGCTTTCCACATCTGGCTCAAGTCTAGGAAACGGTTGTAGGTGCTTGTTCGCTCGCGACCAGAGAATGCTCACTACAAGCGCAGTCACATGCGATAGCCGACCACCTGCAATGCGCCCCATCACATCGACAGTCAACTGCGATTATTCAGAGGACCATGTCACGCCATGTCACAGTAGCCTTGCATTCCGCTCATGTTGGCGGTGGAAGAGTGCCTTGACGCACCGCAATTTCGAGTGCTGTTTAGTCAGGGAGACTGTGCATCATCGAGTCCCGCAGTGACGATGCTACGATGTGACGATGAGAAACACGGTGAGGTCAGCACAAGAGAGGGCCTGTTGGAGAGGCAGTGCAGCGCAGACTGAGCCCCACGAAAACTCGCTTAACGACCCTATTGTGGGCAATGGTCTAAGATTAGCAGCATCACACATCCAATGAGACATCGAGAATATGCACAGCCTCTTGCTAGCATCACAAGCCACAGCTCTAGCATCGCGGTCCGAGCTGCGGGCAAAGCGAAAGGATCGCGTATCAGATGCGCTAAGGGCCACCAGGCTTGCGGAATGGCAGGACAGGACATGTCCCCAGTCCCTCCCATGGCTCCCCGACCGAAGCGGTGATCAAGCGTGCGTTTTCTTCAGGGTCTATCCCTAATCCGCTTGTCTTTCCCTGATGTAGAATGAAGGCTCCCGCATCCAGCACGCCTACTCGCCGACGTGCCTCTACCCCTCGTCACTTTCGGCATGGCTTGCTCTGTTGGTGTGTTGACTTGCGCAGACAGGGGTCGGACACACCGCGACTCTCAAGGGGTTAGTGCTACCACTGAGCGGTCGGAGCGCGCGATCGAGGCGGGGACGTGGATTGACGGCGGCCGGTAACTTCTGCCTTCTTTTATTTTTCCTAGCGTGGCCTGACCGTTTCCTAATCTGCCACCTTGGGCCAGAGGCCCAAGCTCGTAGGGCAGTAAAGCCTCCAGGACAGGGGTCTGGCATGCCGTCGTATGGCTTCGTGCACTGTTTCCCGCTGGGGGCCACGGCGGTCTTGACTCTGGCCTTATGTATAAACCAACTTCGCCCCCCTCCCCCAGGCATCGTCCTCCATCCAGGCCTATGATCAACGTAAACACCACTTCATCCAGACCCTTTCCGCCGCCTTGGATCACTGTTCAGGACCATAGTCCTTCCCGCTTCTGACTTGTCCTTCGCTTCAGCCAGCCGCCGTCAGGACTACTTCACGGAGAGGGACTACGCGTTGTCACTCCCGTACCCAGATGCAGTAAAAGATCAGCATACTTTCCAAGCCTCTTGAGTTATCGCCGACTCATACGACAACCTTGGAATTAGATCGGCACCTCCTCCGGGAAGGTAAGCTTTCCCCTGTCGGTCCCTTATAATTTGCGCTAGCCCTACCACCAACCAAACACCAACGATCCGATTGCACATGTTCAGTGCTTATGCTGACTCCGTTTACGGATATAGGCATCGACTGCAACTCGACACTTGATTGTTTCAGCTCACATTGCTTCATCTACCATATTCTTCATCATGGTTGACTACGCACAATACCCATCGAGCATGCCTCACGACTTTGAGCTCTACTCCAACAACCAAGAACAGCATCTGGACTTTCACCACAACCAGCCTTATGTGCCTGCCTCGACATATGCCTTGGAACACACCTTCAGCGCTACGTATGACCCAATGGTTACCCTCGCAGAGATGCAAAGGCCTCAAGATCTGCAATACCATTACGACGCCATTGCACAAGGTGTCAAGCCATATCAGTATCAGACCCCGGCCGGCTCTCCCCATTCAGCTTCATATTCTTTCCATGAACAACCTCCTGTTCTTTCTGCGTCTTCTGAATCCGGTGCTTCAGTGTCATCTTCCGCAATAGGCTCGCCATCACTCGTTCCGCAGTTTGATGACTCATGGAACACGATGGGACTAGGAGTGACTGCTGGATACGAGTACCCAGGAATGGTAGCGTCAGATAAGTCGTATGTGGGTAAGTCAACAGTTCTTTCGCCCAGAGTCTTGTCTTCTTCTTTCGTTGCATCTCCTACGCCGCCAGGCCACAAGAGACATGTATTCAAGACACCTGTGACCCCAGCTTCAGCCACCTGGTCCTTAAAACCAAATGAGCGCAGAAATTCTCTTATATCGCATGGCGCCACTGTGCGCAACATGACAACAATTACTTCTCCTTCAGTCACTTCAGTTTCACAGTCATCTCAATTCTCTCAGTCTTGTCGGTTACCTTCCAATGCTACAAAAGACAGGAACTAACGCAGCACAAACAGATCCTAATGTTATTCAGCCATTCACATTCGCGCCTCAGAGCCCATACCCTGAGATCAGGACCACACCATCTCCCTACTTCCCTGTCATTGAGCAACCGCCCTCCCCAGCTCTCTCTCAACTCTCATCACACAGCCAGCGCCCTGGTTCAGCACGCATCAAGAAGGGTAGCGCCAGTCCATACCTTCGCACTCAACAATACCAGCCTTACCCCCAATACCACGATCAACGGCGAGGCTCCGTCAACTCTCTCCGCTCGCACAACTCGGGCACAAGCCGCAAGAGTGGAAGCAGCTATGACAACGACGAGACTCGTGAGAAGGGAATGTGCCCACTGCCAGAGTGTGGACGCGTCTTTAAAGACCTGAAGGCACACATGCTCACTCACCAGAATGAACGACCAGAAAAGTGCCCAATTGCGACTTGCGAGTACAACATCAAAGGTTTCGCGAGGAAGTATGACAAGAACCGCCATACACTTACGCATTACAAGGGTACGATGGTCTGCGGCTTCTGTCCAGGCAGTGGTTCAGCGGCTGAGAAGTCGTTCAACCGCGCTGATGTCTTCAAGAGGCATCTTACCTCAGTTCACGGCGTGGAGCAGAACCCCCCCAATAGCCGCAAGAAGAGCCCATCAAGCAGGAAGGCATTCGGTGGCTCGCAGCCGAACGTAGCTGGTACCTGCTCTACTTGTTCAGTCATCTTCGCCAACGCGCAAGAGTTCTACGAGCATTTGGACGACTGTGTGCTGCGCGTTGTCCAGCAAACCGATCCAAGTGAGGCTATCAACCAACGCCTTCTCACCTCCGTTGCAGAGGATCCGGAGGTCACTGAGACGCTCGATCGCAATGGCCTATCCAAGAGCATCGAGTACACAGTACCTAGCTATGCCGAGGATGATGAGGATGACTACGAGGAAGAGGAGGTCGATAACGATGACCACGACGATGCCACATACGGTTCTCGTCGCGGTCGCTCAGGCAAGGGCTGGATCAAATCTTCAAAGAAGGATTGACAACTAACACATTCCCGGGGTGTCGGCGCAACGCAGCACGTCGGGGATGGTAACCACATCTCTTCCTCCCGCGTCCAAAAGTCCGGTCCTCGCGCCGGCCTCACTTTCTCGAAAGGCGGCGTAGCCATCACCGGCTCCGGACGCAAGAAGCGCAAGAACTACCCAGTATCCTGGGGCTGCGCTACCGACAAGATGAAGATGAAGAAACGCGTCCTGTGCGTATATGACGGCCAAAGGAGGCTGTGGAAAGACGATATGATGCTCGATCAAGAGTTCGAAGTACGCACGAAATTGCGTGATGGCAAGTCCTACGTTACAGACCTGGACGTTCAGACCCTCAACCGCGCAGATGCCCTGCATGGTGCCACGAGGGAGGAGAGAGGCCCCTGGATTCCCGACAACATTGTTGGCGACGTCAACGGTATGGGTATGGAGCCAGCGTCGCTGGACTGGGCTCTCTGAGCATGATCAGAGATACGACATTTTGCTTTTATTGCGAGCGTTTTGAGCGATACGGATGGGATGCATGCAAAGGTTACATAACAACCCGCACACAGATATGGCCTGATGAACGAACAAACACCGCAAACGGACTTTTTTGCTGTACTACCAAGCTTGTAGCTTTGCTTTCTTTTTGCTCGATCGATACCACTGGGACTTTGCTTTCGGCTGTTGGTGTTCACTCTCAAGGGAGATGTAATGGACGTGCTGGCCGCGAAGATATAGTTTCTGAATCTATTGACTATCACCATGAGCATACCCTTTTACTTGCTTGTGACTTCCTCCGTAGTGACTTGATTACCTGAGATCGCCATCACACTGAGAGCAGCTTAGGTTATTCTCGTTGACCGCAATGGTTCTATCTGGGAGCTGCGAGGCGTCTAGTACCGCTCGCTTGTATAGAGCTGACATCGACCACGCCTCGGACCTGCATCGTAGATCTCCCAAAACTACGGTCTCTGGGAAGTTCGGCTCCCGTAGCCGTACTGTAGTAAGCTGCCACATTTTTCCGATGAGCTGTTTATCCAGGGGCGGTACCCGTTGCCCAGGTCTGGATTCTAGCTCAGCCACAGCTGACGGTGTGTGTGTGGGCTTAGCACGGAACAGACGGGCTACGTGCTCGATACCGTAATATCGGGTTGACCCAAGCATGAGGCGCACTGATATACTGTGTTGCTTTTTGGAGCCATGTTTGTTTGTTGCTGTGGCTTGCAAAGGGTCTTTTGGTATGTGCTCGCGGTCGGCGCTTTTACGATGCCCAAGGATTATATTGAACGAGATTTGTTTTGGCATTCAGATGGATTTTGCGAGCGAGGTGGATCTGGAGGGTTCTGGACCCACAAGGTTCAAACATAAGAAAGTACTCCGAGTATTTCCAGGTTTGTGTTTCAACAGCGTATACCTTTACATCTTTTTGGCTATGGTCCAGTCTAGATGCAGTGCCGATCCCAGAAGCAATACTGTTCATGCCTTGATAAGCTCGCATCCATGTGAATTTGAATTGCACCAAAACAACGTTGATGAATGCAATCTAGGCTGCAAGCGCTCCTCGTGACTTCGCGTTGTGTTTAGGTGAAAGCGGAGAGCTGGGTACGGCGAGGGTCTCTGCTCGCTTAGTCAGCGCCTCCCCGCCGTGGGGGAACCTGGGAAGGCAGCAGCGACCTAGACAGCCGTGACAGCTTGGAGCTCTATCGACTCCCAGCATTACGCCGCAACAACACTCTGACGCACCCTCACACCCACCATACTAAACCATGGCGTCCAATATCGAACAGTCGCCATTCTTCCAGGATCAGAAGTCAAAAGGCGAAATTGTTGTCAAGGGTATGACATAGTCGATACAACAACATTGGCGCGTGTGTGCTAACTCCGATAGATCCTCCCAAGTTTGACCTGGAATCATACATTGCCAACTACACTGGTAAGCCTCTTGCAACGATTCTTCAGATCTTTGTCAACTAACACGTCTTGCAGGCTACACACGAATCGACCGCCTGCACCACATCGGCGCCCATTCACCATACCTCGCCGTAGACGCCTATCATCTTGCCATCGCGGAGGCAAAGAGGGGCAAGAACGTTGGTCTATACACAACACTAATAGAGGAATTCAGCCGCATAGCACCACAAGATCCCTCCGCCATAATCGATACAGCATGGGTCGAGAAGAAGACGCGGGAAGTGCGCGAGGAGCACGACCGGTTAGAGCATGAGCTGAAGTCATACAAGAACAACCTCATCAAAGAGAGTATACGAGTAAGTGCCGACGTAGAATAGCTGTGTACGTGTTTATTGACAGTTTGTAGATGGGCAATGAAGACCTCGGTCACTTCTACTACGACACCGGCGACTTCGTCAACGCACACAAGGCCTATATGAAGATGCGCGAACACTGCACTTCACCCAAGCACCTCGCCGATATGACTCTCCGTCTCGTATACGTTAGCATCGCACAAAAGTCATGGACAAACGTACTAGCAAATCTGGCCAAGTCGGAAGCCACCCAGGTCAAGGGCGATGAGAAGGCTAAGATGGAGCCCATCATCTCTGCATGCAGCGGTCTATGCCACATGGCTACTGGCAACTACCGCGAAGCTGCGACAGCGTTCCTTGGTACTTCCGCGGCGTACTTGACTGCAGAGCCAGCAGCGTACATCACATGGCAAAAGGAGGTTGTCTCGGGTAACGACATTGCGGTATATGGCGGTCTTTGTGCACTTGCCTACATGGATCGTAGCGATCTGCAAAACAGGGTGCTAGCAAACAGCGAATTCCGCAACTTCCTTGAGCTAGAACCTCACATCCGCCGCGCCATCAACCTCTTTTGCAACTCCAAATACAGCGCCTGTCTCGAAGTGCTCGAAGGCTACCGCAACGACTATCTCCTCGACGTCTATCTATCCAAGATGCTAAACACAATCTACAGCCGCATCCGGAGAAAGAGCATTGTGCAGTACTTCATACCATTCAGCTGCGTCACGCTTGACGAGATGGCTTCCAAGTTCCCGCCAGCTGAAGGCAGGACTATCGACGAGGACCTCGAAGAGATGATCAATCAGCGTGTTCTCAATGCGCGGATAGACCTCGTCAACCGTCTGCTCATCTGCCCACCTACCGACCCCCGCCACGACGTACACGCCGATGCTCTTAAGATGGCTGAGGAGTACGACCATACCCTGCGCCTCCGACTGACGCGCCTCAACTTGCAGGCGGCGGGTATGGAAATTTCATCGAACAAGTCGGTCGAGAAGTCGTCTGGTGTGGTTGGTGGCATTGGTGATACTTTCCGTGGCTTGGGTCAGAAAATAGGGTTTTAGGAGACATCTATAACGACTAGCAACAACGCTCATAACGACGTCAAGCACGATGAGATGATGGAGTGATCTAGCGCAGAGCGAAGAAGAGATTGCGCGGCTAGCATTGCAAGGCGTTTTTGGAGTGGCATGGCGTACATACACAGGCTGGGCAAGGACATCAAGCGGCATTGTGGCGTTGGGATAATGCGATATCGTAGCAGATATAGCTGTCTAGTATCAGACAGACGAATTAACACGTCATGCGGAAGCATACTTACCCTCTGCATCAGCTTTGTCTTTGCATGGTACACGTAAACTATGCTTTGCGTCTCACCATCCACAAATAACTTGGTAAGAAGCCAGCATAACGCATTTGTTTGTAGTGGTGTGAAACAGCGATCTTGGTATACTGGTCATCCCTCCATTCAAATTCGTATAATGCGTGTATATACATGTACCAATCTTCCCGCAAAGGGGATAAGACAAACATCTGGGTATCTAGTATTCGTATCGCTGTAACGCCAAAAAAAATCTTCGTATATCGTGATTGTATGCTTAATGTAACAACAACATTGTGCTCGTAAAACAAAGGCGGCGACAAGGGGCCTCGCAATTGAACCACGGTGTCAGATCTTCATCTAAACACACCTGACCCCCTTGCTGTAGCCCACTGGTCCTGCTGCTGCTGCTGTTGCTGTTGTTGCTGTTGTTGCCCTGCGCTTTGGTATCCATAATATCCAGTAGGCGCCCAGGCGAACTCCCCGGGACGTCCATACGAGTTGTTCGCGTCGATGGTAGGCGCCGGTGGCTGTTGAGGCTGCGTATGCGGTAGGTGCGCGTTCGTCTGTGCCGACATACTGTTTTGCGTCACTATTGGCTGAGTGGCCATGGCATTCACTGGCAGCGTATTCTGCGGCATGGGTCGATTGAGGGTGCCATACGTAGAGTGGTTGGAGTGGTTCGCTGTGAAGTAGTTCTGATGTGTCTGAAGCTGCGTGGGTTGCATTTGTTGCGCTGCTACCGCTTGGAACTGTTGCTGCGGAGTCAGTGGTTGTTGTGAAGGTCCAATCTGCTGCGGCTGTTGCTGTGGTTGTTGTTGCGGCGGATTTTGTAGACGCTGCTGAGGTGATTGACTACCCATCTTGTAGGCTAACTGCTGTTGTGGACTTCTCAGGCCGTGCGGTAGACCCTGGTTAAGTTGTTGTAGTTGCTGACGGTGGTTTGGTATTGACTGCTGACGCTGCGGTTGTTGCTGCTGCTGAGACACATGGGGTAATGCCTGTGATTGCGAGACCTGTGACCGATGACGAGGCTGTGGTGGGACCTGTATCTGTTGAGGCTGTTGTTGGACATGTGCTTGTTGTGGTTGTGGTGGTGGGGGCGGCGGCTTCTGCTGGACTTGGGATTGCTGAGAGCGAGGTCGGGGTACTCCCTGCGACGTCTGTACTGGGGTGGTCGAAGCTCGCTCCCCAGTCTCAAACTCTCGTATCTTTGCCTTGGCTTCCTCAAGCTCCTTCATGATTTTTGCAAGCTCGGAAACGCCAATGTTTGCGGATTGACGTGCCGGTTCGGGGGCTTCTGCAGGCGGTCGCTGGTCTTCGCTGCTCGCTGGTTCAGAGTATAAACACAGCCGTCTCTTGTCATTACATGTCGAACAGGTAGGTTTCATGCCATCACACTATGCAAACGTCAGCTGCCACTGCTTGAACACTCCATAGAAGACGTCTTACCTTGGTCTTCTTAGCCTTGCAGATGTCACAACTGTTTCTCGGTCGCTTTCGCTGTGGTGTCGATGCGGATTGTGTTTCAACATGTAGTGTAGGGCGTGGCCTGGGGTGAGGTCTTTGTGGAGGAGGACAAGGCGGTGGGGGTGGAGGCGGAGGTTCGATGAGTGTATGCTGCGAATGTGTAGGTGGCTCTACTTGTATTAGTTCTAGCAACATACGAAGACTCTGTTGTCTTAGGTCGCTCTCAATCGTATTGGACGGTCTTGGAGGCTCTGGTGGAGGGTCGGATCGCTTCTTCTTTATCCTTGGGGTGTCTGGATCCTCGCTGCTCAGCTGTCTCGAGCGACTTGCGAGTCTGGCCAACGCCTCTGGGTCGTTCTCCTCAAGATATTTGCGCCGCTTGGAATCTTTGCGTGGTGGCGGGGCGCGTTCTTCGTATGTCTTGTGAATAGGCACATGCTTGTAGAAGACGTCCAGTGTCTGTTTGGTGGCCGAGAACTTGATGGACAGGACGCCCTTGCAGTCGTACACAGGCTTGGTGGCACGCTTTCCCAGCTTCGCGCCCTTGCCATTCGCAGCGCGGTCCTTGTTGAGTAGCGAGTCGTTGCAGTAGTACGAAAAGCGGAAGCTGTCGTCCTCTCTGCTATTCCAGCAATTGTGGAAGCTGTACCGGTATCCGTCGATCCTCTGTATTGTGTCGACACAGCACTTGGCAACTGCCCTCTGTTTCCGCATCTTCTCCTTGGGGTCTGCTGTCGGCTGCAAAGCCTCCCTAGTGCTCAGATTAACTTTCTGCTCCGCCATCTTGGGCGCGCCATTGTTCGGTTCGATGGACTCGGCGAAGTTGTGGGCTATAACGATATTGGGGTCCGAGAGAGATTGATACTGCGTAGGACCACCGCAGTGTGCAGGCTGATAGCCAGGTGGTGCATGGCTGTATTGATGTATGACGTGGGGTTGTGGTTGCTGCTGCTGAGGCGGTTGAGTTGCCCCATGAGGCTGCTGCGATGGGTTCGGCTTATTTGGCGACGGGACTGCAAAGGACGTGTCTATATCGAAAGCGAACTGGGCTTCGGTATGCTCAGGCTCTTCGGGAGGACTTCTCAGGTATTCGCGCAATGACGTCTCGAATTGGTCGAGAGAGCGGATGGGACCATATGGCACCGTCTTCGCGAGCGCGTCTCTGGGCTGGCGCCCACGCGCAAGCTGCACGGGAGCCTGAGGCCAGAGAGCCTGGTCGTTGGCATCGTGGATACCCGTGGGTTGAGCATGGGCAGCCGCCATGTCAAAGTGGAGCCCGCCCCCGACCAGGTTTGGGTAGTGAATAAGGAGTTTTTGAGATAGCCGTCTCCCGAGACCGTGCAAGCCTTGGCTCCAGCTCTAGACGCGATGATCAACACTTCATGACCAGGGTGACGAAATGCTAGAGATGTGCTAAGGGCCCGAGGACAGGGCAGGGGAAAAACCGAAGTATAGAGGGTAGTAGTACAGCGGCTTCAATGATTCAAGATACTCCAGGCGCCATGAGAAGCACGGGTGTAGGCATCGGAGCGTGCCTAGGCCGATGACGCATACAACCCGAGCCTGCATGAAATCTCCAGGTTGACATCCGCGTCGCTTTCAGCTTCCTCCATCTTGTCCGTTTTATTCGCACATCAACACGTAAAAAGACGTGTAATCCTTGGTGTCTTTGTTCGACGCGTGGCTGAGTGTTCCATTACCACATTTCAAAGATCCTGTGATGCAGGTCAAGCCGAGGCTTCATCTCATACTCATCATTACATGGGCAATTGGTCGCTGATAACAATCGTTACATTGTATCTATTTCATGTTAGATGGATTCATCGTGATCGACGCCATGCATGCATCACTGCTGCACAGCGACCGATGTCAACGGGTATCATTGCTAACACGTGACTGCGGTTCTCTCTGGTATACGTCCACCGTGCTCACAGGCTCAACTCGCACTGGGGATACACCCTCATTCAGTATAGGACCACTTCACGTCACGCCGATACGAGCCAATGTCGTTAGGATGCTTGTCTCTTCTAATCTGCAGACTACATAATCTCTTCCATCCCGCTCACATTTTCCTGGAATATCGATACTATGAGATCGATGTTCCCAAATCCCAACTCCATCTCTACCCGTGTTTCTATCCCTGCATACCAAAAGAAAATATTCGCTACTGATACCGCGGTCAGCGTCCGCTCGTCGTCTGCAATCGCTCTTTGGTCGATGGCGTTCGGTTGTACTCTCTCTTGTATCGTTTTCTATTGATAGAGCGGGCAGAGTCGGCTCCTGGTCGATTCTTGTTCATCTTGGGTGCATGTTGATTCTTCTGTCATGTGTACACGCGGTATAGCTCGCAGCGCTCAGTCTCAACTTTCATTGTGGTGAACTGATCGGAACTTCCTGTTTCACTTGCGGCCCGTGTAGCCTGGGCTGAATGAAAAGGACTTCTCAGGAGTCTGCGGATGACCTTGCTGCTGTTGTCCACGAGATCGGGACGCTTGCGAATTGTCGCGCGGCGCCGAATATGCCTTGGGTCCAGTTGGAGTACGAGCAACCAGGGAAGGTGTTCCGAATCCAAATCCATGAGCTGGCGGGATGCCGCGCGGCGTTATGTAGGGCAAGGATTGAGGTGAGCGTGCAAACTGTGGGCCGTTGAATGATATACCTCTAACCTGCTGGGAATTCCGGTTGAGGTAGCGAGGGCCGGTAGGCACGGGTGATTCGAGACCTGATGTTGAACCTCTGGGTGTGAAAATTGGCGCGTCGGGTTTGACCTGCTGCCCAAGCGGCATTGGCGCATTGGAGCCCATGCCAACCTGCTGAGAGATCTGGGTCGTATTGACATCGGTCCCTAAGTCTGCAAGGGTATAATGCTTCTCAGAGGGACCCTCTTCCGTCGAATGAGCCTTGCAGCCCGGAATATGCTGGTCAAAGAAAGCAGTATTGTACTTGAAGATTCCTTTGCAATAACCACATCGTATGGCAACGTCCCAGAAAGCCTTGCAAATCTTCAAATGATCGTACATGTCTTTCTTCGTGTACCACTGAAGGCAATGGTTGCACTTGGTGTGCTCGAGCACCTTTCCGCTCTCCAAGGTCCGGTCCTCATGGTTCTCTGCCGGACGTGCTATCCCAATGTCGCTAAAACTAACATCGAAACATGGAAGCTCCATCTTGTGCACCACGTCGTCACGAAATACTCTCTTCGAGTTCCTCATACTCCAGTACTTGTGCCAATACTCACGCCTCTTTCGGTTGGGAATATTTAGTTCACCACCTGATGAAACTGACTCTGTCATCGGCACTGGAGAATGCTCGCCATTATTCTCTCCGGTAGTGGTGGTGTCGAAAAGCGACTCCGACGTACTGTGAGGAAGAGCTTGCTGCTGTAAGCTACCTTGTTGACTACAGTGGGTCGAGCCAGCGGCATGACAGCGGAGGTCATCATCGTTGTCGTCCTCCGGGCCAGTCTGGAGAATGCTTAACTTGGGCAAATCGCTGGTCTTCTCCTTCTCAAGCTGAGCGATCGTCTCTTGAGCGATACTGAGAGCAACATTTGCGTCACGCGCCTGCTGACACAAGGCCTCAACCTCGCTATCCTTCTCCCGTATTTGTTGCTCGAAGGTTTCCTGAAGCTTTTTGAACTGGCTCCTCAATCGACCCATTACGTATTGAGCACTGTCAATGGAGCTGTCCCTACTGTTGATATTCTCTTCAAGAATGACACACTTCCGCGTAGGTTTGTTGAATTGCTCGTCTAGCTTCGTGTAGAATTGCGTGACTTCATTCATCAAGATCTCATTTTCTTGTTGAAGTTTGTCCTTCTCCTCAGTAGCGGATTGTGCAAGCACTAATGCAACAAGCGCTTCGTGATGATTCGTTTGAAGCTCTTCCACCTTCTTGTTAGTAGAAGCCAAAGTGCTCTCAAGGTGGCCGTTTTGGGTGTTGAGTTCGTGAAGCTGGGTCTGCTTTGCTTGGAGATCGACCTCGGCGGCGGCGGCCTGCTTCTTCAGCTCTTCAAGATCTTTCTTAGCGTCCAATAAACTGAACTCATGGCTAGTGTTTTTCCTGTCGAGCTCATCGATTTTGACCCACAGCTGTTGATGAGTGGCGTTGGCGGCGAGCGCGCTGGCGGCTAGCTGCTCCTCGAGCTTGGTCTTGTCGACATTTGCAGATTGGACTTGACTGGAGAGATGGTCATTCCCGAGCCGGACTGCTTGTAGTTGCTCCTGAACTTCACGCTCACAGGCAATCTTCTCATCTCGCAGACCGTTGACTGTCAAATGTGTCTCAGATAACTTGTCTCGGAGGTTGTTGTTTGCTTGCATCTGTGTGTTCCGGTCCTTCACTAAACCGGCAATACGCTCTTGCACGGCTTCGAGACGCTCGATGGTCTCATGCACCCGCTTGGCGTTCTTTTCTCTCTCCTCCTTGGCTTCGTCTAGCTTTCGGATGATTCCATCATTCAACGTGATGATAGCTGAGTTTAGCTTGCTGAGCTGTTTTTTGTCATCGTTGGACTTTGACAGATCTTTCTGTGCCGCTTTGAGATCAGTCCCAATTTTGAGCTTGGAGGCAGTGATATCATCAAGCTGTAGCGTCAGATCTGCTATAAATTGAGCATCTGTGAGCTTCTGCGCTTTGGTCTCTTTGTAGTTGCTATAGGTTTTGTATGCGGAGAAGATGATTCCTGTAATGGCAACTGCGGCTGCAGCAAGGACGAGGATACTACTGTTGCCACTGACGCTAGTAGTCTGCGCTTGCGTACCAATTTGGAGTGCTGTGGTAATGTATTGTGCTCCAGACGTGTGTGATAGAAGTATTGGCGCAGGCGTGATGAGATGTGACGTGGCCTGGAAGCGCGCGTGTGTGCTGTCACTACTGATGTGACTGACGATAGTTGAGAGGCATGGCGTGACCTGGAGGTGTGCGCTTGCGCCGTCGCTTCCGATGCGATCCAGAATATCTAGGAGTTCTGGGGCGCTCTTACGGACGGTGATCTTAGCGGCGGAAAATAGTTCGGGCTCCAGAAGTCCAAAGATCACAGATACCGGGTGGTTGGGGCTCAGTTGCTTCTGAGGGCTGTACAAACCCCTTCCTAATTCGGGCGCGGCGAGGTGTGCTACAAAATGGTTGAGTCGCTTGATATCGATGTCGATTGGCAACCCTCTCTCATAGACGGCAATGACTGCTAGACCCGTAGCGGCTGTAGCAAGAAAGGGCCTGATAACCGGATGGTTCCAGTTTTGCAGTAGAATCGCCAGCTGTCCGCTGTTGAGTTCCGCCATCTTACTGTGCACATTCAATGCGAAAAGGGCATGTATTGAAGTGGTACTAAGCGAAGGGTTGGTACACGGGCTAGCGGGAACGAGGTTGAAGTGCAGTACGGGCTAAGATCTAGCTTGACTACTGTGAGCGATTGAACCCCGGTGGGAATGGGAGAGTCCCGCATAAGTGAAGTGGGGTGGAGATGAGCTTACAAGATTACACGTTCGCGATCGCGATCGCTTCACCGTGAGCGAATGCGTGCAGCGATGGGCGGGGCCACAGTGACCTGTATAAGTCCAACTGAGAGGCTGAATCGAAGGTTGGCTGGCTGTTACCGTGGACTTGTCGATTCTATAGAAACAGAAGAATTTGGGGGAGAGGTCTGCAGAGGTTGGAGCGGAGCGGAGATCTTGCTAGCGCTTCGCCAAGGACAGAGTGAGTAGAAGATTCACATTCACTAGGGGTTGGAAAAGCGCAACAGTGGCGTAGTCCGGTTCACCTCTCAGGTCTGTCTGATCCTCTGTGTAACAGCAAGATTTGCGACGCTATACTATCGCCGTATGGGTTGGTGACACTAGGCTTCGAGCTCAGGGATGCGATGGTGATCTGTGATTCTTGGCGCTACCTTTGGTACATCGTCGTGGAACTTGAACCATAGGTAAAGGGGTCGATTTCAAACCGACACTATCCTTGTAGGTATTCAGTGGCTCACCACAAATACCGTGATGCCAAGAAGCATAAACCCGAGAAGCCTTACGGACACCGCCTCTTTCGCCGTTCACCACTAATACTCCTGTACTTATCTGCCAGACTCTAATACAAAACGCAAATGTGAGACTTCGAAGTGAAAATAGATAGTAAAACATCTGTATGTATGCAGGATATCGCGTCGAGCGCTCCGCATGACGAATAGTCCAGTGCAGCTGCGGTACGCCAAGCGATGCAGGAGTAAAAAAGGATGCAGATACGTTTGATGAGGATTGTACCAAGTGAATGAACACTAATGCTACAACAGGGGTTGAACAATTGTTTTGTTTTTGGATGGATTGAGTCGGGAATACGGAAGTAGCTGCGGCTCTTGCTGCTAGGATGTCGCAGAAAGGCGCGAGCTAAGCATGATTTGCCAAGTTCTTCGTAGGGAAGCTGATAGGAGCGGGCAGCCGAAGTGAGAGCATACTGACATCTACATTCAGCCTAATTGTTCTCCAATGAGCGTGTTCGGTAGACCGTTGGTAATGGGATGTAGGATGCTCTCCTGATGTCCATGGCGTGAGCTTGAAGGCAGTCACGCAGATTGGCTTTCCGTATCGACACATTCGCTGCCGGAAGTTGTGCTAGAATCAAGAGGGGATATTATCGGGCCAGTACCTAGTACACGAGAGCCCATTCGCAGTCCTTTTCATACACCTTGACCATGGAAGTTTCTGACGTGATAAAGTCCCTCATCTTCCTCTTCCAAATCATAAGCATCTACCAGTCATCATCGCTGTCCTCCCCTGCAATATCTCCTCCTTTAATCCTATCCACAACCCTCTTTACACCCTGTTCCACGCTCTCGCCCTCAATCGCACAGCCTTCGTGCCAGACGATGGCATCCATGACACCATCCATGAACCACATCAGCGTCGGTACAAAGCTTACATCCAACATGTTGCCTAGCTCTGGCAGTGAATACATGTCGAAGCAATAAATGTCGACCACGTCGTACTGCTCGTAGGATGTTGACGGAAGTAGTTTTTGCAGGGCAGTAGCCACCTCATTAGTTGTTTCGTCTTCGGGCCAGTAGGCTAGTAGAACAGTTTTCCCTGCTGTGGCTTTGATGCAGGCTGCATATTCGGCTATGTTGGTGATTTGGGAGAAGTGTGCCATTGTGATAGGATCTTGGTGGTCGTCGAGTGGTCGTAGGGGAAGTTTGCAGATCTGGGGCTAAATTATTAGCTAAGCTAAGCTTTAGCTAGTTGCCCTTGGAGGTCCCACCTAACGCGCCCATCCACGCTCTACCAAATGTTCAACATGCTGCGTCGAAACAGCTATTTGACGGCAACCCGCCATTCGAACCCAATGGTGATGCGAGATCTGTCTTGAAGTCTTGGTCACTGCAGCTCGGTAACAGGCGTGGTGGGGAGGCTACATAATATGTCGTTGATTGCGCTCTGAGCGTCGCGTCATGCATAAGTTACTAGGTGAGCATTTCGGACGACAGGAGGGTATAGTATCAGAGACATGGGCATGTAGCCCTTGAATCGGTAACGAATGCTATGTCAACACGCTGAACAAGGTAGGTCGCATACAGCATTTCATCTGCGCGCACCAGTCGCTGACAGACAAGTAGCCGTATCATAAAATCTCCGCCCTGACCGAAGCCTTCCTCCATCCTTAGCCCTTTCGTCGTCGAATACGTTACGCGCGACAGTCGTGGCCTTGATAGCTAGTTCGGAGAAGACCTCCCCCCACCTACTGTGGCAGAACTACCGCGTCGGGCGCGTCGACATCATGACCCTAAGAATGCCAAATATCAAAGACATGCAGTAAAGTTGCTACCGGTCAATATATAAAGGACTGTAAGGAACGGCTACAGCTAGTACAATACTGGTGGAACAAGGGCATTGGTTCATGGAACAGGATAAGCGAAAGCATTTGATGCTGATACCGAGGGCTGTGGAGCAGATGAGCGATCATGTAACCGTGGTGCGAAGTCATCGGTTACGTGCAGCAACGGCGACGTTGTTTTTTATATCGTAGAACGCTGGCTGGGCGGTCCATGCCAGAAACGCTTCCAAGAACCTAGAGGCTAGAACGTGCACAAAATTCCACAAGAAGACTGGGGAGGCTTGCGATGAAAAACGGAGTGGATATATGATGGCATCTACGCGCTTTTTGCAACAGTCTGCGCCCCTTTTCCCTCCATCTGTTCTACTCAGCACCAATACCTCGCGTCCTAGTAACAGTGCTAGTCACCGTACTGGTCCTAACAACCGCACTACTGACTGTCCTCGTAACCGTAGTACTAGCAGGTCCCCTCGTGATAAAGCACGAGCAAGCCGACGAGATTTCCCCTGGACCGAGGCCAAGCGAGATGTGGACCCCACCAGGGATACCGAGCGAGATATCGAGTTGACGCTTGCGCACTGGAAGCTCAACGGGGCAGGCGGCGTCGTAGAAGGTGTAGGGAGACATGGGGTTGTAGTTGGTGTTATCCGTCCTGTAACACAGTGAGTAAAAGGTGGCTTGTAATCAAAGGAATAGACCTACGCGTTGACATCGAAGAGCATGCAGTTCGCTTCTCCGTAGCCAAAGCTCTTGCACTTGCTATCAGCCTTGCAAAGCGCGCTGCAAGCATCGAACGTGTTCTTCGTGCCGCTGGACTCGAAGTAGTACGCTGGTGTAGTCTTGACATAGGCAACGATTCCGCAGCTTGGAGCGCCTGTGGGCGTGCTGTAAAAGAATTAGCGCTGCACATGATATGAAATGTTGGAGCTTGGCGACTTACGGGGACGGGCTCGAGACGAGAGTTGAAGACACCACTGTGGAAGAGGGCTGCACAGGAGTGGCTGAAGAGGATGGCTTGAGCGACGAAGATGAAGATGGCTTTGGGGTCGAAGACGAAGATGGTTTTGGAGTCGAAGACGACGAAGGTGGCGGTGGAGGAGATGAAGATGTTGGCTTCGATGTCGGCGTCGGTGTTGGCTGAGGAGTGGGTGTAGGAGTAGGAGTTGGAGTAGGTGTCGGCCGGACGGTGACTGTAGTCTTCCTGGTCGTCGTAGTTGTTGTGGTGTAGCCACTGGTAACGGTGGCTGTTGCGGTGCCCGAGCGAAGGATGTTGCTGCAGAACAATGCCGCTTCAGACGTATGTCCTTCAAATCCGTCGAGACCGCAGTCCTCAACTAATCATGCGTTAGACCACCCTCTTGCATGAGAAAGAAGTTCATACCATCTGGATATCCCCACTGTCTTCTTTGACGGCCAGACGCTTCTACGCTCGCAGCAAGAGCTGCAGCAAATACGACGGAGAACCTCATATTGTCTTTTTCAGACACCTTGAATGAGACGGGACTTTTGGGGAGATGAATTAGTACTTGAATCGACGCTGAACACGAGCATCAACTGGTAGAGTCTCTACTTATAGGCAATATCTAAAAGTTTCGACTGCGAAATTGTTACAGTAAACGAAGCGGCTGAGCTGTATGTTGCGTCTCGCATTTCATTTGAGATAGATGAATTGCAGACTCTTTGCATATCTCGGTGATCTGGCTCAGGCAAGGTGGGCCAGAACGCGTACATTGCTGCTACCATAGTAAATGAACACGAGAATGTGACCGCCTTCCGCCGGCAGATGTTGCTCGACACATGTCTACCGAGCAGAGGTTTGCGCTGCTTTCTGCAGTCAGGTATGTGGCTTTTCCGGCGCTATGGTCGAAGGTTGAATTGACCAATCAGGAAAGCTCCTGAAATTGAGAGTGAAATATCGAAAAGTATGGGGAATTAGGCTTAAAGTGAGAGACGGACAGGGCTGCCGCAGTTGGAGCTATTATCCCTACGAATCCCGGCAAAATACAATTGCGTCGAGCCATAGCATGAAAATTGCAGCACAAAAATAGCGACGATGTCCACCTAATACGGAAACGAGCGCTAGATCTCTTCGCTAAGCAGCATACATATCCGATCTAACTCCTGAAATCAAGGGATCTGTACAGCTTTGCACCAGCAGGTGTGATCCAGATGTTTTGAGCCATCCACACCCTATACCTAACCAGGTCCGGACCGACGCGGACGCAAAACTTCGCGTCACGAAAGAAGGCAAGAGGAATTCGACTTGAAGATTTCTATACACGCCCAACAAGGTAATGATGAAGCGTACTATTCGAGGCGAACGACAAACCACAGCCGCTTCGTGTTGTCCAGATGGAACTTCAAATGGTCTCTACTTAGCGGCTTGAGTTTGGCTTCCACGTTGAACTTGATGCCAAGATCATCTCCTATATCCTTCCACATCTTTTTGAAGCTTTCGACATTATGCTGATACATCGTGCCTGTAGGGCCAATCTTCTCAAGAGGCTCAGTGGCTCCAACCTGACGACCGAGTATCATCGAGCCTGGCTGCGGACGTAGCAACGCGACAACGGCTTTAGAGACTTCGACTTGTTTCTCGTATCCCCATAGATGGAAAAATGATCCAGCGTAGACCATGTCGATCTGGCCTTTAACCTCCGTGAGCGCCGACTGGGAATCGAATATGTCAGCTACCAAGAATTTTGTCTTGAGCTTCTCGCGATCTTTGAACAGACTGTAACCCAAATCGATAAAATCTGGCTGCAAATCGCAGCCATATATGTTCTCGGAAGGTGCGCCACCGTTGGCGAGCTGTCGAATGGTCTGACCGAAGCAGCAAGCCATATCTAACAGCTTTTGACCTTTGCGTAGACGTTCGACGATTTCATCGTACTCATTTGGAAGTTCAGAAAAACTTGGTTTGAGGAACCGGAACTGCCCTATACAAGGATACGGATGAACCTTCCAGGCCTCATCACGAAGCTTGGTGACATGGTCGAGTACGTCATCGGGTGGGATTCCGCTCCACGTTTCCAGAAGCCGCTGGGTTTCAGAAGGAACATGGTCGTGCGAGGGATTCTCTTCGAACTAAGAAGGAGTCGTATTCTGAGTGTCTTTATGTTCGGCCATTACGATAATGTACAAGTATTTTATAGAACTGGGAAGACAGGTGTGTGGTATCTATGTGCTAGCGTCAGGACGTCGCGCTAGTACTTATTTCCGTGGCCGCTCATCACACCTTCACCCACAGACTCCCTTCCAACTCCACGAGTCACAACCTGCTCTTCGCACGCAACACGCAACTTTTCGTTGTAAGAAGACACCGAGCTAGTTATGATTCTTGCACCTAATGCGCTCGTCTCCGGAGTTGCTCGGATGGGCGTTCACTAATGGCTACGGAGTTTGTACTGCTTTTCACCAAGATCCACTGGGATACACCGAGATTAGCGCTGTCTGCAGTCGAGCGAGACCCAATATTTCACGACATCCATGAGTGTCCCAAGGCACATTGATGTAATCCCTATGTCTGCTTGTCGAATCGTCTGGGAAGTACTCCGGGACGCTATCACCCTCTCGACGCATACAAACGATCCCGATGATTAGCCGCCCACCACCGGATAACATTAGAACAATGGCGTCCTGAACCCATTACTTGTTTGAGCCGGCCTTTCGATGAAAGCGTAAAGCAGAGACCGGCTAGATTTGGCGCTCTGAGCTGTTAGAAGAAGAAAAGAACCCTGTATCTGATCTCCTCGTACAGCTGAATTTCGAAAAGCAAGGTTTCACAATGTTACTCACTAACGACGTACGGGAATCTGAACACCACTGTCGTCTTGCCAACCGCACTATATCTTGACTGTGGCGCCTGAGCTCATCGCCAGAACTAACAACCAGGTTGTTAAGAATCATCAGTCAAGAGAGATGTGGAGCTGTGCTCTCTGTGTAACCCAGCAAGATTCCGTCATTCGTATCACGATGCGGCCCGCAGACTGATTGGATCTATTCTTGGTGGAGGAATACTGCAGCCGAAATGACACATTTCTTCTCATTGAAGGTGTCATTGTTAGCGAGCCTGACGACGACCCGCACGTATGGTCGTGGGATACATCCCACCTGTACGTATCCATCAACTCCGCTGCTACGTCGCCAACAGTCACATCCACATCGAATGCTAACCTGTCCATCATGACAGCAATACTTCCATAGCGATCACGTCTTCTTCCCAACACATTCAGGGCTCACGAACCCACATTATCCAGGTGACTTTTGACGATCATGTACATCCTAAGCCAACAGAATGGGTGTACACGGGGACGACGTTAGGGGAGACTAATGTAAACGCATCGTTCCCTTCCGACGTATTCTTACATGACATAACCAGCTCGGCACTTGCTTTACGTTGTTGTGTTTCTAACACGAGTGGGAGGTAGAGAGAATCATATATAATCATGACTGGAACCGGTGAAAAATGTTGGCCATCTATTACCTCCAGTCCATCTGCCATACCATCTACGAAATGGCCGAAAAGGTGCCCAACACCTCTGGATGCTTCCCCTCTAAGAGCATTACTGATACCGAATCATGTAAGTTGCAGGAAAACGAGGGGGGCCGTGCGCCATGGTTCACAGTGGCAGGTTCTATCCTTGTTTACTACGCCTCATTTGGAGTGATGAACAGCTTTGGCTTCTTTCAGAACTACTATAGTAGCGACTTCCTTGAACGGACACCGCCATCGACTATCGCGTTTGTTGGAACGCTCCAAATGGCCCTCATGAATTTTCTGGCTGCTCTCTCCGGCGCTCTTTGCGATCGATATGGTGTCAAGGTAGGTACCCTTCTTCAGCTTTACTTACCGGAGACTTATAAGGGTTAGTACCTCTATCTTGGTTCAGGCGCTGGTACTACTCTGGCCCTCATTATACTCTCGTCCATACATCCTGGCCAGTTTTGGCTAGTCCTTGTGACGCAAGGCTTGCTCATGGGTTTGACTATAGCTTTTGGAGTGCAGCCAGCACTCACGGTCGTAGGCCAGCACTTCAAAGAGCGACGTGCGTTGGCTATGGGTCTTGTTTCTACAGGTTCGGCACTGGGCGGCATCGGTTTCCCGCTAATGTTCGACCAACTGCTGCCGAAAGTGGGCTTTGCCATCTCGCTTCGTCTGGCTGCTGTCAAGATTGCGTACGTACCAATTCCGTGCAGGTCGTCCATCAGCTAACCAGCGAAGTGTTTGCTACTCCGTCGCTCTGTGTATCTCCACAAGCAAACCCAGTGGCAAGCCCCACCCCAGAAGTCTTGCTTCGCTCATCGATTTTAGAGGATTTCTTGACAAAAGCTATGTTGTACTATGCATCGGCACGTGGTTTGCGATCCTCGGCCTTTGGATCCCCGCATATTATCTCAAATCCTATGCCAATGCAGTATACGCTGGAAACGCAGTCAGCAAGTACTTCCTGTGCATGTTGAACAGCTCCAGCATTGTCGGCGCAACCTTCGGTGGCTTCATAGGAGATCGCATCGGACGATTGAACCTACTCTGGCCCGTTACTCTCGTCTCCGGCTGCTTATGTCTCTTCTTATGGCTGCTCAGCAACTCTATGGCTACCCTCATACTCTTCGTCTGCGTATATGGGTTCTGCACTAGTAGCGTAACCGCTCTTCCACCCTCAGTAATCGGCCAGATCTCATCCGATGATAAATTGGGAGCACGCATAGGCGCCTTTTACAGCGTCATCGCCATTGCGAGTCTCATTGGTACGCCTATTGGCGGTGCACTCATCACGGAAGATAAGACGAAGGATGGGTATCGATGGTTGATCTTATTTTCGGTAGGCTATTTTCCAAGTATCGTTACATGGCCGATACAGTCACTGATAAGGAACAGGGAGCTGCGCTCATCATCGGGTCGGCCTTCATGCTCGGCAGCCGTCTACTACACGATAAAGACCTGCGCAAGAAGTGGTAGCTGTTCGCCTGCGCTATATTCTCCACCTCAAATAGAGTCCGGATGCACGACCTTCCTGCACAGCACCTCGCATCGACACTTGGGTGGCCAGAAGTCATCTTGAATGATCACTCGCTCTTCTATCTCCCTATCTCCCTTTTCGACACCGGGTTCAACACTTTGTTCTAGCGCTATGCCTCCCATGTCTTCCCTGTACAGCTCTTCAAGCTCCTCGGTAGTCATCTTCAGGTCTCTCGTAGCATACTCAAGGAGCTCGAAGAATCGCATCTCCTCCTCATTGTCAATGAAACCATGCATCTTGATGTCTCTGAAGGGAGCCAAAACCTCAGCTACTCTCTCATAGATGAGTCGATGCAAGATTCGAGGGCAGTTAAAAGGCTCGCCGTAGAAGAGTCTGACTGACTGTTTGGAGTTGTCTTCTAGAAAGCCTTTGACATCGGGTAGTTTGATGGTAAGCTCATTGAGATATGGTAGTCGCTCGAATACTTCATAGTCTAGGTGATACGACTTCCAGTACTGTGAGAAGGATCCTGCTGTGACCTTGAAGAACTGCAGGGAGTCCATAAAAGAGAACTGGAGATACAGTTGGCGGATGCCCTGACAGAAGGTGGCGTATTGGTCCAAATGCGGATAGATCTTCGGGAAAGACTTGTATGCTTTTGCCAGCTCTCGGGTTTTGTCGTCGACCGGCACGCCATTTGGCTCGATCATCTGCATATGCCTCCCCAAGCGGCGGATACAGCTTTTGAAGCTGTAAAAGTCCTTGGCTACGATGCATAGTCCGTTGCTGTGTTCCAAACTGCTACTTCCCACGAAGCATAGATGTAAAGATAACGCGCGGACTTGGTGTGAGACGCTGAGGAGGGACTTCCATTTGCCGAACTGGCCAGTGACTTCGGGTGCGTCTGCAACTTTCTGGCACCCCGAGTTCTTGGACTTCTTTAGGACCGGTGATGGTGGAGAGCGATGCATGCAGAACTGAATGACCCGCTCCTTCAGTTCTGTAGGTAGTTGCATCCAATTGAAAGTCTGGCCGTTGGCATTCCACCATTGGAATATGACCTCGTCGCCCACTAGCCCCTCGTATGTCGGGAATAGGATTTCGAGGAATCGCCTCAGTGGTACGAACTTGTTTTGAACAAAAACCTCCACCTCCTCTTCGAGCTCCTTCAGTTTCCTCCTTCCGCGCTTCTGGGCTTTTGGGCGACACCCAGCGATGTGTGGACCTTCGCCGAAGTTGTAGAAGCCCACCCAGAGCACAAAGCTGCGGTCAACCTCGACGAATCGGTCCGGGTTATTGGCATAGACCGCCTGGTACACCTCAATTGGTGTGCTAAAGTGAGCTGCAGATCGAAGGCAATACTTCGATACCGCTTCTCGGATCTGATCGACGAAAGGATGCTGAACTGACAGAGGAGCTTTCCATTCTTCGAGTGAGAACTTGAGGCTGATGTTCATGTTGATCTGTAGATGAGGTGTATATAGTGGTGGTGTAGGTGGTTTGGTGAGCCTTGACTGTCTGCTCATTCTTGAGGTTGTGTGGTACGCTTACAGTGTCGAAGGACAGTAAGCGGTGCTAGAGTTCTGGTTTAGAGACGATGAACAGAGTATCTATACAGAACGAGAATTGAGGCTTCCTCGAAGGTGAGGGAAGTTTGCACTAGCAACAACGCTAGACATCAGGCAGTGACCCACACCACACGGTCATGCGTAAAGTGAGAGAAGCAAATACAGTTGCTGCTCCTATTGTATTTTGCCTCTTTTTACGCTTATCGAGCAGTAACGGTGTGTACCACACGTCTGGTAGTGGCGATGAAGGATCGTTTTGAGGGTAGAGCGAAAAGTATGAGAGTGACATACTTCATCAAGCTACTGTTCCTGCAATACCAGACGTCTGAAACATGTTCTGTTCGCTTTCGAAGGACACCGAGGCTTCTGTTGCGCTATTTGTTTTCCTTTCGTGCGGACTGTCTTGTCGGTAACACAAAGTCGCGGCGAGTACCTACCTGCATGGTTGCACATAGCAGCCTTGGAGCCTCATCCTCCAGAACTCAAGTAACCTGTTAAAGCACACTCAAAGCAAGCAACAACGAAGATTTGAGAAGATATGTACCTCAAACGCTACACCTTGAGCAGAGCCTCCTCTCGACTTCAAATTCACTTCCTCACGACTGAGATGTTGCTCAGAGCGTACATTGTATGTTTCTACCATCATGAGATGAAGCGCTTACTTGACCAGCACAAACCTGGTTAGTCCTCCATTTGTACTCCCAAAACGTCCACGGGCTACACATTTGATCCGACTCATTTCGCCAATCACGTTCTACACGGATAAATCCTTCCGCCTCCATCACACCCGCTACTGTTATCTCCCTTCTCGCGATTCCCGCTCGATCTACTTGATAGATCACTTGCGACCGGCAAAATGAAAACGCTGGGCTTCTTCTATGCCCTGTCTGGTGTCCTCAGTCTCGCCTTCACTGCGGTCCCAACCAGGTGTACCAAAGACGGCGTCTATTGTCTGAACTCTGCCGGAATCAACAGCGACGTATTCAATATTCTCACGTGCAAGAACGGCAACACCCAAATCATGAGCAAATGTCTTGCGACGGAAACCTGCATCGACAACCCCACACCTCACTGCACGCCGAAGAGCAGGCCGCAGATACCATCGCTCGTCACGCCCAAGCCTATTCCCACTAGCGTTCAATCAATCACAACCTCGGATACCATCCTACCAACTCCGCCAGTTTTCCTTCAGGTCCCATCCACGGTCGACGACCCCTTCACCAGCAGCACCAACACCATACAGCTAGCAGCGCGGCAAACCCAATCACCCTTCCGCATACTCATTTTTCCAGAGACGAGTATACGTGGGAAAGGCACATCATTTGACGTCGATCGTTGCATCCCGAATGCCGAGATCCCGTGGCCGATCCGCTCCCTGGTTGTGGAACGTTACTTCGAATGCATGTTCTGGGAGAGGGATGACTGTTCAGGGAGAGCGGGTCCGAGACGAAAGGAGGGGAGCGCTAAAGATCGTAAGATCATTGGGGATGTGAAGCTTGGGTTTGAGATCAAGAGTTTGAGATGTCAGGCTGTTCCGGGTTGAAGAGTGAGGAGAGCATATGCAATTGCGACGTTGGATAATGGAGGGGGCGTGCGGGTTTTCCAGGGCCAGGACTGGATCACGTCGAGGAAAACAGATTTGGATAGGACCAAAGTACGTGCCTTTGTGTACCAACTATATTGCGTTGTGTTCCGCATGGAAGAGTTGAACTCTCTAGTTGTACGATCTTCTCTTTGTTAGCAGTCGCAAGTAAGATGGTCTTAGATCACTTACACGAGCCACTTTCCAAAATCAATAATAACACTGCATCTCTCATGCATCATCGCTTTCTACCACACTGGGGTATATATAACATCCTTGTCTTCTCACTCCGTACTCCTTTTGAGATGTGACGGGTCCCACCCATGACCTCACCAGACCTCCTCGGCGCTGACCTCAAATTTCTCCCCATCAACCCTGACACACTCCCCTTCCTTATCCCTACTACAACTCTTCCGCATATCCAGCGCGTCTTCGCCGTCGTTGTAATAATCCTTCACAACCCTGTAAACACTATACCCCATCTTGCGATACAATTCCTTCGCAATCTCATTACTCCTGCGCACAAACAAATCGACGAACCACGCGTTCGCCGCGTCGGACGAACGTTCCAGTGCAGATGACAATGCCGTCGCGTGGCCGAGGCGGCGCGCTGAGGGTGCAACAGTAAGGGCGGTGATGTGGCCATGGTAAGGGAGGTAGTTTGGGTACTGGACGCCGGTGGTGGAGGGTTTGTAGGGTTTTATTGGGGGTTCGAACGGCGAGGATTCGAGTTTGCCTAGGACTGCTATCGTGTTAGCATTTATCTTGCGTCTTTGACACAAGATTCTTGTAGGCGAAGCACGGAGAGTCGTACTGTAGCCTTCAATCTCCCCGTCCATTCCTTCTATTATCTGACATAGCTCGGGCCATTTGGTCAGGTACTCGAGGTAGAAACCGATGTTATACGTTTCCGTGAGGTGGTCGAGGTTGCATTCCGATATCCGGAGGAGGTCTGTTGGGCGCATTGGCCGAATTGTCGCCATTTTGCCGTGTATGGCCTGTTCTGGCACACAGCGACGTCAAGGGTGGTGGTGGCGTGGGCGTGGATGCGAGTTGTTGGAGGGATGATGCATGGCACTCCCGCGGGGAAGTCTCGCTTAGACTCGCTGGCCTGCTCTTGCTGGACGCGCTGGTCACTTCCCTCTACTCATCACCTCAAGACGCCGGAACTGATATCGTATAAGATATATTATGAGTTATCCACATATGGAATCCAACGCCGATAACAATGTTATGTCTGAGATATTGTTACAGAATGGGTATAGAGCAAATCAACAACAGCGCAGTACCGCCCGACCACCCGGTCTATGTATCCCGTCATCTTCTTTCTATATGCAATTGATTAAACCTGGTCTCCAACCTCATAGTGCCTGATGGAATTCAGTATACTCTTGTGACGCCATTCCTCTTCTCCACACGAACGGGCGTTGCCGTTCCAAGCGCTATCTCTTCCTCTTCCTGAACGGAAGTCAGCGGAGTTAGATGCGGAAAGAGTCAACACTGGCCTGGGGACCATTGACAAAATCCTTGACCGACGAAGAAGCCGACCGTAATCCGCGCTGGTCGTAGCTCATTGGGCTTTGCGCCCGGTGTGGACTTGATGGGTTGCGCAAGGCATCGAGGTGACGGGATACCCCATTTCCATTCGCATAAGGAGATGCCCCGCGCGAAGACTGGGAATATGAGCTGTTATCGTTGCCATAGTCGTCGGATCGGGGAGTTTGGTATGGTCGCGACGCTTGTGTTAGATTGTTGCCGCGAATGTCGTTGGGAATAGGCGGTGCTTGGCGAAATCTGCGATGCGGTGCAGAATGTTCTTTCTCGTCAACGAGAACAACCATCCATACGCCTACTGATCCGTTCTGACCGAGCAAAGGGGTACAGTGTATCCACCGGGGTCGGCCTTCTTCGTACGAGTCTTCGAGGTCTGACACGGCGTGCGGTAGCCAGCGAATCTTCGCCGTGACACCGCGTGACCCGTCTGAGAGCGCGTCGCTGAGAGACTCTCGCACGCGGTTGCTGCCACCGATGCGATCGAGGAAACGTGATTGGAGGATACCTGGGACGCGAAGGGACGGAGATGTGAAGAGAATGCGCAGGGATGGTGCTGGGCGCACAACAAGGTACTAGTGCATGTCAGTCTCGTCGTACCGTCGCGCATCAAAGGGCAACCACTCACATGTCTGTACGGACCAGATAGCCTACCGTCTGGCTTAGGCGCTGGCTTCTCAGCCCTGTCAACATCATACGTCGACTGATCCTGTATTAGCAGTCTGGGCTTGTGTTGCATGTTCGCCTCGTCCTGCTCTTCCAAATGTTCCCTATGCATATTGCCGCCAAACTTCCGCACTGTGTCCAGTTCCGTATTATTGAACATCTCACTGAGTGCTTGGAATTCATCCTTGGGTTGCTCCTTTTCTTTATGACCCTCTTCCTCATCGAGCATGCGCCGGAAAGCCTCGAGATCTGTGCTATCCTTTACGAGGCCGGAGATGTCGATTTGCGCTCCAATGAAGTAGCGGAGATTTCCTCGTGAGTCGAGAAGAGGCGCGATCATTAAAAGATTCATGAATGGCGATCCATCACGGCGACTATTTTGTGGTCAACTAAGTGCTAACCAGACAAGATCGCAAGAGTTACTTACTAGTTCAGGAAGACTTCACTGTGATCTTTTCCTTCTCGAGCAGCTATTCCAAAGCGCTCTACACTGCTCCGGTTTGTCTTTGGACCTTGGAGAAAGCGGCAGTTGCGCCCAATCGCGTACCCAACACCATACTGCGTCGTACGATGAAATTCTAGTTTCAAGTTAACGGATGCTCACTTTCCATGCGGAAGGCCCACTAACCTTCAGAGGCGAAGATGATCGGGTTATCGGTCCTGGATGGGTCTGTCAGGCAGAAGACTTCGGCCAGACCCTCGCTAGCCTCACGAAGCATCGGAGGTAAATTCCCTGTAACACGCTTCGCGATGCTCACGCTAACGACTTGGATGAAGACGTGCGTAATGAACGCCGGAAGATCGTCGCGGACCAGGACATCAAAGGCCCGATTGGCCTTTTCTTCCAGGACTGCGTTCATTGTAGTTCGTGCTGGAGTCTCGGTGAATTCTAGTCCAGGGATGGGTTCCAGCGCTTCTGCAACGGCATTGGCATAGCTGATAGCTCGTAGCGCTTTCAGTGCGTCAAGGTAGTAGATCAAAGTAGGAAGTGATTTGGGTCGGGCGACGCTCAGATACGACGTGAATCGAAGCAGTGATGCAGTATCGGCGAAGATGGCCTGCAGATGCTCTCTCGAAAAAAGTTGCTCGGATCTGGTCTCGAGCGAATATTGAGATCGAGCGTTCTCGGTCGGGGCGCTGACGAGATCAAAAGAATGGGGATCGTCTTCCAGTAATGGTGAAAGTCGATCGCCGTCATCTATCATCCCACCTTTCTGTTGCAAAGGCGCAAGTTGTTGCGTCGTAATGGATGGTGCTGCAGACTCGTACGACATCACAGAGTCGGCTGAGCTTCGTGTCGTGGTAAGTTCATTAATAGCAATTCGTGATGACTGTATATTTTGCGGCACTGCACTGGATGTGCGTGACATGCTTCGAGCACGAGACTGTTGCATGTCTGGTGTCGGTGTCGAACGTCCGTTGTTAGGAGATGATGGCTCTGCGCTGAGTCGTCTTTGCAACGATATACGCTTTTGGTTGGCGCGAGGAGTGCTGGAACTGTATGGGAGTGAGTAAATAGAACGAACTGTTTGAAGAGCAGATTAAGTACCTGGTCCGAAAGGGGATATGGATATCCTTTCTTGTAAAGTCTATCTGTGGTGCAGGAGCAGAAGTATCGTCATCCGAAAGCCAACTTTCATATCGCTCGGGATCAACCGGTCTAGTGACGGGTGAAAGAGGGGCACTCCTCGTAATTGAATTAGATGCATCTTGCATGGTTGCGAAGTCGAGGACCAGCGGTTCATTAAACGCACCGCCACTACCGTTGACATTGGGGTTGGCATCCGTATCGGGTGCCATGACGCTATCGACATACGCTGGGGCCAACTCGGTTGAGCTCCCCATTTTGGCTGGATTGATAGTGATGTTTGAACTCCTAGCAACGTCAGAAGACTTTTTGGAGAAGAGCACTCCATGTGCTGATCGCATCTTGTTCTTAAACATGGCCATTGCAATCGTGAAGGCTAGGTACAACGCCGCGGACGTTGAAAAAAACAAAGGTAACAAGTGCGGAAGTTTGATAAATGGAGAGCGGCAACGGCAGCGTATTGGGGAAGAAGACGCAGATCGATGACGGAGAGAAAGTATCTGGAAGGTAAACATACCGGAGAACCCAGTAAAAACTGACACGCTCAATAGGTCCCTTGTCTCTCAGTAGTTTGGGTACTAGTCGGTCGCCTGGCTGCTAAGATGTCGACTCGCTGGCGTCTGTTTTGGGAGCTAGAATGATCGCTTTGGTTTGGTAGGCTAATGTTCCTGCAGTAAGGATGCCGATGCACCGATAGTGTGGGCTAATGCAAGGCACGCTTAAGATGTCGGCGATCGTGAGATTTGCTGTCCGCTGCAAAGAATCGAAGATTAAGGCTCGAAGACTTCAAATAGGGTCTCGTATTAAGACAGGGGTGCAAGATAATATCGACAGAGTATCGCCCAAGAACGATGCAAGCTGAGATCGATGGTTGATCTGTGAATATCGTTGGATAGTCGAATACGTTGATGTTGTCGCAATCGTTGCAGTCGTCGCAGTCGAAACAGAGTTAGGAGGTTGGTCAGCGCATAACCAATCCCCGCATTCGCTACAAGTACATTTTGTGCACCTCGCGGCATACTTTACATCAACCTGTGACCCCTGTGCAGATCTTCAGACCGCCATGGCTAAAGAGACTCCCGCGGTCTGCATCGTGATGTGTTCCGTGGTCGGGATTCATGTCCGACTTTTGTAGCTGTCATGATCCTGGACGTATTTTCTGAAGGAACGCCAGGGTTTCGATCTAGCTAAGTGCAGTCGTGATCCGTGCACCCAAAGATCCCAAGTTACCCGTGCCCCCTATACGACTACGATAACCTCGGGATGCCTTTCCAACCTCATGGAGGCTCTTCCGAAAGTCTCTCTTCAGCTGTCAGTTGTCAACCTGTCGCGCGTCCCGTAACTCTTGCGCTAGACAAACAGGTTCAATCCCCAGACTTGCGACTTAGTATTATGGACAATATATCACTCTTCCTGCTCATGGCCGAATGGCACCGAACACATCTCCACACTGTGTCATCGCATTCGGATTGTCGAGTTGCTCGGATTTGACATATCCAGGTTGCTATCTGACTCGACTTTGCCCGATGTGGTATGTAGCGCATTACTCGCAAGCTTGCGTCAGCGCAGATCTTCTTTTGCGGAAGTCCCTTGCATGAGATGGTTTTCTTGGGGCATGGATGTGTAACTCCACTCTTGACGAGGGATGCTCTGGTGTTGAGCTTCACGGCGTCTCAACGGCGAATTAACTTTGTCTGTTATCCCACTACTGTAACCGAGCCGACAACGTTACGGCATGACGTGTATTGATCTGTTATGAACTGTGGACCCACGGTAGCTGTAGCTGACCTCGACGTGTCGATGCAGGGCGCTTTAATGTCCGAAAAAATTCGGCTGGGTTGCTTTTGTGCTATTGTCCGAGAGGCCATTGTTCCTTTTTGCGGGTGGTGGAGCAAGTGCTTCGATGTCAGCGCGGCACGTGTCGTGCGTGGGTCGGCGCTGGCTCGCGCTATGTGGGCTGAGGAGTTACGTTGACAGCGTCGCGTGGCAGCGTCATGCACTCTTCGTTGACAGTATCGACTAACCTCCACTAGATGCACAACGATGCTTGGAAGCCTACTGTTTCATTGCCACAGCGTGCAGCCAGCTGCGCAGCTAATACTATAGTATACACCAACCGAAACGGCTAACCCCGCCAATTTGCAACCAACGAAAAGATGCGCCTAGATCCGAAATCTAGAAGCCTACACTGTTAGCTTTGAGGCAAAGCAAATCGATGGAATCGTCTGAATCTAGGAGACCCTCGCAGCTCGGGTACACGATTCCCTTGAACTACCCTCTTATTTGGCTTTTACAATTCACGTCATTTTAATATGGATTCCCGGATACGCGTCGGTAGCAGCCGATGAACCTTATATCAAACCTTCCACTGCTCCGAGTTCTGGACAGTCACGTGTGGCCTATCACTCTGTTACTGTGATGTCCCTACCAATCAAAGAAATTACCTCTCATCTCGTCAGTCGAAGCGAATATTGGACAACGTAAGAATATCAGACGACAATAAGAGCGCACTATTGCGTATACCATCTTCCCATACAAAAGATTTTCACATGCCTCCAATCCTGTGTGTTGACACACAGCGGAGGATACCCAAAAGTATTGGGCAAATACGTTTGGGAATTACACGAAAGTACAACACAAGGTTGCTGTACCTAAGCGTTCTTCTTGTATCCTCAGGCGGGTTGGGTAACAGCATCGCTTTGCCAATAATACCCATCATCACTGCTGTCCTATCATCAAGGAGACGACATCACGATACCAAGTAGCTAACAGCAGTTTGTTGTATAAAATGGCCGATCATGGCTTCAATCCCTAGCGATGTCTGTGTTGTACTACCGCCTTGCATAACACCGTTTTCGTTGTATGGAAGCGCCGTGAAGCATTAGCCTGGATCAAGCTGCCGGTTAACGATAGGAAAAGAACTGCGGGAGCAGAACAAACTAGCGTTCCCTGACAGGCGAGGCAACTTTTGGAGATAGCAGAGTTATACGCTTGGTAATTATGCCGAGAGCCAAGGGGATCGCGGCGCATTGTAGCATTGCTCGACGGCACGGGACTACGCTAGGTCTTTTCAAGTGCCATCTTGATTTCTTTCTTCGGCCACTCTCCAAAGTTGATCGTACGATAACTCCACATCTGTGCACCAACCTCCTCAAGGTACATTCAAATCGGATGACCATTACCCAGAACCTCGTTGATCGCAACATCCGGTTGCTTATCTCGGTGCTCTCGGTACTACCCATCCAACGCAGAAAGAACTCCGGCAAATGACCGAACACCAAGAGAGGGGTGCCTTACTAGACGCCTGAATTCCATTGATTTGTCACAGTTCCAACGATGTTTGTCCGACGGACAGTTGTATTCAAAGCAGTGCAGCAGTAACATTGCTCTGAGTGCTCAGTCTAAGGCGAAGTCAAAGAGAACGCGACAAGCGACACCATGTTAAGAAAGGCACAGTGCACACTGAAGTTGGCAACAATGCTGAAGCTAGAAAGACCAGCGTTGACGTCGCAATTAACATCCTACAAAGCCATGCTGCGCCTCCCGAGCCAGAAGTACAGTACGTATCAAAGTCGAGCAGACTGCTGAGACCAGAGACATGAAGGAAGGTAAATCGTGGTATATCACGAGGGGATCAGTGGCGTCCTCGGACATTCCACAATCAAGTCCCCATGCACCAACAGAAGACGAAGATTTGTCCTCGCCTCGCGTTAGAATGCCCATACGATACAATGGCTAAACAATGAAGCGCGCTTACGCTTGAGGTGGACGACTGGAGCGGCTCACGGCTAGATCCAGACGTAAGAGCATCACTCCGACGCAAACGCGGTAGCTCACCTAAAACCCAGAAACATCGAAGCTGGCCATGATCCTTCATCACCACCACGAAAGTCGCGGTGTCATCCTCTAATGACGTCAATGTATATCTTTCATCTGGACACCATCACAGGGTTTCGGCGTCACTCCTAGATACGAATGCGGCCACTGGTCCAAGAATCAGATGATATCCGAGATATGGGCACTCTCACCACCAATCAGGCCATATATCGAAGAACCGAATAAAATCGCAGACGTGACTTCTTTTGGCAAGACAACTGCGTTGCGTTGCCCTCTGAGCAGCTTTCGAAGTCGAATCGGATGGAGAACCAAGGATATGTTTGGAAGTACATCGTAGGCTTCCGTCTCAGCACTATGATCCGGCGAAAACACACTAGTCCTTATGAAGACCAGACTGACGATTGTATGGGTATTCAGGTGTACGGGAAAGGTGTTCACCGACATTGAATATACATAAGGATCAAAAGCGATACCGACATAACCGGCATCAACGTCACCACGCTGCAATTCCAAAGCCAGGTTATCGTAGTCGACATGCTGTAGCACGGTTTTAGCCAGGCCAGCCTCGAACATGCCCAGGTGTGAGGTTGCCATTGTTCCTTCACTAACCGTTAATGTCCTAGTATTAGAGAAATAGCACCAGATTGTCCACATGAGCAATTTCAATCTTTAGCACCAACATCTACTATCTTCTGCTCGGGGTTTTGCTCGTATTTAGCTCTCGTTGATGGGCTTTCTCGCTATAAGCTGAAAGTGCTGGTGAGAAAAAAAACGCTTATGGATATGACGGCAAGCAAACTAATACCTGTGGCATTCTAGCAAAAGAACCTTGGAAGGTATTATGCTGCCAGGTTCTAAGCTCTCTATTGCTCCTTGTACCCTCTGACAATGTTGATTACGGCAGAAGTTTCGCGATTGCCACTTCCTCACACCTTAGCTGCTACGAAGCCTACATCTTTTGAGCTGGTCTTTCCAACACGAAACTATATCCTGAAGGTATTCGCTGTACCTTACGGTGTAGTAGGTCAAGGCAGAACCGAGTGGATACCCTTGTGGCACATATCGAGGAGGCAAATTACCACTATTCGCCCGCCATGGACCGTGTGATGCAGAGCAAGTTGTTTGAGCTGCTTAGGCATAGAGATGTAAATCGTCGCTGTTCTGCCGTACCATATACCACGGTCGTTCATCTGCTCGTGGTCATGACATGATGTTGTCAAGATGACAGCCATGAACGTAGCAAGAGTAGTCCGACATACAGCGGCGTTGTACAGCACAATAGCGTGGAGAAGTAACAGCAGGAAGAAGCCGAAGGTGCAGGATCTCATGTCAATAATCAAAGCAAGACAAGTAAGGTTGCGGAGAGTGGTGGAAGGCGTTAATTTGTCGTAGACAGTCATAACAGGAATGGCTAAACACTACAGACGAGCGAGACACTGCATTGACTGGGATTGGAAGATGATGTTTATTGGCGTGAGGGGTCACTCAAAGCCATGTTGGCACACCACTATATCTGCACCATGGTATCGCCGCTTTCCATGCGTAAGAAAGTGCAGAAGAGAGAATAATCGAGAAGTCCGAGAAACCACGCCGTTGACCATCCGTATCCCATTTTGCCAGCCAATACACCCGAGCCAACTGTCGCCGTCTAAATGTAGGTCTCGTAAGGGATGGGTGTGATGTTCTCTGGCTTCTGCTCCTTGAGGCTGACGATGTGCTCGGCACGGGGCTGTGCGGGCTGGCGCTTCATCTGCTGGGGCTCGCCAGTCTCCTTGGCCTTTTGTTGCTTGGCGAAGTTGAGCTTGACGCGCTTGAGGAAGTCCTCTCGTGAGCGGGAGTGGCGGACGTGCTCGATGCGGACGTTGATGCGCTTCTCCATGTATCGGTTGCCGACCTGCTTCTGGAGGATGACACCGACAGCAGACTTGGTGACGTTGTAGACGATACCGGTCTTGCCGTGGTAGACCTTGTAGGGCATACCCTTCTGGACCGCACCTGTTTGTTTATAAGTCGTCCGCCTTCAATCGCTCTCGCTGGGTTTCTGGGTGTCTCGTACCGTTGGCTACGACATCGACGATATCACCGACCTTGTACTGCTTGAGGTAGGTCGAGAGAGGGATCATACCCTTCTTCTTGAAGTCCCTCGAGAAACTGTCGCAGCGTCAGCAATCGTCGCATAGGCGTCGCAATAATTCTCTACGTACGCATAGCGCGTACCCGCGCGGAGACCGGCTGCGTGACCCATTGTGTGTGAATTTGGGCTGGTGTGTTAGTACGGCGGAATTGAGGTTCGTGATGTTCAAGAGTTCTATTTCGACTTGCACTCTGTGATTCCTCGCTTAGCGGCGTTAGCGTTTTGTGAGGTCCGTGCGCGCCCACCTGATTTTCGAACCTCGAACATGAAATCCAAACTCCAACTTGGACAGTCTCCTCCTCATCGACAACCACAATGGCGCCTCCCCGTTCCTACTCCAAGACGTACAGCGTCCCCCGTCGTCCTTTCGAGTCCGCTCGTCTGTATGTGATACCCCATGGCCACTGAGCGAGAGCGTGCTCCGCTTATGTCTGGGACACAAGTTAATGTTGGGTTAGGGATACTGAGCTGAAGCTCGTCGGCGAGTATGGTCTCCGCAACAAGCGCGAGGTCTGGCGTGTCCAGTTGACTCTGTCCAAGATCCGTCGTGCCGCTCGGTGAGTTCTCATTGTTACCGCCTGTGCGCAATTGCTGCGCAGTTTGCGAGACACGAGTTTACTAACATGTTGCAGTTCGCTTCTTACTCTCGACGAGAAGGACCCCAAGCGCCTCTTCGAGGGTAACGCCCTCATTCGCCGTCTCGTACGTGTCGGTGTCCTTGACGAGTCCCGCATGAAGCTCGATTACGTCTTGGCCCTTAAGATTGAGGACTTCTTGGAGCGCCGTCTCCAGACCTGCGTCTACAAGCTCGGTCTTGCCAAGTCCATCCACCACGCTCGTGTCCTGATCCGCCAGCGCCACATCCGGTATGCACTTGCTCTTGGTTGCTCAAAAGACGCGCAGCTAACAATTTTATAGTGTCGGCAAGCAGATCGTCAACGTTCCCTCCTTCATGGTCCGCCTCGACTCCCAGAAGCACATCGACTTCGCTCTGACCTCGCCATTCGGTGGCGGCCGTCCTGGCCGTGTCAGGAGGAAGAAGGCCAAGGCCGCCGAGAAGGGCGGTGACGAGGATGCTGGCGAGGAGGACGAGGAGTAGAATATACGCCAAAAGGAATGATTCACGGATGATCGGCGTTCGGCATGACGGGATGAATCTCTTCGACAGTTATCCTGTCCTTGAAAGCACTATATCCCTTGTGGGTCTGGGCCGGTGGATGATCTACATATACATCATGTAGACACTACCCAAAATTTTCAACTGCCATCGTCTGTCTCAGTTCACTCATGATGTCCGTGATCAAGTACATGCTCTATAGCCATGTATTCATCGTTGAGAATCCGCTCAAGGTCCCTGTGCTGCTCTGTTCCTAAATCGAACAAGTGAAAGAGCCCGTGCTCTCTGGTCTGTAATCCAGAGCTGGCAGTGCACCCTGCAGGTAATTTGCGTTCTTTACTTCACAGAAACGTTGATACATGACGCAGTAAATACCTGTCGCCTACCATGCGCCCACATCACAACTCATGCAATACAAACGACTGATGTATTTCCGTCATGGAAGCCGTCGATTGAAGTGTTTGGATGTGTTCTTTACTATATAATATCTCTAGTACTCAGAATCATCAGTATACAACCGCGTAACTGGACTAGGTCTCCTTCCCTCGGACGAACTCAATCCAGCCGCAACCCTCTCCTCGCCCACCTTAGCCCTCGCTTGCTGCATGATCCACAGTCCTGAACTAGTTCCCAATCGTGTCGCGCCAGCCTCGAGCATCTTCACGGCGGTGTCCAAATCCCTAACTCCACCACTCGCCTTAACCTCCATCTTCTTCTTGCCTACTTTGCGCGACGCGAGGTATTCTGCCGCGGCCACCATGAGCTGCACGTTAGGAAGATTCGCGCCTGGTCCATTAAAGCCCGTAGACGTCTTGATAAAGTCGAAGCTAGCAGCGGCGGCAAGATGAGACGCTGCCAAAATCTGCGCAGAGTTCAATTGCGAAGTTTCGAGAATGAGTTTGAGCGTTGTTGGGGCAGGGCAGAGGCTTCTTATGCTAGCCAGTTCTCTGTAAATAGCACTGTAGTCTGGGATTTCTCCCGCCTCTTCTTCGCCAATGTCGCTGGCTGTGCTGCTTCCGGCGTTGATGGCCGTGTTGGCGGCGGTAATGCTGTCGATTGCTGAGTCTCGGGCACCGAGAATGTGGTCTGCTGGTGGGGAAGCAGGTCGATTGTGCTTAGTAAGGAGAGAGTAGTTGAGGACGACGTCGAGTTCTGCGGCACCTGCTGCTACGGCGGCACGTGCTTCCTGCAGCTTGTAGTATGTGTCTTGTGTTCCTTCATGGAAGCCAACAACGCAGGCTACGAGAACGTCGGTACCTTTAAGGTTGGAGACGCAGCGTTGTACATAATTTAGGCGGACGCAGACCGACTGTGGAACGTGTTAGTTGGGTGTTATTCAGTGCTGTGCCGTGCAGCACGTGTCTTGCAGTTTCGTAGCCAAAATATCCAACTCATCCTCGACTCAAGCCAGCATCAAACCTCCGGGAACAGACATACCTTGAAGTTCTCCGTCCTTGCCTCACTGCATAGCCCATCAATGACCGTGGTCGTCGCGTCCAACTTGAGAACTGTGTGATCCACCGTCTTAGCCAACTCTTTAAGCGCTTCCTCTCCATTCCTCATCCTTGGACCTTCATAAACCTTCTTCGCCCTCGCCCCACTGTCCACCTCTTTCATAACATTCTTGATCGTCTCATCGATCTGCGCCTTCCACTCCTCGTTAGTATACCGATCGGTCATCATCTTGATAGGGTTCAATTTATCGTCGCTGAGATCCGGGTTAGCGGCTAGGAAACCGCGGATCAGAACTTCGGATTCCGTCAAAGGGATGGGGTGAGGATTGGTTGGAGCCTGTCCTCTCACGCCTGCTGATGATGAGGTAGACATTTTACGCGACGCGCTGACGCGTGTTTGTTGATATTAATATTGATTATTGACTGGTCTACTTTAGTGCCAGCCGGAATGTGAGCCGCGGGGGTGCGCGAGCGAACGAACGTGCGAGTGGAAATATTGACGATGACGTGGGGTGGCTTGCTCTCGACTCGTGTCCGCTCGTTAATTGGAATAAGGAATTTAGGCGAAAGACGATGTAACGGCTTTGCCTCCTATCACTAAAAGAAGCGGCCGTATCAACGACTGTTATATGCAATCTGGTGTGTTGGCGGAGGTCGGCGTTTTGCCAGTCATGTGGTTGGGTGTAGGGAAGGTGCGATGAACTGGCCAGGGGTCTCGGCCACGCTTCCCCACTTGGAGAGCAGAAAATCTGGCCAAGAATGATGTCCTTCTATTCTAGGTAAAGAGTAAGACTCGTTGCGATACTAGTAAGTCACGAATGTGTCAAATCTGCAAGGCTTGGTACAGGGCCTATAGATGATCCTGGGTGAAGTATCAGACGAGGTCGAACATGTTAGTATGTTGCAAATGAATTTAGTACCCGGGCGTAGATGCCATTCAGCTGAGAAGCTAGGAGTCACTCTTGGGTGTGTGTTTGTGAAATGAATGTGAGGATTTGACGCTTTGATTTACAAAGGACCGCTAGCATGCGTAGGTATCCTCGATTGCAAGCCGGTCCTCACCTCGGACGACTGATCCAAAGGCTCTGAAATGCTATCTCTCCTCCCACATGCATGTACATGAAAGCTGAAAGACCATGCCGAACAAAAGGAAATAGATTCGAGGAAAAGGGTTGTCCATCAGCGCTTAGATATCCGGAACTCCCGTTTTTGTGACTTTTGCATTGACTCGAGTCGAAAGATCCCTCTTCTATCCTGCGGTCGAGTCGATCGGCGCCAATGAGATCTACACCCCTAAGCCATGATAGTCGTCATCGTAACCCATCAATCCCCGCTGTCATCACTCCGACGAAACGTTTACTTCCTTCGGAAAGAGCAGCCCTCGGTCAATCGCGCCTTGCCACCAGTGGGCTGGCACCTGTGAATGCGTTAGCCCATGCCCTGAATCCATATCCAATTGTCCAAAACTTACAGGACCTGCGAGCAGCCCTGGCAGACGACGACTGTGTTGGCGTGCGAGAAGACGGTGGTGATGGTGAAGCATCCGGGGCACTTGACGTCCATGAAGAAGGAGCGGGGAGCGGGCACGAGGGTCTTGAGCTTGTGCTTGCGGGCCTCACTAGACTCTTGTTAGTCGCAGGTCGAGGGCGAAGAGGGGGAAATGTGTGCGTACGCGGCCGGGGAGGGGTTGAGAAGGTCAACTGCGAGAACCTGAAGCCTTGTTAGTCCAAAATACTCATTGAGATGGCCTTTTGCGCAAGGCGAGGCGGCAAGAAGTTGCGAATTCAAGATGCTGTGGCAAACTCCGAGAGTCTCGTGTGCCCGCTCACAGAGCCCTCTTGCGCGTCCCCGAAAGCTTTCAGTGGCTCAGACTCACCATTTTGACGGTTTATGGAGAGTCTCTTGGTTTGGTTGATTGTCGTTGATGGCTTGAAGTCGATTGAATCGGGCGCGAGAGTCGAGACGGCTGGAGAGGGGGATCAATTTTCGACATCAGCAACCAGCGGCCACACATTCGTTAGCGAGGGCGCTAGGATTCTTGGCGGTCCGTGCACACTGGGATGCTTTCACTGTGCTCCAGAATCTACAGGATGGTTCTAGGTACTCTATTGAGCTTGATTTTATTTTGCGAATCATTCATGTATACATTGGTAGTTGTTGGTGTGGCTGTGAATGCGCGCTTTACATCGATGACGGAGCTCGCTCTAGGGCGGCGAAACGTGCACGTGAACCAAACATGAAAAGACCGCGCGCACTCAAGTATACTTAGGTATACATACAAAGGCAAAGAAACGTTCTGGACGAGTATACATTAAAAATTGGTGTCTGAAAGCCAGCAAAACGGTGCAATTATACTGCATACAGCTACAGTAGACTCGACTATTCGCCTCCGACTGCATGGCGACATGCATCTCCAAATCAGAGGTAAAAGACAGTGTCCAGATCGGGCCGACTAGGCGGTATGATGTATTCAAGCACACGACACAAGAGATCTTCCAGTTCGAGAATGCAAGTGAGTCCTGACTGGTCAGAAGTCGTACCGCAAACTGTGGAACACTTAGGTGCCGACCAGGAATGTGGGAATTCAGATAGTAGGTTTTCTGTGTGGCCATCTGCTCCAGCTGAGTTGCAGTCAGCGCTAAAATGCGAAGTATTACCCCATTGCATCTGGGGCTACTTCCTTACCTGTCCTTTTACCCCACTTAGCGTCACCCCCAAGCCGATGGTATACACCAAGACTGTCTATAAGTGTCAAGACCAGAAGCAACACAGACAATGGAATAACTTGGTCATTCACATCAACGACACTTTTACGATTCAACATGGCAGCCCAACAAAAGAACACGCAAGAGATGGAGAAGGCGAGGAAGCTGAACCATGTTCCCTGGTGCGAGGAATACGAGAAAATGATCTCGGGGATGCTGTATGTACACAGACTATGTTTTCCAAGTTTATCCCGCATGTGTTTACCGTGGTTATTGCAATGTTGTTTAGAGGCTTTCTGGGAACATCTGGTTCCACGCTCTATTATGAGATGGCCAAAAGCCCAAAGTGTACTGTGAAGGTATTTGCCGTGTTGTACATGGGTACTTATCAATGAATAACACGGTGAATACCTTGACGATATACTGAAGAGTCAGAACTAGACATTCGCTTCCATCTCTTACCCATCCGACTAATACAACAACCCAGCTATAACGCCTTTACCCCCGACCTGAACGCCGCCCGCTTCAAAGCCCGAGCCTTTGCCAACAAATACAACACCTGGTTTCCAGACCCCGAAACTACCGACACAGAAAAGGGCTTCGATGTCCTCGCTGCTGAACGATTGGGAATGCTCAAGACAATCATCGGCCACGTAGCCGACGACGAAATCTTCATCGAACCCCCTTTCAATATCGACTACGGCTGCAACATCTCCCTAGGCAAGCGTTTCTACTCCAACTTCAATTTAACTATCCTTGACTGCTCGCTTGTGACGATAGGAGATCGGTGTATGTTCGGTCCTAATGTGTCTATTTTTGCGGCGACACATGAGGCTGAGGTGCAATCAAGACGGGATAATATTGAGTATGGTAAACCTGTTGTAATTGGCGATGATTGCTGGATTGGTGGGAACGTGGTCATCTTACCCGGGGTGAAGATAGGGAGGGGAGTTACGGTGGGTGCGATGAGTGTGGTTACGAAAGATGTGCCGGAGTTTTGTGTGGTTATGGGACAGCCGGCGCGAGTTGTTAAGAAAGTTGCGGAGGTACCGGTGGAAGATGATAGTGCTGTGGCTTCTTGATGGCTACACACCTCTTCACGGTCAATGTTCAGAGAAGAACTGGATATTTTGGATTGGATTGTATGACGAGCGTGAGCTACCTGGCTGTATTCTAAACAATATGACATCCACTCTGAAAGCTCTGTCAATTCAGCTCATTTATCCAAAAAGCTCTCATTGCCGAGGGCGTGAACGCATATAGACCTCGCCAAACCAAGGAAAGAAGTGAAGGGAGCCAGCGCCGAAGCTGTACTAGAGCAAACATGTACAATAAAAGTATAAGAGCGTCGAAGCGGTATAAAAGGTTGAGGGGAAGGTCTATGATGGGAGCACTACTAGCCAATCCGTGCCCCCCTTTTGAGTATGCGTCCTATCCAGTTGGACTTGGGCCAACATCAAACAGTTTGCCACCTTTTCCCAACAAGCACAGAACTAGCGATAGAGTAAAGATAAGAAGAAGGGTACGGGCGATGCGGGTGCAGTGGAGGAGATGCGGCGACAGAAGTTGGGGTGTCGTGCACTTCTATCAAGGTGCTGATAGCGTACGGGCAGCCCGAGTACTTCGTAGTAATAGGGTTGTGTTCGGGAAAGACAACGGAAGGGTGATATCGGCCTAGAGGATGGTGCAGCCGCCGCTTTGGTCTTTGCTGGTCTTAACCTGCAGAGCGACACGAGCGGCTTCGGTAAAGGCCTCGTTGACGCCTCGGTTCTTCATGGCGGAGCATTCTAGACATGTTAACCGGCTGCCATTAGTCTCGATAGTAACATAGCTTACCCAAGTACCGCAGCGCCTTGATCTTCTCTGCTACGCGCAGACCTTCGTTGTAATCGATGCATGGCTTCTCGGGCTCTTGGTCGTCGGCGTCATCGTCTTCTTTTTTCCGCAAGTCACACTTTAGTGCAACAAGTACGAGCTTGACGCCGGGGCAGTTCTCTGCTATTTCGCCGACCCATTTCGTTTCTACGTTCTCCAGCGAGTCCGGTGAGTCGACCTGTGCCGTGTAAGTTACGATTTAGGTAGAATGACGCCGGATAGTCGTACCGAAAAGCAAAGCATGATCGCGTGCGTGTCATCGTAGCTCAGCGATCGCAGCCTGTCAAATTCTTCCTGTCCGGCTGTGTCCCATAAACTAAGCTCGACGTGTGTGTTGTCGATGTAGATGTCTGTAGCACTACGTCAATCGTGTATACATGAATTGTGGATAGGCGCACAAACCGTGTACGTAGTTCTCTAGGACATTTGTTAGCGACATGGACATGGAGCACGAGGAGGATCCTTACCGAATACTGTAGGCTCACTGGAAGGGCTCTATTAGCCTCGAGCGCGTACCTAGTTTATGCAAATCACTCACTATACTGTTGGGAAGTAACTATGAATAAGTTAGCAAACTAGGAACATGGCACAAAAGAAGATGGTACATACCCTCTTGTGAAGACGTTAAGTAACGAGGTCTTTCCGCATGCACCGTCACCGCTGTCGGAGGTACGTTAGCCTTATTCTGTCGCATCATGCCTCGATCGCCCGAACAAAGAGGCTCCCCCGCACATGAGAGACGTACAGAAGCACCAGCTTGCGCTGCACAGACTTTGTTCCACCGCACATAGGCATCGTGAAGGTCGCGTAGGGAGACTCGGCGATAGGTTGGTTCCGTCGGCTCAGGGACGAGAGAGCGCGCGCGTGTCGGTACAACAAAGGACGACGGTCGCGGTCGGGGTAGCGCGTGTGGTGAGGACGAGGGTGAGAGTCGCACCGAGGATTCTTAACGGATAATGATAAGGATGTGTGAGTTGAGAGTTAAGCCGGGAGGGTTCCAGATGCTGGGCTGGAGATGCAAGCGATGGATGGATGGAGTTGAAGATCCACCCACGTCGCTAAGGCTAAGCCTAAAAAGACGGTTAGTACTGCTCACTTCCGCGACCATTCCACGGCTTCGACACTATCGCATTTTGGGTATCAACACGGACGTAGCACCATGCGTTTGTCGGCTGAGGCGTGCAATAGTTGACCCAAATGTGCTCAAAAGGCTGTCAAAGTCACTGGTGTGCGCTGGGAACAGGCCAAGAGCAAGTGCAAGTGCCAACGACAAGACCTCAGCGAACCTTGAAGAATTCGGCGTTGAGGCTAAGATGACGGCCTGTGACCGTGGACCGAGTTAAGGGATCTGCTAGTGACGGCGAGTGGTTGAGAAGGGATCTGGGATAAGAGCTCCCGGGGTCTGAGCCTTCTCCACATGCTGGAAGCCGGACCGAAAAAAGAAGGTCGCGACTTTAGCATATGCTGTCTAATGCCCTCGTTTGCCGCCTACTGCACGCTATAGTATACTCCAGATATTGCCGACACAGCCTTCTCGCAGCTCATTACGGGCTCTGATATGTTGCACAGGATCAAAACCACAAGTTTGCTTTGACATCTGATTGATTCAGACTCAATAATACGTCAGTGCCCACAGGGAGATGAGGCGGAGCCAGCAAATATTTTGGAGATTGAAGGCGATTGCTGTCGGACCCAACGTGTTCACAAGTAGACATTACCATGTTGTCGTTACACAATTTCGTAAGCACAAGTCCGAACACGTGTTACTGCACTTGCAACATGGTCTGAGAGAATGCATAGTGAATATGTCGATGCATTTCATGGGTGCTGCATCTGGGGAGCTTAGCCCCGCGAAAGTGGGGCTCTTCCGCAGGCACCTACCGCCGCCTCACGTAGGCAAACAGTCGCGGGAGCTCCAAACAACACCTTACTACGCACACTCTACCACCCAAACTGATAATCTCGTACCCACATCTCTATCAGGGTCGAGAATTACGCCTGCAGCACTGCTCCCAACTTCAACACCCACGCCACAGTCATGTCTGACGATGACGATTTCATGCAAGACTCCGGCGAGGAGGAGTAAGTCGCAATCAATAACTCCAGCCAACATCTCGTCTAACACGCTGCAGGTACGACTTCGAATACGAGGACGACGACGACGAGCAGAGCGGCGATGTCGATATCGAGAACAAATACTACAATGCGAAGCAACTAAAGGCCGACGATCCCGAGGCGGCCATAGATGAATTCCTGGGAATGCCTGCTCTAGAAGAAGAAAAGTCGGACTGGTAGGGCATATGGACATCTGGGGGAGCGAATGCGTGCTGACAGGTTCATAGGGGTTTCAAGGGACTAAAGCAGGCAATCAAGCTGGAATTCAAGCTTGCCCGCTACGACAAGGTAAATATGGCGACAACCGAGAGAGAGAGAGAGAGAGAGAGAGAGAGAGAATCTCGGCTAACATGCACAGGCTGTCGAGCATTACAAGGAGCTGCTGACCTACGTCAAGTCGGCCGTCACGCGCAACTATTCCGAAAAGTCCATCAACAATATGCTCGACTTCATAGAAAAGGCCGCAGAAGACGCCGACGCATATCGCTGCATGGAGAACTTCTACGCATTGACTCTTGATATCTTCCAGAGTACCAATAACGAGCGGCTTTGGCTAAAGACCAACATCAAGCTCGCCAGGCTGTGGTTGGATAGGAAGGACTACCGTCAGCTTACGGAGAAGCTCCGCGAGTTACACAAGGCCTGTCAGAAGGAGGATGGAACAGATGACCCGAGCAAAGGCACATATTCATTGGAAGTCTACTCGCTGGAGATTCTGATGTACGCCGAGACCAGGAACAACAAGCGACTAAAGGTACGGCCCGTCCCCCTTCAACCTCACCTGCATCAGCGCTAACACCATGACAGGCACTGTACCAGCGAGCGCTCAAGGTCAAATCCGCAGTCCCGCATCCCAAGATCATGGGTATTATTCGGGAGTGTGGTGGCAAGATGCACATGAGCGAAGAGAACTGGAAAGGGGCGCAGAGTGACTTCTTCGAGAGCTTCAAAAACTACGATGAGGCTGGATCGCTCCAACGAATCCAGGTCCTGAAGTATCTGGTCCTCGCAACCATGTTGTCGGGCTCGGACATCAATCCCTTTGACTCACAGGAAACCAAGCCCTACCAGAACGACCCGCGCATCTCTACAATGACGGATCTAGTCAATGCCTATCAGCTCGAAGACATTCACGGTTACGAGAAGATCCTGCAGAACAACCAGGATTTGCTCCAAGATCCATTCATCGCCGAGAACATTGACGAAGTCACGCGAAATGTGCGAACCAAGGCTGTCGTCAAGCTCGTCGCACCCTACACCCGCTTCACATTGGCCTTTATCTCGAAACAGCTCAAGATCTCCCTGTCTGAGGTGCAGGAAATCGTAGGGTTCCTGATTGTTGACAAGAGGCTGCGCGGCAAGATCAACCAGCAGAACGGAACGGTGGAGATTGAGAGTAGTACAGACATGGATCGGGTGCAGGCGATGAAAGAATGGAGTAGCGCCATCGGAGCCCTGTGGCAGACGGTGCTGAACGACGGCGACGGCTTCAAGTCAGATGAGAGCGGTTCTCAATTCACGCCTGGTGGTGGCGGACCCCAAAGCATGAGCTGGAATCAAGGTGGTTCAATGGGGGGCAAGTCTGGTCGAGGCAAAGGCAAGGGTCTGGGGCGGCTTCCGGGAGTATTGGGCAAAGGATGACTTGCAGCATCGGTCGCGGGCGGTCCACAAGACGACCTGTAACTGGGTTTCCGGGCAAGCCGCGGAGCAGAGGTAGTTGCACAGTACCGTCACCTGGTCGTTTTTCACCTGAAGTAATTGAGACATGCGGTCAGGTTGTTCAAGAGAAGAGACGAAGTTGGTCAATCGGGTAACACCCGGCAAGAGTTTCCTTGCACATGAGCGGTAGGCGTCTCAACACAGTAGGCGGGCAGCGGACATGTTCGGTCACGCTATGAAGTGCAATTACACACAGGTCAGCGGCGGTTCAAACTTGTCTGTATGTAACATTGCCTCGTTTTCTGGTAGCAATAGCCAAGGTCCCGATTGCGCGGTCATCGCGGTAGCCTGCCGCCACCAAGCGTCTCCGCATCTCGATGCTAGTGAGCATGGTGATCTCAAACTTCGCTCACCTCTCGTATACGAATCACAAGTGGGTTTCCCGACGATAGCACTGCGCGCCGGGGAAGCGGGCACAGACGAGGGTTGTTGCAAGCGAGCCTCTCAGCTAATGGCAATGCTCCCACGCCGTGCCCGCCCTGACTCGCACGCAGCGTGGGATCGGTAACTGGACTAGAGTTTATCTCGGGTGCGCGGGCAGTTGTTTTTTCTGTCGCAGAAGCGCCACGGGGCGGCAGAGCGAATCATGCTATGCAGGCGGCCACTGCAACATGAAGGCTCAGGCGCCAGAGGGCGGTCTTGGCATGTTCCTCGACGCCATGGGTGTCTCGATGATGCTGTGTTGAGCGCAATCCAAGACGTGACACAGCGTTCTTCGTCGATGCATGCACCACCAGCCTCGGGTTCTGCAATTGTTCCGGTTGGCGGCACTGCTCGAATGCTTGCTACACTTGACGAGAGCTCGAGAGGGTTCTCATGCCGTCATGCTAACCGTCTCGTGACTCTGGTTTTTTCCCGCGGCTCTTTACTCGGCGATTCAACGTTTGATGTGATGGAGCGTCAAGAGTGCACTTCAATCTCCAGATGCTAACCCATGAAGACTAGTGGGAACGTAAATCGATATCACACCCTGGCATGGTGGGCAACTGTTGCCGGGTGGTCTTGGAAGATGTGGCATAGAGCATCTCATAGTAGTTTCTTTTGCTCGATGCTCCCTGGCGCTGGTTGTGTGGAGTGGCCTCCCTCTTGTACACCGTCGCGCCCTGCTCTCTCTCTCTCCAGCAGATATCCGGTGCGACTGAAATTGGCCGTTTCAAAGCGGCTGGATCATAGTGTTGCAGACTGTTTTGGTGCCTGGCAGGTTGAATTCCACTGGCACGCCGCGAAGATCCCCTCCTGTCTCTCCCATATATTGGCGTCTGCCCCTGGACGCCCGTGAGTATCACAGCAACGACACAGCTTCCAGCCTACCGCCGCCGGCCTCTGCACCTACTAAAGACGCTGCTGCCCTCCCCAGCAGCCCGTCGACGAATTGTTGCTGAGATAGTTTGCGCGTTGCCGAATCTGTCGTGGAATCATTCCGTCCAATTGCTAGCCACTGAGGCCAGTCACGCCCACCCAGGGAGCCATCTGAGCGCACACGGCGGGCAACGCAATTAAACATACACACACACATACACACAGACACGCTCATAACATCGAGACGAGATGAGCAGACAGTCGGTGTTGACGGGCTATCACCCTCATGGCCAGCATCATCCACACGCGCACCTGCACCAGGGCCACTATGGAGTTCCGGCTCAGAACCACTACCAAGGCGGATTAGCGTTCGCTATTCGCGCGCCGGTCCTTGCTCGCGGGAGCTATAATCACCACACTGGCCATCACCCAGGCCACCAGCATCGCAACCCCCACCTCAACATGGCTGCGTATCCCTCCGACGACGAGTATGCCCATCTGCAAAAGCTGTCGAGCGAATACGAGCCTGAGGCTACTGTGAGTCTGCTTGCGACAATGTTCGCAGAAGCGCGCTGACCGCCCAAGGGCCCACTTGTTGGAGAACGCCAAAGCAGCGCTGCCATCACGACTGAGTATGCCGCCGCAGATCCCGTCTTTCAAGTCAAGACGGCTGCGCTGCCAGCCAAGTATGCCTACTTTCGCACCTGTCGTGGCGATGGCCACTGCGGATGGCGGGGTGAGTGATCATCACGTTCCCTTAGTGCTGTTTGCCGGTGCTAATAGGAACAGCAATCGCCTTCACCTATTTTGAGGCCTTGCTACGCGTGGGCGATGTGAACAAGTTGGACCATGAAAAAGGTCGCCTCGACTCGCTAGGCAATATGCTCGCGAACATTGGTTACTCACGCGACATCTGGATTGACTTTGCCGAAGAGGCGTTCGAGCTTCTAGACAAGCTTGCCAACTCGCTGCGCGCCATGGACGGCCAAGCCGAGAACATTCTCCTACGTACTTTCAACGACATGAACGAATCCATGGCGATTATCACTTACGTCAAGGTTGGTATTCGCCATCTCCAACCATTCCAGACGCTAACCCTTTCTCAGCTCCTAGCCAGTGCCTGGGTGCAGACGCACGCAGACGATTTCATGCATTTCGTGGACAATGGCGACGTCAAAGCATACTGCTCAAACTACATTGAACCTACTCAATGTGAAGCTGACAATGTTGGTATTGCTGCCCTCGCCGAAGCGTTAATCAAGCCTGCTGGATTTGGTTTCGAAGTGTGGTATCTAGACCGCTCACCAGGAGAAGAGATCAACCGTAGCTTTTATGCGGAGCCAGCAGACTCACACCATCGTCCTATTGCCGGTGCTCCTATGTTGAGGCTGCTCTACAGACCGTAAGTCTGCCACACACAAGACACCTTTTTGGCCTACTAATCCTCCTCAGTGGCCACTACGACATCCTGTACAAGGCTGGAGACGTACCCCAGATTCAGCATCAACCTGTTCCCCAACAGCAACCACTCCATGTTGCCCTAGCCAACTACACTGACGAATTCATACCGACTGCAACAAATGTCGGCGACGTCATGAACATGATCCCGGGAATGTATCCATCTGGTGTCGGTCTAGGCCAGCGGTGGCCTTCGCTTTCGTACAACTTCAGCCCCAGTCCCGCTTCCCATCCTCAGGTTACGCCTGTCCAGCCATATGTTCCAACACCAACGCCTGTAACGCCGGTTACCACTTCCCACTTGGACTTTGTTACACCAATCCATTCTAGCAACCCAAGCCAGTACAACCCGTCGAGTCATCACAACATACACCTCGACCAACCTCCTGTGACACTTCCCATACATCCCCCTCCGCCACCCGTGAGCATCGAACAAGCAGCTCCTATGAGCGTGGAGAGGGGCGGTCTTTTCCGGCCTTCAATGTATGAGCTTGAACCGGGGTATGGCTCGTCAATGCAGGTACAGCCATTTCAGACGTCCATCTTTCGCAAGTAAGTATCGGCCCGATAGCATACTTGACTTCCACTAACAGGCTCAAGTTCCCACTTCAATACCGCGCACTTCATGAACCCTGACTTTGAACCCGAGCAGTGGTGTCCGGATGGCGAATACTCCGTGGGCAATAAAGGTCGGCACAAGTCGTACTCATCTTGAACATCTTTCCTTGCTTGAATCCGACAGATGCGCTTTCTTGGTGGCCTTTTCCCGATATCTTAGCGACTACTAGCGTGGCGTTCATTGAGCTTGCCTTGCTTTTCTGGCATCCTGCATCATACTCTCCACGGCCTTAGCACCCTAACGACGAATGACGACCGGTACCATTGTTAACCATTTCTTGGAATATCGCTCCACCACCCTCACACATGCAAAAGCGATGGTACTTCAAGTGCCCACATTCGGGCTACTTGGCCACGCACAGATGCCTCCAAACTAGCATTCGTCCACAGCTCATCTTCGTCAAGCGTGGGCGGAGTGCTGTATCTTTTTTTTTTCTTCCTTGCAGGCCAACCCCGTAAGGATCTACGACTGTGACGAATACCAAAGACTATCTGCCTCAGGGTGATCGACCTTAGAGTTGAACATCTTTATTGGTTTCCGTCTTTTCTCTTCTCCCATGGCATTATTAGCGACCACTCATCACCGTCGCCATATTCTAATCATACACTTTCTCTCAGTTTAATACAAAACACTATTCGGTATGCGCGGTCTTTCTATCAATCTGAAATCCATGCCCTCTTACACCGGGTACACAAGATTGCGACTCGGACACCGTGTGCACCCATCACTCAACATCTTGGTCCGCACGACAGGCCATAAGCCTCCTACAGGCACCCTCGTTCAGGATCCTACGTTCTCGACATGTACCTCGGCTTGTGTGGAACAAGATATCGCAAGCTGGTAGGATGCAGGGGTCCATGTTCCAGATGCTACACGGAGCAGCTATAGCCGAGGATAAGGCGCCTTTATCACTGCAAACAGACAGCCTTGTCGCATATAGTAGCAGGATGGACAGGATGGACGGGAAAGACCGTCAAAAATAAAGCAATATAATCCCAGGTATCTCACTTGCTGAAGGTCATCATGTGGAGTATATGTGACGTGCTTATAGTGTATACGTCACCGTTTAGACCCCATTTCCTTCCAGCAAGAGTAATACAAGCAGAATCAGAAGCCCATGTAGACGATCACTTTTGTTCAAATTTCCCAGAACGGAGCATCGCAATCTCAAAAAAACGGTTGCCCCGTCAAGTACTCTGATATTTCCCAATATTTCCAAAGTCTTCCACAAAAGCGGCCCCCACGTTACACTCTTTGTCCAAAAACCTCGGCTTTATAAGATCGCCGGTTAAATTCTCCATGCATCGGACGATCGCATACTGCAAGCACTCTGATCCTGAATGTTATAAACGGTGTAATGGGAATTGTCTGATATCGAACCATTATGCAGGTGCGAGCAGGGATGGCGTAACGCGCGTTGCCCGATGCTGGACTAGCGAGTTGACAATCTCGTACATGTGATTACTGATAGGCCATATGGTTTTTGCTTTTTACAATGAAAGGAAGGAAGGTAGGATAGAGGGGTAGTAAGACGGGAGAGCGAGGTGGGAAGCTTAGAGATTAAAGATTGTGAGCGAGGCTAACGGAGATGATCATGTTTACGATTTTTGGGGGCGGAAGTGGCGGGGCAATGCAAGATACACGGTTCGCTTCACCTAGTTCCAGTGAGGGTACGTAATGTTGATCAAGTTTTTCTTTGTTCTGTCGTGTATAGCATCTACAGTGAGGAGGCATATGGCAACACAATACACTATTTGTTCACCGTCTTTTCTGTACTCTCTCTTCCACCACGCGGAGAGGCAGGTGTGGTTCGTTGAACGAAACAGGATTGCATTGGCAGCATCTTCGAACGGCTGTTCGCAGGATCGGGTAGTAGTAGTTCGATAGCCTTGGTTTTTCCCTTGCGAGTCAGGTGTGCAGCAAGGAACCACGCTTCACACACTGTAGCGGAACGGCGGTTATAGGGCCGAGCGCGAGGTCGCACATACGCGAGTACACTCACACCGCTCGAGACATTCCTTCAGTTCCAGTCCGTTTCGACCGTTGTAAGTGAAGCTTGCTGCTCACGCCGAGTGTGTGCAAACTTCGATATTTACCGACAGATGTTGGTGTTGTGTCCCACGGCAGCGTACTACGTCGCCTCCAACTTCTTCTAGAGGGAGTCCATCAGCGAAGCATCATATTATGAAGCACGAAACCGCGGCGCAAGCCAAGTAGTAACACAGCAGGGCGGGACGAAGAGCTGCGTGATCGAAAACCGGCAGCAGCCTCTAGGTCTGGCTTTCGATCCCACAGCGCAGCTGACGTTGATCCAGGCGTGACATTGAAGACACGGCGTCGTGCTTGCGCGGTACAATGAAGCTCGTCAATAGTCGTACAATTGCGAAGAGAAAGCTGCATGAGCTACCCCACTCTGTGTCATGACGGCTTGAAGGGGGCTTGGCTGCGTGTTCGCTAACTTTGAGTTGGCGTCTTTGTGGTTTTCGCGATACAGTAGTAAGTTTGTTGAATACGAGGCTTGGTCTTGATTATCTGAAACAGGCATTCTCGAAACTTGCCGGTTGGGGAACGTAGGTGAAGGATATTAAGCCCGAGGATTTCGTATGTGGTATTAACCAGGCCTTTGGCTTTTCGCCATGTCGTGAAACACCTACTAGGTAACGAAGAGACTAGACGCGTAAACACGCTACACATCCGAATCCAGTGCAATGGTGATGCCAAGGGTGCTGTTACAAGCCTGCACAGCGTCTATTCCCATCTGTGCCGCGGGAGCCGCCTTATTGCGAAGAACCCAGGTTGCCATCGTTGCCTTGTATACATCTCCGCCATTGTCAGTGCTCAGGACTCGTCGGCTCCATCCGATTCGGATCCGGAAGTGGCGTCTGTGCCGTCGTTCATTTCCACATCACCGTTGGTATGGTTGCGACTTGCGCCGTTGAGAAGCCTCTTTTTCGCCCGCGTTTTGGCATGTTCCGCTCTCTTTTTTTCTTGGTCCATGAAGTAGTCCTTCTCCTCCCGCAGTTCAGAGAGCTGTGAGAATGTAACTTTTTGAATGCGTTGCAGACTTGCAAGCTGCTTCTTCAATTCCTTGACTTCGGTTTGCTGAGCACTGCCCGACGCATCAGATATATTCACACTACCTTCATCAAGGGCCATAAAGTCCGCTGTCGGAGCGAAACCACTCTTGGGCTGAGCAACCCACGAGTCAAGCTCAGCTAAGCTCTCTTCAAGCATACTGGCGGGAAAGCTAGAGTGTGTAAGGGCTTCCTCAAATACACTTCTGCTTATATGTCTCTTCTCGGTCGCAGAAACATGGGGGCTGCGCAACCGACCTGTCAGCTGGAGATTAAGGGTATAGCTAGGCGGAACCAGGCCATTTGCGCTGCTTGTGAGCCCTGCATCTTGTTTCGGTTTGACGATTGCGTGGATCTTGAAGGTTGGTTCTGGCGTGTTGGGAAAACCAACGGGTGGAAGGAACCGAAGATTTGAAACGGGACCCGGAAGACTAGCAGGAGTGGAAAGATAGTTGGCCTTTGCAACGTCCCAGAGTGCTATCTTGCCGCTTGTGTGGCCCGAGATGAGTGAGGTGCCGTCCCAGCTAAGAGTCAGACTGAGGGCTCCGCCGAGCTTTTGTGACTCGGCGCTGAAGCGGCTCTTCGGTGATGGTTGTATCGGCCGGTGAGACGAGGCACTATCCCTGAGAACGTCTATCGAGGTGGTCTTTTGCACGTCGTCGTAGAAGTCGATGGTTTGTAAGCTACCGTCAGCGTAAGCTACGTAAAATGCCCTGTCTGCAGGATCAAGAGTGACGGCAGTCGGCATCTCGGGCAGGAGATATGTCCTGAGTGCTTGTCCGTTGTGATAGTCCCATACTATGGCAGACTTGTCCCCAGATATTGACACGGCAATGTTGGCAGTGCTCGAACTGTGGCCGCAAGCGATGGACGAGATGGGGCCACGGTGGGTAGAGAGGGTGTGTATAGGCGAGCGCGAGGCGTCAGGAGAGAAGGACAGTATCGATGGAAGTGCCCATACGTGGATCATGGCATCCGAGGAGCCTGAGAGGAAGAAATTGGAGAATGGGTCGACCACAATGCTCGTGACTGGCTGAAGATGCGAAGTGGACGTAGAGACAAGACGGCCTGAGCAGACCTGAGACATATATTAGAACACGCGCAGACTACACACGCCATTCCAGACTCATGACTAACCTCCCACGCCAATATCCGCCCACTCTCAGTTCCAAGCAGTAGCACGCTGTCTTGGGCGGCGAGTGCGATACTGTGTATCCTCTCGGGAAAGGGGACTAGTGCTTCCTGGTTGCCTTTCTCTCTGCTGTACACATGGACAATCGCCTTCTCCGACTGCGCAGCGAAGACGTGCGAGGCGCTCACAGCTATGCCGTTTGGCGCACTCGCGCTCTTCTTGAAAGCATGCCTTTGGGCGACCAGCGGCTGGAACTCGTGTATGAAAATGCCCGCGTCTTTTGTGACTCCAGTGTTGGGCTTTGTCGATGCCGAAATGGCAGCCACGAATTGTTCGGTGAGCATGGCCGGGCGTATCTGAAGATGTCGTTGTCGCAAGTGGAAAGTTGCAAGCTCTAGAAACTTTTTGGTGGAGCATCTGCGGCCTGAGGGTCTGTGCAGCTAGCCGCGGAACATGCCCGTGTCAGGTCGCTGCTCCCCTCCATACTGCCATAACTTTACCAAACAACACTTGTGCTATCATATGAAGCAACCTATGATTGAAACCTGTCCTTGAAGCTGTATACCTGGCGCATCATCTCCGGAATCTGACATGATCCTTGGTCCCATCGGGTGACGCCTTGCGTCTACAAAGTCTATTGCCTGCTGCTGTATTAGGGCAATGAGTACCTTCCAAAGCCTATGAATAGCCATTTCTTTGTCGGGGGCCTGGACATGGCAATACAAAAGTTTATCCTGCAATCAATGGCATTTCAGGGCTGCGCTAGGTAAGTATGTTGATCAAGCGCTCACGGCTGCTTCAGCTGCTCCATCTGCTTCCCAATCTAGTCTCTCCCTCCAAACTAGTCACACTTCTCGCACCAACACGACTTATAGGGTAAGGTGTAATTTAGTGACAACTTGGAGCGAACTCGGTTACCAAGGATGTTGCGGCTGACGGCCAGGGCGATGGACCAGCTCGTCTCCAACCACGGTTTTCGAACTCTGAATGCGTAGGTTGGCAGGTAGAATGCTACCAGTAAGCCCATCGCAGTTCAAAACACTATCTTAACGCCTCGCAAAACTACCACGGGGGATCCTTCAGCTCAATTCATTGGACTTATACCCGAGGCACCGTGCAATACTGGGTGGATGCCCGGAGTAAGCACTGCTAGGGCGGCTGACCGATGTTCTGGCCTGTACCAAACCGGATTCAATTAGCGAATTGGAGACTTTGCGGATATAATGCTCGAACTAGACTTGGGCCGTTTGGGGAGTTCAAAAGATTGGCTCTGTAAGCAAAGATGAAAGACGTAGCTTTGGCGGTAGTACGTAACCCCGCACGCCTGATAGTCTTAGCCTTGCATTCCAGAGCTTCGGAAGGCGTACTCTAGTAACACCCTTGGCGAACACATGTATTTCGAATGAGTTCCTACATTGATTGATCTCATATCGACAATTCAGACTATTGATCGAACATGTCTCTCGAGGAACTGACCAGCAAATCCTATGGTATGTAAAGGTTCCTATTTCTCTCACTGCACTATCACGAAGCGGGAAGTCTAATCCTGATAACGCATTGCTAACCGTCTGGCATCTCTAGACTACGTCGTCTGTGGGGGTGGTACGGCGGGTCTAGTCATCGCAGCTCGTCTCACGGAGGATCCGAACGTTACTGTGGCAGTCCTGGAAGCTGGCGGTAATGGGCTTAACGACCTCTTGATCGATGCACCAAACATGTTTACCCAGCTCTGGGGCAAACCCCAATATGATTGGAACTACAAGACTGTTCCACAAGTACGTTTCTGGCATGTTGCAATTGCTTTTGCCTAACAGCTTTGCTAGGAAGGTACAGTTGGCCGAGTGCACGGCTGGGTTCGCGGGAAAGTTCTCGGCGGCAGCAGCGCTGTCAACTACAACATGTTTAGGTGAGCAATCCTCCAGTTACAGCCGGATGTATCGCAAATGCTAACTTTGGTTCAGTATGGCTTCCAAGCAGGATCTGGACAACTGGGGAGAGCTTGGAAACAAAGGCTGGTCCTTTGACGATATGAAGCCTTACTATCGGAAATTTGAGACATATCACCCTGCATCGGAGACTTTAGGGAAGGGAGTTGACGACAAATACCTTGACAAGTCACTTCGTGGCACCTCTGGTCCAGTTCATGTTAGTAGCCTATGTTTACTTATCATAAACACTTTACTGACGAAACCAGATTTGCTTCCCGAAAACTGATGTCACCTGGGGCCAGGATGTGTGGCCTAAAACTATAACGAACGCCGGATACTCACCCGCAAAGGATCCTCGCACTGGCTCAGCTATCGGCGGCTTCAACCAACTCAACACTGTCGACCCCGAGCACAACAGGCGAAGCTACGCCGCGAGAGACTACTACGAGCCTAATGCGGATAGACAAAACTTGACTCTCATAACTCATGCGCTGGTCTCCAAAGTCGAGCTTGAGACGACCACTGGACAAGTCAAGGCCACTGGCGTTCACTTTACGGTCGATGACACTTCGCACATGATGAAAGCGAATAGAGAAGTTATCATCTGTGGAGGAGTCGTTAACTCACCGCAGCTCCTTGAGCTTTCCGGCATCGGATCACCTGCTGTACTGAAGAAGGCTGGCGTCGAAGTCATCATTAACCTTCCAGGTGTGGGAGAGAACTTGAATGATCATACAGCGACTGGCCTTTCACTAGTAAGTCTATACACTACTATAGCGAAATTCCAGATACTAAGCTTCATTAGGGTGTTAAAGATGAATACCCCACCGCCGAAGCTTTAAAGAACCCAGCCATCATGCAGCAAGCCCTAGAAGCATACATCACCCACAAAGCTGGCCCATTTGCGGGAGCGCCTACCACGACAGGTTTTGCTTCCCTTTCAAAGATCGAGCCCGACTTTCCAAATGCAGAGTCGCACATCCAATCGCTCCTTCAAGAATTCTCAAGTAAGCATCCAGACGCCGACCCTGCAGGTCGCGATCCCATGCTTGCGCGCCAACTCCTCGATCCCAAAGAAGCAGTCTGCCAGATTGTCATGCTACCTACAGGTATCCAAGCAAATCTTCCAGATAATGCTGCCGCGTTGTTCCCTTCCGAGGAAGACGGCATGTGGTGTACAATGGGTGCATGTAGCACGCGTTCCCTATCCCGTGGTACCATCCACATCAACTCCTCAGACCCAACCACGCACCCCACGATCGACCCAGCATACTTTTCGCACCCCCTCGATCTAGACATGATGGCGCGAGCACTCCTTCACTGCATATCCTTCACAGCCGTAGAACCGTTTGCCTCGGTCCTCCGTCGAGACGCCGATGGCAACCTTATCCTGGCTAAATCTTCTGGCTCGCTGCCCAAGACGCTAGAAGAAGCCAAGGAATTTGTACAGAACAATACTGTGACGGAGTATCATCCTATTGGTACTTGTGCTATGTTGCCGAAGGAGAAGGGTGGTGTTGTGGATGAGGAGCTGAGAGTCCATGGCGTGGATGGGCTGAGAGTGGTGGATGCTAGTATCTTTCCGACGCATGTACAGGGTAATATTGTCAGTCTGGTGTATGCTGTTGCGGAGAAGGCGGCAGATCTAATCAAGGGCGCGAGGGTCGAAGGCGGACATGGTATGGGCATTGTAGAGAGGGTGGATAGTCACAATGTGGGGTAATCTGAGAACGTGTGTTGCATTTGCTTATATAGGAATCATGTCAACTCTATATACACTGAGGATGTATGAGACCGAACAGCAGCAACCTTGTTGTCCAATGCGCACCCAGATTAATTTCAGGGCGCCTACTGTCCACTTGGTGAATGCCGATACGCACTAACAAGAGGAACACCGCTCTAATGAGAAACAGATGCCAATAATCTCAATTCACGAACTTCAACCTCTTCTCCACCAGTCAACTAGATTACCGATAACACTGCAACCAAAACATGGTTTTCGTATCGCGATTGCCGCAATGACGTAGCTCAATCTTACAACCCCCTTGCGCGTGCGTACGCCCAAGCGTTCCATTGAACGAACTTGCCCAATCTAACCCGACAGGAGCACTGCAACGTGAAACCTGCTTTGTCCTTTCTTGTTGTAGGACGCGACAAATTACCGAAGCCATCACCGTATAAGCGATCTAGTTCCTTCTCATCCCTAGTCTTCTGAATTCTCGTTCACGTCCACATTTACATTGACGAGTTTCCCCAACAGTAGCTGTTCCCGATTCTGCGATTACACTTGATACGAGTCCGATCATCCAAGCAACAAACACCACAGTAGCAGCAAAAGATGTCGACACGCAGGTCCGGTCGCGCGACCAAAGAAGTCAAATACACCTCAGCGTCAGAAGGCTCAGATTTCGAGGACAAGAAGAAGAGGACCAAGAAGACTAGCACCACCAAGAAAGCAGCCGGAACACCAAAAAAATCTACCAAGAAGCGCGCCGCGGAATCTGACAATGGCGATGCTTTCACCAAGGAAAATGGCGCCACAACAACCAACACACCCCCCAAACCCAAGCGCCAAAAGAAAGACTCCGCAATCCTCGCTGCGGACGCGCAAGAAAAACAAGCCAAAGCCGACAAAGCTGCGCACAAGAAAGCATGGCAAGACTGGCTCGCTTCCCACGATGTCGAGGGCGAGATGCTAGAAGAAGAGCCGGGCAAGGAAGAGAGTATCACACAAACTGATGCACTCAGGAAGTACGGAATGAAGAAAGAGGAGCTGAGTTCGCTGCTGCGGTTCGAGAAGAAGAATCCATTGTATGGAGGTACGATGAAGTTGTTCCTCGAGGAGGATGTGAGGGAGTTGGCGTTTAGGAAGATTGGCACCTTGGAGGGAGTCCAAGGAAATGACGAGCAAGTTGTCAAGAAGGGCGAGGAGATGTGGACTGAAGAGCATGAAAATGATGTCGATGATGTCGATGTGCCTGAAGAGAAGGATACAAAGACTGAAAAGGACAAAGACAAGCCCGCAACACAAGATGACAAAGACGACAAATCCGCCAAAACTGAAAAGGCCAACAGGGAAGACGCACCTGCCGGAACCGAGAAACCAAAGAAGGAGAAGACGACAAAGCAGAAGTGGTCGGCATACATATCTACGCACTCTATCGACGAGGACCAAAAGCTTACTGAAGAACCATCAGACGTTATCAATCAAACTGAGTGTAAGAGCAAGTACTCTCTAACGCCAAAGGACCTGGCCTGCCTACCTCACTTTCCCAAGAAGAACCCGGCGTATGGGAATAATACAAAACTGTTCAAAGAGAGCGAGGTGAAGTCACTGGCATATAGGAAGATTGCGGTATTGGCTGGGGTGAAGGACGATGATAAGGATGATGAGGAGCTGTTGGAGAGAGGAAGGGAGCTCTTCGACGCGCAGGATGGTTTAGACAAAGACGAGAAAGTAGATGGTACCTGAGACGAGGTCACGAGTTTCAACTTATACTGAAATGGGGAACCCATAGAAGTTTGTGTAATTTCAATATTATGTATTCTCGCCTTTTACGCCGTGTACTCGCTTTTCATGTTCTACGTCCGGCCATGCCCAACCTGAGGGCTCCTCACCATTTGATAGCCTTCTTGAACACTGGCACCTCCTCGAAATTATCCACACTCCATTTCAACTTTCCGTCCCCTGTGACCCATGCACCTTGGTCGGTAGCTGTCAACCCTGTCTTCTCGTTCTCGCTAATCTCGTGCTTACTAGCACCGATGCTGTCCTTCGCCAGCCAGATTATGGGTGTTTTGCTCGTGAAAGCTGGGTTGAGGTATGCCTTCTTCAGGTCGTCTTCACTGTAGTCTAGTTCTTCGTCTTCGTCAAAGTCGCCTTCACGCAACCAAGCTTTCAAAGCAGTGTGGCTGCCGAAGACGTGTGGCTGCAAAAAACGGGCGACTGGTGAGACCATCTTCGACGGTACACGTGTCCGTTCGCTCAAACGATCGATCCTTGATTCTGCGTTCTCCAGAACGTCAGATTCGCCTTCTTCTGCTGAAGATAGCAGTGGTGCTTGCTCATTATCTTCAGATTCGAGTGCAAGATCTGCGGGTAGGTACTGTTCGAGTGGAGCAAAGTAGCGGTTCGTGGTATAGTTAAAGATAATAGTGGCGATGAGCAGGGCGACAAGCATAATTAGAGGACCAGTCGCGTTGCGTAAGCTGAAGAGACCGATGAGACAAAGCTCAGCGAGATAGACTCCCGTAAGGATCTGTTGCAGAGAGAGCGTATAAGCGTGTCCTTTGGTGTCGATCTTGGGCTGCGCGGTGTATAATAGTTGGTATCGATAACTCCAGTAGAAGATCACAAGACCAATGGCGGCGAAGCCAAGAACAAGGGGTGCAATGCAGGCGTAAACAATTGCTGCAAGAGATCAGTAAGGTACCATTTTTTGTATCCAAAATGACTTACCGATGATAACAAAGTTGCCATATTTTGGGAAGAGCTTGCCCCAAGCCATGCCCCTCATCGTGATGTAGCTGTTGTACTTCTGGCGGGGCGTCTTGTCAAAGAACTTGTCGAAGAACCAGAATGAGAGAACGTCGGTGTAGTTCAGTATGTTACTTGGGGCATTGGTCAATGCCTGGACGACGAAGTATGCGAGGTAGGTGTTTGATGCTCTTGGAAGACGCTCCGCGAGAAGCTGAGGTACCGAGCTTGGGTCTTGAATGATTTGCGATGCTACTGCCGCAGCACCTGAAGCAAGTGTTGTGACAAGGAAGACTTGCAGCACTTGGAAGACGAAGTACCACTTCAGCACCTTTATCTCGACAACAGTCTTGGTCGGCTCTCCAAACGTAGTAAAAATGTCTGCGCTATGTCAGCCAGCAATCAGTAACATGGGCCGTTGGAAGACACTTACACCTGAAGATGTTCGGTACATATCTAGCCAACGCGCTAAGTAGCAGCGGAGGTAGGAGACCACTGAGAAGGCTCATAATTCCTGACGGGATCTTATTGAGGAATGCAAGCCATTTGACGTTTTCAGCAAGATATTGAACGTTGGAAAAGGCACCGACTATGCCCACTGGGATGGACCAGAACGCGATTGTAGCGATTACAAGCGTTAGCGCGACGCCACTCTGTGATATACGACGTGCAGGTGCCAGGTTCAGGTTGGACCAGATGACTTCGCTTGGCGTAGTCCCTACGAAGCGAGGGGTGAGAGAAAGGATGTCAGCCGATGCGATCTGCTGGTATGCTCGCTGAGCCCCAGGTTGCGTGCGGAACTCTACGAAGACCGCTGCAGCTCCACCAAGACTCTCGGCCGTCTCATTCGACTCGCGAGCCTTCTCGATGTCTTCTTCTTTCTGTCTAATCTGATCACGATAGTAGCTGATGCTGTCGACCTCCTTGCCAACGACTGGTGTTTTGGATTTGTGAGTAGGTCGCAGGGATTTCTTCATCTGCTTTGGCAGTTGCTCGTATTTGATATTTCGGTTGTGGCTTTTTCCGACTTCCTTGTTAACGTTCAGGATCAAAGACATCTCAGCGCTCTCTAGCTCCTCGACTTTAGAGTTCCTTTCCGAGACGAGAGATACCAACTTCTCACCCTTAGTGACTGGCCAGATCCTGACTGCATCATCGCCGAAGAATCGCTGCATGTTGCCTTCGTCGAGAGCCGCGGTAGGTGCCGAGAGGTACAGTACGGTGCGTGATGATAGCCTCTTCGCGTTTGTCTTTGACAGGTTCCATGCTTGCCGCAGTCCAATGAGCCAGAGTCGTTCCCGCGCAACTGTGAACATAACAAAACTGAAGAATATCCAGGCTACAACAGCATGCGCGTAGAGGTGGTCCTTGTTCTCCACATTGCCAATGCCAAAGCGATTCAGCTCTTTCGATGTACCGCCACCGGTCCAGTTGGCAGGCAGAAGGATAGGCCAGGTAATAACAACGCCCACGATACAGATGAATATCAAGGTCCTCATGAAGCGAAGGAACAAGTACGAATCAAGCGATTGATGGTAAAGCATAAATTTATCCGGGACGGTCCTCATGGTGTCGACCCAGTCGAAGTAACCTGGCGATTTTGAACATGGTGTGCGATCCTTTTCTGGCACTGTGCCAATGTAAGTGCGTGGTGAATAGATCTTGGGAAAGCGGTGCCTGATGAGGACGAACGCGACCATATACAAAGTCGCAATAATGGCCGTAGGGATGAAAGCTGCAGCGAGTGCCGCAAGTGAAGATGGGCCGCTAGACTTTATGACAGGGTATGTTAGTACGCGTGTTTTGAGTAAAGTCTGGTTGTGGACGCAGATACGTACCGACTGGACATGGCTGGTGCCATGGTCTTTGGCAACGAACACCGTCTGGAGATCCATATTCGATATCCGTGGTCGAGCAAGAGATAATTAGTAATGTCTCATGTCGATGCAGGGTAGAGAATCGGAAATTGGCAAAGCGGAGGAGGATGTCTGCCTGGGTTGACTAGTGTTGTGGAGAGGGAAGGGTGAAGCCTGTCAAGCAAGGACGCCTATGACGTCGACGCGTTCGGGCGCCCCAGTCCCAGCCCCAACCCGAACCCCCGGATCTGTCCAGACATGTGCGACTCACTTTGAAACGGCAGCCCCGAAAACCAACAACACCAAGACCATGCGTGTCCAATTGGGCGCTGAAAATAATCGCAGGGTTTTAGGCATCCAATACAGGCAGTGCGCATGTGCTGAAAGCGGTCGAAATTATTACAATTCTATATATATGCGCCCACCTAAGCCAAGATAAACCCTTTCCAGTATTCATACAACATTCTATAACACGTGGTATCACGGTATCCAAACCTGTCAAGTACCCATAATTCAAACCCCCCATAAGCGAACCATTTCAGAAACACCTAACACCCTCGTATGCAAAGCAACAAAAGAGATACTGCTGGGCATACCTAGAGCCACAGCAGCCACTTGATCACTCCCATGGCCACACCAAACACTCTCTTGACAGACCCGACGAGCACAACAATGAGCCATAGACACCACATAAGTGCAACGAGAGCCCACTCAACTAGCATCCATCCAAAACCCCGTATCCAGCGCATCCTGCGTTTGCGCGTGCGGATCATCCGATCGATCTCATCGGTGATCTGCTTGACTTGCAATGGACCTTGTCCAGAGACTTCACTAGTAATACGCACAGCTTTGTCTCCACTTTCTAGGATACGTGGCATGAGGTCCGAGTCGACTGTGGACTGTAACGCCGAGATTTGGTTTGTGAGTTGCTGGATGGCTTTGTCGCGGAAGCTTTCGAGCGAGGACTGCAAGGCCTTGGTTGATGACTCAAGATCTTTGACTAGTATACGTGCGGCTAGGACATGCTCTTCCTTACGCGGGACAGGATAGATTTGCATTTTCGATGTAGCAGCAGCACGCGTAAGGAAATCGGGAGGTGGCTCCCTTACGGCAGACGCGCGGCGGGTGATCTCCCTTGCTTTGACGCCTGAGCAGACGAACAGTGCGCGGACGCGAGCGATATCTGCTTGGGTAACTGTATTCGCATCGTTCTTGTTCCGGTCAGCAGCATTATCATCACCATCGGCGATGCTCCAATGTCTCCCGCTAAGGCCGGGTCGAGAGCCACTGCGCTGCCTGTTTGCATCCCTTAGTCCAGTAGGAGGCAGACCCGTCGTGTTGTCACCAGGCCGAGCGAGCACTTGGTTGATTCGCTCTTGACTATGGCTCTGTGTAAGAGCGAGAGATCCTGTGGACGAGTTTCCGGATATTGTACCCAGATCCATGCGCGGTGGCAAAAGCCGATCAACTCGAGGCGAGCGACTGTTCTTTTGCTCTCGCGCCTGGCGCGAGATGTGATGCTCATAATCCGAGTCTTCATCTGCAATTGTGTGGATCGGGCGGAATGAAGGTAGCTCGAGATGATTACGTTCCTTGTTGGTGACGCTACCGTTTGTACCTGCTGTGACGGTTCGACTAATCGGTGGCCGTTTGGAGTGCTTTGCTTTGGCACGACCATCGTCGTCAAAGTCGACAGAGTTGCGGTCGGACATGGTGTCTGAGTCCGAGTCATCGGCTCTGTCTCTTCTGAAAATGATATCGCCGACTTTGGTACCCTCGTTTTTCACGCCCTTGAAGAATCGCGTGACAGCAGAATGTGGCTCTTGGGTCTCTCTGCGACGAAGCTTATCCGGGCTAGGCAAACTACTGACACTATCGTTCTTGCGGTGACCGAGTAGATTCATCACAGCGCCAGGAGCTGCTAGGATGGCTGTGCCGATATGCTTGTCGTCTGGGGTTTCCTCGCTGGTCTGCCGCGATCTTCCCTTCCTGTCTGTTCCAGCAGAATCTGGGCGCAGCTCTTGCTTGTGATCTCCGCTATGCTCATGGGAATGGAAAATAGTGTTGAACTTGCCCCGCTTCGCTTTCCTTGTCTGCGATTCCGATCGACTTGGAGGTGGTGACAGATCGCTGCCGATGTGTGGGAACCGTTTGGCATGTGGAGTATTTGGTGCCGTGCTGTCCTGATCGTCAAAAGATGATCGGGGTTCCGTGTCATCAATGGATAGATTGGGCTTCGTACGAGCCTTTGGCGGCATCTTGAAATTGCCACGATCCTTGATGTGTGCGAGACCATTCTTGAGTTGGGGAACTTCCAGCGAGTCTCGGGAAGGCTTGCTATCGGACGTAACATCTCCGTTGCGACCCCATTTATTTGGTGTATCTGGCGTGAAGTCAGGGGGTGATTTGGTCTCACTCAACGACTGTCTAGCCTGTTGCTCAAGAAGCAAGGCCAGCGGACCGATGTTATGATCTGGGTCCGTGACAATACGGGCTTTCCGTCTCCTAGTATCTGATTCTGACTCCGAACTATCAGTATCGTCATGGCTACGCAGCCGTGAACCCCGTCTCGAATGCTTGCCGCCTCTGGGACTGTCGGTGCGTAGGGCTGGGAGCAGCCTTCGCTTGCGCCCACGTTCGCTGCCCTTGTCGCTTTCATCGCCTGTCGTGTGGTCGACTGCGATGCTGGGCAAGCTATCGATCCAGCTCTTTCTTCGGTCCACAGAGTACTCTTTGCTTGCGCGGGGTGAGAAGAAGTCTTTCTGCTGCACCTCTTTCGGCGGGTATACCCTTCGGCCATAACGGTTCTCCACAAGCATTTTGTTGTCATCCTTTTCCAGCCAGTGCGCATCCGCGAGTAACTCTTGTGGGCTAAAGATCCAGCCTTTGTGAGGTCTCGCAGGCTTCTGAGGCGCAGGTCCCACTTCGTGGTCGTGGTGGATCTTGGGTAGCTGTACCGCATCGTCTCGACGGTAGCCGGCTCGTTTTGCCTGTTGTTCCACACGGTCCACCCATTCGCGTACCTGTTCAACGTCCTCGAATTCTTCTGATGAGTGATCGAGCGTCACACGCTCCCGAGCCCTGCTCCGGCGGTTTCGAATATATTGTAGAGGGTTGTACGGCCGGCCGAGCTCGTGCTGTTTGCCAGCATGAGATGGTACACGAGTGAGCTGCGCTTGAGGACTGCCTGGATTGTTGGTTGAGGAAAAGACAAAGTTGCCGGGAGCAGTAGCATCAGGCTTCAGAGGTGGCAGAAATTCCAGCAGTCGGAGATACTCCATGTGAAGCTCGATGTATGCACGTGCCTTCTCCACTCGTGCGAGCGTGGCAGCCGAAGGGTTGATGCTTTGAGATATCGGAAACGCAATGGATCCGCTTCTTTGCATGGAAGTAGACATATGGCGGGTGGGAGAGCTCTTGCCCATTGGGGATATATTGCGTGAAGTCCGCCGTTTTTCATTGAGATACTGTTTTAGACTGCCGCCAGCGCCATAGTTGGCGAAGCTGCCTTCTCGTTGCGAGCCAGAGGTAACTCGTGACTGGGATGACAGAAGCTGACCAGTGCTGATATGTCTCCTCCGGCTCTCGCTCAGGTTCAGGGCCATGTGTACCAGCTGATTGGGGTCAATGGCCTGCCGTGGCGGCGCGGTGTTGGGCGAAGGGTCTCGGTCATGGGCTGTGGGTTGCATATCGTATGCGCTCCTCCTAGTCTTGCCAACGCGCATGCGCTCGTCGTGTCGGTCCTGTGAGTCGGCGAAGTCGATGCGGGATGCTGCGCCAGAGGCAGAGCTGGGGCCATCTCTCTGTATATCCCGCGATAGAGGCAAGCTGCCTGCATCCTTCTCGTGTGATCCATGGTGTCGTGAGCTGCGCTTGCCCCCTTTGTCCTCCCCACGAGCCTCGTGGTTGCCATGCCGCTGCCGTGGCCCACTGGAAAAGTTTGAATCTAGGAGGAACCCACCAGATCTCCGAACGCGCTGCTTTCGACGCGCAAAATCTTCCTCGTGTACCGAGTCCCTAGCTAGCAAGGTCCCTGATGCTGAGCTTCCTGCGCCGTTGGTTGCACCTGTGCCGGGACGGGAATCTTGGCTTCGCCGCGGGGAAGAGCTCCCTTCGCCATTGTCGGTGTATGCGCCCGCGTTGCTTGCGATGTACGTGTGCGAAGATGTTGTCCAGCGGTCCGAGTCTCCCGAAGGCCGGCCATGACTAGACGGTGCTGACATTTCTTGAGATAGCGCCTATGTCACCTCGAACGGCCAGGGGGTCGCATGGCGATAACGACGACTGCTCGGAGCAGAGGTGTGCCCGTATGCCTTGTGTCGCAGCCAGGCGATGTCGCGACGAGATGCTCACGTGAGTACTCTAGGTCGCGATTCAGCGAAGGTATGAAATCATATGTGGGGTGAGTTGGAGCGGCTCGATGCTGTCCAGAGGTTTGGCCTCGGGTGGAGAGCACGATCGCCTGCACCCCTGTTTGTCACCAAAACGTCAATAGTGGGTCCGTGTGCAACGGCTTCTTAGCATGTCCTCCTGCGTCTTCAACTCATCAGGAGACATTGGGTTTCTTTACAAGGAGTAGGGAACCATGTGTTAACTGTCGATTTGAGTATCTCTCAGTGAGCACAGGATATCGTGTCTATTACAGGGGATGACTCAGGTAAGCTAATACACGAACACCAAATCCTTGCTCTCCAACATCGCACTCTCTGCTGCGAAAGCCATATAGTCCATGCATGGCATTTTCAGACGAGTTAGCTTGCTCTAGTACGCGACGGAACTTCAGGCGTCCAACGGTACCGGCGCTTTGGTAGCGGCTTGTCTTTCCTGTCTTAGTATCAACGGCAGTACTTTGGAGTAGGCTAAATGTTCATCGCGGCAAGGCTCCTGCTTCACGAAGAAGTTGAACGAAAGAAAGCGTGTACCCTCAGCACAACACAACGCGCTACATCGAGAGTACATGCGATAGAGACAATAGGATATATCGCTCCCTTCAGGCAGACAACCGGCATCCGAGATCTCTTGCATATCGATAGTAACCTTTGTGCTATGAGACCTGATTCACAGTTGAAAGGCGATTCTAGTAATATCCATTCGTCACTTTACCATGTGCTTCCGCGGCGCTCGTCAGCATTGTGTCTAGATCTGTACAGAGAAGTGTTTGAGATACGCTTGGTAAGTAATCGCGTCTCGGTAGTGTTACCGCTTGAAGACAGGCAAGTTTCCAGGCTCATGGTCTTTCATGATGTTACTATGGGCGTATCGCTGGCCGATCCGGACGTATTGTTGAGCCCCGTGTGAGCAAGTTCAAGTGTCACTCCAGTGGGTTGAATCGGCACCCAAATTCGGACTTTACGCTCAGCTCTTCTCCCGAAAAACCGACCGTGCGTCGTACTGCTTGCTGTCGACGGAGCAGGGTAACGATGACACACCTCGGCCATATTAGTTGTATTGTACCATACTCGCCTCCGCGGCGTGAGGCTGAGAGGCTGAGGGGAAAAGCAACATTTGGTTCGGAGAGAGGGGCAAGCCGAAAATGAACTGGTTGTTGACCAGTGCGACTAGACATAAGCGAATGCAAGAGTCAAGAGTCTATCCATTTGCTAAACCTCGTTGACCTATGCAGCTAGAAGCAGTCTTCATGCAGAAGATCAAGTCAGAAAGCTACGCAAGCCTCGATCATTTTGCGACCGTGGTTTTTCCTGTACTTCACAAAAGTGACGAGCTCCTCGAGACCTGAAACATGGATCCAGCCCCATACAGGCTAGAAGGCTTACGAATCGATAAGCGTTTCTCGTACCTTTTGCCTGCGTAGGGCGTGTGCTTTCAGCGTCGGGCGCGAAGGCTGACATGTAGCGCACTGGAGCCTGTCAGGGTAGCATCGGAACAACGTCCGAAGCGAATCAAACGGAATTCGTCTCGATGGTATGCCTCAAGGCAGGATATATCGGAGTTGGCATTGGTTTAACAAAGAATGTGTGAGGTTTCGCGATCAATGCTCTGATGGGGCCAAGATGGGTACCATGCCCGCGGTAGGATCCTCTCATGCTAAGCGGTTGACAAGGTTTCGTGGCCGCTGGACGTCAGCCTCGGACCAGGTGTCCACCGATCTTACGTGTAGTGCCCATATACCGCATATCCAAGTTGACGGCCTAGTCTGACCTGAGCAAGGCGAAGGATTAATGCCTTCGTACAATCGAATTGCGCCCCACCTGCTCAGACGTGCAAGACTGAGAGCGCAAGATCAACATGAGCCAGTTGAAGGAGGCTGCAGCCGATCGAGAATGACGGAGACGTCGTGCTTCCTAGGTGCAGGCCATGCCTCTGCAGCTGGAATCGAGGCTTGATGAAGCACCAATTAAGTCATTGAATCGGCGACTCTTCGTAAAGGAAGCAAATTCCTTCGGTCGCTGATTGGCTCAAAACCTCGGCTCCGCTTGGACCAGCAAAAAGGCGTCTTCCGGGACTTGGCCGGAGCAAGGCTGAACAAGGAAAAAGACGAGAGCAAAGGGCGGTAGATGCTGATGCTACCTTGCCAGAAGCATCTGGAGGTGTGTACTGACGTCGGATGATGATGCGATGTGAATTGTCAATGTCTAGGTTCGGTGTTGCGAGATTCGGTCGCCAGCCGGAACTTCTAAATAGGAAAAGCATGATCAAGCCATGAACCACAACAGCTCGCTCCCCCTAGCAAGGCCGCAACCCTCCGCGCTCTTGGATGTGCAGTTCGTCGCGAGGCGGAATGATCCGAGCAGGGTTTTGGCGGCATCCTTCGTTCCTTTTGATTATCTGGCTCAACTGGCCCAAAACCTGGACCAGCTCTACAGGGTCCCATGGCCTGATTCGCCATGGCCTCAGCACAAGTCGTTCAGCCTGAGGCAGCAGATCCAATAAGCACCCAGCTCGCCAGCTTGCCGTTTATAGCGTGGCTTGCAGCTCAAGGCTCGCCCACTCACGATGGGAAACGAGGCTGACTGCGCCATTCCAGCCTCGTGCGCACTCCACTGGGCCCAGCGAAAATCGGGATATCTTGCTGCCTGGCCCCCCCGCGCTTCCCTGATCGACTTGGAAACACATTACACGTCCCTAGTACCCCAGGATTACACTTGCCATTCTCTAAACCTGTCGGATTTAGCTGCCGTTAGAGCGATAATACTCGCCCCACCAAGCGAGCCTCCCCTGACGTTTAACTGTATCGGACCGCAGGCCAGAATCGCACAGAACAACAGGATTTCAGCCTGGCCGGATCCTATCTGGACACAATTGAGCACCTTCAAGTTTATGCCTCCAACAAGAACCAGAGCCAGGATGAAAGAAGCTGCGCCGACCACTACCTTTACCGTCACGGATACCAAAGCTAGCGAACCAATAGAGCCAGCCCCGGCACCAAGGGAAACCATTGTGACAGCACCGAGCGTTGAGACCACACCTACCACTTCACCGACATTCGAAGCGGGTTCCAAACCCCCATCTCGCAGAGTATTGCGACTAAAGTGTCCGGTGTGTTCAGACTATCCCGATGGCTTCCGCAGTGAGCATGAACTGCGACGTCATACCAACCGTGTGCACAAAAAAGCACGTAAAGTCTGGGTGACCATCGACACTTCACCCGACAAGTCGTTTCTCGCCAACTGTAAAGCATGCCAGACCGGGAAGAGGTATAACGAATGTTACAATGCCGCAAGCCACCTCCGACGCATGCATTTCCACCCTCATAAACGCGGGGAGAGGAAGATGACTGCAGCAGAGGCTCGACGAGGCGGAAAGCCTGGAGACTTGGATCCTCCCATGGAGGTGCTCAAAGCCAACTGGTTGCGAGAAGTGGACGAAATAATTGGAGAAGAGAATTCACCTACCGAGGACGATGCAGCGAGTATGTCCTTGTCGCCGACTCAGACCATGCCCACAGGGCAGCTACAGCCACAGCCGCAGCCTCAGATTACTCCCAACAAGGCTGGAGCAAAGGCACCGCCGACACCAACCACGCCCTCCACTCGGTCGATGGCGATAGATAGCATAGTTGAGAAGCAGGACGCTGCATGAAGGCGAAGCTTATACTAGATGGTGGGCGAGGGCAACTGTCCAACCGTGTTCTCGTACGGCGAGATAAATCATGGGTCTTCAAATAAACAGCCCGGCAAACATACCCGATCGGACCGTGTCCTCTGGCACAACTCGCTCTGCAGCTGCAGCGACTGGTTCGCTCGATAGAGTGGGCCTGGGCTCAAGTCCATGCTCGCTCGTCGAGAATACCCATCAGAAGGGAGTGCGCTACTTTGAATGTTGAAGTGAAATTGGGGCGGGAAAATTATTTTGGCGTTGATGAGGTTGACGATCCGATATGTCACCAGGCTGTGATTGTTTAGCCGTAACGGCACGGTCTTTGCGTGAGTTGCTAGATGGCAGCGAGGTTCAAGTATGACACCTACCATGCTTAGCAGACGATTACGAAAAGATAGGGTTGTTCTTCGTCTATCTGCGTTGTGAGCTATTTGCTTCTGCATTCATAGTGTCGAGTGCAATACATAGGAATGTATGAACATGAGGCTGCGAGTAAGAAGTCTGATGGATATAACGAAATTCGAACCAACTTGATTGCCAGGAGAAGGAGGGGTATGAGTAGGTCAAAATTTGATGTGAGGTGCAATTAAGATATATGTCGATCAACGAAGGGGTAGTGGCGGATCAGTACATCCGACTCAAATGGGCTCGTGCGCAATAGTCTGAGTGCTGCATCGTGAATCCTTCGAAGCCAACACACCATTGTTGCAGCGACCACGAGGTATGTCTCTGCCGTGTCTGTCATATGCCAATGTCCGTTTCTGCAATGGGGCAGGCAATTTATATAGCGAAGCTGATGGTCTTGTCTAGCTGCATAATTCTACGTGCGTACGCCGTCGCCTGTTATGCGCTTCGTCGCTTTTCGATAGCTTTAGCCCTACCCGCGGAGTCTAAGATCTTGCAATGGCTGTGTCGCCTGCATGCCCTAAACGTATCACGATTCGCTACCGCCGCAAAGAGAGTGCGTATCACTCACAAAGTATATTGTAGAACACAAGGTAGGGATTGGGGCTTCAGGACCCATACCGTAAAACCATGTCTTTTCGCCGGGCATATGGTAATTTCGTCAACCTGGGAAGGCTGTACAGCATCCCACCTTGGGGTTCTGTACCTGCTTTCGGCCTGTCCAGGCCGCAGTATAACTCTGTAAATTTGGGCGTCCTCTACGCCCGCAGCAAATCCAAGTACCCCACTGGATATGCATACTTTGAGGATGGGTCTGTTTTCATACTTCCTTTCGCATGGCTACCTCACGATGCCTTCGAAGCGCGTATGAAGATAGCTGCGCAGTTCGTAAGTGGGCCTACACCGAAGATGCAGGAGATCCGCAAGGAAAACCCGCACGCGAAGCGCTTCATTATAATCAAGTAGGCAACATACCCCACCGTTTGCATGTTCATGCTAACGAGACTATCAGCAAGGACACGAAACGGTTGCGCGAAAACACATTTCGCATTCTAGCTCGCAACGCTCAGGATGGACAGAGAGTCTCGGTCGTCGATCCACCCTTCGAAAATGTCGAGTTAGCCCTTGACCCCACCGAAGGCCGCCCGATCTCCGCACGCTTCAACGACGCTCCTCAGTTGAAATACGAACACAGACTACGGAACAGCGAGGCTCTGGAGACGTTCCGGGGTACACTGGTCGATGGCGTCTTGCAGCCCAACGTTCGCCTGGGAAATGGTCTGCGCTTGTCGCTCAAGCCAGAGATTCTGAAGCCTCAGATAACAGAAAAGAGGCGGGCGCGGAACCACGAGGCCAATAGGCTTCGTGAAAGCGTTGGCTTACCCCCAAAGGCACCGGCAAAGCTGCTAGATTCGCTGGGCATGCGGTCCTTGAGAGATCGACCTCTGCCTCCAAGGGTCGACAAGCCAAAGCCTTCTCCAAGAGCATCGCCCCGAGATCGCGATCTAGAGCTTCGAGAAGCCCAACTGGCTCAGAGAGAGCGCGAGCTCATCAAATTACAACAGGCGCTCCTGCGGCAGACTATGCGCAATCGGAGTACCCCGCCGCGTCAAGAGAGGCATCCTCGTTCTCCACCTCGCGATGACAGCTACTCGAACACGTATCGAACGCGCGAACCGACCGAAGCACGCACTTCTACCGAGCATGACACAACAACTGCGGATATCGAAGCAAGGAAAAAGGCACTCGAACAAGACGAAGAGCTGCTACGGTACAAGCGCAAGGCGTGGCTTCTTGAGCAAAAGCTTGCCTATGCCACCACGCGAAGTCCTCCACGCAGGCACAGGGGTCATCAGTATGACACGGAAGTGCAAGAGCATCATGTACAATATTCTCCTGTTTATCCATCAGAACAAGAAAATGTGCCAGATACGCAGCAGGACAACGACGGCGTCCCTGACGGCTTTGCACTGGACAATTCATCGTCGACTGAAGCTCTGGAACACCTGAGATCTCGCATCCAGCTTCCTACGAGACGAACGATACGCTCACATGGGACACCACGCTGAACGATCATATCTTGTCACCACCTGTTCAATGTCTGTGGGCATGATTATGCCATAACTAGATGAAACCTTTACGAACACCGCGCCACTCTAGTCGTTGAAGAGATGACTTTGTACGATAGACACGCCGATTTGCACATCATTGTACTATATTCAACTAGCATATGATACCCTGTACAAACAGCAAATAGATCCAATGACACTAGACTCGGTTTTCTTCGGTTTTACCTTGACGCTCATTGCTATTTTTGCGAATCCTTCTCCTCGGAACTTGCCTTCTTGTTGGACTCGCGAAGACGAGGTGGCGTGATAACAACTCACCTGTCGCCCTTTCGTGGATCCATACAGCGAGACCCCATACAAACGGTAATAGATCTGATGCCACTAGACCCAATCTATTATGTTTTGTCTTCACAATTGTTGTTGCTACATATGCATGTTTTCCTTTGCGGAACTTGCCTTACCGTTGATCCTACGAAGACGAGATGGTGTGCTAAGAGCTTCAACTGCACCTCTTCCGTTGTTGCATATGGCGGAACAATGTGTGGTAGTGTGCTTGATGGTTTGGTACAGTACCCGATTCGAAGGATGATCCAGTTTCATTCCATCGGTCTTACCTAAGATATGCTATAGACCAGATGTGTGGTAAGATAACCGAACGAAGAAAACATAGCAAAGCTTATCGGCACCGCGTCCACTTCCCCGAACGGCCGCTTGAACAATCGATAATGACATGTGAAAGAATCTGCGGAGACCAGAAAAGTAAAGAATGTGTTCACCAGTGCATTGGAATCGACGTATAGATGGGTGGGTGGGCGGTTGCATGTACGTTTTGATATTGGTTATTTGTTATTCGTTATTTGGGTAGGGTATCTTCATGCCACCTCTTGGTAGACAGTTTGGTACAACAAACAGTGTTTGGAGAACAAAAGAGAAGGAAACGAGCGCCAGTCCAACGCCTACGCTTTCCATGCGAAAGAGAAGATAGTGTACACTTGGTATCGTGAAATGTTAGAAAATTAGTGTGACCACGCCAAGTTGTGCTCATTGTGGCCCCCGGTTGTAGTCGTCACTCCAGTCCTTCGATCGTGGTAGTCCCGCGTCAAAGTCCTTGTCCTCGGCAGTCTCCACCTGCACACTTGTCTCCGTGACAATGTTGATGCCGTTACTCGAAACCGTGTTTTTGAGGATCGAATCTGCTGATCCTGTCCGCGTGGGACTCTCGTCCTCGTGTAGCGTATCTTCATGCCGTGACCGTAATGCATGACTGCGCCCGCGGCGGTGATCGACTATTCGCGACATCCTGTTGCTGCCACCTACTATGGTGACGGTACGCGCAGTAGTGGATGTGAGGGCTTCTTTGCCACTCAAGGACTGTAGACCGTAACGGTCGTCGTCGCCTGGACGTGCTGCGTTGGTGAGTGTCGCACTGACGGTCCTGTTGTAATGCCCTGTACTTAGATCTCCAGATACTAAAATTCGTCTTGTCAAGGCATATAGCAGCGCATCAATCCAACCGCATGATGTGAGGAGACAGCCGGCGATGATGAAGAAGAGATCTGGCGGGTCCGTACCGGTCATTGCTACCATGCGACCCACTGCTATGGGCAACGTGAGCACGACGTACACAAAGGGGTACATGACCATGAACTTCGTGGCACGTGTGAGCTTGCTAGTGTCGTTTGCGATGATGCTTCGTATGCGACCGCGTAAATGGAAGAAGACATGTGCGTAGATGATGATGGTGCCGAATTCAATAATGAAAATCCAGAGGTAGTGCAACCAGAGTCGTTCGTTTTGGAAGTCGCTTGAAACCCAACACTATACAGAGTCAGTGTCCATCTCATTTGTTGATAGAAGAGAGACATACCCATCCTGCAGCGCGAGCGAAGTATCGACCCTGGTAGATGGCTGGCCCAAGTACCGTGAGAATCAATGCAAAGAGCCAGATTAAGAGGATCGATAGCACAAACCATTTGTATGGCAGTTTGTATCCTTTGACCACGCCCAGCCAGGTGTGTATCGCGATTGCGAGAACGAAAAAGCCGCTTGCGACATCTCTGCATATAGGTGTACATTGTCAGTGCATGCCTCATATGTCTATCTTGTGGGGAAATGCTTACCCAATCTGCAAGAACCAGGCCTGCAGGAAACATGCGCCGGTGCGTGGTTCGATCTTGTTGACTCGGAGCCAGTGGAAGGATATAGAGAATGCGATTGATTGTTGTAGGTCGGCGATTAAAAGGTTGTAAATGAGAATGACATATTGGTTGTATCCGACGTATTGCCTGTAATGTCTCCGCCAGGATATCATCCGCTGTGTAATGAATCCGAGCAAAGCCGTGACTGAGATTAAGCTCATCGTGGCGCATATAGCGAGTGGTATAAGCCCCGCCCTGTAGACGGGGGTGAGCGGGTCCATACTGTACATGTCCTCTGTAGAGTGTCGCTTTTCGAGAGAGCGTTCATGTAGAACAGAGGTTATGTCGGTCATGTCGTAGGGCGCCATAGTTGCAACGGAAGGTCGTAACCGAGTTTCGAGCGGCCCGATAGGATGTGCGGAAGTAGTTGTGTTTTCAACACATCAAGACAGCATGGTTGGTAAGGCGGAAAATGTCGAATCTGCTCGTGACGAAGCCGTCTCAGTCTCGTTCCCTTCAGAGGTCCAGTTACAGCTCCACGGTTTGTCGACTGCCAATCAGGGTGCTACTGTGCTACAGTCGTACGTTGATTGATCGAACAGGTCGGAAATAACTGGTGGTTTGGGGCTTGGCTTGCTATATACACAAAGGAGTGATCAACACTAGAGGCATTATCCGTAAGAGTGATCCACAACTTGGGGTATGTGCAAAGGATATAGGAAATAATGACAATAGATGACAGCAACTAGTTGGGGTGGAGTAGTACGCCTGATATGAATGGAACACTCGAAAGGAAGGAGATCGTCCAACTGACTTCTATACAGGGCCAGGCGGATATGCAGGTGCACCAGACGCGGCATGTTGACGGCGTGGACGGGTCCTAGACGATCGCTTAAGCTCCTCAGCACGCTACAGCTGCAGGGTTGATGAGTGTAAAGTTCGACATGGGCCAATGCATCCGTCCCCTGTCCATCAGCCAGTGTGTTGCCAGCCGAGCGGACGCCCAAATATTGAGTCGAGGTACTCCTCTGATACGGGGAAAAGACTAGAGAAGCGGGTCGTACTCTGGGCTCCCAGGTGAGCTCCACTACTTCAACGTAGACAGGTTGGGCGCTCCCTGTCAGGAAGAAGGGTAAACTTTGCAGACATGGCAATGCTGTCGCGTGTGAGTTTCAAGCGGTACAGGACGGAAAAGAACAACAGCCTGCCACCACGTGGAGCACGCCCCTGTCATGCCTCCGAATGATCATCAGGGTCAGCAATGCCTGCACAGGGGCCAGGAGCGACAATGATTCGCAAGGCCTAACAGCGATGCCAGCCGTGGTCTCGCCATATTATGTGCGTTCGCAAATCTTGCGCAATTTGTTCCCTGAACGCCATGGTTGGTCTTTGATGAGGCGTTCGCCTCTGAGAACTGCGCCGCAGCTTGTTCGGTCCGGATTCCTTTTCGACGAGTCGTCCAACCTCAGCTGCGTCTACGCGACATTGGCGACTTCTTTTTTGCCGTGGTCAGTTGCGGGGGAGCGTCTTGTACAGTTAGGCGACTGTGGAGGATGCGACGCTAGATGGATGCCTACTAACCGCTTGCGCTTCTAGCAGCTACTAGCCAAGGGGCTGATTGTTGGAGAAAGTCCACCCCTTGACATTACGCGGCCCGAAGTGACATGTCTCTCCTCGCGCTGCCCGGCGGGTACATTCATTTGACACACCGTTATTCAAGCCAGTTCCTTAAGCCCACGAGTCGCGCGGTAACTGACTGCCGCCTCCAAAGTACCAAGAACTGCCGTGACTGATCCAACACGGACGACGGGAGAAATAACAGATACTTGTGCCATCCCGAAAACCAGGCTACATCGCTGACATGATCGAAGCGTGGAGTATGTGTTCGCATGTATACTTGCCCGCCTCCAAATCGCAGCCACAACGCGCCAATGTTCCAGTCCTGTTGGTCAGAGTAAGATCAGGGCTGGTACATGAACCGCCTTGATGCGTTCCAGAATTTTCTGGTGCAACCGCTGCGCCGCGGAACGATCATCTGTTGTTGGAAGACGATAGACAGGCTCACACTCCTCTTCCTCGACCGCCACATGCGATTGTTTCGCATTGGTGAAACAGCGTTCCTGCATAGAAGTCTCCTGCGCATGACACCGCCATCCAAGTTCAGAAGTAGCACCGTCATCCGTCCGGCTGGCATATACAGACTATGTAATCCGCTTCCACTACCAAGGCATGTAAATGGTGAGGACGGCAGGGATCACATGCTTGGACAGGTTCTCGGGTCGTCATGCAGCGCGCCTGAGTTCTTATTTAAGGTTTTGCCATCTGGAAACCTGGTCTGCAGTAACAGAGTCAATTGATAGTACCCCAGACTTGGCTTCCTCCATACCAAGGGTTGCATGAAGTTAAGGAGCGAACTGGGAGGCACGACCGAATTTCGCTCTGCACCTGGCGCTCGATCCAGATGACCCGTAGGGCCGGTAGCAATTTAATATAATTGAGGTCGAGACCAAGGGAAGCTACAAGGTACCTCGAGTTTACCCCGCAAGCCGAGCAACAGCGGGGCTGTATCCCTCATTGGACCTAGTACGTCATGAAGCGATGCGCGAAACCTGAACGTTTGGAACGTGTCCCGCCTGTCACTTCTCAAGCGCCAATCGTAGCCAGATCATGGCTATACTGACGCCACTTATGGTGGTCGAACTTCGTCTGTACTTATATCCGAACTAGTCCGGAGCTTCGATACGGGAACGGAAGAGCTGACTGCGTCAAGCCATCAACAAAGGAAGAGCGAAGGGGCTCGACACAACAATGTAACTTGTTCGCCTCGTCCTAGGTCCGAGCCGGCAACGATTGGTGAGCCCGAAGTACTTCCAGTATCCAACAGGCGGCACAATATTAGCCGGTCAGCCAATCTCTCATCCAAGGTTCGTTCGTATCTGCAAGCCGCCTTAACGACCTTCGGGATGGCGCCAGACACAACGGCCGTAAACCAAGATTTGGCATGGCGCCAAGTGGCCTGCTTATAGCCGTCATGCACCTCCAGAAAATGAAGAACGTCTGTTGTTCCTCCACATTCCGTCTCGGCCAGAAGCGTCCTACTTCGATACCCTAGATCTGGTCAACTGTATTCCATCGATGGTGCTACTCATAACGACGCCCATTGCGCACAGTTCCTACATAATTCGGCATAAAGCACGCAGAGAGTCAGCTCGGGTTCCAAACACTGCTCCAGTCACTGTTCACTACTACAAGTACGCACTAGTACAAGTATAACAAACCCTTCAGCGCTGTAGTCGAACTGAAAATCCAACAGGAACTTGCTACGCCTGAGCGTAGGCTCAGCTATGCACCAATCGAACTTGCTATATGCCCCACCAACACACGACAAGCAATCCACATGTACACCATTACATCTCGCGTAATAGCTATATTAGAAGTTTGTGTCAAGTGCTATAGTTGAAGTAAGCTTCAGTCGGGGCTGATGCAGTTTTGCGGCGCACAATCTGCACTATTGTGGCGTCATCCAAACGAATAACCGCGCACGCGAAGTAGATCATGCAACTCAATGCATATATCCCTTTGTCGTGCGCAACCCACTGGTCGGATGTTTACTACTGCCGATGTACTGGAACTATACAAAGCGTCGGTGTGAAAGGTTTAGTGTTGTCACCATAGCCAATGCGCGACACCCTCGAGGTAAGCTCCAGCTTTACTACAGTCTGTGCTTACACAATACATGTCTAGAACTTCTAGGAAGGTCCAGATGAATCATCCAACCGATCGAAGCATTACTGTGATATGCCAATGACGCATGCACACATCACTACTCGAGGGTCGCTCCAAGACTCTGAGATAGTCGCTTGTAGCATCGCCATATCTTTTGCGCAAGGAGACAGAATGGCTAGGATGTGTTTCGTGTTAACTTTTGTCTGTGTACCATTGTGCACTGTACAATACTTGTAGAGTTGATTCACAAAAGCGGAAGTCTATTGAGTTTGGTGCGGTAAATCTCATGGTTGTTAGTGTACCTGAATCGAGATAACGTCATTGCAGCTGTCGTGAACATAGCGCGAATTGAGTGAATTTTGTGGTGGTACTGAACATCCGTCCAAGAGTTCAACGGTCGGTCGCGCCTTCTCAATGATAGGGCTGGACGCAGACCGACGCTAACCGGATGCGGTAGCGTGTTTTGGAGTTGTTTGGCCGCGGCCTTTGAGCCCAACCGCGACCACATTGAACGATATCATACCTACCAGCGCACCCGTCTTCTTACTAATGTATAATCTACGGACCCCATGAAACGTCACGAATACGAAGATTCCCCCCGGACCTGCGAAAATGGCAACGAAAGACGAGACGACGCGCACGCGCACCGATCGAATCAAGGCGGACTTACGGTCAATCTCCACATGCACAAATGCCACAGCGACTGCACTTCAGGACTTGCTGTCAAAAAAGGAAGAGGATGCACCACAAAAGGAGAATGTTAGAGCCAAAGTTCAGCCTCCCGCACGGAGGAGAGGCGCGACAGCAACGGCTGCGGCGTCAGCGGATATCACAAAGCAGAAGAACTCAACCCTTGCGCCCAAGGAGAAGTACATACTAGCGACTGAGGTCGCCAACACGACGCTTCAGACGCTCGCCGATGCGCTGAAGAAGCCACAACCTGTAATTGCTGCCCGTCCCCCTACCAAATCGAAGCCAACGCCTGCCGAAAATGCGCGCAAGCCTGCGAGACCGCGACTCGGTCATACAACGAGCTCCTCTGTGTCACAAAAGCCTCTTAGGGAACGGTCCGTCTCGCAAATCAACAACTCACCTGAAAAACGCGTCCCTCGGCGGTCATCTTCCTATTCTTCCTTCCTCTCACCAGGTCCAGACCCTGGCCTTCTCGCAACAGCCGAATGCGCAAGAACCGCATTTGCATATTTGGGTACACCAGAGGCACAAAAGGTTTTGGGGAAGGACTCGCAAGAACTACAGTACGAAAATGGTGTGCTCGTGCTTATTGGAAAGCTCGTCGCACTGGGCCTAGACAATATAGCAGTCAAAGAGTTGAGAGGATTGAAAAGGAAGTTGGAGAGATATCTTGGGCAGGATACGGGGAGAGAGGAGCCCAAGTCTGGCCTACAGCAACAACTACAGGGAACTGCAGAGAAAGAGAGCCTTGCCTCCCTTCTCGACTTTGCAGCGATCGACCTAAAGAGCCCTGCTGTGCCACTAGTAGCGAACTTGCAAATATACACGTTGCGCATCATCGCAAAGCTGAAGAGGCCTCGGACTGTTGAAGCCACTTGGGAGTTTCTAAAAATGACCAACCCTTCGTCGCCAGCGAACCTGCTCTTGCATACTGCGAAGACTTCGAACGGCCAAGCGAAGGCAGCGAGACAGCTCGAGTCACTGGCACAGACGGTTCTCTCCCTATGTCCGAGCATATCGACCGCAGAAGACGCAAACAATCTACAACCATCTGCGGAGACCGTGTTCCTGTTACAGCACCTGGCTTTCAGCATTCGAAAGAAGTGGTGGAGTCTTGTCAAGCATCAAGCCAATGTAGACCGGGAGCTTTCCGAACCGTTTACGAAATGTTTAGTTGCTTTCGCCCGCAGATCGCAGCTCAGCCCAACTAAGAAGTACAAACTCGCCGAGACCTTGTACGTTGACTTGGCAGGGTTCCCAGGCGAGCCCAGTTCACTGGCGGCAGCAAACAAGACTCTCTCCTCTCTTGCGCAAGCTGCGGACTTGTCTGATCAGGCTCTTCGATGGCTGGGGTCGTCAAAAGAGACGACGAGCTCCAATACGTCCGCAGCAAAGCAAACAACACGCGCGATACGAGTCGCCACAATCACTCTCGAGGCATACGTGAAAGGAGAGAAGAAATCGGACTTAGACGAGACCATCACCACTGCACTTCGGATCTTGGATGGAGCTTTGGGTGGATCAATGTCTGATTTGGAGACTTTGTTCGCTGAAGTGAATGCACTGCGACGCGCAGCAACACGATTACTTATCACAAGCATGTCGAAAGCTACAGAAAGCTCTGAGAGCACTTCAACCGAACAGCATGCCGTACCCATCATTGCAGCTAGTGTACATTTCTTTGCCAGATTCCTCGGAACTGCATCGTCAAGTGAAACAGACACAAAGTCGCAAAACCGAAAACAGGAACGAGTAGCTCTTGCCTGGAAATGTGCCAAGAGTGTGGTTGACTCTTTGATGGCATGTTGCAAGCAAACAATAAAGACACTAGACCAATGGAAGGAGTTGGATACTATCCTCCAGGAATGCTCACATATCATACGTCGGTTTGAAGAAGAGATCGGACACGGTACACTCTCTGGTGAAGAGAACATCTCCCTCGTGGGCGCGTATATGGTCAAGCTATCAAACGCATACTGGTCTTTGTATCTGCAGCTACGAAGAGCGCGCTGCAAACCCGAAGCTCTTGTTGTAGCTATGCAGCGCTCAATCGACCTTGTGCAATCTCGTTCGCCACCCGAGAGAGAAAGCGGACTCCTGTCAATGAAGCTGGAAAACTTGGGCGAGACCTTGGAGGATTTGAACCATATCGATAGCTCTCGTAACGCTTTCCGACAATGCATTCGAAGTCATCTCACCGACAATGTGCTGCAGCAGCTTTCGGAGAAGACGTCAACATCCTCCTTGCACATTGTGTTCAGTAGTGAGGGACCGTTTAATGCTCTCGTTCGGGTATTGAAGACATTGCATCACTCCTTCGTCACATCTGGTCCTCAGGAGGCAGGCGAAGTAGCTTTCTACGACGATGATGAGCTAGAACCAGGAACTAGAGGAGCCATTTTGGAGTTACAGCTTGGCTTCTACCTACGAACTTTGGCTAAGAATCGACAGTGGGACTCAAGCCTTGACCAGTCAATACGTATTCTGGTAGAAAGACTGCGACAGGTTTACGTGGCAGAAACTTATCCGATTCGACGTCTCAGACTCTTTGTCACGCTTCTTCAGCTCTCTCAACAGAACCCGCAGATATTGTCTCAGGAGTCAACGCCCTTTAACGCCACAGATGATGGTGAGATGCAAACAGCATGTGGTGAAGACGAAGCATTAGGACGCTATCAAGTTCATCTAAAAGCGCTTCGCGACCTTAAGTCTTCGATGCAGCAGTCTTCTCCTCCCACATTGACCTTCCAACAGTGTTTCGCAACGTGGGAGTCACTCGTTAGCTCTACCTCCGCATGGGAGGCACTCACAGATCGTGTCGAGAATACTGAATCCTGGCTGCAAGATCTCCAAGTATGCCTTGAATACCTCAACGCGAAAGGAGAGGAGTATCTTGCATTACCCCTTCTGCATCTTCTGGTTAAGATTCTGGAGCTTCAGAACGGGTCCGATGCATCCGAGCTCACCGCCACGTTATGTGCCCTCGGCCTGCAGTTTCTTCACCTTGGGTATACCGGTAAAGCAGGGTTAGCTCTAGCCAGGGCCGAGACGTTGATCGAACGCCCGACTTCATCTGTGGAGGTCAAGTTGCAATGGCACATGGCATACGCCGAGTATCTTGTGGCTATTGGGAACACCACAAAATGGTATGTAACGAAGTGAATCATGTTGACGAAAGCATATTAACAATCCGTAGCTTGACTACGATGACCAATGCTCAATCTCTTGCGCTCAACGATCGCCAATTCATGGATCTTGCAAAGCCCACAACGACGCTCTCCGGCAGATTGCGATTCAACAAGATAGTGGCGGCTGCCGCTTATGTCCAGTCGCTTCTCGCCACAGCTACAGGATCATACAAGGCAGCAGCTCGGCATGCGAGGCAGTGCGTGACAATCAATCGCCGCATTTGGGCCGCCCTCGAATCACGGGCTAGCGCGAAGAAGATAACACCTGTGCAGAATGCGGAACCTGTCGCGCCTATTGTCATGTCTGTAACACATGATGCTCTCAACGGACCTGACTTCTGGCACCTGGTTCCTGCGTTGTATCGGGCACTAATGCAGCAATCTCAGATTTTCGCCCACCAAGGTCTATTGCATGAAGCCATCCATGTTGCTGAACAAGCTGAGAAGGTTGCTGCAGCTACAGGATCTGCAACTCTGATCACAGACAATGCCAGCTGGCGCGCTGACTGTTGGGCTCAGAGCGGCAGGTCTGACAAGGCCGAGACGATCCTCAAATCTCTGAGTCCTTATCTTTCCCGGAAATGCCTGTCTACTGCAGGTTATCATTCAGCCGTGGCTAGGATGCATCACTGGAACGGTCAATATGAGCAGGAGATACAGTCTTACGACTGCATGGAGAAACTCCTCGAAGAGCTGAGTTCGCCATCGTACATCAAGACTCTAGAAACTTTCTCGCCCTCGGTCGACGCGCTTGCGGATCAGGTCTCGTCTATGACCTTGGAGACCACGGAGAATATCAAGAAGCCGGCCATAAGAGGTCGCAAAGCTGCAGTAAAGGCTGCACCGCGAGCAGCCATAAGAACTACCGCCAGCGCTCGCGCCAAGGCCACGGAAGTAGTTGCAAAGACTGTTCCAAGGACCAAACGTCAAGCGGGAAAGCCCACAGCCTTGGAAACACCCAGTATAACCGACCAGTGTTCTGCGCTACACGTGTTCCAGGCGAGCATGAGAGACCGAGCTGTCCTAGCGAACCTACTCCACGATGATCTCGCAAAAGCCCTGAGTATTCTTGGTGAAGCGGAGCAGCTCCAGACCGGGCTAAACCAGGAGGTGTCACACATGTGGGCTATCTTCAAAGCGAAGCTCGCACAGAGCGCAAAGCAAATTGCTGAAGACTTCACCGTGAACACTCTACCAGAGTCGACCATTGCTTTCCCTGCTTTTGGTCTCGACACCGCAACGACCAAGAAGGGTGCTCTCGCAACTTCAGCTACTACTAAAAGTGGTCGAGCAAAAAAGCAAACCAAGGTGGATTTCATGGACACGCTTCGTGACGCACGTGCACGGCTAGTTGAAGCACACTCCCTGTGTGCTACTAATGGATCAAACCATCTCTTTCGTCAAACCTCCATGGCGTTGGGTCATGTCACTGTGTTGATGTCGGCAGTCTCGGGAACAGAGCTGCCAGGCTCGCTCCACCCATTGTACGCGGCATACATGAGCGAACTTCCCAAAGTCAATGCCTTGCGGCTTGTGCAAGAGTCGACAGAGGCGGAGAAGGAGCAGCTCTCGCGTGATGATTGTTTGCGATGGCCAACCTCTGACCCGTCACATTTTGCCTTCAGCTCGGTATCCAGTTTCCAAAAAGAGTATGTTGACATCATCCCAGAAACCTGGTCTGCTGTATCGCTGGCGCTTAGTGAGGCACGCGATGAGTTGTTCATCACCCGATTTGAGAGTGGCATGTCCCCGTTCGTGTTACGCCTTCCGCTTGCCCGTCACGCTTCCCGCGAGATGGATGAAGAAGAGTTTTCTTTTGAGGATGGGAAGAGGGATTTTGATGAGATCGTCGAGCTCAGTGATTTCAGTACTCGATCGGCCAAGGACATGACTTCCAGGGAAGCGAGACACCAGTGGTGGGCTGAACGTGAGGCCCTCGACACCCGGCTTCGCGAGCTTCTAATCAACATGGAAAACATCTGGCTCGGTGGCTTCAAAGGTATTTTCTCACAACACGAAAGACAGCCAGCTCTTCTTGCTCGATTCCGGAAGTCATTGGAGGATGTACTCAACGAACACCTGCCATCTCGTAGGAAGAAGAGCACCCAGAAGCGACCAGTGCTGGATACACGAGTACTGGAATTGTTCATTGGGCTAGGCGACGCTACCAATGAGGACCTTGATCTGGACGAAGCGCTGATGGACCTCATATACTTTGTTGTGGATATCCTTCAATTCAACGGCGAACGCAATGCATACGACGAGCTCGACTTTGACGCAATGGTCGTGGAGACGCATGAAGCGTTACGCGCGTATCACAGCGCGTCCCATAAGCTTGAGGCTGCCTCTCGTCATACGATACTCATCTTAGACAACAACTTGCATGCGTTCCCATGGGAGTCGCTGCCTTGTCTTGAACAATTTTCTATCTCGCGATTGCCTTCCCTTGCCGCTCTTCGCGAGCGAATACTTTCTGCTCGATCTTCAGCAACTCTGCAAGATGCTGCCCCGGGCCATTACATATCTACAAGTACGGGAGGTACAAGCATGTTAAATCCGTCGGGAGACTTGGCCCATACCTCAAAAACCATCAAACCACGTCTAGACGAACTTGCAGGTTCTTGGAATCACATTGCCAACCGCCCGCCGTCAGAGAAAGAGTTTGAAGACTCGCTGCGAGAGAAAGACTTGGTTTTGTACTTTGGTCATGGCAGCGGTGCACAATACGTCAAGTCGAAATCGGTGCGTCGTCTGTATCCCGGTGAACAGGATGAAGGGGAACGAAAACCAGGCTGTGCGACCACGCTACTTTTTGGCTGCTCGTCTGTACATCTTACCGAAAATGGCATTTTCGAACCTTCGGGTATGCTTGCTTCGTATCTCACCGCCGGCGCGCCAGCAGTACTTGGCATGTTGTGGGACGTTACTGACAAGGATTGCGATCGCTTCGCCATTAAAGCAGGGGAACTATGGGGACTGTGGCCTGAGGCACAAGAAGACACACCGCCGTCCAAGACGCCTGCGAAAACTCCTGCGAAGAAGGGCAAAGGCAAGAGTAGAGTTGCGCAGTTGGTTGACGAGGTAGAGGGTGTGAGGAGTGCGGAGAGTGCAAAAAAGGGAAAAAAGTCTGCGAAGCTTGCAGATGATCATGTAAATGTGGGGGAGAACAGGCAACGGGGAATTGGATTAGATGAGGCGGTGCGAGATGCGAGAAAAGCTTGTTACTTGCGGTATCTGAATGGGGCTGCTGCTGTTGTATACGGAATTCCAGTATATCTGGACTAGTGTAGCAAGGTGAAATGAGGCGACTACAGAAGAAACCAACGAATAGAGTACGCGAGACTTCCATGTTTTGATAAGCACAATAGAAGATCTTTCCAATTCGGTCTCGATCAGTAAACTTTATTATGACGCGCGGCTGCTTTCTCACGGAAGCAACTCCGATGGTCTCATGACAGGACAAGGCCACGGTTTCTGTCAACGGAAGCGACATGATCATGCGATCTTCGCATCCTCGGAACTCCACAATCTCCAGCGCGTCAATACGTCCGCTACAGTTTCCAGTCTTGTTCGCAACGACGTCGAAAGCAATGGCCGAACGTCCGGCCAGGTCAGGGTCATCTCGAAAGCGTGCGCTCGTGAGCTGCGACCGCTGCAAAACCCGACGGGCACGGTGCATTCGCGAGAATGCCGAGGTGCCTTGTGCGGACTGCAAGGCGAACGGTGTAGTGTGTGAATCCAAGCTACCGCGTAAACAGAGGGTGTATGGCAGTGTGGAGACGCTCAGCCTACGCTACAGAGCTCTTGAGTCGCTAGTCAAAGGGCTTTTTCCAGATGAGAATGTTCAGGATACAGAGACCCTGTTCAAGATCGCCACGGCAAGCAACATAGCGATGCCGGCGAGCGACGACTATACACCTGCAGATATCTTCAGCAATGGCAGTAGCGACAGACTGGCGTCTTCTTCGGAACAGCAACAACAGCAGCATCGGTCGTTGCAAACACCACCTGTTGCCCAGTCCACATACTTGGGCCCACACACTACTACATATCCCCTGCACTCTGCTCACCGCACATCTTCCTTGTCTACAAGCAAAGAGCGCCTACGCCAACCTGCTTCCGTAACTCAACAAGTATCTTCCCAGATAGAAGAGGTCATTCGCACAAATCGAGGCGCCTCGCATTATTTCGGTCCTTCCAGTAGCTTCCGGCTTGCAACAACTATACGGGCACTCGCGTCCCGGTGGAAAGCCGTATCTGGTGCAGACTTTCCTGGACTCCGGTCGTTCACCTCAAATCCTTCGAGTCGATCTGGGTCAGCTCTGAAACGCAGTAGCACAAACCCTTCAGAAGACGAGTTTGCCATACCCACGTCTAGCCAGCGCCCCAATTCGAGCCATGGAAGTCGGAAGAGATCCCGGACTGAGATGGAGGCATCGGATGATGCGTCGCAACTTCAGGATAGCACTTCACGTCTAGATACAATTGGTGATTTGATTCCTCCCAAACATATCACTGACGCCCTGGTAGCAGTCTACTTTGATCAGATCCACATGTACTTTCCCCTGTTCAATAGAACCATGTTTCAGATGCAACTGGAAGCTACATACTCACGGAAGGGCGAATCCATTGACGAATGCAAGGACATGGGATGGCTAATTTCACTAGCCTTGGTCTTGTCTTTCGGTTGCCAACAATCAAAAGCAAATGATGTCGACCAAATGCAAGCACTTCGCCGCAAGCTTGTCATTTTCGCCAAAACCTACTTTCGTGTACTTTTGACGGCGACGCGTTTGGAAAACGTCCAGGCCCTTGTCCTTCTCAACATGCACCATCACAACGTCGGACAGAAGAGCAGCTCATGGCTACTGATAGGTCTTGCTGCGCGCATGGTACGTTACTTACTGCACAGTGTGTTTGCCCTCTGTTGACATGTAGCGCTAGGCAATTACCATGGGAATGCATCGCGATAGCTCGAATTTACACTTTGAACCCATCGAACGAAACGTGCGCCGACAAGTCTGGTGGTCCATCTACGTATTCGAAAAGATACTGTGTGGAATATTGGGTCGTCCAACAGTGATTGACGACCGAGAGACATCGATGAAGGTTCCTGATGTACCAATGCTCGAGCAAACGCGCATCACCGCAGTTTTCATGAACCTCTGCTCCGATCTCGTATCTATATCGTACCGTATCCGACAACGTGCCTACTTTGACAAGACCTCGTCCGAAGAACGTTCGCCGACGCTGGCTGTTGCCATGACCCTACTTCGCGAATGCGACAACTTCTACGCAAATATCCCTCCGCACATGTCCCTAGATCAGGCACCAGGAGGTACAGACCTGAAAGCAATGATACTGTTGCTGCACATGTACTACTACTATACACGCTGTGTCATCTCCCGAGACTTTCTCATACAGAAAGTTGAGAGCAACGTCTGCTTCTTGGAAAACAAAGCATTTCAAGCTTCTGAAGATTGGCCGACAACTCTGATACTTGCGGAGGACTGTGTTGAGTCGGTGCACAAGAGCCTCCAATGCATCACGATTGGCATCGATCTTGGGATCTTCGAGATTATTGGTTACTCGTGGCTAGACTTTTTCTTCGTATTCCACGCCGTCTTGATTGTATGCGCCGACTTCCTTGCTCGACCCAAAGTTCAAACAGATTCACCTAAGGACATCGAGCGCAAAGCGACTGTGCGTACTGTGCTTGCTCAGGTCCGCGGAATGCAGCAGAAGCTCCCGTCCACATACAAGACCCTCGGTCAGATTGCGCTGCAATTGGCCAGAATAACGGGTGTCAGTCAAGATATGGATTCACCAACTATACTAGATGCACCACCCGATGCGTCACTGGAGGCTGTAGTGGACATGCTGCATGATGAAAGGAACGAACATGCCGACATACTTGACATAGGAGGCGATTGGTATACGGATGCGACAGCAGATTTAGGCTTGGATTTCTTCGATCTGAGTCAAGCGACGCATCCAGTGACATTTCCCGTTATGGACCCTCCAACACGTTCTGATAATGCGGGTGATCCAGCAGGCGACCCAACGGGTGACGTAGTGGACGACTGGACAAACAGGGCGCTAAAGGGGATGCACACCCTATGAACGCGATATCACGGGTTACACTCCAAGTAAACTGTATGAAAATATTTATCTTGCCGTCATGAATGGTCTTTGAAGCGCAGATGACATCATCAAATAGCGTGGTGTCGAGGTTTAAGGAGCTCTTGGCGATGCACGATCGTCCGATAGCCGCAGTCAGTCAAGATCGGCCCAAACCGCATTAGGATTTCATGACGCATTTATTCACAATTGATGTCGTGACAGCTGCAGACAAATACAGGTCCGCGGTAGCTCGCGTTGCTTGCAATATGTTGCATAAGTGCTGAGCCTTTTATTTCGATGCCACATTCGCAAGATACAGAGCCTATTCTACCCACCACGAATATGGCAGGCGGCAACAACAAGAATGGAAAGAAGAAGGTGCTTGTTGTGGGAGCTGGCGCGGCTGGTACGTTGAATGCGCTTTTTGGTATTGATGGTCGCTAATTGGAAGCAGGAATGTCAGCCGCTCACCACCTTTCTGAACATCCCGACAAATTCGACGTTACTCTTATCGATGCAGTAGATTATTGTGGTGGCCAGGCCTTTTCCATTGGAGTCGACAAGGAACGCCATGGAGCTGACTGGCTAAACCAAGGTGTTCAGGGTGGAAGCTATATTTTCCACCACACCATGACAATGTTCGCAAGACAAGGCCACCATGCGGACCCGGTAAACCTCCAAGTTTCGTTTGGCAAAGACGACATCTTCTGGACTAACGTCTTTCCAACCGAGCTTCTTGCGCGACATCAGAAGGAAATCAGGAAGTTTCACACCATGCTTAAGATTGTTCGCTGGTTTGAGATTTTCTTCGCATTGATCCCGATCAAGATCCTTTTCAAGATGTTCTGGTTTTCTGAAGAGTTCACCAACACTGTCGCCATGCCCATGATAGCACTTTTCCTGGGAACCGGAAACGAAACGCCAAATGTACCAAGCATCATTCTCGAACGACTCGTCACCAGTCCAACGTACGGAATGTGGTATCCGGGAGATAAGCACAGTGTTGCTAGCAATCTGCCGCCCATGGTTGTGTTCCCCAAGTTCAGCGAGTTTTATGAGCGCTGGAGGCAAGATCTGCTCAAGCGCGGTGTCAATGTTAGGCTATCAACGGAGATTACGCGAGTAATGAAGCGAGACAAGACCGGAGTTACCGTAAGGCTGATCAAGCGTACTCCGATGCCTGATGCGCACAACCCCAACAGTGTTAATGTGCCATACGACAACGACCACAATGCCGATCCAGATGCACAGGAAAAGGAAGAGCACTATGACGAACTGATTCTCTGCGTGCTCGCCGACACAGCAAAGCGTATCTTGGAACCCACAGCCTCCTTCCGCGAGAAGAAGGTCCTTGGCTCCGCCAAGTTCTCTGATGACATCACTGTCACCCACTGGGATACCGACTATATGCACAAGCACTACGAGAACTTCTACGACCCAAACAAAGCCGTTACAAAGCTTTCCAACATCGACCAAACTGCGCGCAACACGATGGCTGAGAAGTCATTCAAGCCAATGTACTACATCAAAATGTATCCCCAGGATCGATCAAAACTCGAGATGTGCTTTGACTGCACAAACTACCAAAGTCAATTCCCTCCGGAAGTTCCCTTTGAAAAGCACATCTTCCAGACTATTTATCTGAATAAGGCACGAGACAGCCATTTATGGAGCATCGATGAGATCAACAAGGATAAAATTATTCGCAAGGATTGGTGGCACCAGTTATGCCATTCCTGGACGCATTACGCTTTCGTAGTCCCGTGGATGTGGCTTCTGCAAGGTCGGAAACATACTCGTTTTGCTGCGGCGTGGACTCTCATCAATGCTCACGAGGTTGCTGTCATGAGCGGCATTGCTGCGGCTGTTGATCTTGGTGCGCAGTACCCCGCTGATCTTGAACGCGACAAGTTTGCTTTCTTGAGCTTCAGGTTGTATTACCTACTGGCTTATGGAAAGTGGTATAGTCGGAAGGCGACCAAGAAGACGAAGGAGGGACCGGGTAAGGACTGGGCGAGTGGTCTTTACGGCAGCGTATATCGTGGTCCAGGTGTGAGTGATATTGATCGGTTGCAGTGGAGAGAGGAGAACGATGTGCAAGATGTGCCCATCAAGTATGGATTCCCGACTGACAGTGGGAAGCGATAAACCTTGAAACGGGAGGTGGAGAGGGACGACTCAGCATCATGAATATCTGGAGGACTGATGCAGCCTAATCAACTATAATCATAATACACTTCGCTACATATACATCGCTGGTCTGTTCGTATATCACGTTTGAATCCATACCAAATGTTCGGCGAATACAATGCATACCTTGATAACAACGTCCGGCTGTCCACCAGCCCTTAACTCCGTCTCCGTCTCAAACTCCGCCAAGTCCCTGCATATCAGCGAACACTTAACTCCATATTCTCCACAAAAGAAGTATGTAAGCATGATGTCGTTGCTGGAAGTATAAGTACTTCCTCTTGGCAACATCTCCCATACCAGAATCGACAACGAGTCTCGAGCTAATCACTCTTCTCACACAACATGTCTTCCAAAACCCCTCTCAACGTCGTTTTCGGCTGTATGACCTTTGGCCGCGAAGGTGAAGAACAAGTCCGCACCTCAAACCTAGAAGATTGCGCATCTATCCTGGATACGTTCCAATCCTACGGCCATAGCGAAGTTGACACGAGTCGTTTCTACGGCGTGAGCATCACCTCTCACTCATGACCAGACTTTGCCGCTAACAAAACTAGGATGGCTCATCAGAAGAATACCTCCAGAAACTAGGCTGGCAGAAGAGAGGCTTAACAATGGATACCAAATTCTTTCCCAACGTTGCAGGCTTCTTCGGACGTGCACAAACGCATTCCAGGATGGAGGATATGCGCAAGAGTCTGGATGAAAGTCTGGCTGCTCTCGGAGGTGAGCAGGTGGATCTGTGGTATCTCCATGGTCCAGATCGTACTGTGCCACTTGAAGAAACCGCGAAAGCAGTCAACGATCTTCAAAGAGAGGGCAAATTCAAGCGATGGGGTGTGAGTAACTTCATGTCTTGGGAAGGTATGTTAACCACTTTTCAACTCGCTTTATCCCATGTATAACTTGTTGATCTTTTCTATAAACAGTCGCAGCGCTATGTGAGATCTGCAAAGCAAATGGATACCAATTGCCTAGTGTATACCAAGGTGTGTACAATGCTCTTCACCGCAGCATCGAACACGAACTCCTCCCTTGCCTGCGCAAGTACAATATGTCCTTTTACGCATTCAATCCATTAGCAGGCGGATGGTTGACCTCGCGGTACAAGCGCGATATGAACGACAGCACCATTGAATCTGGCAGTCGTTTTGATCCAAATCGTGAGTTACCGCCTCACCCTTGTGTCGTAACAAGGGTCGGATATTTGGTGTCTAACATTTCACAGGTATGCAAGGGAAGATGTACCGCGCGCGTTACTGGAACGACGAGTTCTTCACTGCAATCGAGGGCTTGCGCTCCGAGCTGCCAGATGGCCAGACGGAGAGCGAGACAGCGCTTAGGTGGATGATGCACCACAGTCAGCTGAAGAAAGAGTTTGGTGATAAAGTGATTATTGGAGCGAGTAGTAAGGAGCAGTTGGAGATGAACCTCAAGGATTTTGAAAAGGGGGCGTTGGACGAGAAGGTTGTGAAAGCATTGGATCAGGGTTGGGCTGGTACTCGTGGAGTCACTTGGAAGTACTTTCACTAGGGTTGAGGCTTGCGGTCGAGGATGTGAAATATGGATGACAGACCAGCTGAACCAAGGGTTTCCCGTGGGGAACGTGTGCTGTGAACCGAAGTCCAGTCACAATCAAGACGGTGAACCATAGTTAGTGAACGTCATGCTTGGATCCTCAAGTAGATAAAATAATAATAAGAAATTCCCCCTACACTAGATATTTTCTCTCCTCACAACTCGAACAACAACTCCCAACCGACACGAGAGAATAGCATACGAAATGACGAACCCTTATGATCAACCCAGCCAATACATCTCTACCTCGACCAACTGGTTCAATCCAAATGGGGTAGCGCACTACACACGTCCTATCCCCCATCCTGACATTTACCAAGCCACAAACAATACCTTGAACAGGATCATAGCAGGCGACCCAACTCGAGTAGCTCAAGTCGAAGCCGCAGTCAAAGAAAAGCGTGCACGGGAAGATGCCGTAACCCGACAGCGCGAAGCCGAAGAAGCTGCAGCCGCTAAACAGGCCCAAGAGATACACAAATGGCGTAACTACTGCATCCAACGATACGTAAACAGACATGGAACCGTGGCAGAGAAGCAGGAGCAAGAAGAGCGTTTCAAAAAGCTTCAAGAAATCTATTCGCGATTGGAGCATAAGATGGTACTTGCAGACTGCCACTTGGAGCTCAAGAAATGGGGTCTGCAACCCAACGCCGCTATGGACTCGAAATCTACGTTCGACGCCTGGCATTCTGTAGACAAGCCACGTCGCGCGCGACGTCAAGGCTGGGACCCACAGATGAAGGGCGGCCGTCAAGCACCCCCACCCCCATCTTCATCTGCACTACGACCCGACGCCTGTTGCGATTTCGATTACTGCCATGGATTCTGCGCCAACATCGGAACCCCTTGGTGCGAGTATTCGTAGCATGCGCGTCCAAGTAGACAGACTTGCAGGCCTTGGTGATCAAATCATGTCAGTACCAAGGAAAATGCATCTTGGTAGCGCAACGAGGCACGGTGCATCGGTATAGATAGCCGTGTGGATATTGCCTCGTTAGCAGGTACTTGGTGCAAAAAGTACAAACACAAGAGGGTATGGAAATGGTGAAGAAGCCGAATTGGGACAATGACATAGTGCTTGAGTATTAGATGTAAGCTATGGTTGAGAATAACAAGACTTAGCAAAGGAAAGGGGGTATATCAACCAACCAGTCTAGACCATGCAGAAAGTCAAACGCATGCAAATGCATCTAGAAGCAAAATCGGAAAGCTCATAGGAAAACTACCTAATATAAATCAACTTCTAGATCGTCTCATTCCGGAATCGTGTAAACAGTACGTGATCGTGGACTCCTACAGCTAAATAATCGTCGTGAATCTGTTATTGAAGAAAGTTGTTAGCCTACTATTTCCTCTCCCTTGTCTCTCCATCCACAGGCTTGACGCCAGTGCTGCCCTCTAGTGGAGGGATATAACCTAGTTGCTTCTCATTCCCACCCTCCATTGGTGTAAAGGGCGTGAAACCGCCTTCGGGCGAAGCCTGCCATTTCGCCATATCCTTCTTCAGCTGCTCAAGCTCTTTCTGAAATCGGTTGCCGAAGACGTCGATGTAGTAGGTGGCGCCATTGTAGACACTCCAGATGAAAACGACGCTAAGGAACAGGCCTGAGGGCCAGCGGTACCAGAACCAGATTGGGCAGGGTAGCATCGTCAGGACAGCATAGCTGTATTGAATGAACATAAACGCAGGCTCCTGCAGAAAGTCGGGAAGCGAGAGGACAATCTTGCCGATCCATGTTTTGGCGTACGACTTCCGCAACCATGTAAAGCTAGTGGGTCGGCCAGCGGCAATCTTGTCGCGACGGCGTACCGTGATGAGAAAATGGTAGCTCAGTTGCCAGAAAGCATATGGGAAAGTGGCCCACAGCATCATCTGCAGCAAACTATAGTGATGGGGTGAAGATGGGTCGGAGTGGCGGATGTCGTAGATGGCGGGATAGTGTTCCTGCTGGTATTCTGGCGACAGCAAGTGAACGAGGCAGTGCAGGGTGACGCAAGGCATGATGTGGATGAACAGACTACGTATATTAGCATGAGTTTAATGATGTAGGACCGATACACTAACCTAACCACTTTGTCCATGCTGTGGAAGACGAGCGAGTTACGCCACATCACAATAGCGACAGCGTTATTTCCCATGCAAAGGCAGTACGTCGCGATGAAGAGGCGCTTAGACTGCGGGAAGACCCATACACTCAGAACGAGTAGTATGTTGACAAAGTAGCACAGATCGGCCAGAAAGTAGTGGTAGCCCTTCTTGTGATAGGTGAAGAAGCGGAGGGGCATGAAGTAGAGCAGCTGAGCAGTGTACCAGTGTGGAAGTAGGTCCGGGTGGCAGCCGATCAGGTATCCTGACACAAAGATGTTCATAACGGCGGCGATGAAAGAGGCCTTCTCGCGCGCGGTGACAGTGAGTGATTCGTTCCAGCGGCGATTCAGGCGATCTACCGAATGGCGCATACGCCTCTTGTACTTCTCAAGCTGCTCCCCTTCGGACGGGACTCTCCGTCGCCATTCTTCAACAACACGGTCTTTTGTGATGCCCCGATTCTTGGCCTGGTTCTTGATCTTCTCCGTCTGAGAGGCTATGGAATTCTGGATCTTCTCGATGCGCTGCGATAGGGCGAGGTTCTCGACAAAGTCGAACATGGTGAGCTTCTCGACCGGCGGGAAGAAGGCAGCATCTTCGAAATCGGAGTCATCGTGGTATGAGCTATTGGAGAATGAGGCGGAACGGGAGAGACCAGGTGTAGAGAGTGGTTGGTTCGCAGATGAGGAGACGGGCTCATCAAGCAGCGCAGAGCCGGCATGTGTGGAGTCACCTGGTGTTGGACGTGCGGATAATTCAGAGACTCCAAGCTGCGGCTCTGACCTCGACTTGGGCAGACCGCCTGCATCCGCATCCTCTGGGGTTGACATGGTGGGTAACTCTTCCTGGACGATCTCGAGACTAGAGCGCGTTCGGCGATGGAGGGGTCTTTTGAAGTGACGCGGGGGTGAGCCTGCAGCCATCATCGCTGTTAGCTGATGTATCTTGACGAGTCTGCCCAGAGTCCATGTTTGGGAGAGAGGAGGTATATCAAAGGGAAAAGGCCTACAGTGGGTAATGGTTTGCTTGGATCAGACCTAGTCAGACCCTATGCTCTCATGACAAGGCAAGTGGTGTGCGGGGTTCTCGAATCGTGCTTCTGTGCCAGTCTCGGAGTCTCTGGGGAGAAAAGTCGTGGGTGAATGCAAGCTGGTGATTGGCAAGTTTCACAACGTCATCGCAGGCACCGGTGGCATGCGAACTAGATGTGGTCACGAGGAAAGGCGGTGCTAGAATAGCTGCTTGATAAGATAGGCGCAGGACAGCGAAAGATTTCGGTCAGTGTAGGGAAATGTTGTGTATAGGACCAAGTCGGTGTGGTCAGCTCCCCTGCCTGCCTATCGGCCGTGGTTTCGTCACTGCGGCCCACATGCTCGTGCATATCGGCACTAGCACGTTTTGGGCCCAGGGCTTAACGCGTCTCGAGCACGCGCTCCAACACGACGATAATCACGGGCAGGCCCACCCCGCGACTATCCAACCGCGCAACGCCAACAAGTCGTAGCGCAATCACCATCCTAGGTGTCGCGCAGCCCAACCGCAGTCATGGGAAAGCTCGTGCGACTCGAGATATACAGTAAGTCCCCGACGCGCATTCGTTTGCATATACTAAACATGCGCAGACTTCAAGTCCTACCGTGGACGCCATACCCTTCTCTTCGGCGACTCGTACTTTACCTCCATCATCGGTCCCAATGGCTCCGGAAAGTCGAATAGTATGGACGCCATCTCCTTCGTCTTGGGAGTCAGGTCGTCCCATCTGCGATCCGAGAAGTTGAAGGACATGGTCTACCGTGGCAGGATCATTCAAGAAGCTAGGATCAATGCCGATGGTACCGTAACCGAAGCCGACGGCGGTGCGAATGGCGATGCGAACGGCAACTCCAATGGCGACTCTCAGGAGAATGGCGATTCGCAAACCAGCACCCAGCGCACCGATCCCCAGAATGCGTGGGTCAAGGCTGTTTTCGAGGACGATGCTGAACAGACACACGAGTGGCAGCGTGCCATTACGAGCTCTGGCTCCAGCGAATACCGCATTAACAACCGCGTCGTCACCCAGAAGCAGTATGGCGAGGCGCTTGAGGAGCACAGCATCTTGGTCAAGGCAAGGAATTTTCTCGTCTTCCAGGGAGACGTCGAGAAACTTGCGACAACGGCGCCGGAACAGCTCACACTACAAGTTGAGCGCATCTCTGGCAGTCTGGAGCAGAAGGCCGAGTACGATCGTCTGAAGGAAGAGTCCGAGGCCGCCACCGAAGATAACGCGAAACATCTGCATGAGCGTCGCGGCATCAACGGAGAACTCAAGACATACCAGGATCAAAAGGCCGAGGCTGACGAATACGAGAAGAAGCTTGCAGAGCGCGACGAAGCCGTCGTCACAAAGAATCTCTGGAAGCTCTACCTGTACCAGCAAGTTATGGAGAAGGCGCGGAACAAAATCGCCAGCCATCAGGAAGAGCTCAAGGAACATAAGCGCAGCGTCGAGAAGTATCACCAAAGACATGAGGCGGAAAGGCAGGCCGAGGCTAAGGTCAGACGAGATCTTACCAAGACCGACCGCAACACCAAAGCCAAAGAGAAGGAGATTGAAGACGCCTCCAACGAGCTTGCGCCGATTGAAGAGAAGATTCGCCTTTCCAACGAGACCCGCCGAAAATATGAGAGCAGACTCGACGAGCTCCGGAAGAAGCGCGACGCGGAAAAGAAGGCGGTCGAAAAGTGTCAGAAGGACCTTGATTTAGTGCAAAAGGCCGAGAAGAAGTGGGAGGATGACTTCAAGGCTGCTGCTCAGAACCAAGGCCGCGAGCTTTCTGAACAGGACCTCCAGGAATACGGCCGACTGCGCAGTGATGTTACGAAGCGGACACACGGAGATCAAATGCAGATAGACAAGCTTAAGCGCGAAGTTGAAACAGACAGGGACCATGTCAAGAATCTCCAGCAGAGCGTTGACAGCCATGAGAAGGCTGTTGAGAAGCTGAATGCAGACATCAGTCAGTTGGAGGAGCGTCAGCAGGCTTCCAAGACACAAATCAAAGACCTCGAAAGCGCAAGAGTCGCCAAACAGCAGGAACTCGACAGACTGCGAGCCGACCGAAAGCAGATCGAGATGCAATACTACGAAAAGAACCAGCTGCTACAGGAGGTTCTGAAGCAGCTTAGCATTGTCGAAGGCAGTCGTCGGGAGTCAAGGAAGCAGCAAGAAGCTCGCAGAACCATTGATCGCTTGAAGACTCGCTTTGGATCCGAGAAGGTACACGGTCGATACAAGGATCTTATCACACCCAAGATGCAAAAGTATCGCAAGGCTATTGGTCGCGTGCTCGGACACCAGATGGATACCGTCATTGTCGACACCGAAGCCACCGCCAAATCCTGCATTGAGTATCTCAAGGCAGAACGCATCGGCGTCATGTCTTTCAACCCATTGGATTCCATCCAGATCCAGGCTGTAGACCCTCAACTGAAGGGTATGCACGAAGGCATGCGACTCGCCATAGACTGCATCAACTACGAGCCCAAGCATGAGCGAGCAATGACTGCGGCCTGCGGTAACACCATGATTTGTAACACGGAGAAGCTCGCGAAAGAGCTCAGATATCAAAAGCGCATTGAGGTAAAAGCGGTTACCTTGGATGGTCGTGTCATTGGCAAAGGCGGAACACAGACAGGTGGTGAGCTTGACCGCGATGACGATTCGAGCGAACAACAATGGGACGAGCGGTCCTACCAGGCTCTTCTAGACAAGAAAAACAGATACGAAGAGGAGCTTCGTGCACTTCCCAAGCAAGATCGACAGTACACCCAAGAACAGACTCTCGAAGTCGAGCTGCTAGATCTACAGGAGCAAATTGCTCAAGCTAAAGAGGAAGCCCGAGCACTTGGTCGCAACATCGAGAGCGTGAAGAAGGAGTTAGCACATCACAAGAGTGAGCTGAGGGGTGTTCGACCCAATTACGAAAAGCAGGCGCAACGGCTACAAAGTCGAGAAGAAGAACTCGAGAGCCACCAAAATGCAGTGAACCAGGTCAACGACCAGGTCTTCGCAGCATTCTGCGAACGCCTCGGTTACGAGTCCATTCGCGACTATGAAGCTCAGCAGGGTACAGTCCAGCAAGAGGCAGCCGAGAAGCGTCTCGAGTTCAGCAAACAGCGCAGTAGGCTTCAGTATCTGATGAAGCAGGTCGACTCATCTCACCGGGGTGTTGAAGAACGCCTCAAGCAAGCAGAGGAGGAGATCAAGCGCAAGACTGCTGACATTACTGAGCTTGAAGCCAAGCGAGAAGAGCTACAAAGCGCCCGGGACGTTCTCCAGGCCGAGCTGGAAACGCTGCAGGACCAGCGAGCACGCTTGGAGCAGAAGTTAGCTGAACGAGTTGCGGCTGTCAAGGAGGCACGGCGTACCCTGGACCAGCGCAACGAAAAGGTCAAAAATGTGCTAAAAGAGGTTGACCAAGAGGATGCGAATATCAAGTCGAGCGCAACGAACCGCTACAATGTGCTCAAGGAATGTCGAGTGAACGAGATTCAGATTCCGCTCACAGAAAACTCAAGACCATTAACATCATTACCGATGACCGACATGCCGCGACCGGATGCGGACGCTATGGATATTGATGAGGATCCTGATTCGACTCAAATACAACCCGCAGAAGTGGATGACTACGGCATTGACGTCGACTTCGAAGAGCTAGACGAAGAGTTGAAGACGGAGGTTGTCGAGATACTCGAGAGTGTATGTACTGAAGCTGGATTCTAACTGAAACTTTGCTAATATCTTGCAGGAGGATGAACAAGATGAGCGCATTCAATCTCAGGCCAGCCAGAAGCTCAAGGCTGTTGAATCCAAGTTGACTGACGTGATCACGACCCTCGAAACCGACATAAACAAGGCTACGCCCAACATGCGCGCTGCCGAGCGTCTCGCTGCAACAGAAACGCGTCTCAAAGCTGTCGATGAGGCATTCGCCGAGACACGCAAGCGCGCAGCAGCTGCAAAGAAGGCTTTCGAGGAAGTGAAGACCAAGCGCTACGACCTCTTCATGAAGGCTTTCAACCACATCTCTGAAAATATCGGCGGTACCTACAAGGACCTAACAAAGTCGCCACAGTTCCCGCTAGGAGGGCAAGCCTATCTTGACATGGAAGACAGTACGGAGCCATATCTTGCGGGTCTCAAATACCATGCCATGCCGCCGCTCAAGCGTTTCCGCGATATGGAACATCTGTCCGGTGGTGAGAAAACCATCGCCGCATTGGCTCTGCTGTTCGCAATCCACAGCTATCAGCCTTCGCCATTCTTCGTCCTTGACGAGGTCGATGCAGCACTGGACAACGTCAATGTCAGCAGAGTAGCCAAGTATGTACGAGAGCATGCTAGCCCCGGTATGCAGTTCATCGTCATCTCTCTGAAGGCAGGATTCTTCCAAGAGAGTGAGACGCTGGTAGGTGTTATGCGGGATCAGGGCAAGATGACAAGCAAGTATTTGAGTTTAGATGTAAGTTGCTCCTTCTTTCACATGAATATGGAACACTCGCTAATTCTGTTACAGTTGAGGAGATATCAACCTGCTTGAGCTCTCCAGATGAACACGCAACAAGCTCTCTGCGGCTAATGATAGTTGTCTCTTTATGAACTCTGCATATAATACCTTGTTACCCTTTTTCGTGCATCGTCTGGTTTGCGAAAATCGTTAGCTACTGTAGTCTACTGTCTATGTTCACGTGCTCACGTATTCTGCAACCAAGTCTTCAATGCCTAATGCGTTCGTGGTGACGCGACTTCCCGTGACATACTGAAACGACCTGCCTATCTCATCCAGCCCCACTCAGACATGACGCGGCTGAATAGTCGTGATGGCGACTGCGCGTCCGCCTGAAGCTTACAAATTATTGCCATGACAACATATTGCTACGGAGATGCCCAATTGTGAGTCATAGAACTACTGTATAGCCAAGGTTGCTCTCTGCGACTTTGGATCTCGAAAGCTTAAGCTTCCCAACGGTTCGGCGTTGCATGCACGACCCCGCCGCCATGACCCCGGATAATTCACACCAGGATCAACCTGTCAAACCTGTCAGCGAAACCTCACCACTTCTGCCAAAATCCACGGACGACGCGCAGGCAATCGGCGTGGAAACAGGCATTGCACCGGAAGGCGTACATGCTGAAGACGGAGGAGATATCGAGCGACAGGTCAGCCATGGCGATGCGTTCAAGCACCAAGGCCTGCCGGAAGTCAGGAAGCGGATGAAGTACATTTTCCCGGCGATAGCTATCGGAGTAAGCTTTCTATCATCTCTCGATATTCCTGTTCCTGCAAATATCGAGGCTAACGAGTTTGATAGGTATTCCTCTCGTCTGCAGACCAAACACTCGTTATAACAACCTACGGTACCATCGGCACCGACCTGCATGCACTTTCCTCCACGTCCTGGATCGCAACGGGCTACTTCCTCACGCTATCCGCTTTCCAGCCTCTCTACGGAAAACTCTCGGATATCTTTGGCAGGAAACAATGTTTGCTGTCTGCGTACCTGATCTTTGGGATTGGGAGTGTGGGCTGTGGTCTTGCGAGGAACATTGGTGAGCTCGTTGTCGCAAGAGCTTTTGCCGGTGTAGGTGGCGGTGGCATGAGTGTATGTACAAGCATATTGCTGAGCGATATCGTGAGCTTGAGGGAGAGAGGTCAGTGGCAGGGTTATGTCAACCTGGTGTACGCTTTCGGTGCTTCTGCTGGTGCGCCCCTCGGTGGGTTGCTGGCAGATAGCATTGGGTGGAGGTGGGCCTTCCTAGCGCAAGGACCGATGTGCGCTATGGCATTCGTTGCTGTGGCATTGGTGCTTGAACTTCCCAAGCAAGATCAGTCGCACTGGAAAGAGAAGATGAAGCGGATTGATTTCTTGGGCGCGGTGATCCTCATCTTTGCCGTTTTTGGATTACTTATCGGTCTCGATCGCGGCTCGAATGTGTCCTGGAATAACCCCATTACTATCGCTGGTCTCGCTTCTACGCCGTTATTCGTCGTTTTCGTGCTCGTTGAGAAGTATGTCGCGAGTAATCCCTTCGCCCCTGGCCGCATCATCCTCAACAAGACACTCTTTGCATGCTATCTTTGCAACTTCTTCTCTTTTGGAGGATGGTTGGCTGCATTGTTCTTCATACCACTCTACTGGCAGGTCATGGGCGATTACAGTGCTTCGAAAGCTGGATTGTTCCTCGTCCCATCCATTATCCTTGGGGTTAGCGGCTCGCTTTTCAGCGGCTTCTACATGAGGCGTACAGCCAAGTACTATTGGATCACCGTGATCGCCTACACGAATCTCACAGTTGGTTTGTCATTGATACTCCTATTCGCTGGAGTCGTTTCGGAGAGCTTACCGGCTATGGTGGTGGCAACATGTGTATGCGCGTTCAGCAACGGCATAGGTGTAACAACCACCCTCATCGGGCTCATCGCAAACGCCTCTCATACCGACCAAGCCGTTGCCACCGCTTGTTCGTATCTGTTCCGCTCTCTCGGTTCTGTCTTCGGTGTCTCTATGTGCGCAACCGCGTTCAACCAGACCCTTCGCAAATCCCTCCAAGAGACGCTGCAAGGTGACGATGCGGCCGAGATTGCAGAGCGTGTCAGAGCTGGATTGGCTTATTACAGGGGTCTGGATCCGGCGCTGAAGAGTATCGTCAAGGAGTGCTATGGACGGGCTACTAGGGCGGCGCTATGTGTGGGGATTGTGCTTGTTGCTGGGAGCGCTATCTTTGCGTGGTTCATAAAGGAGAAGAGTCTGGAGGATAGTAAGAGTAGACGTGTTGAGCCTGAGGAAACCGCAGAGTGAAGCAGGGGTCTCCTCAGAGTGTACGAAGAAGCGTGTCTCTAGGACGCGATTGACATCAGTGGCATACTCCACTCGGACGATCGAATACTGAAAACGAGTCCGTTCGTTGGTCTTTCCAGAGTGTTGAGCATGGCGGACTTGATGTCCGGGCTTGGTGCTCGGTGTATCCAAGCAGGTGAGATGCTGTCGGCTTTAGTCTCACCGCTCGATGCTAGGCGAACATGACTCTGCATCACGGTGAAGCGGAGATTTCACGACAGTGTCTCAGGGACTGAGCGTAGAGAATCTCAATGCGTGCATATTGAGTGTACAAAGAGAGTAGCATGAATCTTACAGCTTGGCTGCCCTGTGAGGTATTAACTGGCTGTACCCGTACCGCATGAAATCATGAGCATTTGTGAGGTGCAGACTGCCCTCACTTTAGTACCGAGTATCCTAGTCGGTATTATAATGCTGTCTCCAATGTTGTATGCGGAAGCATATAGGTATTAGAACTTCAGATGGTCGAGCCCAATACTGTGACAGCCAGTGACACAAGGCACTAATGGCACGCTAGTCACGGCGATGATGGAGGGTCCGCCACGATCCCAACCTGTAGTCACACAGTTACTCTCGCTTCAGATTACACGATGGCGCCCAAAACAAACCCTCGATCTAAAAGGGCCGTCTTCGTGCCACCCGAGCAGTCGTCGCGGAAAGCGCGTAGCTGATCGCGCACTGCGCTTCTCGAACAACCGATGACGTGTTCCGACACCGCATTCCCCAAGCGCGTGTTCCAATGCAGCGACAAAGCACATGCACGATACAGTCACCTCGATAGTTTGGCCGCTCTGACCGCTCCCACGATGTCGGATTTTGCATGAAAATTGAGACATCGAGACTGTGGGCAAACCCACCCTGCCATGGACCGTTTGAGTATGACACAACCTGTTATACCCGCATTTGGCTCTTATCATACCCACTCTGACCCAGAGAAGTAATACGACGCATCTACCTCGCGGGCTATATGCATGTCGCACCCACAATTTGTCCCAATGGCGCTACATCTTACAATGACGTCAAGCTCCATGCGGGCGCGTTCCTGGTGCGGCCCGTAACCGTCGGTATTCCAATCAAATCCGCGTAGGGGCACCAATCGCGCAGTGCCAGCTGTACAAGCCATCATCAAGCATGAAGCAATTCACAAGAGTAGGGCTTGGGTGGGGAAAGCATCTGTTGCGGAGCTTATTGAAGGGGTCTGTGATTAAGGCGTGGGGCGTGCGTTTGTAGTAGGACCCTTGTGGAGCCTAGAATCGCACTCTAGGACTTCGTTCCTTTTAAGCTATCTGGACCGCTTTCCTCTTTTGCGCTACCAGTCAGGTTGGTCTTATATCTGGGAAAGCAGGGACACAGGAGAACAAGTAAACAGCAGGTTTCGATCATGAGTATCGCTGTAAGCATATTCGGCCCGTATGCAACGGCATATTGTATGTTCATATGTACTGATGCCACACAGAACCCTACCGTTGATCCTGCGCACGTTGTGCAAGCGCTGGTATACACCCTCTTGGATGTCTTCGACGCCACGAGAGATCTGTATGAGACCCTCACGGTCAAGGAGCAGAGAGACTATGAGCAGAACCTACGCAGCAAAGGCTACCCTGCCTCCAGGAGGATCGAATATGTGAAGGATGAACGTCTAGGCAGCGATGAAGCTATCGTTACAGACAAGGCGGTAGTCACAAGGCAGTTTGATATTGGGTATCAGACCATGGGGGCTGAGTTTGCCATGGGCGATGGTAAGCTTGCTCTTTCCTATGGCGTGATCAGGTGGACTGGCCTCTGCCCAACAACGTTGCTGCATCTTGAACAATGAGCGTACTATTCTGGGAACTCCATCTAGATCAATCGGCTAACAAGACATGTGCCAGTGATCGCACATACCGCCCTACAGTCACAGATCATAACCCTCCAAAGCGTATTGGTGACCACGTTCCTCTACGGACCCACCTCTGGGGAGTCTATCGCAAATCAACTAGCCAACATTAACACAGCATCAAGGGTAGCTGCTGCAACATCCGTGGAGATATTGGCTGCTTTGCAAGAACGTCAACAAGATGAACGACCACTCACGCCACGCTCAATGCATTCATTCACGGCACGCTCAAGCCCGACCCATGCATCTTCGCATGTTTCCTCCCACCACACTTCTCATGCGCCATCGCATGTTCCATCACACCATACCTCTCGTGCGCCATCTCAGGCACCATCTCATCATACCTCGCAGGCACTATCTCGTGTACCATCCAACGCAACATCTCGTACGCGATCTCGGGCCAAGTCTCTGACTGCATCCCACGCGCCGTCTCATGCGCCATCGTATGCACCTTCACATGCGCAATCATATGCATCATCTCGCACGTTGACTCTTCCCAACAGTACTACTGGTCCTGGTTCGACTTCTACAGCTCTGGTGAAACATGAGGAACCACGATCCAGGTCCTCCCACGTGCGAAGTAGCAGCCCTGTCAACACGACCGTGCTCACATGGCGTGACAACGTCGAACCAGAACCATCAATCACTGACGCTACCTCGATGACAGGACCCACCATGGCGTCAGGCTCTTCCAATCTATACTGCTTGTACGCATACGACCTCCAGCGATCACCTACACAACAACTATCTCCTAGCATAACGTCTGACAGGGACCCGTATTGTCCACACTGTAAAAACACACTGCACCTTTCACCAGGAAAAGCATGGGAGATATCGAAATGGGCGGGCGACACGGAGCGAACCTTTCAAGTCCAAAACCGCTTCGTCGTCAAGTGTCACCGTGACGGTCCCGATGGCCAATACTGCTGCGTTATATGCTCCAAGTACGCCGACTCGGACACTGTATGCGGCGACGTCAAGGCCCTTATCAAGCATCTCTCGGAAGACCACGATGTTCGTGAACTCAAGCATGAAGAGGATATCGTCGAGGTGATTGAGCAGCCAGGAAGTCGCAGAGATAGTGGGCTTGGCTTTGCTTCTTCCAAGGGAAGTAGGAGGAGTGCTAGTCTGGCATCGGGGAGGAGGAGGAAGAGCTTGCCTGCGTATGACCGCGAAGTTGACGTCTTTGATGTTAGGTCCTCAAGGAGGTAGTCGTCCGGTTTACGCGTCAATTTACACATTTGTAGATGGACGGTGGTATCTTCCCGGACATTGGGTTTATGCCTCTTCTGGGTTGTTTGAACTTGTACTATCATCATGAATTGTTTGGCATCAAAATGGTTTCTCGTTTCGTAGTGTATTTTTACTAGCATAGGCGCGGTTTTGCTGTACAGGCGCCGCTTCTCATCATAGCAATTGTATGATCAAGCATCATTCTACCAACCCATACTCTACTGTGTACCTTTGCAAAGAAACATATGTTGTTCTGGGTTGTTCCCATCGCTAAACACGTACCTTAAGGGTCTACACTGTCGCTTTTCTCTTGGACTTGTAGCGTAGATTACCACGTATACGTTTGGGGTAGATTTTCCCTAGGTGGTATTCAGGGCGTATAACTCATTAAAAACGAGCTTCTTGGTAGTGCTACCATACGTTCGGAAAGACTACGATCATTGCGCCCTTGCTGTAAGCATTGTCTTCAGCCCTCGGGCGCTTGTGTAAATGGCGTCACATTCTGAAAAGGTACCGGATCGATCTGAAGGTGTGATAACGGTTATCCATAAGAAGTGAATCATGGGTTTGCCTGAAATAGCGAGCTCACTAAAAATTCATCTCGCGATCTGGCGCCAGACATGTTCTGAAGAGATGTGAACCCCACCCTGCACTCATTCACCATCCTGAATCCACTCGCAAACAAAATCATCCCTCCAACATCCATATGCGCATTCGATGCTTCGCAAGGTCTCGTGGCTCGTCTCATATGAGCCATGTGGAGAGAATGCCATGAACTCATGTCCGCGTCGCTATGCCATTGTTCTTGAGAACAACCTCATGGCGAGCATATGCGGATTGGGATCGTAGGGGACGCCCGGAATGTAGCGGTCGATCGGAACCCAGCGGTCGGCAGGAACGTAGTGGTCAATTTTCTGCCGTCTGCTTCTGCGGCGCCGTTCGTACACCACCCTGTTGAGCTTCCCTTGTGCCACCCAGATCGCTTCTTTTCGTTCCCTTGTTAAGGTGATGTCGCGTGGAAGGTTGCGTAGAATGTTTCTGAGAGGACCATTGTCGTTAACGGCGGTATCGATTCTTTGCTGAAGAGTGAACAGACTAAATGTGGGTGGACGTAGTCAGTACATGTCCTATATATAGTTCGTATAGAGACACTTACCGCTTGACTGAACTTGGCTTGATTGTTTGGCCGGGGTAAGTGCATAGGGCAACAATGTTGATGATGCTTACTGCCTTAGATGCAGCCCATACCCGAAGTGGTGGAGACCTTGAGTGTAAACCTGAGACAAATTCGGTTGCACTGCCGTAAGCAGAATCGAGCCTCGTATCTGAGTTGCCGTCGACATACTCGGTCTTGATGACGACGGCTTTTCAAGCGCCTTGCCGGTGTTGACGGCGTTGACGGCGTTGACGGCGCTTTCTGCCCTTCTCTCTCTTGGTTTTCATTGTGATCTCTTGCTTGAACATTCCTTCCTCTTTAGCTTGTCGCTCCCGGGTTGCGTCTAAAAGCTGTTGTAGAAGGTTGACTTCGTCTGTGCGGACCCATTGTTGACCCGGCATGGTTTCGTGGAGTTCCTGCATCTCTGCCATCCGTCACTCGTTAGGAAGGATGTGTGGGTGCGTCTCCGGAAGGTTAGATCGTGAAGTGAGTGATGATGTGGTCATGTGAGCAGGTGCCGAGTTGTTGTTGCATCGCGGTGTTACCTTTACAGGAAGGCGCACTTCTGGAGTCTTCCTCATAGCTGGCAGTCGCACTGCATGTTTGGCTGAGCAGGCGCTTTTGATCGCTTCAACAGAACTACTCTCGATATCCTTCGCGCCTTAGAGTTCTGCTCTTGTCTGTCTGTTTCTTGTTGAGCTGTTGACACGCGTGGCGACGTTCGCGCGTTTAACACATTAACGAGTCAGGAGCAAGAATGAGGAGTGAGACGTGAGGCTAGTTGGAAAACATATACGGCGAAACCCAGAAGTGTAGCCTGTCTCGTTGAAAGGGAGCTTCTGAACCAAGCGGTTTAGATTTTGATACCTTCCTAGGGTTCGCGCCGCGTAAGCATAACGAAACCCTATGTTGAGCATCTTGAGGTTTCGCTGTAAGCTGAGTCTACAAAACTGTCCGGGTTTCCGAATGTTCCATCATAGCTCGATGCCTACGTATGCTATGGTTTACTGATTACATAGCGTTATGGGGTATCTCAAATCCAAATAATATCAAATCTCGAACAGGTAAAAACTCTCTAGATATACTGACATAGACTGCAGCGTACCTAGGTGGCAGCTCTGGAGAAAGTTTATGACCTTTGTACCGTCCAATTTCTCCCTGTACGATGCCCTTAGAAGTACCAATATCAGTGTATGCACCACCTTCCCACCGAACAACAATCGACCTTCCAAGCCCTAAATCATGCTTACCCAACGCCTTCCTTCTATTTCACCCTATCATATATGAATTCTTAGTGTCTCACGATCCGCCGCACTAAAAGAGATCTTTACCCTTTCCCTCTTCAGCTGCGCCAACAAACTGTTGACCTCCATCCACATAGACTTTGCTATGAGCGACCCATCCAATGAGTCCGACAGATGTAGCGGTGGCAACGTAAGAACTATCCAGCCATCACTATCATGCCCCGAACGAATATCATGCTGAGATGAATTCACTACAGCAGCCTTCTTAACAACGTTGCCACTTCGTCTCCTCCCTCCCATCCTGTTTTTGAGAATAGCTGTATCGAGTTTCTCCTGAGCTGCATACACCCTTCCCTTTTGTTGTACAGTCAACTGGATAGACACGGGTATATTCGCCAGAATACGGAGCGATGGTCCTGTGCCGGCTATAGCCTTATCGACTTTGGTCTGGAGGGTGGCGAGATTGTTGATCTCCCAGGTGAAGAGACTGCGCTTTTGGGGTGTACAGAGTGTGCGGATATCGATGAGAGATGAGGGGCGGGAGGAGGTATGGTGGAAGGCTTTCGGTCCTGTTGGGATGCCAACAGGCGGTGGTGAGCTTTGGAATGCGGTATCTTGCCGTACTTTGTGAGGGGGGTAGGGGAGCCATTCCGGCACTTCATCTTTGATCGATGAGCACACCATGTAATCGTCTTCTCCAAGCGGCTTACCTTCGATGTGCCGCCCTTCCACGTCCCTTCTCTTAGCCATGTGGTCTTTTTCGTCCTTATCCCTAACTTGTAGTATATGAGCGACATCCACATATGGCTCCGGTTGCAATTTCCGCATCTCTGCCTGGCGGATTAGTCCTGAGCTCATATTGCGCTGTGTGAAAGTCTCGAATATAGAAAATATCTTGTAGATAAAGGAATGAAGAATTGAGTCCGCGGGTGTTATACATATGCATACTGCAAGGTGGTGGCTTGCTATATCATCAGTGAATTTGGCTGAGATCCAGTACCATGGAAATGTACATCGAGTCAAGGCGACCAATGTCTGAGGGTACATTCTGCTCGTAGAACATATGACTGGTACCAACTCCATAATACAGCTCGCGCAAAGACCCAGTCTCGAAATCTTACGTCACAAAGACGATAGAGAAGGACTCACACATTGAACTTTGTTCGAAGCCTCCGTATGCGCCATAGGCCTTTTCTCATGCTACCCAATCACTTGTACGTCTTTCAATCTATCTCTTTCTATCTCCAAAATTAGAGACTTCGTTCGTCTAAGATTTCGCTCAAGCTGCATTTTGCTTCGGTGACCCTTGTGGAGTTCGTGATGCTGCTCAAGTTGATAAGCAGGAGGTCCGTCTTTGGGTGCAACAGTCACGTGACGTGAGGGCACTGACGTAAACGCTCGTCCGACCCCTTGGGCTATTCCCCGAACTCACCACACTGCCACAAAACAAATTGCCAACTCCACTTGTCCCCCGCGGCCATCTGGCGCAATAAATCATATACGGAGGTCTGCGGAACGAGAAGAGACGTGATTGGCCCGACAAGAAGCCAAGTGGGATCCAGGGTTCACCTTGTGCCCCTTCGGAACGGCCACTTCGGCTGTACTACACTACCACCAAGATGCCGTCTTAGCAGCAAACTAAATTCGTACCAAGAAGTGGTACGTTTGCTGCGCCAACACGTAGGCCAGGAGCTCTAAAATGGAAGAGCGAACGACTTCGTGGTAGGTTGCACCTGCTTCGATTCTCTCACTCGGGTGCTTTCATTGCCTTTGTTTGCAGCGCTCCTTCACAAGTTTCATAACCATTCTTTCTCAATGGCACTACAATTATGCAGAAACCTAGCCTCCTAATGCGTCGTCATAGATCTTACTTCTTCCGCCGGCTTCCACAATCTCCAGCTTTTCGAATACTCGTCCTTCTTTATGTCCTTTGGGACTCACTACATTGCCTTTCATTATACACATACCAAACAGCCACGATCACCGCCCCGCCCCCACCTCGAAACACGAAGCGCGTATGCATAGCCTCTCAGCATTGGAACGATGCGAGGCTACTGCGAGAACATTGGAACAATGCGCTGGTAGCATTGGTACAGGAACTAGGCATTGAAAACGTATACGTATCGATATACGAGAGTGGAAGCTATGATGGTAGCAAGACTGTGTTGAGAGAGCTGGATGCTGCGCTTGAAAGCCTGCAAGTAAAAAGGTCAATACAGTTATCCGACGCATCGCACGCAGATGAGATTGCGCAGCAGCCGACGGAGCATGGATGGATCAAGGCATCGGATGGGAAGGCGTACAAGAGGCGCATACCGTTTCTGGCGACCATACGGAACCATGTTTTCGAGCCTTTGGAACGCCTCACTGCTGAAGGCCAGCATTTCGATACCATACTGTTCCTCAACGATGTGGTATTTACTCCGGCAGACCTCACATGTCGAAGCATCCGAATGCTGCCTGATACACGCCGACAACCCTCTTTCCGCGACCAAAGGCGTCTTTCTCAATCCCAATGTCAAAGTTGGCTACAACGGTTCCTCGTACGACGCCCTACACTCGCTGGGTGCCACACTGTCTCTCTTCCATATCTTCCGGTTGATATGGTGGAATCGTTTTATGAGACTGATTACAACCCCTCTGTTCAAAGAGCAGATTGTACGTACGAGGCTAGGGAAATGGACTGTGGAAACGAAAGGATGGGAACGTGGCGACTTCTGTCTTGTCAACGAGATGCAGGTCCTTGTTGAGACGGGTTGGAAACATATGTGATTCTAGAATCAAGATAAAAGTTCCATTTCATGTAAATTTCTGCTGATAATTTATGTGTTGACTGTCATGAACTCTCGCAAATGGTACTTCCATCTCGTAAGGAGCTAGCATGGACATGGTCCTGATGTCGATCCGATGTTGAGACATACGTCTTCTTCCAGGCCAACTAAGATACCTTGTTCCTAATATACGTGATGTACATTATGAAAGAGGAAGAACAAGCGCCTTCGGCATGAACTCAAAAGTGTCATGGACGACTTAGCATGTCTCTTGTCTGCACTCATTCGTGATGTGCGCAGATACTCGTAAGACAAACTCAATGTTTGCAAGCTCAATGTCTTTTGCGATACGCTGCCATAATCTATAACGTTATAGCTCATTGATCTTCATGTGCCATATTAGCTGCCAAACCGAGACCTGCCAGAGGTTACCCTGGTTCCAAGATAATGAAGTCTTAGAGTTTACAAACACCATAACGCATTGGATCGTGTACTATGTACAAGGTCTAAGGCACTTGCATGCTATGTCTGCGCCGTGCTTATATAGGCGACCATAACTGCTCTTGCATGCGAGAGGCGCGGATGAAGGGAGTAGTCGCGACGTGCAGATGCAGCGATGTGTATAAATGACTGCACAAGGCAGCAATTATGCCGCAGCTACTGCTTAATCTTTAAGCTTCTTACCTGTACCTATACATACCTAATACATACGTCTCGAGTATGCTACGCATAGGACAGTGCTAGAAGCGAGCGCTGTGACTGTTGTAACGCCTCTTGCTGTGGTAAGTTTGTGTCCAATTCTCTACAAAGTACAACAGCTCAAGAAGCTAATAACAAGGCCAGCAGGAGAAGCTTTGAAAGCGCCCTATGCGCAGTAGAGCAACAAGAGGTTAGTAAAGGGTAGCTGCCTATGTGCAGAATTATACATGTCAGCTCTGCAAGAAACAAGGCAAAGGACATAGCGGCAAAAAGGGAAAACACCTTATGCACAAAATGGCAAAGGAAAATGCAAAAAGGTTCGCATGCACAGCTAGTATACTGTGGCACCCTACTCCTTCGATGCGGATGAAGACTCACATCTCATTTACCTTAACCGAAACCTCGTTGTCGAATTCACGTTGTAAAGAAAGACATCACTTACCCGGGGGCCCAACAACTCGAGATACCCGTTGGCTTCCATTTTATATCCCGAGGAAGGTAGACCCACCCGGTGCCGATTCGAACTCGAACCCCGACCTCTTTGTCGCTTTGATGAAGAAAGAAAATGATGAACTTACCAGTTGACCACTCCTCACCGCGTTGCCCGTAATAGCTGAAAGAGAAAGTAATTAGAGCCGTTATATGTTCGACGGACCTCAGGATAGGCAGGTTTGGTGTGGGAGTGTGTCGAATCTTAGCGAGAGAGACGAGGACGACTCACCACAGGTGGCGGCAGGAGAGCGGGGAGTGCATGCGTACAGGATCCAGGTCGTTTGGCCTCTGGCAATGGCAATGGCAAAGGAGCGTGACGATAGGCATGTGGCCCCTGTTCCTCATATCCCTTTTGTGCTCCAACACTCCGACGAGCGCCCAACAGCTCATCAGGGCCCATGTCAGAACAGTACAAGGCCTAATATCCTTCGAGTCTTCTACTGCTTTTGAAACAGACTTGACTTGTACCAAGACTCAAGGCAACGGCGGTTGACCTTTGACAGCACTAGGGCTGATCACCTAGTTTCCTGACATTCACAAGGGCCGTGCAGCGTTGCTGCAAGTATGCTGTACTCCAATGCTTGCTTTGAATCGACCCGAAGCCTCATCATCATTCTCGCAGACCACAACAACCTCTGCCTCAACCAAGAACAAGGCGCAGGCTGCAACTCTCCAATGTGTGTACAGAGGTACTGCAATCCTGCAGCGCAGCTTCTGAGAGAAGTCCAGGGCTTCACACTGTGAAACACAACGAGACAATATGATTGCTCCCGGCCAGCACTGCAGTCGTGGTGTTGACTCAGACGCTGGAGTTGGGCTCCTCCGCGGTCTCAACACTATCTTCGCAACACCACGATTACCCCAGCCAACACCTCCAGAGTGACTGTGACAGAGCTGCTGACCGCCGACAGTCATCTCAATTAATGCTGGGGTAGGTCACAACAGCCTCGCTCTCGTTGGCTCTAGAGCTGGCGGGTCGCTTGAAGCGCTCGCTCGACGACGGACTTCTCGCCGCAGCGGTAAATCTTCGCGGGACGATTGCACCGAGACAGCAACACCATCAAGGAGTACGATAGCAACACCATCGGGACGCATGACAGCAACGAGGCCTTTTCATAAGTCATAGGGTCACTTGAGGCCACACCATCGAGGCGGAGATACCTACACGACAAACTGGTCGCACCCTCGAGTGTCTCACGGCAGCGCCTGACACCCGTCATCACCAACGGCGGCGATGGGGGAATCCGATACATTGATCTGACGTCGAGCTTCAGGAGGGCTACAGCGAGGAGCATGCGGGTACGAGGCGGCCTCCGAGTATCTCTCTTCGCGATCTATACCTGGGGACACCATGAGAGTAACGGGCGGGCACCAAGTAACCCGCGAACGAGTAACCTAGGAACGACCCTCTCTCCTTCTATCGTAGTGTTAAAGAATAAAGATCATCGCCACTCTCCTGATTATGAACCGTCTCTTCGAACCGAGGAAAGCAGAGTCCGAGTCGGCAGTAGCGCCTCACCAATAGGCCTAAGCAGAACAACAGTACGTCTTTGAGTAACAGCTGATTAGGGAGCTGGCAACATACTGGCCTCACGCCTGCACAGGGAACCGAGGACGAGCAGACCCAACGACAGATCATTTCTCCACTCGATCGGCCGATAACAAAGGCTCATGGCCACAACCACAACAATGTTGAAACCAATGTTGGTATATGAAACAGCGGGGATATGGGGCGACGAGACGCTCCCAGGGATTCCACTCGTGGACGACCAAGGCGATCGCGAATGTCGAAGCCACACTTCCGAGGAACATCGTTACTAGCCTGCCCTGAGCTGGACGAGGACACACGCAACAACAGCTGCAAATGCTTCCCATAGTCGGCGGCAGACCGGGCGGGTCCATGTACAACATGTCCACCAGCCTGCTGACAGGCATGGCGAGTTCCGAGCTTAAGCGGCATTACGTTACCTGTTTACGGATATTGCCCAGTCGTGTAAGGCCAGGCACATCTAAGTGGACTCGAGACGGCCAGTTATCGGAAGCGAAGAACCCGGTACAAACTTCATCGTAGCTGGTCAACAATGATTGCTCCGCATTCTGTAGATAGGACATGGCAAGCTTCGGTGCTGTCCTAGATTGAGCGAGAGAACGAAGGTCGGTGTCGGTCAGTCGATGTTGAGCCATGATCAAACTTGTGTCGGAGTTCGATGTCGACCACAATGTCTCCTCGCCATGAACAACACGTCTCTTTCTACCTTCTTCTTGACCATTTCGATAGGAGATAGACAGAAATTGTCCCAAGGCGTTGAATCGTCCGTGAGTAGGGCTGGGAGAGTTGACTCAACTCTCTAGAGATAACCCCTCGCACCAACGCAAGATCTTCTCAGGAGTCACCGGTTGGGGCTCGAGGATCGGAAGACCGTTGTCATATATGGCTCGGCATCGCAATGACCAGATTGGTAGAGATACTTCGTTGGTCATCCCATCAATTACGACATCCAGCTACCAACTACACTCGCACGATGGTTACAAAAGCCATAATCCAAGCTAAGGAGCCGAGGCGTCGTCCAAGCTGAGAGGTTGCCGGAGTAATTAGTGGTCACACGGTAACGTCGCTGACAGAAGCTTCTCAATCCTGGCGAAACGGCGATGCTGTCATACAGGAGTATCCTGGTTAACATGGCCATACATCCAAGAGAACTCCAAATAAAACTGTCCCTAGTTTGGGCAGTCGAGAGAGTTGATGCCTACTCTTGTGATACCCAGAGGTGCAGGCCTCCCACACTGAACGTATTGTACCATGGTTACGAATCTTGTCACTAGAGCGGCACTTCCACACGTGTACCGTTGTTGACGGCAGAATTGTGTGAGCGCATGCTGCTGGGGTCGACGTCATAGTATTCGCTCGCTAATGCGATACAAATGATCCTGAAAGCCTGTTTGCTGTGTTGGTGCTGACGCTCGATCCGAGCAGTCCTGACGATTCCACCACGGTCTCTTAACCTCCCTCATTCGTATGGATGTTATGGTATGGTTGGTATTGTGGGACCTGTGAATGGCTTGGCACTTATGTTTCGTCGTCGTACCACTGTATGGAGTTTAAAGCGAAGCAGCCCTGACGGGCTAGTTGCACCGTGGATAGTACATCAGGTTCCAGCTCTTACTGCGCTTGGAGCTACGGTACTACTGGCTCTTATCTGTGGTGGTTGCGAATGTCGTCTTTAGACGGCCTATAGGAGTCGCGGCGCACGCTGGGCGCCTGTTTGAGGAGGCGGTCGGACATCGTCCTGACGTTGGAAGTATGTGACAACCGGCGATGAGTCTGTCCAATTTGCTATGTTATTATAGCAAAGGTCGGCCGCGATCCCTTGTGAGGCGTGTACATCGGAAGTGAGCTTTTCGCCGTGGCATCGATTGTTCGCCCTGAAGGCAGGCTTTTCGCTCGAGGCGTCGTAGTTTGTCTGCTCTTGGGTATTGATTTCAGTGTCATCGTCCGCCGGTGATACGATTGTGGCTGATCATACGCCGCTGTCACAATGGACGTGGTGTGTATGCGGCTACACTCGTCGCGGTAGTGGGGAGGCACAGGTGACGTTGGCATTGCGACTACTTGGATCGATGAGAGCATCCTTGTCGCAGGTAAAGAAGACTGCTATCAGTTCCAGTGAGGGGAAGCCAGCTCTCGTCCGTGCGAGCGCTCAGGAAGTGTCGCCGCTCGTGTCACGGTTCGGAGATGCCTTTGGGCGCCGTACCTGGCGCCCTCGCATTCGTTGCGGCTCCTTCGGGTTCTGAGAAAGAACTGAAGGGCCTTGCCGGCCTTCTAGACGTCTTGTCCCAACCATCCGTCGCTTCTTGTGGTGGTAGTGTTAGTGGTGTAGAGTTTGGGGTCCGGTATGAACGGCGGGCATCTGAGCAAAGCTGCGGCCTGGGAAGGAGCGGGGAAACGAAACGTCGAGCATCGAAATCGACAGTCTCGTGAAGACGTACGAGCAGACTGCCGAGTGCTTGTAGGTGGTGCTGGCGTTGCTGTGAAAAGCGGTGGTGTGGGTGTCGTTGGTGGGGGAGAAGGCGCGGCAGCCAGGAGAGAAGGCATGAAGCTCTCAGTTAGCGGCATCGCAACATCGATGCGAATGAGTACGACGAGACAGCGCTTGTCTTAGGAGACTGCGACGGGCACAGTATGGGAAGCTGAACAAAGACCAAATCTTCACCTGTTCGGAGCGAAACGTCGGCACCATGAGCACACGCTTGGTAGATCTGTAGTAATCTGCGGCTGGATATGGCTACTTCGCTTGCATGCTATTACGAGCGGAAGGACTGCTTGAGTGCACTCTCCGCGTCATCGTCAGGCACGGCGGCCTTGGACGTCTCCAGGAGGTGTACATGCATCTATGACGTGAACTGCAACCCTCGAAAATGGATTTCAGCCTCAAACTGATGGATATCGATGCAATACCGATGGAGAAGTGTCCTCTCAGGATTGCAACGACGTCGAAAAAGCACTGACATAAGCTTCGGCTTTTCCCTTTGAGGCATGGCTTCCGAGTTCCTTTGTGCGCCAGTACGAACTTCATCTCATCTTTCTTCCTACATCCTCAAGGAGTTCCATCATCAGCGACAGCACGACAATACACTCCAGGAACATGTTGTATCTTTCTCGCTGTCTCTTCTGTTCTCTTCAGTGTTCCTCATGGGAAGATTGCCATACACGGTCCGCGCACATTGCATCTCGACCACAACCGCCGCCAAGCCTTTGCGCCAACAATCTTCTGAGTATATAAGTCTATCGTTCTCCAACCTCTTGTTCTTCGGACGTTTTGGTCAATCTTGAAACGACAAGAAGGAAGCGATCATGTCACAACAGCGCCTGAACCTGCCCTTGATGACTTGCTGAGGCCTGGCAAGGCTACATATGCAGCCACGCAAATATCTAGGGAGGTGTTCAAATTGCTGGCTTACTGACTGTGCACGCTCTTCCAGTGTCTCTACAATGTGCTTTCTCAATATTGATTCCACGCGGTTTACATTTTCGAATCAAGCACTCGGAGACATGTCAGGTACGCATTGATGTCCTCCATTTCTGGATTGTACAGCTCGGCTACTACGGCGATGTAGAATCATGCGTCACCAAAATCTCACGATCACCCGGACAGCTACTGAGAGCTTCGGATGTTATACAAGACACTCTTCTTATTATTGACTTCAGCTTTCATATGCATCCCCTCGATGTATGACGACTTTGGCCAGAATGTCTAATTCGTAACCATCTACCCATACTTGATGGTTCCGATTATTCTTCATTCAGATTAATCTTCCCCTTCGTCCGCCACTCTCCTTCCCGACAATACGCTACATTGAACATCGGACGCAAGCAGCCGCTCCATCTTTCGAAGTACCTCCCTATCCTTCCTCTGTGCTGCGGCAATACGCTTCTAGGTAGCGTTATTCCCGAGGAGCGCTTTCACCAGCTCGGCTTTGGACATTGTTGATGCTATCGTCTTCTTGTGACTGACTTCCTCGGCCACTTTCGCCACGGACACCGCATTGATCTGGTCATACCATGTGCGATTATGTATGAAGGGCAGTCGCAGTTCTTCCGTATGGTAGCTCCTAAGGGTGTTTTCTCTCCGAGGCGTTAGATCGGCACTGTTACGATTGTCGGACATGAAATCAGGCTGCTGTTCATAAGGTTGAATCTCTTTTAGACGAGTTACGAAAGCCTTAATGTATGCTCCATTGCGGGGTAGGTACCAACCTCGAATACTGCGAGGCCGCAAAAAGATGTTAGGGGTTGAGGCCAGTTTCGGATCTTGGTCATGGAATTTGGGACTTGTCTGTTCCACAAAAGACTTTTGATGACTAGAGACCGAAGGGAACGGCTTTGACCGATCAGCTTGATCATGGTATGAACAGCATCACGATCCAGCCCATCCTGATTTCGGGTTTTCAGGTGAAGATCGATGGAAAAGTTTCCTAGAGACCGACGTGCCTCGCGACCGATAACTTCCAGCCACAGTTTGATCTCATGGCTACCGAAACTATGACCACTACTTGTATAAAAGCAATGCAACAGGATCTTGTTGCGTTTGAAGAAGACCTCGCGCACCAGATAGTAGTTCTTTCGGTAAGTCTTGGAGAGCGCAAAAAACGTCTTTAGGGCGGAGATGATCCAGCCTGGGCGCAGGCGAGTGTTGACGAGGAAGGCAGCGGGACTGCACATGTGAGTGGGCTCACAGACCTTGAAGCAATATTCAGTCTTACGATAGGAAACCCTTGGCCTCCGGATCACCTTTATAGGTTCCTTAAACACGAGCAGGTTCTGTGCCACCATCGACATCAGCTCCGTCGGCAACCTTCCCATCAATGGCGAGCATTCTTTGTTCTTTGGCCTGTACTCTGGCATCTTGAAATATGCGAACATCTCGAGACAATACCGGTGCGCTAAGATTTTATTTTCGTATTCAGGCTGGAGAAAGAACTCTGGTGTACCACTAGGAAGATGGCGTTTGATGCCGAAATCGCTGTCGAAAACATCGTCCGCCTCTTCCAGTATGTCACGGATCTCGTGTGCAACGTTGGCAGGAAGACCACGGTTCGACCAAAAGATACTCCCCATCTGCACTAGAGCGTCTTTGATTTTGAGACGGTAGTCAACCGACGCCAGGAATGCAATCGCCAACATATCCTTTGTGCAGCCAGTAATCGATCCTGACGCAAAAGCGTTGTTGAGGTCCGTATTTTTAGTCAGTCGCTCGCGCACGAAGCTGTGGATCTCGTCATCTGGGAACGTCGAATTGTATCGGAGACCCGGTAGCTGGGAGTAGAGAATGTCGACAGCCGCGCTGCCGTACTGGGTGTCCGCCCATACAGCGAAGTATGCCTCGTTGGCCCGGCGTGGGACGTCCACATCTGGATTCGAAATACGTGTGGGAATGTCTAAGAGCTGATTGGCTATGGAACGGAGCACAAATGGAATATCGACTTACTACTCAAGTAGGCAATGGCCAGATTGTCGTGGAACTCTCCAGTAGCGGGTTTAGGATCTCCTTTGCGCTGCGCGTCCATGAATTTGACGATAGTGGCTGGACACAGCTCCGCGCAGTGCGAGAGTATTGTATTTTATACATGTGGAACCTCCATGGTATTGCCGCTCTGCAATAGCTCGTTTAGAGTTGGAACAGCGTGAGGGATGTCGGGGGTGTTGTAGACGTGAATGTGGGTATAGAAAATGCGACAGATATTGCGTGCGGGAGACTTTCGTAGGCAGGGAGTGACGCATCCACCCAAGTTGCAAAGTAGGTCATTCCTCGCACTTTTTGAACACCCGATTCCTACGATAGAACACCGGAACCTTTTCACCGAGTACGAGACGGCCTCAAATACTCTTTGGATACAGATGAGGCAGTGTCTTCTAGGAGTGAGAAAGCTGACCGAGTCTCTGGAACAAGGCTGTAAAAGCATGATACACGACGTAGACCGTGAGAAAGCTCAAGAAGATACTGGATCTGCACTGTTGCAACCATGTATGCAGCAAGACAATTGCACATAGCCAGCGACGTTTTTCTATTGTTGTTGATCCTCGGAATCGGTATGACAGCGTGGTCCCAGCGTGGACAGGGCCTTCACAAACACGCGGTCTCTCGCGTTTGCTTCGACGACTTCGTTAATCTCTTGTCCGCACACTCTCAAAACGCCAGAATATCAGAATCTGTCATCAAATCTCCTGATCCAACACACACAGCACTTACCAGCAAGCTGTGACGTAAGCATCATGTCGCAAGCACCCGCATTTCATTCGCCACCATCAAGCCCCGAGTCGGACTATGGTATGCCACAATCGCCCGGAACTCCCCTGACTCCTCCGCCACACAACTGGTATATTATGCCACAAGCGCCCGCAAGTCCCACACCCCCATACCGATTCCCGTCAGCCGAGGTGCGGCGTTCATTCGTAGAACAGCATGCAGAGTTCATCGTTAAGATGATGAAGTGCAGAAGCATGGAGCTTTTTGACTGCAAAGACCCAATCGTCCAAATGGCGTCGGCATACATCTATGGGATACAGGAGGAAAACGCTAGTCGTAAGTGGAGCACTCGCACCCATCCGCTCAATTACAAAGTCATATCTAACAACTCCGTCAATCAAACAGACTATCTGTATGCTCCCGATATTCAGCACCCTATAACCTTTAGTGAAGCTTACTTCACGCTCTGGGCGCATACACCATGGGGCACAAGTCAGGTCATGCCGTGGACGGCTTTTCGCCAGACAGTTTATGGTGCTTTAGAAGCCCCACGCTTTCTTCGCGAGGTACTCACACGTGGAACTCCATTATATTCGGAGTGGAAAACTGGTCAAGGCCTACGACTCACGGTCCCTCAGAGGATAGCAGCGGCACTACTTCGATCAAAAGGTCAAATAATGTGTGGTAAATTGGCACACATCCATGTCAAGGACATGTTCATACTCGTCCACAGCCACTACCTCCCCTGGGTTACTCTCAACTCTGTCGCGAACTTCCTCTACTTGCACGAGGAAAATTTCGACCAGGATTTCCTGGCCACCGAGGTTCACCATGAGTACACCTTTTTCACATTGCCACCTGGGCAAGAGAACAAGATTTTCAAGCCATGGTACCAACTTGGGCAGGTTGGTTATCATGACATTCCCAACTGACCCGCGAGCTCGGGCATTGATTCACGATTGGTGACGAATTTGCCTGCCGAGCTTATGCTCAAGATCCTCGAAAGTGTCTTCAAGATCGATGGTGACATCCACGTCGTTTTTGATGAAAACGAAGATGAATACGTTTTCCTCGTTGAGAAGGAGCGACGTCTGAAGAAGTACCCGTATGGGCTTCAGGGAGTAGAACTCCCCTATGGAAACTTTTGGAAGTTGCCGACTACAAGCCACTTCTTTGCCTTTGGCATCGCTGGTAGAAAAAACTGCTTCATGATGAAGGATGTGTTCTACAAGAAGAACACATTCATCGTACATGATGACCCCTTGAACAACTCTCTTCACTGGGCACAACAAAGGCAAAGGAGCGGCTTGTAGTCGTGCCAGGCAGTTACATGGCCCGAAAAGGTGCGGCGGCGTCACGGTAGAGATGTAGGAGGACCTCCTGGCATATGTACAGTAGATAGAAATCCGACGTTTGAAGGCCGCTAGGCACATACTACACCACGGCGTTCATGTAAAAACCTCATACAGGTACCCTATCAGCGACTCCAGACCAGTACTTGCACCTCGCCTCCAACATGCTAATCCCACCTTGTCGTAGCCCACTCGCCGTGACCAAGAACTGTTTACCCTCCTCAACATCTGGTACGCCGGATACAGTTGCATTCGTAACTTTGTGCGCATTCGGATTACCGGTTTCGATGAAGGAAGCCATAGCACCAGCATACCCTTGGTAGGTGAGAGCATCTGTTTGCTGGATTGAACCAATGGTATTCCACTGAAGAGAAGTCAGTTCCCTCGATGAAAACGATGTAGGTCAAGGTGATGAACTTACGTATTGCACATCACTCGCGTGTTTAGCAGGCGAAATGGTGTACTCGATCAGCCACCCTTTCTCCGCCTTCTTTGAAAGCCAATACGACGGACATGCTAGAACGAGGTCACGGTATATTAGGCCGGCACGGATATATGTCGTATTCCAACTGATCTCCTCGGCAGTGCCTGTTGCGGGATACATCGTCTTTACATCCTCCAGATCCTGCTGTGTGAGATCCGGTAAGAAGCCTCTCAACCACGCATCAAAAGAAGCAGCCGATGAGTTGAACCCATCACTACCAGTCTTGGTGTTTGCGAAACTAGGAGGGATGAAGTTTTCGCCTTCATGTAAGTTGTAGCTCGTCATGATCGTCTCAGCATTCAATTTCCCACTGCTGACAACTTCGCTCAAAGGCTCCGTGAGAAACTTGTCGTCAATGACCGGTCCATAGGTAAAAGAAGCAGTAGTGTACTGCTGACTCGAACTCAATGCCAACGCGCTATCTCTCAGCTTCTGTATATCTGCCTCTTTCAAACACTTGATCTCATCCGCCGCACCAGCACAACCAACATCTTGCAGCGTCTGCTGATATAGATCTTCCGCCCAATCACTGTCATACCGGTACGTCTTGGGCCAAAAGGGACTGCTGGCCATTGCTTTGGTGAACAACTTCTTCCCACGGTTACCGGTAGCAATCGTCTGCGCGACAACACTACCACCACCCGCCGATTGCCCCCAGATAGTAACATTCCGCTTATCACCACCGAAATGGTGAATGTACTTCTGTATCCATTGCAGCGCAGCTTGTTGATCGAGAAGCCCAGGATTAAGGTCGACATCTGGGTGTTCCGCGATTTTTGAACCAGGTAAGAAGCCAAAAACGTTGGTGCGGTAGTTGGAGTATACAACTACATAGTCGTTCCTGTCATCGACGTCCAGGACCGGGTAGCCGGAAGGCGGGATATTGAAGCTGGCGCTTCCTCGGATGAAGCCGCCGCCGTAGAAGGTTAGCAACACGGGCCTCAGATCCTGTTTCTTCTTCTCCCAAGGTCGAGAATATACACCTAGGTACAAGCAGTCTTCTGAGCCATTTACCGTGCGCTGTGGGCACATGTCAAAAGCTTGGTTGGTGTCGTATGTGCCATTGGTGATGCGGAGCGGAGGCTGAGGGGCGCGGAACCGGTTCTCTCCTGCTGTGGATGCTGCAAAGGGGATCTTGCGGTAGTATGTTATGTTATACTGGGACGAAGACGCGCCGCGAAAGGTGCCATAGTCGAGCTTGACAACAGGGTTGGATGCATTCTGCTGCAGATACTGGGTTGGTGATGCGGAAACAGAAGGAACGCTGGCCAGGAAGGCCAGAGCAACAGACGCAGCGGAGAGTAACATGGTAGCGAACGCGATCGAGGAAACTCACGATCTACAACGACCGGGTACATATACATATACAGAATTGGATACACTAACTAACGGCCAGGTTTAGCCTCTTCTCCATGTCTCCGCAGATTGCAACGTCTCATCCCCGACCCCGGATTGCGGGGACGCACCCCAAAACCAGGATAGCATGGAGTGAGCATCAACAACAGACGCCCATGAATCGTGACATTCGGTATAATTTGTGCCGAGACTTTGCTAGCAAAGTGAGCTTTGCCGGATTCTGCAGATGTTCCGTATGACGTCGATCATGAGTTTCTCCGGAGAGGCTGGGGTCAACTAGAGCGGATGTGGCATGGTAAAGATTGGCAATGCTAACCATTTGGACAGCATCACAGCAGACGCCTGCTCCTAGAAGTCGCAAAACTTGAAATGATGGAAGAATGTATTCTCATGCGAGTCTTATCACATGTGACTGCTATCGTCCTGCCCCTAAACGCCATCGTAACTCATAAGCTAAGTCGTGAACATCGTGAAGTCAACCATGCATACGGCGCGCGTCGGCCCTACTTCCTCTCCCCTTTTCTTCCGGTCTTCTTCAACCTCGCTGCAAGATCAAGCATACCATCCGCCCAAACAGACATTCTTTTCTTGTCTTTGACCTCATTCCCACAAAAGTCGCGCAGGAACGCGCCCATCTTCTCCTCCCCATATTTCTCACCGTAGACAACCTCCCCCTTGATATCAACGTCAGTCTCTATACCATCCTTGCCCAGACCGACACCGACTTCAAAAGTAACCTTGATCTTCGTCTGGAGGGTTGGCAGTAACATGTTTGCGGAGATTGCCATGCGCTCATCCGAAAGGATGGACTCCTCGGTGATGTAGCTATGCTCGAGCCAGCGAACACCCTCGGCGACAGCAGTTGCGGTAGCCCATGCATTCTTGACAAGGGAAAGGAGCGAGGAGATGCGGGTTTGAGACTGCGGAATGCCATGTAGGTGTGCACGGATGAGCTGGAGGAAGAAGCGCTTGCTTGTAGTCAAGGTGCGAGGATGCGGCGTCGCTGAATCACCAATGTAGGCAAGCGAGATAGACCCATTGGATGTGTTGGTGCCGGTGGAGAAGGCCGCAGGTACGAAGTATAATTCGAGGTCGTTCAGGTGTGTCATTGTGATACTCGCCGAGGAAGCGGACGTGATGCTCCAACCGTGGGCTTGCTCAAGGGTGGTAAGTTTAGCTAGAGTGCTGTTAGTAACGCTCTTGTGTGAGGAACAGGGTTGACATACCTCTCAGACTGCTGACTTCACTAGTAGACCAGCCACGGCACTCTTCTCGAACACGTTCCGCTGTTCTGATCTCTTCAATGCATTCGACTTTGCGCTCCTTGGCTGCCTCTATGCGTGTCTCTTTGTCAAAAAGCTCTTGTTGCAATTGGGCCAAAAGCAGCTTCTTTTCTTCCAACTCGGCATCCGTAGCCGTAAGCTTTTCCCTTGTCTGCTCAAGCTCTTCGCGGTCACAGCTGTTGAGTTCATCGTGACGCTGCTGTAATTGCTTACACTCAACGGAAAGATGTTCCTTCTTCTCGACCAAAGGCGGAAGAGTATCGTCAAGAAGCTTCTCCTGTTTATGAAGTGTGGACTCATCGTGATTGAAGCCATCCATGGTATGTAGAAGACCAGCTTTGAGATCGTGCAACAGCGTGCTTCGCCATGTATACCACTCTCCACGAGCCTCGAGACGCGCATTTGTCTTGAGATTCTTGAACTGATTGTCCATGACCTTGCGCTGATCCGGGGGAGCAGTGAGGTACTCGCTGAACAGCAGTGGGTTCTCCTCTAGAACATTGTTTTCCAGAGTGCGAACGAAGTGGCGACCGTCTGAGATGTACTTCTTCATTTCGTGACACGCATGCTGATACAGTTCGTACTCAGGTAATGTGCATGCACCAGCCACAACGTAGCGGTCTAAGGATTCCTCCTTCTCCTCTACTTCAACGTCGTGGAAAACGGCAGGAGCAGCAGTATGGCGTCGCTTGGTCGTACTAAGATCCATGAAACGAATTTTCGTCATGTCAAGGAAGTCTTGCAGTGAGATTCGCTCGACGTCTGATAAGTCCTCTGCCACATCGTTGTCATCGTTGTTATCTTCTTCTTCCGGCTCTTCCCCAAAAGCAACACGCTTTGTTGGGCTCATGCTCTTTCTGGGTGTTGCCTTCTTAGGAGTCGGTGTCTTTTGCTTTGGCGTCGCCTGCTTAAGAGGAGACTGAGACTTCTTTGGCGTCATCCCTCGTTTCACTGGCGATATCAGTGTCTGCTTTCGGGGGGTGGATAACAGCTTGATGCTGTTGCTCAAAAGTGCGGTGCTCTTGAGAGTAGGTTCCTGGCGTGGTGCGTTCAAAGGACTGAACTGCACTGCGGATAAGGAAGAACGACGTCGATTTAGTATTGTAGCTGCGATTGGGTCCTCGGGAATGGCCATAGGTGTCCTCTGTGGTGTCGGATTTGTAGGCGTCGCGAGAGCATCGTTTGTTTTGGACGCACTCAACGGAGTTCGACGCACAAATGGCGATGGCTCAACCTCTTCGATATCCTTCTGTCTTACAATCTCTGGAGTACCGGGGTCAAGGTTCGGATAGGCCACCTCTCCTGATGTACTGGGAGTAATGTCTTGTAATACTTGAGGCTCGCTTTCGGCTTCCGCTTTGAGAATGGAACTCCTTCGTCCAGGCGACTTTTTCGGAGATTTTCGTGGAGTCGATGTCTTGTTTGCTGAAACTGGTGTGGCCTCAGCGGGCGTCTCTGGTGTGATTGTGGAGTTGCCGGCACGCCTGATGCCAGGTCCAATGATCTTGGTAAATTCCATGGAAAGATCCTCGTCCTCGACTTCATCCTCCTGCTCTTCCTCTACCTCCTGCGCCTGTGACTTGCCGTTCTTGATACTACCCACGGCCAGAGTGAAATCCATGGTCGCGTCATCAACGACACTTCCGACACTAACACGCCTGGCTGGCTCGGGCTGAGGTGCTTTCTTTATCGCCCCAATCGCCATCGTAAGGTCCATGGTTGCGTCTTCTTGATCGTGCTCTTCGGACTGTCGACGCTTCCGCAAACTGGTTCGCCGACTCCCAGGGCGCTTTGCAGGGCTACCTTGGGATTCATCGAGCAATGAAACCCTCCTCTTAAGACTCTTCCTCTTGTTCGCTGGTTTGTATGATGCCGTCATTGCCTGTATGCTTCCGAGTGGCATAGTGAGATCCATAGTCATGTCTTCGTCCATGTCAGAGCTCGCTGCGTCCGATTGTTGTTGCTGCTGCTGCTGCTGCTGCCGTTGCTGTTGTTGTGGCGGTGGTACGATGCGACCCACTGCACGCGTAATGTCCATACTCATATCGTCGTCCTCATCGGCTATGGTGCGTGCTGGTGAGAAAAGAGGGCTTGCATTCTCCTTGTCGTACTGTGCGACAAAGCTCTTCTTTGCCCACGGTTTGAAAGATGCAGTAACCTCGTCTTGCGCAATTTCCATGGTCATGTCTCCATCATCATCGTCAAAGTCCAGCTTTTGTGTGCCTGCCAGGTTCGACGCCTCTCGTAGTGCAGCGTCCAAGCGAGCACTGCTCTGCGATGAATCCTCGACGTCCGGAGAAGCGCCAATATTCTCTGTCGCATCATCAATATCCATATCCTCAGAGTCGCTGCTCCCGTTGTCTCCACCGGGTGAAGCATTGTCCCCACTTAGCGGACTTGACGAGTAGACATCATCCGGGTTGTTGAAGTTCATCGGTGGTATACCCGAGCTTCGGCGGTTCTTCTTCTGGTGTTGCGCGCGCGCGCTTGCAGGTGACGAACTAGGTTCTGGCTGAGGCTCTTCAGCTTGTTCTGGTGGTGTGGAGGGTGGCTCGGCGGGGTCCGATGGAGGGGCAGGCGATGCCGGTGTAGATGCTTGTGAGACGCTCGAGGCTCTTCGTGTGGCCTCCGATGAGGCAGAAGATGTGGTCGCATCGCGCATGTACTCAACTACGTCCCATGTGTGCAAAGTGGCTTCCGGAGCGAAAGACACGCGTCGCCTTGCTAGATATCTATCAGCCATGCATCCAGACTGCTCCTACGCTCGAAACACGTACCCAGCGACTTGCGGCGGGCTTCGCGCCGTTTCTTCTCGTCTTCATCGTTCGAGGCTAGAATGGACTTGACGGCGGGGATGAAAGCGGACTATTTGATCAGTACCATATTCTCTCGTGTTGGCGTACATTACGCATACCTTTCTGCGGTTTCCAGCCGTCTCCTTCAGCGGGGGCGCTTCCAATTCCCTAAGGCCTCCGGGACCGATACTCTTACTACGCGTCTTTTTCTTTGGTGACAAAGCTGCTTTCTTCAAAGGTTGCGTAGAAGCCTTGAATGAGCCATTCGCAATCAGACCGTCGGCGATATTCTCTTTGCCTGCTTGCGCCATGGTGAAGTCGCAATTTCGTTTGTGATGATGGTGTTCGGGATGATGGCACTGATGTAAACATAGATGGCGCCAACCCAAACAATGGGGTATGAGGCCCGTGCGCACGTCGCCTGATCCTGTGACCAGCACTCCCCGCATCTCGCATGGCATCAACAGCTGCTAGAATCCGCAGCCATGCTTACTCTATCGTCTATTACAAGTCTACCTGAACGCCTCGCTTCTATGTAGATGAATGCACTCAAGCAGACTAGATCTGTCCGCCCTGAACTCTAGAATGGCACGTCCATGTCCTCAACACTCTCCTCTTCCTTCTTTGCCCCGCCTTTCTGTTCCTGCAGGACCTCTTTGATGAATCCGATCAATGCATTGACGCTAGCCTTCTGCGTGCTCGGTAGGAAATGACCCCCAGGATGGTACACAACATACTTCTCCTCGCTGTGTTCACAAGCCTGGACCAAGGCCAAACTCCTTGCCTCCTCAACTACCACATCCTGTGTGCCTAGGAAGTGTAACATAGGCGTACTAATCTTAGGTTCGTAGAACGCGTGATACGGGTTCTTTCCACGCGCTGCGAAGCCGCTGTAACTGACCGCAAACTTCAGCGGCGGATGTATCGTTCCCTCAACATACCCAGTGTCCTCTTCGAAAGACTCTGGGAACCTCATGCCGCCCTCTGGGTACAGTTTCTCAAAAGCGGCGCGACGATCAGGTTCAAGTAAACTCGCGACCATGGCTGCCGCGGCACCACCTTGTGAGAACCCCACAACGCCGTCAAAAGGACCTTGTTCTTTCAGCACGCCTGCAATGTGAGCCAGGCCCTGCTCAATGCCTTCGTATGTATATGGTTCTCCTGAGCCTTTTCTCCTCCACCACGCCCACGCATCAATCTCCTGCTCCTCTCTCTCCTTCCCTTCCCCACCCTCGCCATCTTTCCCCGTGCTACCCGCTAGGAACGATTCGTCGGCGGGTGTCAAACGTATTGGTGCGGTGGGATACACGAGCTCTATGCCCTTAGGAAAGGCCTTTTGTAACGTTTTGCGCAAAGCGCCCGTCTTGGCCTGAAACAGAGGTCCAGACTGTGTGTAGCCGTGAAGCATCAATAGCTTAATGGCGCGGTCTGGGGGTGGGGCGGCGGCCATGGTGCGCCAGTGGGAGCGGATACGGAAGTTGGCTGGCGTGTAGAGACGTGGGTCTGCGAGGGCGATGAAGTGTCGGAAGCGCATGTACAATATACGCAGGTGAATTGGAGCGCGTAATTGTGAAGCAGTCTGTGGAGGGCGTGGTGCTTTGGCGTTTGGAGGTGGATGGGATTTCGGAATGATTACCGATTCTCGGGATACCCGATTGCGTCATACTAGCCCGACGAAGCCTTCACCCTCAAGGTGTTTAATCTCCACAGAGATCAACACGGCATATTCTGATCATTTGAAATCAAAGACACACATCACATAGGCGTCACTCGAGACACTCAGTAGAAACTTGCACTACACACACCAAATATTCACGAATGCCACCCACACGATTTCCAGGTTAACTTGTCAAGTGCGGAATAATCTGAACGCCATAAGTGCATCCAAGCCCACCGTAAGTTTTCCACATGCGCTCTTAATCAATGGGATTTGCAGGATCAGACAACCTTATAGCGTTGTCGATACCCGTGTGTGCCGTAACTCTTAAGTACTTTCCCCATGGGTTTGTCGATTTTGAGGCCCGTGAAGCCACGGAAGACGGCGCTACTGATCTTCCTGAACCTTCAGAACGAGGGAAAGGATAGTTATTGACATCACCCATATCAGATTGATCGGCATCGGAGGCGGCAGAGCTCATTCTGCTTTGAGTCTCTGTGTCCGTGTCCTCGCAAACTGTGGAGTTATCACCCGAATACATGGATGAGGTTGAAGGTAGTGACGGTGCATATGTTGCCGGGTAGGCACTCAGGGGTACTTCTGGATCCTTGTCGAAATGCCATTGTAGTCCCCGGTGTAATCTTCGGTAGTCATTTTCTCTCATCAAGAATGATCGCTCAATTAGAGTCTCGATGTCGTTCTTGTAATCATCAGCATGGGTATTGTATTTGCAATCATCATGATTCCTTACATATGTCAATCTACCATCGAGGATGTAAATCCCTGTCTCTTTGACTTGGAACTGGAAGCCCAGTTCTTTCAGTGCATATTCTTCCACCAAGGCTTTTTGGATGGTGATCGATTCGTTGGCTGAAGCTTTTGTTGATGAACAAAACTGCGGTTCGTAGTCAGGACTGAAGAAATAGGTATGCACCGGCTGATTTCCCAGATAGTGGGTTTGACCTTTTTCTAAGCGCTGTCAGTATATTGAGATCAGACTTGAGTAACAAATCATTACCTGATATACGAGTGTAGGATGGTTTCCACCCAGCTTGCCTCATTGTTAGTAGAAGCTCACTCCCCAAGCTAAGCACCGACGCTTCCCAAAAAATAGTACTCCTAACAATCTGGTCGCTTTCATCGTCGTACTTATACGGTACCAGTTGACCGATGTGCAAGGATTGTAATTCTTCGGGATCTTCAAACACGGAGCCGATCCCAAATCTAGCCAGAGATGTCTGTAACTCCGCTATCTTCCGGGAGTTTCTATCGGCTTTGGTTGGGAAGACGATCATTTGCTGAGATTTTGAGTTGGTATTGGAAGCGCTTGTACTTCCCAAAGAGGCGCGTGAAGACTGCAGAGATGCCGCTGAACTGCGAAAGCTGTCATGACGGGAAGTCCGTTGGGACCAATATTGGTCGTACGTTCTATCAGGCTTCATGTCCAAGCGTGCAAATTTATCCGGGAATGCTGGAGAAGATGAAATCAAAGAAGGAGCCCTCCTGCCTGTCAGATATTCTGTAACATCCACGCTGCGGCTGCCTTCCGCGATGCGAGTGCGTCGTATGGGTCGGTCGTTGTTCTGCTCCGATTTCAGCTGCTGCTCCTGTAGTTCGCGAAGTAGCTGCTCGTGGCGCTGCGACTGCAATTTATAAGCATCATCAGCCCTTTTCCTCTCTTCCAGTACTCTGGCATCCGCTCTTTCTCGTGCTTTCTTTTCGACTTCTAGCTTTTCAATATTGAGAGCTGTTTGGGCTGCATCTTTGGCCAGCTGTGCTGCCGCAACTTCTTTTGCTGCTAGACTTCTTACTTCTTCGACTTGTTTTGCGGCTTTTTCTTCCATGGTTTTCCTTCCCTCTTCCCATATAGCCTCCATACGTCTTTGCTCTGCCCGTTCGTTTGCTATGAGACTTTCGAGTCGCTGTATTCTCTCCTCGTCTTTCTCATGCGCGTCCTGCATTTGTTTGATATACGTCTCAGTTGTTGCATTAGCTCGATCTCGTTCGCTTTGCGCCTCGCGCTCTTGTTGTACGGCTAATATTTGTGCTAACCTCGAAAAGTGTGGGTCTTTATACTCGCTTTGGGATTCATGGTTGCGCTTCTCAAGTAGTTTCTCTACCGCGGCAATGATGGCCCTCTCTTTAGCCTCTATTTCTGGTACCGTGGATTGCACCTCTACGGATTGGGCATGCTTTGTTGGAGGCGGACTTGGGGCAGCGGCTGGGGGAGGACTTGGAGGTGGAGGCGGGAACGACCATTGCGAATCAGCGGGTCTATATGTTTGTCTTGGCGGGGCTTGATAGTACACAGGCACTGGGGGTATCGGTGAAGCCTCCTGCCAAGGCGGTATATATCCATAATTGACGGGCGGCGGGACGTGGACAGCTCTAAAGGGATTCGAGTGGCCAGAAGTTTTTATGTTATGGACGTCGAAAGTCTTGGGCAAGTCCTGGCTGGGTGCGTTGAAACCCAAATCCGTCTGATCACTATGAATTGTGTGAACTCTGGATGAAGAACTTCTGACTTCGGCATCTACAGGTTGCAGCTTCTCTGTATGCCTCCTCTGTTTAGTCGGACGTGGGCGGGGACGACTTGGTGGTGTTACATCCCGAAATGCCACATTTCGCCTAGGTCTGGCGTCGCCGTAGGTTGGGGACGATCCGTATGTATACGCCCATGGGTCAGTATGATTAGATGTCTTCGTGTTCCGTTTACGGGCGCGTTGAGCGTTATCACGGAAGTTGTACGTAGGCACGTTGACGCCGACAGTACTGTCCTCTTCGGCACTCTGGAATTCTTCATCATCGGACCTGACAGGCTCGTTTTGCTGTTCCCACTGATCAAAAGATAGTTCGTCCTCCTTTTTTGCCTCTTCTACCATCCTCAGGACTCCTTCCCTCCAGTCATCGCCATCGTGACGGGCCGAGCTAAGACGGATTTGATCGGAAGTGAGCGTGGTCCATGAAGAGAGTAGTCGGTCTACTACTAGAGCAGGCTCCGTCTGCCTGCTCCAAACGATCATGGCCTTCTCATCTGAACCCGAGGAACGCCTTTTGGGCGTAGTGTCATCTTCAGAGGATGAGGAGTGAGCGCTTCTCTCAGTTATCTCTGCACTCTCGTCTGTAACAGATGCTTGGTGCAGCCGACGTGTTCGCGGATTCGGTACTGGTCGAGAAATTATGTCATCAGAGCTAAACACAAAATGATAGAGCCATGTAGCAGTGTCGAAAGACCCTTCTTTCCACACGTCTATTTCTGCAGTGGTGTAATGTCGTTTGCCAGCCTCAGAACTGTCGTCTTCCTGCTGCGCACTCTCCACCACTTGCCGGTTTGCCTGGACAGCGCTTTCTACAATCTTACGGAACCGATTGAACTCTGGGAGACTCTGGGCTTGAGCGCTGGGGCCCACTTTGGAATATCTGTCAATGTGAGCAACCTGCAACCCTACACAACATCATAGATAGTGCTTACGCTGGTGGCCGAGTGTTCTCCTCCCTTGCAAGACGAACAATGTTCAGTTCCAGAATAAGGGCAGTCTTGATTCCTTCGACTTTCTTAAGGAGACCTTTTGCCTTGGGCTTGTTTATTAACCACTTCAGACCTGCTAGCTTCTGAGGTGTATCAATGAGTTTTTTTATTTCCGCATCGACTTGCTTGTATCGAAGTATGATCAGATGAGTATTTTGGAAGAGTGCGGGTTTGCACAAGTTCTGGTGAGCACGAATGATATCTGCAAGCGTTTGCAAACTTTCCGCAAGTAAGGATATCTCCTCCGCTGCCCTTATTGAGTGAAATGTTCGTTAAATACAGGAAGAGGCTGCCTACCAATTTCCGCTATCTCTCGGGGTGCATTCTTGAGCGTTTGAACTACGCTGAAGAGAGCGAGCGAAAGTTGCGCTGCACTTGCGCCGATGGTGAGCGCAGATGCGATGATGCTTATGGGATCTGCCATTTGAACATGGACGATGCGAACGACAGTTCAGCGGAGGCGGGGAGCGACGTGCTGGCAATAGAAACAAGAGAACGTAGCCTTGTGGCTTACACAGCCTCTGCGATGCTCCTCTGCAGTATTACATAGCCTCGCCGCTCCGCTGCAGGCTGACAGCCATCAATTGGTTGTTATACTATGCAGGTTACACTGTATAGTGTTAATTGCTTACAGCTGTAGCGGATGAACGTGTGGGGGCCATAATACGACTGCAAGCCGCGGATATGCGGCTAGGATGGATATTGGCGATGGCATACAGGCGTACGGAGACCCTTCGTTAGCCAATGTTCTCCGATACAGTTGCGACATGACAGAGCTGCCGAGGCATCGTATCTCGAACAAAACATTGTTGGTTGTTGAGATGTTTATCTACCCTGGCTCAGAAGTCGCTCGTGCCGATCAGCTGATGATAGTGTACATGTTTTGCCTAAGGCGTCCCAGTCTTTCTGTAGTCCTGCGATATCTGCTGAAGAGCGTGATTCAGTACTGACTGACCATCGTGGCTTATTGAGATGTGCTGAGGCTGACAAGGAGATGGGATGAGTGACAATGCGGGATGTCTGAGTGGCTAGTGCACCTCGGCTCTTGGCACTGCGTGCATGTGCGTCCCAAAAGTTATCACCTCACGCCAACTGTCCGCTGAGGCTCAACCCCATGCCGCCATGAGCTTTCGACCAATATTGCCACGGCCAATTGCAGTGCGGGACGCGAATTCGCTATGTTTGCGATGTTGGCGAAGGCTCGCAAAAGCACCACCCCAGTCGCAGAGGCCGATTTCTTTCAATCCATCGCATAGAGAGAATGCCATAACTGCCGTGAGAGGCGGTAGTGCTTTCGGTGATGGATACTTCCGGGCAAATCCGATATTAAAGGACACATTCTGGAAGGCAAGACCAGAGTTACAGAGCTCAATCCTATCTATAAGATCGGCCAATGCAGGAGGGCAACAAGCGGCGAACGAAGATGGAACAACTGGCACACAAGAAGTGTTGCCACACAGGCGGCGGAAGAAAGCAAAGGAACAGGCAATGGAGAATCCGGAGACGGCGTATCCTATCCCACACGATGCATCGTCCAAGCTGGCCCACATATCCTCGAGCCTCCCGCAACAGTCACTCAAGCGCATGATGACTACGTACCTCTCGCTATCGAAACCGCGTCTATCCTTCCTCGTTGTCCTCAGCGCGACGGCCGCATACTCGCTATACCCCGTACCTGGCCTGCTTGCACCCGCAGCAACAGCCACCCCGTCCCTCTCGACCCTCACACTCTTCTTCCTCACATCCGGCACTGCGTTGTGCTCGGCATCTGCAAATGCCTTCAACATGATCATGGAGCCTGCACATGATGCTAAGATGAGCCGCACGCGTAATCGACCTCTCGTCCGGAAGCTCATCAGCCCACGAGGCGCCATCATCTTCGCCGTCGCATGCGGGGTCCTTGGTACTGGGGCCCTCTACTATGGTGTCAATCCTACGACGGCGTTTCTTGGCGCCGCCAATATCGTCCTGTATGCGGGCGTGTACACACCCATGAAGCGCATGCATGTATTGAACACCTGGGTTGGCGCAATAGTAGGAGGCATCCCGCCGCTCATGGGTTGGACGGCTGCGGCGAGCCAATACGCCCATGACGGGACATGGGAAGAACTGCTGTTTGGGGAGGGCTCCGCTGGTGGGTGGCTGTGCGCTGCGCTTTTGTACGCCTGGCAATTTCCTCACTTTAACGCGCTGAGTTGGGCCATCCGCGACGAGTACAAGAACGCGGGCTATCGCATGTTAGCCTGGGTGAACCCCGGCATGAACGGACGAGTCGCATTGCGATATTCTATCCTGATGTTTCCTGTTTGCATTGGCTTATCATACTGCGGCGTAACCGACTGGAGCTACGTAGTTACGAGCAGCGTCGTGAATGGTTGGATGGCGCTCAAGGCTTGGCAATTCTGGAGAGCCGAGGGACAGAAAGGAACGGCAAGAGGCCTGTTCTGGGCTAGCATCTGGCACCTTCCCATAGTCATGGTATTAGCCATGGCCCAGAAGAAGGGACTAGGAGAACGTATTTACCGGAGTATATTCGGATACTCAGACATCGACGAAGAAGATCTGTATTATGAAGCTGGCGAGCTTGAAGAAGAGGAGCAGAAGCAGTTAGTTGTCGTCGAGGGCAGGCGAGTCGCATGAAGTTGGTATGTCATAGATCTACGTTGCATACTGGCTTTAACACGACAATCATATTCGCCATTCCCGTACGCCCGTTGATGATTCAATCAACGGGTACATATTCCTATACCCCACTGTATTATATGTTCTCAACATTCATCTAAATGGTCGCGTTGAGTTTTACGAAATCAAGCTAGTGCTTATGGTTTTTCCTGTTGCCACTCTGGAATCCTTCAAAATTCGCTTTGTGGTTACGCTCTGTTGCTTATGCTCACAAGATCGAGACATTCCTGCAGCCACTGCATGTTGTTTCAAATATTACCCCTCTTCTAATGCACGCCTGCAATACCAATAGGGATGTGGGAAGATCTACCGTGATAGCAAAGTCGCCCTTTCCAACGACCCCGGGTCATGTGTTCCGTGTCAAGTATGGCAAGATAGCCACTAACAGCGTAAGCCTGTTGTATTTTTAGCGGAAGACATTCACGCCATCCTTGAGATGGTGGTTTCGCAAAAGTATAAACATGCTGGGAGACGAAGTGTAGATATTCGTGTTGACTGGGTATTACTAAACAGGCTTTGAGAACCCTCGGTCTTGAACTCACGGCTCTACCTGGACCCGCCCTATCATTTGCCGACCTCTGCTGCTTACTTGCAGCTTGTATTTGCTCGAGATCCCTTAAAGTTCGCCTTGTTACTTTCTTAGCTTGCAGTATTCGATACGAGCAAAACTCCATTCAGCAACTATGGCTACTATAACCACCATCCACGAAGTACTCCAGATGGTTAGAGACAACGGTCTTAATGCGGAACGAGAAAACCCCCCTACCAAGCTTCCGGAAGACTTTCTTTCCAGTTTCCCCAAACTCTCAAATGAACAAGCCGGTCACCTCCGCCATTTCCATAATCTGGCTTCTCAGCCTGATGGTGAGTGGCATCGTATGGGCGCTCAGGACCCTGGTCAAGAGTGGTTCGATGCTTACCGCTATCAACTGGCGACCATGGCATACGCCACCGGAAGCGCGCACTATCATCGTCTACCAGCTGTACGGTCAGTATTCAAGAATTTATTAGAGCAGCTTATTCACAAGATGCTACGGAGAGAAGTCTGGGGTTATTGGTACCTGACCAGTCAGAGTGGAAAGTTTGTGGATCCGGACTTGGTTGAGATGCGCAAACCATGGGCGGATCCAAATAAACAAGAGAACATTATGGTGAGTATGCGGAAAATTGAGACGGCTTTACGTGACCTAATCTTATTCTCTGCAATTACTCTGGACATCTCCTCCTCATGGTGTCATTGCACGCAATGCTCTTCGACGACGACAAGTACGACCAACCGGAGGCGCTGACATTCAACTGGGATCCGATATTCTGGGGCTTCGGACCTGAGAAGTTCACCTACACTCGGAGTACCCTTCAAGAAGCCATCCTTAGCGAGATGGAGCGACACAACTGGAAGGGCGTCTGCTGTGAGCCGAACAGCATTTTCATCGTCTGCAACCAATTCCCGGTGCGATTTCAATCATTTTAGAGCTGCGATGACACTTGCTTACAACTTTCAGATCATCGCGATGCGATACAACGACATCCGCGACAAAACCGCCGTTGTCGACAAGGTCCTGAAGGACTATATTGCGGCATGGGGAAAGGATGGTGGCTATTTACAGGATGACAAATTTTTCATCAACTGGTACATGGTGAAACAAGATCGTATAGTTCCTGGAGGTATCGCAATCACCGCCTGGTAAGCCGAGATAGAGATGGGAATATGTTGGAATGACTACTAACGACACAAAAGGACATCGGCATTCATGAACAGCTGGAACTCTCAGTCCATCCATTCTCTCTTTCCAGAGCAATCTGTGGGCTTCTTCACGAAGGCTCCCGGTGGGAGAGTGAACGTGAATGACGAGGGGGTTGCCAAACTCATCCGCGAGCTCGCCAAAAGCGAGGGCGCGGATCCGCAAGCCTGGAGCACGAAGGAGAAGGCACAAAAATTGGCGAAAAAGATAGACGATGCGCTCCAAGCTCCTTTTTCGCAGCCTGTATACGGTTATGTTGCTCAATGGGTTTCTGAAATTGCGGACCCAGCCCTGAACGATGGTCTTCTACGTCATGCAGACACATTTCTCAACCCATCGTAGGAGAAGGGTGGCCTTTACTATCCCCGCAACGATACTCAGTCCGATGAACAGGGAAACTGGAAGTTTGTGGATCCCTATACGGGTAACGGGGCCATTGCGTATGCGCGCCTAAACGTCCCGGACGGTCAGAAAAAGATGTGGGAGAAACCATGGTCGAAGGAACATTTCTCGGGCTTTCCGTTCGTCGATGGGATCAGTCTAGCTTCTGATGTTGATTTCTTTCGGGGAAACTGGGATTCAGAGAAGTGTGCTTTTGTTGTTACCTTGCGGACTTGGGATGGTGCGACGAAGACGTAAGTCGCGATCTTTGTTGCATTCCATGGGTAAATTACTAACGGACTTTAGCATTCAGTTCCTTGTTAAGAATCTGCCCGCTGGGCGGTATGGTATCTATCGAAACGGACTTATCATAGCCGCGCAAGATGTGAACGATGACTCGAAGACCGTGGAGGTATTTGTTGAAGTGGGAGCGGAAGAGACGGATATCGTGCTACTCAAGTCAGCATACTAGGCTGAGGGCTCAGACGATCGTGAATTCAGGTGGTAGATGTAAGAAGACAATGATATTCTATCGCGTCAGGTTGATCGTGTCGCCGACTAGTGTCTGCTGACTAAAACAGCGTCATTAGGGGGTCCCACAAACCACCTAGCTCTGAACATACCCGCTCTATACGCGATCTTTGTTGCAATATATCTTTGCCTTCTACCGGAATCGCATTGGTGGAAGGCTTCACAGATTTTTTCGCCATTGTATTGCAATGGCCAAGGTAGTGTCGACACGTTTATAAAGTCGCATACCTGGCGTTGGCATGCGGCTTGCACTCCAAAATTGCTTTGACTTACATCCCAGGTTGCATCTGAAGATGGCGGTTACCCAAAAGCGTGCATTACGTACGGTAGATGTTCTTCAAGACAGATCTCGACGGAGTAGCGGCAACTCTCAATTCGAACCTGCCAGTCTCTCCACTCAAACCGCACGCAACACATTCCACTTTCTGTATAGGGAAGTTGTTCATGCTTAATATACGCAGTGAAGGAAAGCTCGATATCTGCGTAACACCTCATATCCTTCGCAGAGTTAGGACTCACCAACATTACTCAAAACGCTTCCTACTCAAATCACCTAGTTCCTACTGATCTCACGAATATTAGACGTCCTAAACATACTCTGCCATTCACCAGGACAGCCCAGAAAAGATATACGGAATACTCCTTGTCGAGAGATGATACTTCACATCGCTACTATATCCTTCGCCGCTCTCCTCTTGCGGTTCGCTTCCGGCGCACCATACCCACAGCCGAACTCGACATTTCTGGAAAACCATACAATGTGTAATTCGACCGTCCGTCTTTGTGACGGTGATCTCAACGTTGCCAACCCTCCTCCCTCAACTCGAGCGAATACGTATGCCACGAAGTATACCCAGCTGATCTCACTGTCCTCAACGCACGCTACCCCGATTACGATGTCGACCACCTACACCAAGCCAAGCAGTTCTTCATGCTACGTCGCCAGATGAAAAGTGCTGGGGAAATCGCCACACGAGTGCAATTTCGGGGTCTACCAAACAGCACTTCGAACCACACCTGCCGCCTCGAATTGGTTCTTCCACGCCTCGAGCTCCAGAAAATCTCTGGCCCAAACCCAAGCTTCCATGTACTTCAAGTTGCGCGCGAAGCTGGTGCGATTGCTACATGGAACACGTATGAGGGAAAAAAGGATGCCTTGTTATTCGGTACGGTCAATGGTGAAAGCCAAGCGCTAGAGAGAACACGCAGTGTCGGCGGCGTTGCTGCGGTCAACGCGACAGCATGTAACGAGACACTATCATTCCAGATGGCTATGATGTACGACAGTCCGTCTGCGCCGAACTACTGGGAGTTCTCAAACGTTGCGCCTCCCGCATTCCCAGTACAAGGGTTCAGAATCGTATACGGGTGTTGAGTAAGGATTCAGTGGTTGTGGTCATAGCGACGAGACGGCATTAGCTTTCCTTAAAATCACCATATATGGCACTAATGCTTTGATGCAATAGTCCTGTTCGTATGAAGTTTGTCTTGGCCACTACGTGATCATGTGCGTTCACCTACCTTTTACCATTCCGCACACTGCGCACTGCATGTTACTGTCTTGTAGAGTCATGCGCAATCTGACATTTAGGGAATGAATATACAGAATAATGACCATTAACTAACGACAAAACAAACACATGTTACAAAAACGCTTGTTCTCTCAGGAGGATTCAACTTGCAGAGTCTACCGTAAAGGTGCTAGACGTGTTCTACACGTTTGTAAGCACAACATGGAACCCAGTTAATACCTATGGGCTGTATCATGGTACAGGTATAAGTACAAATCAGAAAATACGGGCTTATTCGTATTTCGTCATATTGCAATTTGTGCTGTTTTCAAAAAGCAACAATTGCAAGTGATGTCATGACGGGATGACAATTACCCGCCCTTTAGGCTCGCTCGCAAGGTTTACCCAGTTAGTACTGCCTCAGCCGTTCCGACTGCGTGTAAATCCTTCTTATGCGGATTGCCCACCACTAAGATGACTTTAGAATCGTTGAGCACCAGTATAGGCGAATGGCCTCATAGGATATCTGGGGCTATTTCATGTACAAGGGCGTCAACCCCTCTTCGAAAGTATAGTACTGATGCCGTGCTTGCTTGGGACGAACCATCCTGTGCAGCCCGCCTTCTCTCGTTCACGCCATGACCACGCAACCTCCTTTAGAAGATGGCCAATTTATCTCAGAGGCGGTCGCGCAGCATTCTCTGCTTCAGCAAGCACAAGCTGCTGCCGCCGCTGTCGTCCAGACTGAGACCGCAGGACCAACGAGGCAGGAAGCCCTCTTGCAAAACACTGACCTCCTCACTCCCGATACGAAAGACGATGAAGTCCCACCTCCTCCATACGGCGACACATATGGCGAAATCCGTAACGAAAAAGATGGCTTAGGCACCAGCGCATCCGTTACCGACGACGGCCGTGTCAATATTCGCATCAATCAGCTCAACCGTCGTTTATCCCAAGTGTTTACTCCTGCTTTACGTGAACACCTCAAAAGTGTTCAAGATAGTAGTCCGCCTCCTCCCGCGTACATCCCACCCTCACTAGGAGGCGATGAGGGAGCTCCTCCACCCCCGCCCTTGAATGTCGTCATTCAAGTCGTCGGCTCGCGCGGAGACGTGCAACCCTTTGTTGCTTTGGGGAAAGTCTTGAAAGAAACTTATGGTCATCGCATACGTTTAGCGACCCACCCGAATTTCAAGGAGTTTGTGCAAGAGAATGGCCTAGAGTTCTTTAGTATCGGTGGCGATCCCTCCCAACTGATGGCATTTATGGTCAAGAATCCTGGACTGATGCCGGGCTTTCGCAGTCTAGCGAGTGGAGATGTCGGACGACGAAGAAGAGATGTTGCCGAATACATCCAAGGCTGCTGGCGATCGTGTTACGAAACAGGTGATGGAACTACCGATGATAACCCCTCAGGTTCCTTTGGAAACGACTTTGGTTCCGATGCTGCACCAAGATCTTTTCCCTTCATTGCGGACTGTATCATAGCCAATCCACCGAGTTTTGCACATATTCATTGCGCAGAGAAACTGGGGATACCGCTCCATATCATGTTCACTATGCCATACTCTCCTACTCAGGCTTTCCCTCATCCTCTGGCCAACATCCAGTCTTCCAATGCCGATCCACAACTTACGAATTATATAAGTTATGTTATGATTGAGGCTCTTACGTGGCAGGGCCTGGGTGACATCATCAACCGGTTCCGCGCCAAATGTCTCGGTTTAGATCCCGTGAGTATGATTTGGGCCCCTGGAATGCTTCAGCGTCTCAAAGTTCCTCACACGTACTGCTGGTCTCCAGCTCTGATCCCGAAAACAAAAGACTGGGGTCCTCACATATCCATCTCTGGGTTTTATTTCCTCAACCTGGCCTCCAACTACACCGCTGCTCCTGATCTCCAAGCATTTCTTGACGCCGGCCCGCCTCCGGTCTATATAGGGTTTGGAAGTATCGTCTTGGATGATCCCAACGCCATGACGGAACTCATTTTTGAAGCCGTGAAGAAGATCGCGGATGGTCGGCGTGTCCTACTTTCCAAAGGATGGGGAGGCATGGGCGCAGACGAGCTTCATGTACCTGAAAGCGTCTTCATGCTAGGCAATGTGCCGCATGACTGGCTTTTCAAGCACGTTTCTTGTGTGGTTCACCACGGCGGCGCAGGAACCACAGCGGCAGGCATTGCAGCAGGCAAGTCAATCATTTGCAAATCAATGTCTTAGCCAAATGCTAACTTAACGCAGGTCGGCCAACATTGGTCATTCCTTTCTTCGGAGACCAGCCTTTTTGGGGTGCTATGATTGCGCGAGCTGGTGCCGGCCCCGATCCAATCCCGTACAAGCAACTCACATCGGATAAATTAGCGGATGCAATCAACTTCTGCTTGAAGCCCGAGAGTCTGAACCGCGCCAAAGACCTGGCAAGCAAGATTGCGGCGGAGCGAGGCTGCGACATGGGTGCTCAGTCGTTTCATCAATATCTAGAAGCTGACCGACTCCGTTGTACACTTGCACCATCTCGAGTAGCTGTGTGGCGCATCAAGCGCACCCAGGTCAGGCTGAGCGCTTTCGCTGCATGTACTTTGGCAAACGCGAATCTTTTGGATTTCCACGATCTGAAGCTTTTTAGACCACAAGAATATTGTACGGACGAAGGTCCTTGGGATCCCTTATCTGGGTTCTTCACGGCGGCTTGCAGGGCTTTAGGTAGCATGTCCATGGGAATAGCTGATCTCCCCTCCGAGACAGTGAAGGCTGTACAAGCTCCGTTCGGACCTAGTCGATCGCAGTCCCAAGCATCAGTACAGACTGTCGCGAAGAGAAGCGAACCATCACTTTTGGAGGAGAGTTCAGCTTCGTCAGCTGTGTCAGAGGAGCTTCAGACGAGTTCAAATATGCAGGAATCTCTTGTTCGTGCTCAGACCCTTCCCAATTTTCCCAGCTCGCCATCTCGTACTTCAAGTGTAGGATCAAGCTCTACGTCCGCTCACAAGGACCATGACATGATGCGCCCCACTGGTCTGCGCACGAGCAGGGGATTTGGGCGTATTGTAAAGGCAGGTATACAATCACCTATGGAACTTTCGGTGGGTATCACTAAGGGGTTTCACAACGCTCCTAAGCTCTGGGGTGACGATACTGTACGCCCTCAAGAAAAGGTCAGTGACCTCAAGTCAGGCATGAAGGCAGTAGGAAGAGAGTTTGGATTTGGCTGGTACGATGGCGTTACTGGCCTATTCACTCAGCCCTGGAAAGGTGCTCAGAAGGAAGGTGCCAGCGGCTTCTTTAAAGGAATTGGTAAAGGCATTGGAGGATTTATAACCAAACCAGGCGCAGCTCTCTTTGGCATTCCTAGTCATATGATGAAGGGAGTACACAAGGAAGTGCAAAAGCTATTTGGTAACAATGTGCAAACGTACATCATCACATCTAGGACAGCTCAAGGATATCAAGAGTGGCTGCAGAGCTCCGATGCAGAAAAAGAGGATGCCATCGCTCGGTGGAGGATGATTCAAAAGTACTTGAAGAAAAAGAACGCCGCTGACGAGATGGTGCAAGATATGTTAGACGCTCAGCGAAAAGCAAAGATGGGGAACCGAGAGGGCCACCAAGATTCTGCAATTACCGCGAGTTCAGCCCAGTCCGCAGATACTACTACCCAAGATCTCGCAAGTGCTACGCTCACCACGGGTAGTTTGCAGTACCCTTTGCACGCTGCTAACACCAGTCCGGAAGGGTCGCTAGGAGCGGGCGAGATCAATGAAACCATCCGTCAGTTAGTCCAAGAGACATCACGAGGAGACGCTGAAGAAGATTCCGACGTTGAGCATGTGATCCGAGAAAGCGTTTCTCAGCTCCAACGCCAACGACAAGAAGATATGAATCATCAGGCAGATCACGAGCTGCTTCAGGCGATGGCATCCAGTGAAGTCGAAGCCCGGCGACACGCAAGTGAAGCCTTGGAGTACGAGGAGCAGTTGAAGCAAGTCATAGCACAGAGCCTGGTAGAACAGCGAAACATGAGCAGCGACGGCGAGGGAAAGGGTCTTCATAGCGAGCGGACACGAGAAACGACAAAACAAATAGCAAGGAAGGCGGTACCCATGGCTGATGGACCATCAGGTACTCAGCCACCCCCTTCGTATGATCATAGCCACCTCGCAGGCACCACACAGGATGAATTCCAGGCCCAGCATCGAGGAGAGAAAACGACACAGGAGAAGACAGAAGAAGAGATTGTGATGGAATATGTCAAGAAGCAAAGTGTCCTGGAAACGCACCATCAAAACAAAGGCAAAGGCCGTGCTTCAGCAACAGAGGATGATGACGAGGAAGACTTGCAGAAGGCGTTGAGCTTGAGTATGCAGGGGCATGAATGAGATGTCATTGTATGTGGATAAACTGGCCTCCAACTTCATACCTGTCGTACATATACATATAGGCAGATTATTGATACATGTTCGTTTCCGTGCATTCAGCTCGTGAATTACGCTTTCGTAGTCTCAGTCGCCATCATACGGCTTGGCGCTTTGACAACGTTGGCTTCGTCTCCTGGGCTGCCCTTGAAAGTCCATTGCCCATTTGCCACCTCGTCGTCTGTAGCGTTGTCCAGCCTCTTCAGTTCTCTCCTCATGTATCCTACAATCTGTGCTAGCTTCTCGAAGTCGACATCTTCTTTTGCACCAAGCAGATTCCTCCAGATAGCCGCCGCAAGCATAGCGTCACCCTTCATGAGACCCTCGTCATACGATAGGAGTACCGCACGCCACTGCGCGAACATGTCCTTCAGGTGTTTCTGGCGCAGCGAGTTGGCGTTGAACTTGTGCCATATCACGAGACGGTCCTCAGCAGCGTAGAAGGCCTGATTGGTGAGGTGCTGGATCCATACGGGCGCATGGGATTGGGGGAACATGCGGAAGCGGACTTGCAGCATGTACATGTGGATAAAAGTGATCTGAGCCCAATTCGAGAAGGTGGGCTTGAGTCCGAGAGCTGTGCAAATTGTTAGCGAATGCCTGCCTATCCTCATTTCCAGCACATACTGTCATACCACCAGCCCTCGCCCTCGCCTAGATGCACGCCATTCTCGTCTACTGGTATCTCGCCCCGCTTCAACAGCGCTTGGGGTATTTTGTATTCGCCCGGCTTCGTGCATTCCTTGATGAGGTCTCGTGTTGCGCCATATGCGACGTAGGTTTCGGTCATCAATGGTGCCTTTTCGCGCAGCTTCTGGGCGAGTCCAGTCACACCGGACGCAACAGCGGGATGCGGCTTCTTGATTGCTTCGGGCCTGACATCGGCTGACAAGGCTTGCGATGCATGGTATGAGGTCGGTGAAGTGGTAGAAATTGTTCGTTGCACTTGGCGCAGAGATGCTCTATTCGTTCGCTACGACAGTCAATATCCGCTTTAGTCATGGGTGGTGGCTGTGTACCTGTAGGAGCGAAGAAGAGGACCTGAGTAGGGCCTTGGAGCAGGCTGTGCAGGTGTAGTTGGACGACATTGCTGGCGATGTTTGTTGGAACGAGCGTCTTTGCTAGATCATCAAAAAGTCGCGAGTCGCGCCCTCCATCGATGACGGTACGACCCCGGCCGCCAACACCACCAATGAGCATCAACACAAAGCGCCTCCTCAGCGGGGAAACCACCAGCAACACCATGACGGGCTCATGCTCGGAAATTCGAGGGGTATATATTCCTGCACCCTCTATCAAGCATTGTGGCGGAGCTACCGGTGTTGACACGCAGGTCTTCAGGCCTTCGGGGCGTCCAGTATCATCATAAACAGTATACCAAGCTGGAACTTCGGCTACTGCATGTGACCCCAGAGGCTTGGTATGGCTAGTTCCGAGGGGCAGGGGCGGCAGCGAAGCGACATCGCCGTCCATACATGACCCCAAAGGCAGCCTCATATAGACTCGTACAATGCGAGCCTTCCCTCCAGATTAAATCATCCTTCGGCTCTTATTACCGAGTTTAGCATTACCTGACCATGGCATTGGCATTGGCTGCCTCTACGACTGCCTCTCGAGCCAATCGCAGAGACGGTTCCGTGTACATCGAAGTGCTCAATCCGCCACCCTTCTACACAAGTGAGGACTGCATCCGAGGCAAACTACTCGTGGAGCCCACATCGCGACCTAATCGCATAAGCATAAGTCTAAGGGGCTTCTCCATCCTCCAAGATGTCAATTGCAGGAGCGTGCGAATCGACTTTTATAGAGCATCTCAATACCTCTACACATCCACAGGCGATAACTTCCAGCGTCTTACTAGAAACACAACAGATCCCACCAAGGTTGAGCTGCCTTTCTCCATCGATGTTCCGCAACATGCTACCCTACACCCACCAGCTGAGAGACTCTGGGTGCATCCAACGGACTCTTACAATCACCCACGATTCCAACACTCACCAGGATTTCCACTTCCACCAAGCCTTAGCGGTCCCACGCCCACAAGTCCACAGGTCTTGTACCACCTGGAAGCGTACATGGAGTCCGATGTACCGAAAAGAGAACCTCTAAAGATTCGACAGGAAGTCAAGTACATGCCACCAGCTCCCGAATTTCATCCAGCGCTCCTCCAGCCGGATCTGAACTTCGGTACCAAGTTACCGAAGCACTGCAGCCGCCAAAAGTTGATTCGTTCACGCAAGCTATTCCCGGATTATAGTGAAAAGCACAGTAAGCTCGGAAGATTCAAGGACAAACTTGTCGAAAAAGAAATGCTCTTCGGTCCCCAGAGCTTTGCGGAGATACCCTACATCCAGTTCAATCTTTTCGCCACTCCCGCTAGCGTTCTGGTGGTTGGTTCTATGGTCCCAGTCATCGTTACAGTACAGCATCTGAAACGCTCAGAATCACTCGCCACCCTTCCCGACCTTTTCCTGAAGCGTGTAAAGGTTCAGTTGAACGCTGTGATAAACACGTTCGTGCCTGGCGAACAGTACGGTCGACATGCCACCAGGGCGGCCAACTCCTCAGACAAGAAAAACATCGTCCTCTGCGATGAGAAATTCGAAAAAGATCACGAACTTCCGCTATACGATGGACTCAACCTTTTGGATGTGGCAAATATCGAGCTGCCAAAAGACAGTATTCCAAGCTTCACGAGTTATGGTCTCAACTTGGAATATGAGTTGCAGATCGAGATCTCAGGAAGATGTGCGGATCGAGAGTGGACGGGCATTGCTTGCACTCAGCCAGTGCAGGTCGTCACGAGTTGGCAGAAGACCCCGAACGAAGCCATCAACCCGTTCGAAGCGGGTCCTGAGCCCGAATACCAAGAACTAGATCCCATGGCGCAGATTTACGAGATAGAATCGAACCGGACAGCCTCGGAACTAGGGACAGATGCTCCGGCGTATGAGCTTAACTCAAGACACATGGCACCACGCATAGCAGACAGCGTACCTCCGCCAGAGTATGCTATATCGCACTGAGTTCCATCCACCTTAATCGTTGCGGTGGCGGTTTCCTGTATATATCCTGTCACGAGCCCATCTTGCCGACCACTTCCATGCTGTAGACCATTCCTCATCACCATTACTCTACATACATGGACGCTGGATTAGATGCTGCGCAATCCGTTCTAGCCACTTGTCTTCTCGCTTTCGAAACAGAAAAGGAATCTTCAACCCGGAAATCTGTCAAATGTGCCTGAGCTTCTGGTCAAGCGTATGACCGGAAACATCACTGACCACTACACTGGAGTCCTAGATTTCCCTCTGTTACACGGGAAAATTGCAAGAACACCCAGAAATTACATGCCACAATAAATGCGCGATGTCAGCCCGTTTTCGATGGTGTTGCAGCATACATTCCCGATCTACCTCAAGATCACAGTCACAACATGTTCCCTGACACTTGCCGTGCGATATCAACCTCCTGAGCCTCGCTCGGCAAATTGGAAAGCAGCTTACGTCTTTGCATCCCTTGCTGTACGTCCACGCCCTTACAGCAATCAGGTGCTTGAACACATGTCGAGATTTCGACCTTACTACAAGAGACGCAGGCCGGAAATTGCACGTGTACCTTGTTTAACAGTCCAAAAAGGATGCGAGGAAGCAATTTTAGATGGGCTTATCAAAGTGCCGTGTTGTAAGAAGGCACAGGCCCCAACCTGTGTGGTAGATTGATTGCAGGGGTCGGTCTATTGATTTTTGTTCTAAACGCGTTGAAGGACGTTTATGGAGTCCGAACACGACGCATGTTGGTTCGAAGGTATCATTTGTGTATATTTTTCTTTTCAAAGTTCGATATGTATGCCACATGCCATAGGAAGAATGCATCGGTTCTTCACTTCTCTCCTCTCGCCTTATTTCTCTCCCTCCGCCTCTCCCGCTCTGCCTTCCTGGCCTGGTTTAGACTAGGCGCAAGACCCTCCTCATCAATCTTAGCCTTTTCCAAACTCTTCTCGTCAATCTCGTCCAACAAAAAGCGACCCATGCTGCCACTCCTCCACTTTTGTATCATCCACAGCGACGTTGCTTCTGTATCTATGACCCCACCCTTGCCCAGTCTACCGGTCTTCTTCGCGATCTCGGACAGAAGTTCGATAATGTCATTGGTAGGCGGTGCGTATTCGGAGTAGAGCGTAGGCGATTGGAGGTTGAGGTGGTAGAGGAGGTAATCTGCGAGCATGACGGGTGCGATGATAGTATCTTTGACGGAGCCGCAGAGGGCCAGCTTCATCATGGCTTCTGCGTCGGGAACGTATGGGATAAAAACACCGGGTGTGTCGAGAAGATATACACCTCCTCCTACACCCTGAAGCTTCTTCTTCGCCCCAACATCCGCTGCTTCCATATCATCTTCGCTCGGTATAATCTTCACACCGCTGCTACTGACTTTGCGCGTCACACCGGGTTGAGCGCCCGTAGCTGCAACCTTGCCTTTGCCGATACCCTGTGCGCGCAGAGCGTTGAGCAGCGTGGATTTGCCCACGTTGGGCATTCCTACTACCATAACGCGGTGGCCGACCAATTTCCACCTCTTCTGCGCATGCTCTCTCAGGATGTCCAAAAGTTTGATAACACTCTTCCGACCACTGATCTCGCCCTCTGACTCTTTCCCATTCCTCACAAACATGGTCGTTGTGGGGCGATGCCATTTCGCAATGACATCCTCGTTCCGGTTATCACGCGACCCACCGCCCAAGTCTCTCTTCGTATAAACAATGACCCGTTCCTTTCCTTCAAGCGCATCTTCAAACAACGGGTTGCGCGAGGTAAGCGGTACACGGTAGTCGCGGCATTCTATGACTAGGTCGATCGAGGAAAGAAGCGATTTCATCTTCTGCAGGCCGGATTTGTGGTGGCCCAGGAAGTAGGACCTGGGCAGCGACGGGATTTGCGGGAAGGCATGGCGGGGGATGAATGACATCGGTTACATTGGCGTGTCCGTAGAGAAGAGTGCATTGTTGCAATGGAGGGTTGGAATTATTTCGGACACGAGTCAAGCAGCGATTGAGCCTTGGCAAGCATGACTGGCGCGGCTGCTGGCTTCCACCTTCGACACTTGCGTCCGGCCTTTCCATCACCATTGCTCTGTCGCTTCAGCATCCCACCTCTAAATACATTCTATTTAGAGCCTCGCTAGCATCCTCGCCTAGTCTGCTATCACAATATCCTTGATAAAACGGAGCTTACTGTAGACCATGCTGTTCATTCAAGATCCCAATGGCGCCAGCGTCGCACTCGTACTACATGGAAAGCAATCATATGGAACCTTCGTTACCTGCGTAGCCAACCAGATTAAGCTTTTGTTTCTACCAAATCTTTGGAGCTTGTTGCCGAGTCTATAGCCATGGTAGCGTGGTATGTATATGCAGTCAGCATCGCTTCTCTATCCGCGGAATACCCGCGGGGTCTTGGTACTCGCCTCAAGGTAAGCTTCATGTTGACCCAAGTGGCTCTCATCCCGTATACTGGGTGAACTTCCCGGTTCTTTGTCTTCGTGTTCTTGTGACAATTTCCTTCCAATCGTTGACATCACTATGCCAGCTTCTGGCGAGCGAGAGCGTTCCAATCGCAAAGGACAATACTCGTGTAACTTCTGCCGCTCACGCAAACTTCGCTGCGATCGACCACTGCCATGCACAAGTTGTATATCGCGAGGAAAAACATGTCAGTTCGATCCTACACCGGCGGTTCTCAAAGCTCAAAACCTTCCCACACCCGCATCAATCGGAGTCACGCCTGAACATCAACAACCACAGCAGACTGTGCAGACGCCTTTACCTCAATCAGGAAGTTCTGGACTTCTGAATGAAGTAAGGCTGCTGCAGACTCATGCAAAAGAGTTGGAGGAGCGTATCGCTCAGAGTACTGTTCCTATCCAACATCCAGGTCATAGTAATGGCAAAGCCTTCCAGTCATCTTTCGGTCATAGTCCTGCGCAGGAATACTCCAAGGCGACCGAATTATCAGATATTCACGAAACAGGCGACGTAGTTGATCACCTTGAGCGTGTCTCCATGGGCCAAAGCTCTCTCCAACTTTTCCACACAGATGATTTGGTCTTCAAAGCTGGACAGATCCGATTAGCATCACAAGCGCCTACTTACATGATACAAAACGGGAAACCAACGCCATGTATATGGCTACCACTACGAGAAGAGGCCATGTCACTCCTCGACTACTACGTTACTGAGCTCAACTACATTCAGCATGTCACGCACTATCCCTCGCTACCAGCTGTTTTCGACGAGGTGTACCGCCGGATCGAAAACTATGAGCCTGTTCAGCCAGGCAAGGTTATTCTTCTGCTTAGTATCGTTGCTCATACGACGCACGTATGGACAGCGCTGAACGGGCTGAACATTGAGAGCCCTTTGTTTGTTTCTTCCTCGCAAGCACGTTCCCAGACGTCCATGTGGATCAAAGCTACATATAATGTACTCAATGCCTCCCAAGATGATCACTCGCTAGCTCTAGAGACTGTACAAGGCCTTGTCATCCTATCATACGTCATCTGCAACATAGAGGGTGTCTCGCTACGATATCGCTCCTTGATTTCCACGGGCCTGTTACTGGGTCGTGAAATGGGTCTTCATCGAATAGATCATGAGTCCAACACTACTACGGCATCAACGCTTAAGGCAGAGGTTGGCCGTCGTGTCTGGTGGTATCTAACTGCTACAGATTGGTATGTATGCTTGAGGTTGTCCTTACCTGAAGCTTTGAGTGATACTAACAACATTGTTCAGGCTACTTGCAGCAAGATATGGTGGCCCTGGCGAAGGCGTATACCAATCCAACCCGCTGCATATGAATGTCAACAAACCGCTGAACATCGATGACGCAGACTTACTTGCCAATGGACCACAACCATCTTTACCATTGTCGCAGCAAACGGATATGTCATACTTTCTTCAGCGAATCCGTCTCGCAGAGATCTCACGGAACATTATGGATCAAATCAGCTCCGATCCGTCCAATCGCCACGCTCACGTTATGGCAATGGACCATGAGCTCGTCGAGATGATGAACAAGATACCAGCATTCCTCCAGCTGGACAACTACCAAGATACCATCTCCTGCAGCGAAACCGACAGCAGCCTCTTCGTCCAAGCCTACTTCCTCAACACACTCCTCCACACTCAGCGATGCAAATTTCACCTCACCTCCCTCACGCGTATACCCACCACCAACCTGACATACGCTTCTTCTCACGCCGCATGCATCCACTCAGCACGCCAGCTACTTCATATCGAAACTGTTCTCCTACACTCCCAACATCCTTTTGCCTGCCGCCCTCAGCGGCCTCCGGCCGGTCTGTATAGCATCTTCATCGCCACCATCGCCTTACTCATGGACACATGTCTCAACAGACCAAGTGAGATACAAGCCGAGCTCCAAGGAAGTAGTTTGATGGATGGACTACAGATGATAGCAGACGCGAGAGAAGATTCACTGGCAGCGGCGAAGTTATACGAGTCGCTCATGCAGATCGTAGGGAGATATCGAGATACTCAGCACTCAGTAGAAGAGAATGTGATTCGGACCGGTAACTGTACAACTGTAGAGACTCTCCCAGTATTGCCCTCGGAAATTTTGCGAGAAGGACAGCCGTCTTCCCAAATCAACGAAGTAATACATCTGGATCTGATTGAATGGGACGATCTGTTCTCTAATGTTTCTTCGTCGCCGTTTTTCTGATTTGGATCGGAGCGAAGCATAACAGACGAGGTCTGGCAAGGCCACTTGCGATGTACCAATATGGGAGCATGTCAGTAGGACATTGCATGTACGGAACGAATTCACCATGCGAAAGGATAAGAAGTTTGGTGGCCTCGGGCCCAACAATCATGTTCAACTAACTATGCAACGCTAAACAATACAAACTGAACCATACTTCAACGTCTCTCTCAATCCAGCGCAGTTCTCCGTCTTCATTGAGCTCACAGATCATGGTGCCGAAGGCGATCTTGGTAAATGGTGGTGTACCTGGTGGAGGCGGCGCCGGGAACGACCGTAACTGTGGAGCAAGGTGGCTCGGAGTCCATGGTAATGGTTGTGATGGTGGAGTAAGCTGGCGCAGGATCGATGATGGTGGTGACGGTAGAATAAATTGGCGATGGGTCGATTATTGTAGTCACAGTGGAGTAAGTTGGTGCAGGATCGATAATGGTAGTGACGGTAATCATGGGCGGAGCTGGCGCGGAGCCTATGATGGTGGTGACGGTCACCATGGGTGGAGAGGGGTTAACCGTGACGATGGGCGCAGGATAGACCGTAGAGGTGCTGATGGCGATAGTGCGCGTAGGAAGCTCGTAGGTGCTTGTCTTTGGAGAGGCATCGATGTGCTGCATTTCGCGGTCTTTGTCACACCTTCTCATCTTCGTGTCGGGCTTTTGGATCCGAATCTCACCCCTATCTTTTCCTCTGCCATCCCACTCAGCATCTGCACACATCTCCGTGTCAGGATACCAGGGGTGGGTGAATCTAACGGCCCTATGGAACGATTTGCGGGGTTCGAGATCGACTTCTTTCTGGCCAAGCGTAACCGTTTGTATTGACTGATCGATTATCGTGTAAACTGGTTTGCCGCCGATCATTGTGTAGACAGCCTGGCCAGAAATGACTGGCGAGGTGGCTGGCGAGACTGGTCGCGGCTGTGTGGCTGTCACTGTGATAACTGAAGTGATCGGGTCACCAGCTGTCACTGTGATGGCTGGCGTATGTGTGACGGTGATCGTGTCTTGTGGATTAGGTACTGGACCCTTGCAATCAATGGGATTTTTTGGTCCAGAGCGGCACTCAAACTTGAACGTGTTATCGTCACTCTTTGCGTAACACTCGTAGCAAATGACTGCCATGGTCCAAGGGTGTAACATCCATACGCCGATACGAGGGCCCTTCCACTTGTTCTTCCGGCGTGGCTCCAGATCCTGGGTGTCTTTGTTGACTGGTCCTTGTTGCGCATCTGAACGACGCATGTTTGATTGGCCATAGTTTTCCATGTAGACGGTAACCGTGTTCGTGGAAACGGGGGGGTACTGAACTGTGACGGTTTGGACCGGTACAAGCGAAGGCGCGACCACAGTGACTGTGCTAGCTGGCAGGACGGTTACTGTGGGCAGTACAGTCCTAGTGAAGGTTCCAAGAGTACTTGAGACGATGGTCGTGAGAGTGTTGCTAGTGTGGACCCATGTCGAATAAGTGGTGGGAACGGTCTCGGTGATGACACTGGGTAAGATCAGAACCAGCCAAGACAGAAGTGAACGCTTAGGGAACTTACTTAGGATCCGGAAGGGAGATTGCTGGGCGAGGTAGACCACAATGAAACAGTATCGAGAGCATGGGTTCTTCATGATCTGGTGAGATGCATTCTGAGATGGCCTGAGGGAGTTCTTCGATGGCGGTCGGGGTGCCTTGGCAACCGTGATGCTGGTATGTGCTGATGAAGCAACGTGTTTCTCCATTGTTGATGGCTCCAATCCAGTTCTCGTGCTTGTTGTGGAAGGGCTTGATGCTATTGGCACCGGTGACGATGTCCTGACACTTGTCTATCTTGAGATCCATGTTGCCGCGTATTGATGGTCCGTTGCAGTCGTCGCTCGTGAAGGCATATGTGCGTAGTTCGTTCTTGATCTTGGCCTGAGCCAGCGGAGAGAGGATTGCGAGTAATGCACTCGTAACGAGGACGATGGAGCGAGCCATGGTCTAAGAGCTTTGTCCTTTGTCAGCAGATGCTCTTACTGTAGTTGAAAGCAGGATGGGAAAAATCAAGCGAGGAGACATACAGCAGAGGAGTTCAGCCGCAGCTAAGTTCGACAATGTTAGCCGAGGGTGGTGAGAAATGTGACTTGTTGTGCATTAGCACTATAGCAGAGAAGGTGTACGTGGATGTTGAGCAGGACGAAGTGACATACTCAGCTAGCAGAATCGGAGAGAGTTTTTTTGGGTCCGGAAGCTGAATCGATGTTGAGGGGGCCCTATGAGGTGTTAGCATCAGTGCCCTAAGCAGCATCGAATGGAATAGGCAGTCCAGGAATGTCGAAGTGCCTCCATGTGCAGGTCAACTACGATGAATAGACAGTGATGGAGCAATGTACCAACTGGGTAGAAAGGCGGTGCAAGTAAACCAACCGTCCAATGGCACTGTTGCTTACTTGAATGGTGGAGTGGGTTGGAGAAGAAACGGAGAGACGGGAGAGGAAGCGTGTTTATAAGGTGGCCGGAGATACGCTAACATCAGACTTTGGGCATCGTCACCGAACTCTGGTTGAAGAAGGTATGCTTCACGGGTTGTGGTAGGTAGACTCTTGATCCCATGTTGTGGTTGCGCTCTCCGTCGTAGGATGATGATGTTCGGACCGCCCCGGACAGTCGAGCTGAGCAGGAAGTCAACCGGGAAGGTAGTCGCAGCCAGTACCACGGCAAGATATACCTAGATGCAAGATGGACGAAGAGAGACCACCTGGTCGTTGTGATGTCATTATAATCGTTCATGTTTCTGCCAATCTTCGCCGCATCTTTGCATCTAATCAAAACCTTCCCAGGACACCCAAGTGATGGAATCAATGACCATTCGAGCAGAGATATTTGCACGTGCGCGAAGGATCATTTCATGCTGCACTATTGTGAGATCAACGTCGAGGTAAGGAAGGTACAGCATGAGCTTGCAGCGAAAGGAAGCAAGAAGGTGGGAAAAGAGCTTGATCGAAAAGTACAACTCAGCTTGCGAGCACTGGAATGAGGGAAGCGGAGCAGGTACAGCTCGCAATTTTCCTGGGTATGTTAAGCTCAACGAGACCAAACAATGGCAGAGGATTATAGATGCATACCTGGAGTTTGCCGTGTGCTCCATTCCATTGCTACGCGTGAAGGCACGGCCAGAAGAAGCATAAAGTGCAGTTCATGAAGTGCTAACAATACTTGCCGATATGCGCCTCTAACCACAGCGCAGCGAATCTACGAGATCCCAACCCCTCATATGTGTATTCAACGCCGAAACGCCTCATCACAATCCAGCTCCCAGTCAACAACCTGAGTAAGAGTCTCTACCACTCCCCCCACTCATCATCCTTCTTCGCACCACCTCCCATACCACCTCCAGCGCCCCCCTTCTTCATAGCACTTGTACCAATGCCGCTGGGTTTCTTCGGCGCCATTGCCCCGCCTGTCCTGGTCTCACCCGCACTAGCGAATTCATCCCAGAAATCCTGCTTATCCTTCGCCGGACCCTTGGGCGCCGCGCCGAAGCTCTCCCAGAAGTCTTTGCGCTCGGGTTCGCGCTGGCCAGATGTGGCAGCGGAGGAATGCGTCGAGGAGTCGCCTTCGACAAAGCGAGTGAATTGCGTGTTGGCGTTTGCGACGCCAGATTGGAGGGTTTGGCCGAGGGTGCCGGCGGTTGTGCGGGCTTGGGTTGCGAGGTCTGCTTCGGCGAGCTGGAGAGTCGTTAATGTACACGTACTGCATGAGCCCAGATACTATCAGACGTACCTTTGCCATACCGGGTTTCACCCAGCCTTCATAACCCGTCTTGCCCACCTTACTCACGCTTGCGCCCAACCATCCAAAGCCCTTGGTAAGCGCAGCAACAGGGTCTTTCTGGAAGTCATCAAGCGCAGGTGGGGCACCAGGCTCGTCGTCCTTCTTCCAGGCATCTGGTTCGCTGCCAAAGCCACCGTATTTGCCTCCCTGATTCGGCGCAACGCCGTCTGGTCTGTTGGCGTTCTCCTGTCCCATCTTGGCGAAGTAGGCTTCGTTTTTGACCTTCTGAGATGACATGGCGTTGGTACCGAGCGCGGGCGAGCCAGACCGTTGGAAACCTGGTTCGTTGCTTCGTGTCTTTCCCAGAGGCGTCTGGCTTCTGCTTCCTGCCGCGCTGGCTCGTCCGCTCAACGGCGCACCCATGCCAGCTGCAGGTACATTGTCCTTCTTAGGTAACCGCTTGGGCAGGTTACTCTTATCAAACTCCCTGTCCTCAACTTTACAGCTGAGCCTCTCTTTCCACTCGTCGCCCGCCTCTGAGTCGTATCGCTCTGCTATAGACGAGGCCTCAAATGTCCGTCCGTCTTTCGTGTTGGACGGATGTGTATTGAAGAAATCCTGGAAGGGCTTGTTGCCGCCGGCGGCCATGCGCACAAGTTCTGAACCCTTGAAAGCGTCCATGGTAATGCTGCGGATGAAGGAGATGTGAACACCGAGACCGCGGTGCACGCCAGAGCAGGAGAGACACATGAAGATACCAAGCTTGGGTGAAGCCTAGTACATGTCATCTTAGTAGGTGTAGTCGGTGATCGCGTGCGGAGCTGGAGGAAGGGCGATTGCATACCCATTGGGGACTCGGCGCATTGCAGTCGACGCATTTGTTGTTGTCGTTAGTCTTCTGTATCTCCAGCAACTACGTGTGGAATTGATCAGCCTCTGTTCGACTTGTATACACAACCCATTATCTGTGCTGGATGCACTCCGCAATTGACCCCTAGCACCCCACTCCACACGGTAGTACAACGCGCCACGTACCTTACTCCGCGTCTCCGGATCTACCTCCCACATTTTGCTCATGATGGGCAGCCGAGGTTTTGTGCGATAGTAAAGTAATAAAAGGTGATATTTGGCCCCAAGTTGGGAGGAAGCGCTTGCGGTCGATGTTGCGGTCGAGATTCCAGGGTACGTGGGCCCAAGTGGGAACGCGTGGCGCGTGTGCAGTTGAGCCTCAACTCGCATCGACAGGGATGCTGCGTGCTCTGCACAACAACCCACGGGTACACTATCGCGACTTTTGTTACTGTCTTTTCTATCGCGGAAAGATGTTTCAAGACTTGGCCTCCTAATGCGAGAAAACCACTATAGAGGCTAGAGAAGCTGGAAACAACCGATGGTTTAGTCCAGGTAATCGCAAACTAGACTGCCACCCTCCCAACGCAACGTGAGCAGTTCGTATACACTATACACCAGAAAGGGAAAAGGCTAGTCTATGCGTAGAGAAAAAGAACCCAATAATATGCTTAGTATCTATGAGGAGCACAACAACTACCAATTCCGGTGTGCCTTCAATCACCTCAATCAGCTTCATAATCCGGGATGCATCCACGTCTACTCTCGTACTTGCGTATGTAGATAAGACCATGTATCTTCTAGACTGTAGAAAATGGGTCCAATACGTAATCTGCAGATACATCCGTGGGCATTGTTTCATCCCCGCCTGTCTGTTCATCAACATCGATCACTGCATCGTCATGTATCGAAATCGTCTCTCTCAAGCTCGTTACCATCCCACCATTTCCCAAACTCCCTAGGCCATGGGATTTGGCTTTCATATCTCTCGTCATTATCATCATCTTCATAATTATCATCTTCATAATTATCATCATAATAGTCTCCTAAAAGCTGCACCCAAACCCAGCCTTCTTCAATATTGGTCGAGATAGCAACACGGCTCTCCTCATACCATCGATCAGCAGGCCCATCCATGTCATGTATTGTCACAAGCTCGACACCAGCTTTGGCAAATCCAGACTGTAAAGCCGCGAGACGCGTCTGGCACGGGAAGATGCCTAGTTGTGGATGCCAGCCGAAGATTGTGATCTTTTCTAGGTCGGGAAGTAGGGTATCAATCGTGGGGGCCATTGTGAGTAAGACGTCCAGGAGGGGTTCACTCAGGTCGTAATAATCCTCAATCGCTGAGATGCGGAGATGCTTGAGATGTCTGGGTAGATTCTTGAATCTTTTTGGTAGCGACTCAGCGAGAACTTCTTGTGTGGAATCGAAGCGCGAGCCCCCATAAAAGACCGGCGTGAGCATCTGGAGGCAGTCCAGATGTTCCAAGACACTCAATTCTTCAAGTGCGTCTGGATCTTCTTCTAGGCGGTGGTCATCGATGTTGAGCGATGTGAGTGACCCGTGATGATGTGCAATCGCGTGTAAAAGCGTTCGTACGTTCACGTCATCTTTTCCAAGACCGTGTCCACGGAAGGCGATTTTGAACTTTTTGAGACCTCGGAACGATTCTAGCACTCGGGTAAGATCTAGCGTGTCGGTGCCAACAGCAGGCAGGATTAAATTCTCGAGGCTTGAACCTTCTCTTTGCAGTCGTTTCCAAAGAGCATTGTCAGCTTCCCATTCGCGAAGTGACTCCATTCCATGCGAATTGCGATTTATCGTTAGATGGGATAAGACAAGAGTTCTCATTGACGGCAACAAGAACAACGCAAGAACATTTCCAACACGTATCTCGCCGTTGATGTTTGCTTGTTGCAGATTGGAGAAAATCTGAGAGTCCAATGCTGGCTTGAACCACACAGCCTTGAGGTCCCAGGTCAGAGGTACTAGGATAACGACTTCTTTGACTTTCGGTGTAAACAACATAAACGTGTTGATGTGCTCTTCCTTCCCGCGATCCGCAAGCCACGCATTCAGCTTCCTTATCTTTTTTTCACTCGCGATTTCTCTTTCTCCTACTTTGCCAAGCCCTACTCTTTCGGTGATATACCCAAGTTCAACAGCCGTGAGCACTTCCGGGAACTTGAAAGCATAGTCCTTGGACGCCCATGTAACCCGCTGGACGCATCGCTCAAGATTCGGAGATGACGCAAGCGCACGGATGAACAGCCCTGGGTCGTTTCTGTCAAGGGAGTAAGAGCTATATAAGAGCTCTTTGGCAATCCGATGCAAACGTCTGTTAGTAAGACTAATATTCCAAACGTCTTGAATGTCCTCGACGAAGAGCTGGTTGATTATCTCGAAGAGGAGTTCATCTGGAAGGGTGTCCATCTTTATTTCCGGTGTTGCAGCCATGGCGAGGTGGCAACGATCAACCGATTGCTAATATCGGCTTTGAGTTGTTAAGTTGAGCGTGCGAAAGGCGACATGTCATACGATCGGTACTCGGTTTTAGCCTCTTGGCATAGTGCAAGGCTCGCCAGAGATAACAACCTGATGTATCTTCTTCCATGCCATCTAACAAGGCGATTTTTGTTGTAAGAAATGCGACACGTAGACGAGAAGATGATAGACTGATAAGTAATCTTTAAATTCAAGTATCGAGTGGTGATGCAGCTACGTCGCATTCACGTACGCGTAGCTGTCCCATCTCTTTCAACTATCTACCAGCAAACCTTTCTACGACTCCACCTCCCCTTACGCCATTAGGTGTGGCATGGTGTGCTCTGTCTGCCGTTGCCGTGAGGCCCTCTCGTATCCTCTTCCCGCACTCTAAATAAGTATGTACATTGCCGCATAACAGAGATCCAGCGAGAAGGAAAGTATTGTACACAGGTGCTGGTGCCATTAATGATGTGGTCGAACCGGACAGGTAGTCTCGGACAGATAAGTAACGCAGAACCCCCAAGACAATGATGGAACAAACTAGACGGCCGTGCGTCGATGCTATACATTACGCCTGATTGTTTAGAATATGTTATGGTTGTAGGTTCGTCAGTCGTAACGCGCTTGTGACATCCAACTTTTCTGATTGTAGGTGTGTGCTTCGGGAGATGTGTAGGTCTCCAGCCTGTGATGTATGTGCACCCTTGGTCGAACTCGCAAATGGTGGTTTAAACTTTTCGTTCTAATTTGGATCGGGGTTGCGCACATTTAGTTGTCGTCCATAATCTCGGCTGTCATCGATGCTTCCTAGGCTTTCCCGACTTGCATTCGCGCCGTGGAAAGTCAAAACAGCTGTTGGGTTGAGTCGCGAGTCGACTAAGATCGGTTGGCTTAATCGGCGGGTTGATGGCGTGACGGGGGTAATCGATTCGTCGTCGTGGCGACTTCGTTGCGAGCCAAAGTTGGTGACAAGCTGAGTTGGTGACTTCTCGCTACGTCCTCCTAGCAAGCCAGCTCTGCTCATGGTGCTCACATTCCGCGAGATACCCGCCGAGCCACTCTCGTGTCCATCTTGTTGCTGGTTTTGCTGCCTCCTCTTCCGCCATAGGACGAACAGTATGCCACCAACGATGGCTAACAAAGCAATAACACCACCAGCGACACCACCGGCAATGGCTCCCACGTTCGACTTCTTCTCAGAGCCCCCTGTTTCGGCGGGAGCTGCTGTGGCTGAAGGAGTTACAACAAGCGTTCGGGTAATAACGCGGCCGCTCTCAGTGACAACAGTTGGCATTGTCACGGGTTGCTGGGCCGACGTTGGAGCATCATCGGCTTCGGATGATTGGGTTGGCGACGGTTTTTCACTCTGTGTGACGTGTTAGCTATGTGCGATAGGTAGGACTGGAAGCAAATACAGTAGAAGAAGAAGTAGAAGGAGAAGACGGCGTCGCAGTGACTACAGAGGTAACAATCTCTGGATCAGGCCTCACAGTGACGACTGGCGGCGGAGGCGGGACCGACTACCACGAAGTCAAACACCGATCACAGAGAATAGTATGAAGATGAATCAAGAAGCTGGAAGAATTGCAGAAGAACGAAGCATGGAGCGCGCACAAGGTAAGAAAGGGAACACTAACAGTCTTGGGAGGTTCAGCTTGTGTCTCTGAAGGCGCGGCTGCGGAGGATGTGGGTTGTGAGCCTCCGATGGTACCGGATACCTGGCCGTCCATTTCGATGTACATGAACAAGTCTTTGTCCTTGTTACCGCACTTCTCGGTCGGAAAGCCAGGGCAGTCGACCTCGCAGTCGTTCATGCTTGCCGTGTCTCCAGGCGCATAGTTGGAGCACCAGCAATCGGTGTATTGTAAGACGGCAAATGCATATGTGCCCTCCTCTTTGCAGTGGTTTGTGCAGTTGCCATTGGATTGCCATGGCCAGGTATCTGGTGAGGTTAGACGTGGGTCGTTGAAGACATGGATTAACATGTTACTTACAGACTTGATCGTCGCTACCAGTGTTTAGGCTGGAGCAGTATGATTGCGTCCAGTCTGCCGCGCCTGCTGGTTTGATAGATGCAAGCAATGTAAAAAAGGCGAAGAGGCCCAGCAGGGTCGACGCGAACCTGTGCTCCATGTTGTCGGATGTGTGAGGTTGTGGGTGGGGTGGTCGAGTCTGATGGTACAGGCGGGTACTTGGTCAGGAAGTGATGAGCTCGTGTGGGTCTTCGTTTGTTCTCGGTAGTGAATGGGCGCTTTTGGCGATAGGCCTGTCCGCGACAAAGACTTGGAATAGCGATTGAACGCCTCCGTTGTCGTCAACGAGCGATAAAGCGGGCGAGTGAAGTTTGTGAAGACCTCGAGAGCTTCCAAGCGGGGTTGATGGGTGGATGTGGTGTGAGGTGGTACGGGCTAGAGGGAATGGCCGGCTCGGTGCAACTGATTATTGGTCGTGGGGGGGGCGATGTCTTCCTGGTGTCCCCTCAAACTATCGTCAGCATCGCTGCCCGTGGATGAATTGTCTGACGGGTGTCGCCGGTAGCACAGCTGGTTGCGGAGAGGGAAAAGCTGGACGGAAACGGTGCCGCTGTTGAGGATGGGAGCTGGTGGAGCTGCAGGACTTACCAAACGCTAACTGGGCGGTAGGTCTGTGCTGGTGAATGGAACACTACCTGGCTACTGATCTCTCCCGCTTTGGCCGTTAGTTCAAGAGTAGCCTCTCCGCCTCTTCCGCACTGGCACTAGACTTGACTCGAACCGCGGTGTACCCTGCTCAGTGCCAATTCTGGGTTTCTTGAATGGCGCCCTGGATCTTCGGCCGTCGTCGTCGGCCGTCGTGGTGGAAACTGGATGATGGAATCTTGTGATCAAACGTGAAGCTCCTCGGCCTATCTCGTGGTCATGACGTGCTCAACCTCGGACACGTCGCGGATCGTTGCTCCCTTCGATCACGATAGCAGCCTCACTGATGCTTCAGATGGATGCACAAGCCGCTTGTGATTCGCAGAGTCGTCCTGGTCTTGTCGCTGTGCTCCCGCAGCCAGTGTCACTAACGCGGACCTTTTTCCGGAAACGATTTCTCTCGTGATAATCGATAAAGCGACCGTCCTGGGCAACCCACACTACTTGTTCTAACGAATGGCTTCTGGTTCACACACCAAATAAACGAATGTATAAACGTAATTTCGACAACGAGTGTATGAAGAGAAAAGGGAGAAGTCAGAATGGTTGGGTGCACAGCGCGGGACTTGCTGCATGTTTTGTCTTTCTGATGCAGTGCTGATCACCGGGCACGGGGCAGACTAGACACCTCAGTGGCGTCGTATCGCGAGCCTCCCTGTTGCTTATACCCAACTGTAGCGGCAGCATCATCGATACTTGCAGCAAACAGCAAAAGCAGGTGTCCGCGGCTTGCAGCCCTGTCGATTGGACCCTCTACTATAGTCTGGGGTGTAAGAACGGTCATGCTCTTCCTCATACCATCACACCTGCACTCTTTGCACGATAGTTGAAAATGAGGCAAATTCTGCACGACCTTCACAAACCATGTTGAGGCTGGCTATCCTCCCATGAATTGCGCAAGGTGCTTGGGTGCTTGGGTGCATGACAAAAAGCGCCGACACGCTCACGCCGCCATCTAGCAACGGCGTCAAGCCTCATCGCTTCCTCACCACTCAAGCGGCGCGCAAAGAGCACGGCGACGCGCCCATCGATTCATCGAAACGTGTCAGTCAACGGCACACCAACGACCCGGCAACCAGTCTCAACGCACATGTCCTTCATCAACATGAGAAGTCGCTTGCCTCGGAAGCACAGTTATCCTATCTTCACTCATCTCTCTTACTGTCCGTACATTTCAGCCTGAATCCCTCCGAGAATTACCCAACACCACAGTAACCACACAACCACGAGCAACTACCAACTAGCCAAACACCCGCGGCCCTACCCACAAAGCGAACTTGCCGGCCAAGCACCAAGCACCCGCAAGCCACCACGCGACCACGCGTCTTAGCCCGCCCTATGCCCCAAACACGGCAACCTTACGACGCTAATCCCATTTCAATCTCACTAACGGCACCGCGCAGTCCTTTATCTCCTGAAATGGGCTATGACGCATGTAAGGTAAGCCACCACCAAGTCCAGCCCAAAAGGAGCACCCCTGGGTATCGATAGTGCGATCGGCAGGGGAGCAGGGAAGCTGTTGCTGCATTCTCTTATTAAAATTGGAGCTCCGTTCTGGCATGTGCGTCAGATCAAGGGGTAAGATGAAGATGTTCAATCATTCAAACCTGGTGCAGTAACACTTTCGTCATATCATGGTAAGAAAGTTGGTAATAAGTGGGTTACCAACGATGAAGTGATGCGCGAGCGGATAACGTTGATGTGCTGGCATCGGGCGGGGAATGAAAGATTTGCGTTGATGTGTTGACGACGAGATGAGATCCCGCTCAGGGTCGATGATCTGTTGCTTGGATGTTGCCATTGTGTTGGAACACGGTGCTTACTTGCCAGTGAGGTTGATACGAAGATACGCATAATACGTCCGTCCGGTCTTGTTCACGCCCAAGGCCGTAGAAGGAGGCACATAAGCACGCCTTCCAATACACGGTGAGATTGCAGTACTGAGACCCGATTGTTCCGCTCAGCTCTACCTTCCTTTTGTCAAGCTTGCGCCTCGGTTCATTTGCAATAGGGTTCGAGCGTGAACACCGGCACAATAGGGGTGTTTTTGTTATTCCAGATCGCTGGGGCTCGAATACCGGTGTTATGGCGCTCCGAGGTATGGAATGAGCCGCACGGCATACCGCAGCTAGGATGTCTTAACACCAATACCAACGCGGACAAGCATTCCAAGGGCACTATCAAGTCGGCTTGAGGTACATGTTCAGCTTCCTGATCGTGTAGAAAAGCAGTGCAGAATAGCGCCTCGCGACATGCATCCAGGTCAAAATCACATTATCCATGTCACTTGTACCAACCAGCTTTAACAGGTAGCACTACTCTGTTGATTCCATATCTGGCTAAGTACAGTCTTGATAACTTGGACCTACAGCTTCGACTTCTTTCCCCCTGCAACACCCGTAACAGCCTCCCCACTGAGCAGGAAATCTGGATATTCGAATCCGCCCGAGAAACCTGCTGTATGCCATGCACCACCATCAACGACCAGTGTCTCGCCATTAACATAGTTGCCCGCATCGGAGAAGAGATAAACGGTTGCATCAGCAATCTCCTTGACAGTGCCCCAACGACCAAGTGGTATGGTCTTGGAAGCGTTGCTCTTGCCATCGGACTTTGATAGTCGCGACATGCCTTCGGTGCCGGCAATGGGTCCAGGAGCGATGATGTTGGATGTAATGCCTCTGGGGCCTTGCTCAATGGCGACGGACATGGCCATGGCGTCTACACCTGCCTTTGCAACTGAGACGTGGCTCTGGAGGGGTGCGCCTGTGTAGTGGAAAGTTGCGCTCACGAAGATGATGCGTCCGCCTGTTCCGTTGGCTGGCTGTGTCGTGCCATTTGTTTTATGCTTCGCCGCTGATTCCTTGAGATAGGGTAGTGTCGCCTTGACCGTGTTGTAACTACCCAGTACATCGATGTCGATGACGCTCTTCATGGCATTCGGCGAGATCTGATCGATGGTGGCGAGGAAGTTTCCTGCTGCGCCTGCGATGACGAAGTCGATGCTGCCGAGTTCTTTGGCGCAGCGCTCTGCGGCTTGTTGGAGGAGTTCGGGCTTCCTGACGTCGACTGCGCCGATACCGATTACCTTTGCGCCTGAGCGTGCGGTTGCGATGTCTTTGGCCATGTTCTCCGTCTTCTCTACGTTGCGACCGATGATGCAGGCATTTGCTCCTAGGGCGACCATGGCTCGGACTTGGACAGAGCAGATTGAGCCTGCACCGCCGGTGCAGAAGACGACTTTGTTGTCTGGAGGTGTTTGTGTTAGCTCGTCATCCAGATGTAGAGCTGTCTGATGTGAAGCATTGGGAGATTCCCAACTATCCAACCCCACTGCCTATATGCGAGACTTACCGAAGATGCCATCCCTCCAGACGTTGCTCATAAACTGGTACTTTTCCACAGGCATTGCGCGCGGTGTTTTCCAGGCGGGTTCCGTGCTATTGGGTTTGTCGGACTGAAGAGGACTGGCGTGGATGAGTGAGCAAGTGATGACAGCAGCGAGTAATCGTGAAGTGGATGGATGCAAATCGCGTAGAGTATAAATAAGTGAGTATGCTCACGTCGAGTGAAAGCTACGGCCGCAAGATCGGGCAGACGATCGTGAAATACGCGGTGCTTTTGGAAGCCGAGGTACGACTGGGAAGATTACTCTCTCAATGCTTGCGATGCGCACTGGGCGATACATTGCGCGAATCGAATACATCTTGTAAGTTGAAAAGTTGTGTAGAACGTGTGAGTAAAGCAAGGGGCGTCCTAGCAATAAGCAGACTTCGGATCGGATTCCTTTCTGTGTCGCGCAGCCGTGCAGCACCTTGTTAACATGTGCCCTTCTCCGCATTATGGAAGGGGAGCGATGGAGCATGGGCCATGATGGTTTCTCCGAAAGATTAGTGCCTGCTCCGGATGAATCCCGCACCATCTCCGCAATCTTCCAAGCGCTGCATGCACGTCAACGTGCATTGCCAACAGAGAACCCAACAACAAGAAGCCCTCGATAGATAGATAGACCAACCCACTATCTCGTGATCCCTCATTATTATCACGATGACGGCGCAAACAGTCTCAATATGTAAATTCGTCGGAACAATCACCCTGGGAATCGCTACAGTAAGTTCATTTCCGCCACTTCAGGTTTCAAGCTCCCCGCATACAGCTATCACAGCTCCAACTATCCCGAGCCACAAAAAGAAGCGAAAGAGCCTGTAACGATACTAACACCTCACTCAGGGCGTCTCAGCAACCGTCTCCACAATCGCCCTCCCTGCCCTCCTCGCTCTCCCCACCGCCATAAACGCCCGAACATCCCTAGTCTACCTCTCCACCAAATCCACAAATCTCTCCTCCTACCTACGCCATATAACAACCTTTACCCTCTTCTCCGCGTACTGCTTGTCGCCTAGACGGTTCCGCCATCCTTATCTGCTCTACACGTCCATATTCTCCTTTGTCTCGGGTCCCGGTATCGACTATGCGGTTAGCCTGACGGCAGGTGGTGATAAGAAGCGTCAAGTAATGGAATTGGAGGCTCAGGGCGATGAGGTCAATGGCGAGCAGGTTCGGTTGGCGGTCGAGAGGAAGCAGAAGGTTGAGTGGGTTAAGACAAGCTTGGCTGGCGTGGCTTTTGCTATGCAGGTTGTTGGGCTGTGGGGTGATGGCGCATAGATTGACGCCTCATTGTGGTGGTGGGAGTATGATCTAAGGAGCTTTCAGCGCATGATCGTGGTGGCTACCAGGAGCCAGAGTATGGATATATGATATTGGTGTTCTTTTCCGGGTTAGGAGCAGGAGATGGGATTGCTATTGGTGCACTGTATGTTCTTATACTCTCTTTTCACCGTTTTCATGCAGGATGTATACATGACGTTGTTAGCGAGTACTATTATATCCCTCTCAATTCTTCACAGCAACCGAAACCCTTTGATTACATTACCTCATACAAGGGAGAATTTGAACAGGTGAGGAGTTACTGTTCTACTACGCTGCAGTCTACAACAGCATGCAACAGGAAAGCTTGGGCAACTTCATAGTGCTGCAGCCTTTCGGGTTATCTATTCATATACAGGATCCCCATAGTTGAAGCTCGCTTATGAAGGGTAGTCGAATGTTTTCTGAACTCACCTTTGTTGTTGAATTCATCAGGCGCTACTCTTCACCTTCCTTTTCACTGACATAAGCACGTATATGTTGAGACAGTTTTGGTCGGTTGAGGTATTGGTCGTTTCTCGGCTCCGAAACTGTGTCTTGATATAGCTGGTAGAGTCGAGCAATCTTTTAAAGGGATTATTATTGATGTGCCGTAGACACCAGTATAGACAGCCGTCTGAATCCTTCTCTACAAAGGGCCGACTGGCAAGTACCTATGATCACGCTACCACAGTCAATCGCAACAATTGATGAGTCTATAAGAAAAGAGCCTTCTCTCTGACTACTACAAGAAGCCGGGAAAGCTCTGCACGTACGAGTATCCACCTCTCTGATGACTGTAACGAAACTGGACGTCTCTGTGTGTACGAACTAATGCCTCCCTGGCAGATATCACAAGACTGAAATTCCTTCCCGAGTATTGCGATGTACCTGCGCGAGTAAGAGGGGCACGAATTGAATTCTACTTAGGTAGCAAACTGATCAAGCGGTATAGGTCCAAGCAATGCTATGAAGCATATCTTTCATGGGTAGTCTGTAAAACCCTAAGATTCCAAAGTATCCGTTATGAGCCTTATATCATAGCGCGGGGTCTTATCTGGATACCAAAGACTATCTAAGCAAATTGTGCGCACATCATACCACGGGTTCTTCATGAATTCTACGAAAGATCGAAACCTACTGTGAAATTGTACACTCTCGTTGGATCAAATACTTGTAAGCTTTCGATCAAGCGGATACCTCCAGGGTAGGTCCAGGCTTCGAGTGCAACTCATTGTAAAACCACGGTATGCGTCATCAGCAAGCGGCAGTCGAGTCCGAGAGCATGGCGACCGTTTTTGAGAGGGCATTGGCAGGCGAGGGCGTCGTTTTTAGTGACGTTCCGGAAGGTGTCATTGTCACGATAAGTTAGGCTTATGGTGTTATAAGCTGACATGACAGCTTACTCAGAGGATATCTCGATCTGAGTGGTGGACTGTTTGTGAGAGAAGACTGCAGTTTATCACTGGATTGAGAAGCAAAGGGTACACCTGAATTAATTGATTCACTATTGTTGCATGTTCGTGTATTGAAATGTCATGTGCGTCAAGCCAAAACTTGAGGTGCTTGATAAACAAGCGGGAACAGATAAGATATGTGAAGGTAGCAAAGCCAGAGTTGCGATAACTCAGCAGCCAGAATAGGCCGAGCAAGGTGTAGTTGTAAAAAATATCGAGAAAGTGACGGACACGTCGGACAAAATCAAAAGCAAAAATATAATCAACTAGCTGCTCTCGGTTTCGATCCGAGGTCCTCCGGGTTATGAGCCCGGCGCGCTTCCGCTGCGCCAAGCAGCTTTGTTGTTGATTGAATGATGAAAAATAGCAAAATTAGCCTCAATATAACAGGGTTCATTGAAACTGCATCTGATAATGGTGCAAAACAGACCGTGTACTCTCTGCAATCATATAAACTTACACCTCCTGTGGAGTGTGGTGTGAAAATTCTGCTATGACTCACAAAAAACAAGTGGATGTGGATATCTCTCGCAAACCTTACCCCAGCACCACCTTCATACCACCTTAACCCAACCAAAATTCAGAACCCGACAAACTAGACGCCGCGCTAACCCATGTACTACCAAATCTGCACCGAAACGTAATCATACATCATCTCGAAAATGCGCCCTCGGCATCGTCACCCAAGCCTCTGAACGCAATTCGACCATTACTTCGCAGCACTTCACAGATCGTCTCTGCACTCAATTCATAACCGCTCTTCCGCCATCGCGCATTCAGCCAATCTGCAAGCGCATCGGCACTGCAACTGAATCTCCGTGTGTCCCATTCATGCAGTATCAAATCAACAATCGGCTGGTCTGGTAAAGGTTCAGGATTCGGATCTTGCAAAGGTACTGACGAAAGAGGCATTGGTAGTGCGCGTGGTGGAAAGATGTTCTCATAGGCGGTCAGGAAGTGAAGGAGTATATGTTCGGTGTGTGGACGTGAGGCCAAGGTAATGCCGAAAGGTTGGCCGTTGAGCTTGAGGGCGGAGAGTGGGCACGCGGCAGTTGGATAGCCGGCTGCTGCTGCGAGTGTAGAGAGAGGTGCATCGCCGGGAGCAACAATGAGGTCGAGTTGTTTCGTAGCAAAGAGGAAATCGAGACCTTCAGGTCCGCTGGCGGTTTGAAGATGTTGCCGTGCGGCGTTGACCTCTTCGCGCTTGGTGCTAGACTGCAGGGCAGCCATTAGATCGTTCTGATCCGGACATGCTGACTGGCGTTAGTAATGTATAAAAGTGTGGCAGTTTGCATGAACGTACTTGGTGGTAGGCACAGCTCGGGGTGATCCAGGTTGAAGTTAATGATCTCGGCCAAAGAGTGTATCTTCGTGATCCTGAAGTCGCGAATAAATTCTGCAAGACAATCCTTGAATTCAGAGTCTGCATCATATCAGCATGTACGTAGCACAATCAAGGAACTCCAATACTGACACACGACAGGCTCAAAGCAGTTCTTGCCATCGATAGTCAAGCTCGATTGGTTCGGTAACTCCACCGGATACACGACATCGACTCCCATCTCGATCATGCTCTGAACAATCATGTCATATTTTTGTATCTGCACCATGTCAGCACTGCGTATCCCAACATAACACCAATCCTTGCAACATAATGTGCTTTTCTATGCGACTTCCACGCACCCACATAAGCAGAAAGCCCACCAACTTACCATGAACCGCTCGGCGTCAGCATTGATCCGCCCGCTTTTACGCCACGCTTTCCAGATGGTCGGCTCGCATATGCCGATACGGAGCGACCCGAAGTCTGGCTTGATCTTGAACGATCTGTGTGGGCTTCTCGTGTTTTCTTCGCGGTTGGTGGGAACCATCATGGCGTCCATTAGCGCTACAAGGTCTTTCGCAGATTTGGCCTATCACACTTGGTCAGTGCCTCTGGTAAGAACTAACGCATATGCACATGCTTACCATGCCTCCAACGGCGTCGAATGTTTTACTCAGATTGAAGATTCCGTCCATTGGCACCACGCCAGCTGTGGGCTTCAAAGCGTAAAGAGCTGCACGGTTTGCCGGCGTGATCAGAGATCCGATAGTGTCTGTTCCGATGGCAAGAGTGCTGAAACCTGAAGCTACTGCGACTGCGGATCCGGTCGAAGATCCTCCTGGCGCAGAAAGTTCCCAATGTAGCTTTCTTTTCTCAATGTGTCTTGACACGTACGGTGACTGACATTGTCCGCCCACTGCAGACCATCCTGGGGGCATCGAAGGGTTTTTGAGGCCGCAGAATTCGGTTAGGTTAGATTTACCAATGATGATCATGCCTCGTTTGATCAGTCGTTGAACGATGGTTGCGCTTTTCTTTGGTATGCAGCCTACGAAAGCATACGACCCTGAAACGAGGAGTAAGTCACTGTTAAGGATCAAGATTGTTTGCCTACCACATACCCACTGTGGTGTCCATTCCTAGTTTCTCATCGGTCATAATGTTGTCCTTCAGTACTATTGGAATACCGTGTAATGGACCTCTTATCTTGCCTCTTGCTCGTTCTTCGTCGAGCTTCCTCGCTATCTTCAACACTTCATGCTTTGGCGCCACCGAAATCAATGCGCGTAATTGTCTTCCTCTTCTGTTGTGCAATTCAATCTCTTTCAGATACATCCGTACAATCTGTACACTTGTAAGAGCCTGCGCATTCAGAAGTTCCGAAAGCTCGAACGCCGAGACTGTGAGCGGATCAAAATCTGGAAGCCATGTGTCGTCGGCCGAAGAAGTAAACGATGCCTTGCGCGACGCGTTATTGTCGTCTACTGACTCTCGAGGCGATGCAGTTCCGATACTAGGCGAAAGAGCAGTTTTCAAATATCTAAACACTTTCGGCATGATTGTGTTAGATTTGCGACCGTCGAGTCTATCTAATGTGGGGTGCACCCCGTGGGGATGAAAGATGGCCGGGGTGTCTGCCGATTCGGGACGTTGGAGCGGCGTGTGAACTATGAACGACTTTCCCGAAGAAAGTACATCTGGTTTCAAGATTCGAGCGAGGAGATCATCGATGTGGGAGAGTAAGGCAGCCAACGGTGTCTGTAGGGGACGTGGGCCCCGCTGGATTATGAATGCTCGCCATGACTGTCTCCGAGGACCTAGACATCGCCGGTGGCTGCGGGTATGATCCTCCTATCCAGGCTCGACCGAACTGTACATTCGCCTTCGGGCATCCCGGTTGATGGCGTTCATAGGCTGCGTAAAGTAATGGAGTTGGTGGTTTCAGTGAAGCCAATTGAGGAAAAGTGTTTCCAGTAATTCGTGCCTCTCAATGCTCCTATTCGCAGGCTGAGACACGTAAGAACCACCTGATGTGTGATCAGGTTGAAGTTGCACAACACTTTACCCGGGACACAGGGCCGCACGGAGCTGCTGGCGGTTGACGTCTCGCTTACAGTCAGATGGTGTGGCCCACCCTGCTTCCGTCCAACCCGTTACTCTTGGGCTTTGCGGAGTCGGATTTACTCGATGGATTCATCTCAAGGATAAACGTCCTGTCAGTCTTAGGTGGTTGAGCTCTATGCTTACTATGCACAACTCTGCGGATGATTTGGTTTCTCAGTCTGTACTACAGTCGGGTTATTGATCACTGAGAAGGGCTCCCCTTTGTGATGATCGCCATGCTATGATGTCTAGCACGGTTATCAGAGACATTGCTCGATACTGCTGCGCACTAGTGGCACAGCGAGTACTCCGTTCGCAGGCTGAAAGGAGACTTGGCCTTTTAGGTTTGAGCAACTGCGGTGGTCGTTGCTATGGACTAGGCGCGTACTCTTAGGTGGTATCCCAGACCCTTGTCTCGTGCCCCGCTACAGGCAGTATTTCCGGACCGGGCATCGTTATGTCGCATAATGCGGGGGATCGGCTCCCCAGATGTCTAGGACTTGATAAACTACGAACATGGTCGCTGCAGACGCAATACGCGAAGCATCAAGAATCAGTCTGATGAGTCGCTTGCCTCTTGATAAGGCCTCCTAGCTAGGCCAGGCCCAACATCAGCCACGTCCGGAGTAGCTGTCACCGTGTAAGAATGGTACAAAGCGGTTGGTGCCGTGGCACGGTTCTGGAAGAGCATCGAGAGTTCCATGGCGCATGCGCTTGTCAGTCAGGCGGCGCGAGCTCGAAATAGCATTAGCGCGAAGGACTGCCGCTGTTCGTCCAGATGGTCAGGATGCAATATGCAGCCCCACACTTTGCAATATCGTTGCCATGCCGTATTGATTACGCTCCGGGCTGGCAAGAAAAGCCCCTTGATCAACTGATGCTCCCTGGAGACGTGATCACCAGCAGATAGCGTGCAGGTGCCACTTCCGCCAATCTGGATTGGAGCCCTCACTGCCGTGATGGACGTCAGAAGCCGAGGCAGGTCCCGGTAGTGGGAATCAATCAAATGTAATACTGCGACCAAGTAATGATGGATAGGAAACATCTTGATGCGCATCCGGCGGATTGGGAACGTATACGCCTCAAAGATGCAATGCAACGCGCCGATCAATGTCTCGTTTTTTGCACAGGTTGCAGGTGCTTGATGATGATGAATAGACCTCAGTTAGGCCCGTCTCCCCCAAATAACAAAAGAGAAAGAAGGCAACGCGACAAGGTGACAGTGACGCCATCATGTAAGTAGACCAACGATCGTTTACTAGCGCTAATTCGACGCCGGCTCAACGCATCTTTTTACGGGAGGGGCGACCTCTGTCTTCATGTCCGCAGACAAGGATAGCAGATGCCACGCAACATTGAGAAACAATTAGAGGTAGACTCGTATGGACTGTGATACAAATATCGAGTGGTATCCTGCAGACGCTCTTCATACCAAGAATGCGACCAACCATGCCTTGCCCAGTATACTTCAACCTACCACAGACGAAGTTGCTCCTAGAACGTCGTAGTGGCCAGCCTGCTCGCAGCATTCTTTGCGTCAATGCGGTCATCATCTTCTTCGAGGCCCTTCTGGCTACCTGCCTTGCTCGTTGCACGCTTCCTACCACCCACTGGTTCTTCCCCATCCTCATCAACCTCGGGTAACGGGGCGACGATGCTGCCACTCATGCTACGATTGAGGCCGTCACCTGGTCGTCGTGGTACGCCCGACCATGCATCACCCTTGGGCCCTTGCGAACTGGCCATGGAAACACGGCGCTGAGCTGGGTGTGCTTCGCGACCCAGCCGAGAAAGGCCACCACTACCATCAATAGCGCGAATGTCTGGCCGTACGGATTCTAGTGTGGCAAGCGTACGGCGCTCCGCCTCAATCTCTCGTACGACATATTCGCGAATCGCCTGCCTCATATCCTGGGTGGTTCTGTTGAACCATTTGCGTTGCTCCTGAAGCAGATTGGCAGTGACGCGCTGGGCTTTTGTCGTGAGATATTGTTCGTGACTCCTCGCCTCATCTAATGCTGCGATCGCTTCATCGACCTTGTCCCGTTTTACACTAGAGCTGGCCTTCAGCCTGTCGGCTGCAGACAATTTGGACTTTGTCGCGGACTGCGCCTGTAGCAGCTCGCGCAGAAGGATGTGTCGATTTGTGAGGGTTTCTTTCGCAATGAAGGCGTCGCTGCTGTGGTACTGTAGAGGGTCACCAAGAGTTGTAGCTTCAGCAGTACCCTGAGCTGCGTGGTAGTCACCAGTGGCCTGGATGACCTTCCCAAGCTTCTTGTATGCGTGTGAAAGACCGACGTGTGTCTCTTGGACATGCAGCGCCGCGAACTTGGCACCGAGATCCGATTCTGCAACACCGAGATCTAGATCATGTTAGCGCTGCATCCAGACGTTTGCTTGTGTGTGCCTACTTCTCCTATGCTTCACGACCTTTTCCAGCTTCTGCTCAGCCTCCATTGTGCCCAAATAGAAAGCCTTCACAACCGGTCGTGCTGCAGCAAGTTCTGGTGTGTCATCTGGCGGCGGCGCAAACTGCTTGATCATCTTGCGGCGCACACCAGTCGCTGGCTGTTTCCTCCGTACCACAGGGCTATATCCGAAGTCGCTCTCTATGAAGAAGACCATCTCTTCATCACGTATCAGGATATCATTGCTGCAAACAATGTTCAACCACCGTTGTAGCGACGTCTTCAAGCGTGCCTCATCTTCATCGGTGCCTGCGCCGGCCGAGGTAGTCGCTGGTGGTACTGCAGGCACAATAGCTTCGGGGCATGCTGAGATAAGGTGCTCGCCTAGCTTCACGAACTCAGAGTGTAGACGTCGGACATCGCGGAATTGGGTGGTTCGAAACTTGGGGAGGTTGGTCTAGCGACAAGTCAGTACGACATGTGATTGTAGGGCCAGGTGCGAGTTATATGTGCAGAATTGGAAGTAGCTATGCAATTCGGCTAGATCGCCAGAAGAGCACATGTCTACCTTGATCCATTCCTCAATGTCCAATATGTCGCAGCCCTAGCCCGGGTATATCGACGTGATTTAGACCTACGTAAACATCGAAGCGCAGTATGGGGTCCTTCTTGCTATTCCTTTCGAGTCCCGTGACCTTGGCCTGAAGCTTGTAGTGTTGCTGTTGTCGCTGCGGCCTATTCCCATGGTACCTCTGCGGCTGTTGCTGACCTTGCTGCGCATGCGGTGACCTCGGCGCATCTTGACCCGGCACCTGCTGTTGCTGCAGATGGTCGCCATTTTCTGGCGCTGTGCCTGGTCGACTTTGCGCATCTTGGTCGCCCATGTAGCCGTACTGTTCACCACCTTCATGGTACGGGGAAGCCTGCGGAGGCAGCGGGGATGAGGGGATATCGTTGGCTGACGGTTGGCCGAAGGAGCTCCGGTTGGCCTGAGGCGAGGAAGCCCATGGGTCACGGCCACCAGGGTGGTCCGGATCGTGGGCGCTGTAATCCATCGTGTGGGGTTGTTAATTGAAGCTCTCGACAGCTGCAACTAGCTGTCGAGAGATGCGATGATGTCGCTCGAGTGCCTTGACCAACTCTGGAATTAACCGAGCTAGGCAAGGCGCGAACGTTGACAACCTTTACATCACGTGCATTCGTCAAACACAATCAATCAGCGCATCAGCATCGCATCGAGCAGTCTCGGGCATGAGGGTCGGATGGGTTACGTCTACCCGTCGAGTCTTGCGAGGCCATGTGAAGACTCCACGGCGGTTGCTGTCGACGCAACCTCAACATGATTTACTTTCAAAGGCGACCCGCAACATTGGCATCATTGCCCATATCGATGCAGGAAAAACGACTACGACTGAGCGAATGCTCTACTATAGCGGGGTGACAAGACGAATAGGGAACGTCGACGAAGGCTCAACAGTGACCGACTTCCTCCCCGCTGAACGAGCACGCGGTATCACCATCCAATCCGCAGCAATAACATTCCACTGGCCTCCACTGCCACCAAGTACTCAGACCCCACCACCTCCACCACAGCTGCCAGCCTCGTTCGATAATGTGCTGCGATCTTCGAGTTCTCACAATATCAACCTGATTGACACACCCGGCCACGCAGACTTCACTTTCGAAGTGCTGCGTTCGCTCCGTGTCTTGGATGGTGCTGTATGCATCCTTGATGGAGTTGCCGGTGTCGAAGCACAGACGGAAAAGGTATGGACGCAAGCTGGACATTACCAAATTCCAAGAATCATCTTTGTCAACAAGTTGGACCGCGTAGGCGCCGCCTTCTCGCGCACCGTCAAAGAGATCGGTGTTAGACTGCATGGATGGCCAGCTGTCTGTCAAATACCGTGGTGGAATAATGGCAATGGCGATTTTGTTGGAGTTGGCGATGTTGTCAACTTACGTGGTATGCTCTGGCAAGCCGGTGGCGATGGCAGAGACATTCAAGCTTTTGGACTAGAAGAGTTGAGTAAAACCGACGAAAGGTTTGCAGAAGAGATCAAGAAGGCGAGGATAGCGCTTGTCGAGATCCTGAGCGAGCACGACGATGTCATGGTTGAGCATTTCCTGGAACATGATGAAGACCATTTGGCTATATCTGGACTCCAAATTATGCAGTCATTACGCCGAGTTGTACTGCAGGCACCACAGAAGGTCATACCGGTCTTCGCTGGTGCTTCTTTCCGCAACATTGGTGTCCAACCGCTGCTTGATTCTGTGGTTGATCTCCTCCCGTCACCACTCGAACGCCCAGATCCTGAGATCAGTATCTCCAATCAAAGCAGCACTCTCGCTTCCCTTCTCAGCGCGGCAGCAGCAACACCAACGAAGACGACTAAGACATCAAAGAAACAGCAACAGAGTGATGGTGAATTAGCCATTGCCGAAGTCAAGAATCTCAACGCTTGTGCTCTTGCCTTCAAAGTGGTCAACGACGCCAAACGCGGTGTCCTGGTTTACGTCCGCGTCTACTCTGGCTCCATCGACCGTGGCGCTACTCTCTACAATACCAATCTCTCCCTCGCTGAACGCGCACCTCGTCTCCTCAAAATGTACGCGAACGACGCCGTCGAAGTAGACAGCATCGGCGCTGGACAAATCGGTGTGATCACTGGGTTGAAGCACGCTAGAACAGGAGACACTTTGATCGTATACCGCGGCCTTCAGATGAAGGGAACGCCACCTGGCGGCCTCAACACTCTGCAGCTTCGACCCATTGCCGTGCCTCCACCAGTCTTCTTCACGAGTATTGAACCAAACAGTCTCAGTGAACAAAAACACGTCCAAGAAAGTCTCGCTATTCTGCTACGAGAAGACCCAAGTCTCCATCTTTCCATTGACGAAGAATCCGGCCAAACGCATCTAGCAGGCATGGGCGATCTCCATCTCGAAATCGCTCGAGATAGACTCCTCAATGACTTCAAAGCCAAGGCACGAATCGGGAAGATCGAAATCGGATACAGGGAGACGATAACGACGATGACAGCTACAGAGCCATTCACATACACGCTCGAAAAACTCGTCGCAGGAAAACAAACGAAGGCCAGCATCACCGCTTCTGTGGAATCAGCTGAAGACGGTGATCTCATCCCTCTCAGCCCACCTCAACAACAAGAAAAAGAGAAGAAAACACAAGAAAACCCTTTCGAAACAACCTACAACCTCCCCGACAACAACACCCTTCACATCCACCACCCCAATCTCTCCACCACTGACTCCGCAAGCCACAAAACCCACATCCCACCCCACCTCTCCCTACCAGGTGTCCTGCACTCCCTGCAAGCCGGTACAAGTGCAGCCCTTGCCCGTGGCCCCTTCAACGGCTTCCCCGTGGCCAATACCCGCGTAACCCTCACACTCGACGCAAAATCGCACCTCTTTCCCGAAACAACACCAACCGCCATTTCCATGGCCGTCCGCGCCGCCGTATCAACCAGTCTGAGAAAGGCGTGTGACGCCGCACCGGCAACGCTCATGGAACCCGTTATGAACGTGACGATTTTTGTTAATGAGAATAGTATGGGCGCTGTGGTGCAGGATATTTCTTCGTCACGCGGGGGGCAAATATTGTCGCTTGATGGGTCTAATGAGTCCACTGCTTCTACGACGAATACTGGTGACGACGAGACAATGCCTCGTATTGACCCGGCACTTGTGTACACGCCACCGGATCCTTTTGCGTCGGGAACGGGGGAGATGGGGAATGGGTTGGGTGATAGTCAGAGGCAGATTGTGGCAAGGGTTCCGTTGAAGGAGATGGTTGGATATTTGAACCACTTGAGAGCTTTGACGGGTGGGAGAGGCACGTTTGTTATGAGTGTGGATGGGTTTGAGAAGATGGGAACGCAGCGGCAGAAGGAGGTGCTTGATGCTTTGCGCGAGTTTTAGAGAGATATGCAGTGTATGATTAGATGATGTAACATATGTTTTGTACGTTTGCTCTAGATCCATCAATCCCAATGCCATGTGCGCAAGATATATACTTTAGGTCTATTAACGTCACTGCCGACACTTTGCCTTCAGAATATAATGTTCTACGTGCTTCATGCTGTAAGCGCACTGCTTAACCCCAAGATACCCATACCCGCAAATGCAGAAACAAAACACAGCCGCCGGGAGTTCGTCAGATCCAGACTCTCTCCCAAAAGCTGCAGTGATACCATAGCCATGATACCTGCTGTAACAGCAAACATGCATCCGTAAATAGTGTCCATTTCTTCGTCCGCACCGTGTTGCCGTCCTCTACCTTGAATCTTGAACCATAGTGCTGCTACACCTGCGCCTAGGGGCTGACTGACACCTCCCAGAACCGCCGAGATCAGCATAGCTTTCCAGCGTGAGCCGATGGCAAGATAAAGAGGCAAAGCGAGGGCAAACCCTTCAGTAATGTTGTGGATGAATAGTGCGAGGAAGATGGAGAAGCCCAAAGTTGGGTTGGCGTGATTTGTAGCGTACGTGATGAAGCCTTCGGGAATCTTGTGCAGGGCAATCGCTGTACTTGTCTGCAGACCAAGTGAGAGAAAGGCGTTCGTTGGGACGTGGTGATGATGCTGTTGTGCGTCGTGATCATGTTCGTTATGATCGTCATGATGATGATCAGTAGTGTGTGATGAAGTAGTCGAAGATGAGCGGCTGTGTTTCTGGAGGGGCTGGATCTCATGTGCTAGACTGGACGTAGTACGACCGTTGGCAGACGGTAAACTTGCAACAGAGCTTTCCATTGTCGCTGGTCCGGACCGTGCAGGCACCAGGGGTGTTGTTTCGTCCACATCTTCCAGGATTGCTCGACGCTCATGCGGTCCTTGTGACGTTTGGCTTCTGTTCATACCTGATGGTCGCGCAGTTGTCAAGCTGCTTAACGACCTCCTTGACTGCAAGCGTGCAGGCCGGATTTCACACAAATCACCGTAACATTGCCCATTGTCAGTGTCGTCGCATGCTTTCTCAGCCCCGATAACTAGTTGGGATACTTTAGATGACAGTGACTTGTGGAGAGATGGTCTCTTAGACAGCGCAGCTTTCGAAGTCTGGTTGTTAGTTCCGTATGAGGAGTGCTCGTCATGTCTATGGGTCTGTGGAAGACTGGGCTGTTGTTCCTGCATAGGATGGTGAGAATGCGCGTGGTCCTCATGAGCTTTCCCTTGCTCTTCATCACCATGCTTATCGTCGCAGTCCACGACAGAGTGTGGAATATACTGGTGCAGTATTCCAGAAAGAACTGAGATGCCGAGAGCGCCAATAAGGAAGCAGCCGACCAATGTCAATATCGCGTTTCTTGGAGACATGCCTCCCTTCTTCAAATAGTTTTTTGCCGAGGGAAGCATGCTGTATAGCGATGAGAATATCTTGAGGTAGTGTCAGTAGGTATTGCAGAGCGACTAACAGTGGTGATACGCACCATGACACCAAAGGAAAGACTCAACCCTGTCGACAAGAACGCATTACTTTCTTCAATCTTGAAGTTCTTCTTGCCCGGAAAATAGCGAACAATGAGATCAACGCATATTATCGAAGCTAGTCATCTTTAGTTTCTGAACTTGGTGAAGTTCTCCGAACCCCGGTAGAATTCGGTTGCTCGCGGGTATAGTCTTACCTCCAAATGTGCATGCTGTTTACACGTTAGTCCATCCGCTTCGTGGGAATTTCATGCAGCTGCCCGCGCAAACCTACCTATGCCGCTGACCGCGGTCATGATCCACCCACGCATATCATTGTCGAGAACCATGTCTGCCTGCAGGTACAATTCTTTGATGACGTCGTTATGCCAAGCTTCTCGTCTTCGCGAGCAGGGGAAAGTCGCGGGAATGCAAAGGCGATCAGGTCGTTCTAAAGAGCGGGCGGCAAGCGATAAGAAATGATGAAGTTTGTATAGGCAAGAGGGACCTGGTCAGATGAGGCGTCTTCTTCGCACCGTGTTGTCCCCCTAGTGCGCATCTTGCAGTCAAGGAAATATCTAGGTTTAGCGGCTTGGCAATAGGGCTGACTGATATGCACGTGCCGTCATTGGCTGAAACTCAAGTGGCAGGTCTTGCGGCTGGCTTCAGGCTGGATGACAGCTAAAAGATCATACATCGGGAAAGTCGCCGTACTTCAAAATGCTTTGCGAGATCCCTAAAAAGCGTTTCACACTGACCAGAGAACAATCCTGGGTTTCGAAAAAGAAGCACATGAGCGGTGACACTAGTGGCCAAACATGAAGGCGGTGAAAGAGAGGAGCGACGATTGGAGTATGGCCTCTGTCATTGTATGATTGACGAATCTTAAGGCTATTCTGGCTCGTATATGAAGCTGTGAGTAGATGAAAGAAGAGAACACTCGCCTTGATCTTGTCGATGAAAACGCATTAAACTAGTAATCCCAAAATAACTCCCCAAACGTCCCTAATGGACCTGCGCTCTGCGGTCAAGGACGTTGCTCCTTGGTCGAACCTTGTTGATAGCCGTAATGTAGAATTCTAGAAAAGCTCAAAGAGCTGTGAACGCCGTTTGTCCCAACCGCCCCGCTATGCATGACAAAGAAAAGGGTTGAGGTATTGAAATACCTGTGAAAGAAAGTCGTCGTTGATGGTCGTATCTCGAGCAATCAATACTTGGGAGGCCTCGGGACAAAGATCTTGCTCCACGCACCAGAGCCGTGTTCGGGCTTCTCATTAATGACAAGGAGATTAGGCGATGAGCAGTAACCACCAGGCTCTGCTCTCCTCGTTTGCTCCTCGTAGTGGCCTTCAAGATCGGCTTCTGTCGCGTTTTGTGCAAAAGCCGCGGCTGGCTGGTCGTAGATCCAGAGCTTGTCTGTCACGAGCTCCCCTGGCTCTTCAGCGAAGCGCGCTTTTTTCTCAGGGAAACCAACAAAGTAGTTGAGGATGTCGTGGATTGGGGCGTAGAGGCGTTCTGGGCGACGAATGAAGGAGAGCCAGCTCAGGGTCTTCTCGTCGTATGCTACCCGAACGAACGGGTTCATGTAAATCCTAGATTCCGCAGGCCGGCCTTTACCAGACATTCGGTACTGCAGATCCGCGTTGATCAGACAGCACTCGGAGGCCTCCCAGAAGGTCTCGTTGTCGTGTCTAAACCGAAGCGGGGAGACGCTGTGATTAGGCGTCCCATTCTGTGGGTTTGCGGGTTCTGGCTGTACACCGGCCCCGTCTTGGAACCACTTGGCCTCAAAAGCCACCATTCCGCCCCAGCAGCTCCGTACCCGCACCGCATCTTTCCCAGCGAGCACATCACTCCTGCTGGTCCCTGTTCCTGCGCTGGTGAACCACGGGAAGAAGGGCAAGCCAGTTATCATGCCGTCGAAATCGCGCGTGGCAAAACGGTCGTAGAACTTGAAGGGCATGATGTGGTCGACAGCACATGCGGCTGCATAGTCAGCCCGTCCGGTCGAGTCGATGTTGGTTGCAAAGAGGAGCTGGGCAGCTTCGACGGGATCGAAATTGACGTCGTTCAGGTACAGGACCTTGTCGAACTTGACTCCATGCTTGTCGATTGGGGCAAGGGCTCGGTTGCGCACCTCAGCAAGGAAGGCGATGCGTTTGAGGCGTTTCTCCCCGTTGGGTAGCGTAATGTGGGGGAGGGTAGCGAGGTCAAGATCTTCGGATACGATGGTGGAGTTGCCTGGTTGGGTTGTCAGCCTTGTTCTTTTACCACCGACACGGGGCAAAGCGCCTTACACTTGACCTGTTCGCGAAACGAGATTAACGACTGCTTCGTCACTGGATCAGGGTTGTCTTCGTATATGCTTAGGTGCACATTCTCCTGTCCTAGTAACTCAACTAGCTCCAGGACCTCTCTCCCCCACGCGCCAGAGGTCAAATCGCCCTTGGTCTCGGCGAGCGAGGCGGCTATGAAGACCTTTTCGTTGTAGGGGTTTGCGCGCCCGGTGTTGGTCGCTCGCTGTCGCAGCTCCTTGTAGTGTGGAGGCCTGACCGTGTAACTCGGAAAGAAGATACCGGCGACCAGCACTAGGACTATGAGAATGTAAGGTACGGAGAATAGACTCCAGTATATCAGCCGCAGTATGGACCGTTTGCGGCGGCGTGGTGTGACATAGTGGGCGTATACAGCGCGATCAGAGAGCTTGTTGACAGCATTGAAGCGGCTACCCAGGCGGTTCAGCCACGAACGGCGCGACGAACTTGAGGCGCCTGGCTCCTGGCCGACATCTTCTTCGTCTTGGCCATCGAGAGATTGGCGCGGAACCAGCTCATACTCGTGTATGGGCCGGCGGTTTGGTTTGAGCATCGGAAGGATTCCTTGGTGAGTGAAAGGGGCCTAGTTACTCGGGTCCGCCATCAAGCGAGAGCGAGTACAGGCGTGCAGTGGAGGCGTGGATCAATGTTATATAAAATCGCAGTAAAGGAGTGTGATGTAGGACTTTGAAAAGTCACAAGGCGGGAAGGCGGGAAGATGGTGGGTGGACAGTGCAATCTTGTCCAACAGGTGCCATGTTCCGATCTTGGGGACGCACAACGCGCAACTCACGGCCTGGTTGGGGTTTCCCTCCCACCAGGGTCCAGCGCCCTAACAGAGTGGAGAAGCGCGAACGTGCATCAGTCGCCGCCGAGGAACCTAGTCGTGGATAACCTTTCATAGCCCCGGTAACAGCTCTAATCACGAATGACAGGTCGCGACAACAGAATAGCCGTTTCGAATGCGTCGTTGTGGCTATGGCTAGCTGCTCTGACATGATGCTAGACCTCAGCGCTCCGAACTGCGCATTCGCACCACGCCCCCTAAACAGAGCATCGCGCGACTCCTCCCGCTTCCTAGCTGACGTGACCTCGGAACCGAGACGCATCTTTTACCATTCACACTTCGGATTCGCAGCATGAACCCATCACAGCTGAAGCTTCATCGGTCGTCGTAGTCGGACATTACCCGCCATCAGAATCTGCACACGGGGTGCTTGGCCTGTGTCTCGGCCTCCTAGGCTTCGGTCATTTGGTTGACAATCGATTCAATAAGCGACAACCCATCTACCGAGATCGCGCGGAGCTTTCCGTTGCAAAAGACGCGTACTTGACGTATCCATATACGAATGCGTATGTACAGTTGCACTGCCCTACACCACTCCACATGCCTCAAACAAGCGCTCATGCTGTAGCTTATGCCGTTACGGCCATGTATTATGCCTAACAATAGGTGCTACCGTAATCTCGTGGGGCTTACACAGTATACTTGTCACATCCCATCACAGCCTCGTTAAACCACGTACTTGATTACAAGACATCCAACTATTGGTCCTTCCATGCCGTCTTGCAGAAGAACAGTGCCGCACATCACGCACGCCACTCTCGCAAGACTATCCTCAATTCCCCAGTTGCATCTACCACTACTCGCCCTTGTCCAGAATTGATACGGACGATCTAGGCGACCTGAGTGGATTTCGGATTTATGAAATAGGAGATAGTGGCGCTGAGCTAGTTATCGGGTGAACAGCACTGCCGGAAGCCGACGGTACCTTCGGTATGCTTGTGTACCCCTCCGACGTTGGAGTAGATGGTTCCTCGACTACCGGAATAGGCATTAGAGAGTAGCGTGGAACGTTTTGTGTTGTTGACAAACGTTCCTTGCCTGGATTCTGCTCGGGCTGTCGATCGTACCGTCCGCCGAGCTCCGGCTGTTCATCCCGTACACTAGTCACGACCCGTTCCCTCTCGTTCCCCTGGTGTGTATCTTCGTTTAGCTTCGTCCTGACCTCTTTCGCTTCGTGCTGCTCTACTTCTCGACGCTGGTCCTTCCTTGGTCCGCTGTCGCTCGGGCTCGTCGTCCGCTGTCTCCACCGCTCGTACGAGCGAAACCTCGCAGCGTTAGACCCTACAACCTATGTCAGCATACCATCCATGAACGGTAGCAGTCTTCAGTCTACAAACGAGCAGCAAAATGAGGGTGAGTATTACTCGGTGCTGAACGCCTTCTATTCGTGTGCAAACCCCATGGCTTCGCTGTATACTCGCTCATAGGCGTGAAAGGTGCGTACCTGGCTTGAGCATCTGGCCCATCGACCCCCATCGTATTGTGATTCCATTGCAGAGGATACGATCTAGGTCCGTTCCAAGCTCTCGTCGCCGTATGCGGATATTGCGAGAACTCGAAGGGCACCGTACCCGCGAAACCAGGCGTCGCTCGCGGAATAGATTCACGTGGAACTTCTAATGTGGTGCCGGATGTATCACTGGAGCTTGATGAGGACGATGACGATGATCGAGGGGCTGCCTTCTTTAGCGCCTCTAATACGATGGGCGGATACTCATCGCAGATGTGGATGAAATCAACCTTCTCAGCTCGATGTACACGTTTAGCGGGGGATCTTGGCTTCACTGGAGGAGTTCGGCGCGGATTGGCTTTTGGCGTATCCGAACTAATCGTCTCTATGTAGGGCTGTCGATAGTGAGATTGCTCTCGGGGTTGATATTGAGTTGGATACTGAGGTGAGCATTGAAGAGGTTCAGGCATTCTTGCTGCCATTTGCGGGAACGGCTGTTGCGGTACTGCTGTAGGCATAGCGAAAGGTGGAGTCTGAGCCGCTCCTTGAGCCTGCCATGGCATTGGTATCTGTTGCTGCATCGGCGGATAGTGTGCGCGTTCAGCTTGATTTACGCCAGGCCACTGTTCCTGCCAACCAAGCGAAGGATGATATGACTGTCCGTACGCTTGCTGCTGCTGCGGCTGCATGAGAGTATCCAACTGTATCGCCGGCCTCGCCCTTTCCACGTCTCTCGGTCTTGACCAGTCTGCATTCGCGTCACGAGCGCCGTGGCTCTCTCCATGTCGATCCTCGTAATACTTCCTGGTCTGCGATCGCTCAGATCTTCCCCGTTCTCTCTTCGTGTACCGCGACCGATGCTTCGATGGCTCTCGCTGTTCCGCCTTCTCCACGTACATACATTGTGATCTCGTAAGTCCAGGTTTCCTATATTTTGACAGTCGGTGCTTGGTTCTCTTGCTAGCTGCAAATAAATAAAAAGACTCCCAAGAACTCAATATTCACTGTGGTACATGCTCGAGGAACAAACTTGTGCACCGTTTTATAGACGCTCGTGCTCGCATTGGTTGTTACACGAAGACGCGACGACCGCGGATCATTGGTCAGCTTTCATGGTTGTTGTATCTCGTGTCACTGTTCTGTCTATCTTCGTTATTAGCAACTTCCCATCTTCCTTCGTACTACCATTGACATACCTCCACTCTGCATCTATCCACTCTTAGTTCCACTTGTCGTTGCCTCCCCCGTCGTTGTCGTTGTTATTTACTACGTCCCATCCTCCTCCAGTATCACCTCCAGCGACATTACTCTTTGCCCCTCCACCATCAGTCTCAGTACTCTTCGCCGCTTTACTGCCCTCTCCACCTCCACTCTGACTCTTCGTGCCTCCGCTCTTGCTCTTCCCTCCGCCACTCTTACTTCCACTTCCACTCTCCCTACTTCCTCCACCTCCAGCCCGCACACCAGTGTCGCTCACATAATTCATCTCCTGGAATTCCAGATCAATCGCCCTTCGGCAGCTCCTCATGAGACAATAGCCGAAGAAACAGCAAAAGAAGGTGATGAGAACGAGGGTAAGTACTATGGCGTGGACATACTTCATCGTCGGTGAGATCTCTGGGCGCGATTGTGTGACTACAAAGGAACTCGACGGTGTGATGGGGAGTTGGGGTGTTGAAGTGATCGGGCGGGGTCTTCTGGATTGGAAAGGGCGCTCTTCGCAGAGATGGGTAAGCTTTGGACTGTGATACCAGTACCGTATATATGTGTATCGCGGCGTTAGAATCGCGTCGAGTATCGTGGCTTTGACATGGGCAGCGAGTACTGTGGCAGTCGGTAAAGAGTTAGTGGGATCTGTCTTCCCTTTTCACCTTCACTTTCACCCTCACTTCCACTTCCACTTCACTGTGGATGAACGAGTGTTTGTACACCTTATTCGAAGAGCACTAACGCATACCAGAGTTCTGTAAGGTCCGCAGCGCTAGGAGTATCACACGATGTCACTTGGATGTTCATGTGAATGCGAGTAGTAGAAACTGAGATTGCAATAGCCTACTGAAAAGACCTTGACGATTGATGGTGTTGCTCTAGACAATATAGAGGATGTTTGAATAGTGGTATTGATAGTATATGGATATCATGCATGTTATTACAAAATCATATGTTCTCACACATCCGCTGTTCATAACACAGCACCAGTCTCCGTCTTAACGGGCGCAGGACTTTGCGACGCACCTACAGATGGTGCCGCAACAGTAATAGTGTCTCCTTGCGTTTGCCCCGCCGACTTTGGCCCTTCTACACGCTGCACTTGTTCGTGGACTGGCATCTGCGCCTTTGTCGCTGGTGTAGGCGTAGGCGGAGGTGGCGCCATGACCTTCTTTGACGGACTTGACATTTCCCAAAACCGTCTCGGCACGTTCTTCGCTGGTGGCATACCCAGAAAACCCTTTCCTCCCATACTCTCTAGTGGTTTTGCTCTGCCTCCTACGTAACATCCCAGATCGCCGCTCCACACAAAACCGCCCCCTACTACACCTCTCAATACACCAAAAGCACGCGCATCACGATACGCGATACCGGTCTCGGGGTCGCGGTATCTGGCAATAGTGTTGGTAATAGGACACAGCTTCTGGCCTGGTTTGAGCACAATCTCTGGCTCAGTTTTGGGTGCGGCGTTTTTTCGTGGTGGCTTTGGTGGCGCAATGAGGGTCTTTTGTATATAGTCTGTAGCTTCGGCAGGGGTCCAGTTGAACAGCGCAGCGTAGAGTTGTACCAAAGCCGACTTATCCTTCTCCTTGAGGAGTGAGGCTGCTGTTCTGGCTCGCGATGATGATGCTGGTGGGGCGTCGAGGTTGGGGAAGTTGGATAGGATTAGGAGGTTGCGGAGAGCTCGACGTATGACTTTGCGCCGTGGTGGTTGAGGAGGTAAGGCGGGTTTTTGAAATTGTGCAAGGAGGGCTTGGGGCCCTACTGCTGAGTCGCCGTTCTGGTGAGATAGGGAATGGTCGCTGAGAGAGGGATGCAATTGTTGGGAGAGGGTTGTTTGTGAAGTCGCGTATTGACTTTGGAAGGGAGAAGCTTCCGTATAAGGGAATGGAGGGAGTTGGTCACCATGCATGGACTGGGATTGCGAATTCTGGGCATATTGGTCGATACCAAAGAGGAACGAATCTTGGCTCGGTGGTGCGAACATTACGGTGCTCGGGTGTTGCATGCCAAACGAGCCCATGAAGACGTCGCCACCTTGAGATGCTGCTGCTGACCATGGTTGTTGCGAATTGTCTTGTTGTGGTGGCATAGTTGCTGGTATTGAGGGCATTTGCGATGAGCTGCTAGACTGATCCAGTGAAGGAAACGAAGGTTGAGCATCATCCGCATGGCATTCAGGAGCTTGTACCGGAAGGTGTGTAGGCTCTGGCTGTGTGGCTGGCGCCTCCGCAGCTGTGACCTCTTTGTTGAGCTTTTCTTCGAGATGCTCCAGACTTGGCGCATCCTTTCCTGTATACTTGAGCTTATCATCGACCCAGATGCCCGGCCCACTGTAGTATCGGTAGAAGGGCCCATCGATTTGCCGGTTCTTCAGGGCGTCAATCTTGGCCTGCCTCTCTGCTGCCCTAGCCTCCTCTGCCTCTTCCCATCTGTGCAGTGTCTTCTTGTTGATGCGCTCATTTCGGGCAGCCTCAGCAAGCCTCTCAGCCTGCGTCAATGGCTTTTCCTTGGACTTCAACTTCCGCGCCTCTGCAGCCTTCATCATAGCTAGGGTATCATCGCGTCTCCGATCCTTCTCCTTCAGCTTGGCTAGTGTGGCGTCCTTGTTGGCTACCGTCTGTTTTCGCATGGACATTCGTACCGGGCCATCCTCTTCGGTAGGCAGCCATGATGCCCTCTCGGACTTCTTCTTGGGGCGGGGAGGAGCGAGCGTGGGCGACTGTGTGCGCGGGACGTCGAGCTTGACTTTCTTGCGTGCTACGGCGGCGACTCGAGCAGTGAAGGGATTCGTGGTGGCTTTGCGCTTCTTGTTCCGCTCTTGTCGCTCTGCCTTGCGTAGCTCCTTCTCGCCTGCATCGTCGTCGTCATCAGCAGCATCGTCATCTTCTTCTGATGATGACGAATCCATGTTATAGTCCTCCTGCTCATTGATAACATCGCCCTGAAACTCCTCCTCGTTTGGAGCTTCCTCCCACTCCTCACCCCATTCCTCCTCCTCTTCAGCAGCATTGGCGAGCAGGTTGGCCATGCGGTTGCCCGCATTGGATCGCCTAGCCCTGGTCTTGACCATGAGCTCTGCGGGCGCTTCCTCGTCGCTCTCATCTTCAGATGCCTCGGACTCGCCATCGTGATGCGCGGGCGGGGCATCTTCCATGACTATCTGAGTTGGCTCCTCGGACATGGTGGGTGGTGAGAGATTGGCGGGCAGGCGCAGTGGCAGGCGGGGAAGGTGCAGACGAGGCGGATGGAGCCTGAGGCAAAGCGAGTCGGACGGCAGCGATCAAGGGTTGGGTGAGGATTTCCAGAAGACTTCCATGAGACACGGATTATGCGCTCCAACTGTGGGGTGAAGGATTATCCAGCATGGACTGCAGGGCGGCGGGCTCGTGTGGTATTGCGATATTATGCGGGACCGGTGGTTCGTTTCAAGCGGCGTGATGGCGCTGTGTCTTGAATTGCATGGACTTGTCGGCGTTGAATCGAGAGCACGCGCCTGCGAATGACGCGACGGGCGATTGAGACGTCGCCAAGTCAGCGGGAAGGGCTTGGCGGGATCCATGGGCCCTGAAACATAGCGTGCTTATGATTGATAAACGTCGTTCCAAGGTACCGCACCATGGCCTGTCAACGCCTCACTAAAGCCTTTTTGGGTCTGCGTGGCCTGTCAGCCCGTCTACTTGTAGGACATGCAGGACAAAGGCATACCCGCTGTGGTCTGCCCTAGATGTTTTCCAGAAGAGGGCATGTTTCGATTGCGTGGACGATGCATTGGCCATAGTAGCTAGGCAGTCTATTTCGTACATTGCAGCCCATAGTGTAGTTGCAGCTGCTGGAGACAGGTAGAGAGTGCTGCGTGCTCGTTGAAGAACAAACTTTGACAGGCCGTCTATGGCCATGCAGGACCACAACTGCACGTTAATCCATGTTTCGCTGCAGCAGGCCAATCACACGTCCAGACAGGCCAAAGGCACACAGTGTCCACGTCAGATTCTGGAGTAACAGACTTTCTCGACGCGCCTCTGTGTTTCAGACGGTAGCGGACATGCGCTGCTCTGATCCCGCGGCCACCGACTAAGGACACAATTGCAGGAGAAAGCCACGATAGCGGTGCCCCTGAATTTGTACAAAAGCAATGCGTCGCTGCCGTGCAATGGGAACCCTCACTCGACGTTGAACAGCCCTCCTGCAACCGTAGCCGACCGCGTAGATCGTGCCCGTAACCTGTAACGTGCTTGTTCTGGCAGCCCACCCCAATTGAGCTAGTTTCCCTCGTGTTCCTGGTGGCTCCCCATTTCTATCAAGCGAACCTCACCACTCCCTCCGTTGCGCATCTTCCCATCGCTTCATCCTTCTCTCGCCCCTCCTCTCCTGCGACAACTAGCTGTATCGGCCTCTGTACGAGCTCCGAATGCTCCATCGGCCACCGTCCGCTTAATCCTATTACTTCTGTTCTCCAGGCACTCCGGTGATCTGTCTATTCCGCCCGCCTGCTGCTGTACAGTTCCATAATCGACCACCGCCAATCCTCCGTCACTCCTTATCGGCGCCCATCCCGCCGTCTGCAGCTCCGCCATCGCATCCGGACTGGATCCAACCGGTGTCGTCGTCTCCACCCTACACACAGGCTGCGCTGAGCTGAGCCCGGTCTTGCTGGCAATAATCCTCTCCGCCTCACATTCCTTTGGCCGGCACCAACCCTCCTTCGCACCATTACCCTGGCTTTGGTAACCGAGTCACTACGACTATTCTTCCCTATTAGACTACCCAAGTCACCCCAGGGTCTGTAATCCATAATGGCTCCCACCAACCGCCCCGAACACCACATCAATCTCAACTACATCCCCCAGCTGCCCCAGCCGCCCCACTCGGGCTCCTCCACCGGCAATACCTCGCCTGTCGAGCCTCCCAACAGCGGCTCTCTCCGCTCCTTTGGCAATGCCTCGAACCCACTGGGTGCCGCCGCCGCGGGTGCCAGGCTTGGCAATGGATCCCCGTCGCATGACTATGGCAGTCGACTCTTTTCCAAACGGTATGTCGCACCCTGAAACAAGCATCGACTCGAGCTAACACCCTGACAGTGCACGCGAGATTCAGGCACAGGAGGGCTTAACTCCGCAAATGTGGGGACCTCCTACCAGCGGTAATTCCACGCCGCTGCGCGAGACCATCCCAGAATCCCCCAACAGCGAGAACTTGAGCTTCCCAGACTTCAACAACGCTATGCCAGATGCGACACAGGCTGCACCCGCCTCGGGTCGTCGTGCCCGCGCTGGCACCCTGCCCTCCCGCTTCTCCCCCTCTGCTGCCCCTCCCGGCCTCATGTCCGGCGCCTCCCTGCTCCCCAAGAGCTCACGGCCAACGCCCTCAACGAGCCCCTTCAAGCCCGGCCCGGGTACACCGACCGACAGCTCGAGCTTCAGTGCTCTTGGATCTACGAACGCTGCTGCCAAGTCTGCACTGCTCTCGCGTCTCCGTGCTGGCTCAATGCCTCAACGACCGGGAGCCTACATGCCTCCTTCCAACTCTGCCTTTGGTAACCCCATCTTCTCCAACGGCTGGGGCCGTGACCGAAGCAGCACGCTCCACAGTATTGCCTCTGTTGGCTCAAACGGGCCTGGCTCACCCAGGTCTTCATTCTCCCGCGATTCGCTTGCCGACACTGATGTCAAGATTCTCGATTACCTTGGTTTAGTCGACACTCCTCAACCTGCGCGAGCTACCTTGGCCCCGTCCGACATTGAGCTACTCCTTGAGAGCCAGAGGAACGCCAACAGCCAGAACGCCAACAGCGCAAACCGCTTCCGGTCCTACTCAGTCAATGCCAAAGAGAAGTACGCCGAAGACGAGGAGGACCAGTATGGCGGATACAGCGGCGCCATAACTCCTGCCGAGGCCAACGCTCTTCTCATCCATGAGGCTGTGCGCCAGCACAACCTTGAAGTCCAAGCATTCGCGAACCTCGCTTCCAATGCGCGTCCACGAGCTCGCACTGCCGGTGTGCTAGACGCTCCTTCGCGGGGCATGATGCGAAACTACTTGCCCGCCATGGGACGATTTGACAATGGCATGGGATCTGGTGACTTGACTGAGGATGCCGAGTACAACCTCACTGAAGCTGTCAAGAAGCTTCATTTGCCTGGTAACAACCTGGGCGATGACGGAACTCTGGAAGGACCCACTCGATCCCTGTGGCTCGGCAACATCCCTTCGTCAACCACGGTTTCGTCACTCCAGGTCATCTTCGCTCAGTACGGCGGTATTGAGTCTACCCGAGTGCTCACTCACAAGAATTGCGGTTTCGTCAACTACGAAAACCTCGAGAGCGCCATTCAGGCCAAGTCGACTTTGAACGGAAAAGAGATCTTCCCAGGCGCTGGCCCCGTTCGCATCGGTTACGCTAAGATTCCAAGTGCAGCGGCCACGCCCGGTCACAACGGTCTGTTCCCTTCGCCGAGCCCCGATCCAATGTCAAAGGCTCAGGTTGAGGGTGCGGCCGGCTCTGCCACTGCTACCAAGATGAGCAGCATCCCCGCCAACGTTCCTCTGACCACGCCAGAGCTTAGCGACATCCGCAGCGACATTATCCAGATTGTAAAGGAGTTGGGCGCCACGGACGATGAACAGTCCAGGATTACTAACAAGGTCGAGAAGGCTGTCCAATTCAACAACTACGTCGATGAGATTCCATCTGTTGAGGAGCCGAGCCACACCCGCATCCACGATGCCCCTAGACTGCGAGAGATCCGCAAGCGCATTGATAACGGGTCCTGCTCCAAGGAGGACATTGAGAATATCGCCATGGCCATGCTCCCTGAAATTGCTGAGCTGTCCTCTGACTACCTCGGTAACACTGTCGTGCAGAAGCTGTTCGAGTTCTGCGAGGAGCCTACCAAGGAAGCTATGCTTCGTGAGATTGCTCCCCATCTCGCTAAGATTGGTGTACACAAGAACGGAACATGGGCTGCTCAGAAGATCATCGATGTCTCCAAGTCCGAGACTATGCAGAGGATGGTCGTGGATGCTGTCCAACCATATGCTATGGCGCTCTTCCTCGACCAGTTCGGTAATTACGTTATGCAAGGCTGCCTCAAGTACCAGAAGTTTAACGACTTCATCTTCGAGGTCATGCTGGGCAGACTTTGGGATCTCGCCCAGGGCCGATTCGGTGCCCGTGCCATGCGAGCTTGCTTGGAGAGCCACTATGCCACCAAGGATCAGCAGCGTATGGTAGCTGCTACGATTGCTCTCCACAGCGTTCAGCTCGCGACCAATGCGAACGGTGCATTGCTCCTGACCTGGTTCCTCGACACCTGCACCTTCCCAAGGAGACGTACTGTGTTGGCTCCTCGTCTGGTCCCACACATTGTTCACCTCTGCACACACAAGGTTGCATATCTCACCGTCCTGAAGATTATCAACCAACGTAACGAGCCCGAAGCTCGGGACACGATCCTACAGGCACTTTTCTTCTCTCCCAATGACCAGGTCTTGGAAAACATCTTGGCTGATCAGAATTGCGGTGCTACCTTGATCTTCAAGGTGTTAACCACCCCATTCTTCGATGAGCAGATTCGCGCGGATGTGGTACAGAACGTACGTAACGTCCTCTTGCGCATCAAGGCGCAGCCTCAACAAGGCTACAAGCGACTTATGGACGAGGTTGGTCTTTCCACTCGTGGCGGACCTGGTCATCGCGAACACTCCGCAACCCGGCCAGCATCGAAGGATAGCATTGCATCTGGACCTCCGAACCCTGGAAACTTTTACCAAGGAGCGGCTCCTGGCTATGACCCTGTCGCGCTCCAGCGCACAGCAAGCATGGACTCCAACGGTTTCGAGCAGTACCCGATGGGCGGTGGACCCATGTACATGCCAAATATGCAAGCTATGAACAACCAGCAACAGATGCAGTACCAGCAGCTCTTGGCCCGACAGGGTCAGTTCTACCCTCAGATGAACGGCTTCCAAGCCCCAGTTCCGGGCATGGATGCTTATCGCAACGCCTCGCCTGTTGCAGGCCCCGGCAGCTTCAATGGATCACCGATGATGCAGCCTGCCAACCTTGCCGGTCAGGGCATGCCAGGCATGTACCCTCCGTATGGCATGTACATGCCGCCCCAGCACCAACAGGCCGCTGGAGGCAACCAACGACGTGGCAGAGTAAGCAGAAATGCGTCCCCTGCGAACAGCGTTCGCCGTTAACGTCTCTTCAGAGATAATCGCCTCGCCTGAGGGTTTAGATTCTCATCTTCTTTTAGATTTTGTGGTGTTGCAAGGAAAAGCAGCGCCATCTTCTTGTATATGATTCGGATCTTCACCTACACGCATCTGCTAGCGAGCATTATGCAAAGCGGCATACACTATACTTCCCAATGTTTCTCCTTGTGTCTCAGGATCTTACGAATTTCATCCTCTTGTTCTCAATCAAACATCTCACTGTTGGCCCATGCCGTTTGTCTCGTCACTCGCTTAGCCATTGCTTGGTGTTTCGGGGCGTACTTTGAGCAACGTTCTTGTATGTCGTTTCAAGTGGACGGCTTACCTTATGGGCTCTGTCGATCGATCGGATCATCATCGTATCGATATGAATGCGCATATGAGAGTTCTGGTGGAATGATATATGCGAGGCAAAAGTTTACCACTACATGGCATGATCTGGAAATGGGACGTTGGACCTCTTTTCTTCTGTGTGTTCTGCATGGAAGATTGCAGACCCGGCTCGAGCCTGCGAGCTAGATAGAATTGAGGCCTTTTTTACTTCACCATCTTATCATTATCTTGATACTATAACAATTTGCGTGCGTGAACGTGTACATGGGGAGGGAAGCAAGGGGTGACGACGTTGATGAGCTCTCATGGTGTCCTGAAGGTACTCGCAATCTTGTCCTTGTAATTATGGTACTACAGAATAGTGTGAGTAACTTTAGGGTCTATTTTTTTAGTCTAATTTCACATAGAGGGGGAAGAAATAGCAATAGGAGCAACAAAGTCAATTTGAGCCGCCCCATCTAGGTAAACTGAGCGTGGGTATCATATGCTGCCTGAATGCGCCGGAACTCCGCAATAAAACGCATGTACTACAAAAATCTGATGAAAAGCTGATGGTACCACCCAGAAGGCCCTCGCGGATAAAAGAAAACCGCAGCTTTTCAGTGACCGTTGAGGCCCATGTCACTGTATTTCCGCTTTTTGGCCTCACGCTCACCGTCCTGGGGAGGACGGTATTGGTCCAGCTTGCCTTGTAGGCGATAGGTTTCCCGTTTGATATTTTCAGCATTGGCCAATAGATCCATCTCGGTCACAGGAGCCTCGATACTAGCCAGCACGCTATTAACCGTGCTAATATGGTTCGCATCCTTCTTATCGTCGCGCCAGCGTGGCGTACCGTCCGCCTCCGCCTTGTATTTCCATTGCCCGCCTTCTGTACGGTAGCACTCTATGATACGACCGTCTAGACGCTGGTTGAGCGACTTGAGCGTCTCCCACTCGGCTGGGGTGAGAGAGAGAGTGGCGAACACCTCATAGTGGTTCGAGTTGTGCTGAACAAGCAATTGGATGGGGCTGGGCATGGCATCGTAGTCGGGAACGAGACCGTCTTCGCCGTCTTGTGGATCCATGGGTGGAAAATCGCCGAGGCGCAGCTTGAAATCGATGGTGTTCTCATGTGGTGGCTTCCACTTGAGGATGTGTCTATCGGTGCCGAACTGGTAGGGTGTGGATACGCAGGTGAAGATCAGGCCGTCGTTGCCGTGTCTGAGGTTCGGGAGGATACTACTGAACATGTCCTCGAGCTTGTACGCAGAGTAGGTCTTCTTTCCCTTGAGAGCAAACGGTTTGAGGTCAGCTGGCGTGATGTTCTTTCCGAATGTCCTCGTCAAGTTGGCCTCGTATGGCTTGATCACCCAATCGTGTAACCGACCCAACCGCTTGTCCAGTGTCCTGCCCGTCACGTTCGTGCCGTCTACCGCCAGACAGTCGAAAACGTAGAAGTTGAGACGCGGCGCAGACTCGTTCGGGTATTGATCGTGAACCAACTCGCCATCAAGGATGGTGCCGAATAGGAAAGGCTCGGCTTCGTTGGGGTGCAGGTAATGGCGTATCCGAAAGGGAGGTTGTACGTTGTAGTAGTTGTTCTTTCTGTCGATCAGAAAGGTCAAAGGCTCGAAAGCGCCGGTTGGTCCCTCCTGCCAATGTAAGAAGAGCAGGCAGCGCAAGCCGTCCGTCTTCTCGCACATGAAGTATTCATTCCGCTGGAGCTCGGCAATGTGTTCGCGAGCGAATGATACGGGTTGCGCGCCGGGGAAGCGCAGGTTTTCGCGTTCGAGGAGTTCGGCGACAGATTGTTTGAGTGAATGCGCCTCGTCGTTCGGGATCTGGAAGCCTGGGATCTGTGGTGGCGGCGCGTGCGATGGTTGTGCCGCGGCTGGCATCTTGGGAAATCGGAACCTAAAGGTATTCGTGGCTCAGGATGATGTAGAAGGTCGGTACGGCAGAGCTGGAAGAGGGATGGTGATTGTACAACGGTCGCAACATGTCTATGAGCTATACGCGCTAGTGCTCAGGGTCTGCTTACATAATAGATACAGGATAATCCACTCTGATCTTGCTCACCCTTCACTGAAGAAACTAGGATATATTCACAATCAAAAACTCGCCAGACCATCAAAGTGTCTACTTCGATATAAACCACGTGCACTGGTCATGCAAGAATTCCTTACCTACAGACCGACTGCGTCTCCATGTCATCCGACAGCATGTTCGACAACTACCATGGCCATCTAAGAAGCAGTGCCTTCGCGATGGTTCTGGTACGCATATGGATGTGTATGAAACCTAACCAGGGAAGTATCAGGCCTTTTGAATCGTTTTTTTTTCGTATCAGACTTGCAGATGATGTCGATGCTAGTCTGGCGGATAACAGTGAGGGGAGACTATCGTTTGGGCTCGACTTGAGAAAAGATGGTTATGTCTTTCGATTGGCACGAGATAGTGAGGAATATTCTTATGAAATAATACAGCTTAGTGGGACAAAAACTTGCCAGCTTTCCTATATCACATTGAGCTATGGATATACCTGGTATGCAAAAGAAGGATTGAACACCATAAACGTGGCCAGTACGGGCTGGGCTGTAATGGCTTCTTCTTTGGACTTTTTGGAGCTGTATAAGATCTATCATTTGTAAAGGAAATCAATGAAAGGGTATATAGTCTAAACGGTCAGGGCACCCCTCTTACGAGTGTGCAAGTCACGTAGTGATGGCGCAGGTAGGTCGATGGCCCCGTCTGCGAGGAGATACGGATTCGTGCCTCGTCATATGCAACTACCTTTTGCCAGTTGCGTTGTCTCCGTCTTCACAATTGTTCTTTTACATGAATTCAACCTTCTTTCCAGGACAGATACTGCCAACTACCTCAACGAATGATCAGTCGTACTACTTTATCACCCAACTAGTTGAGATAGAAGTTTTTGTTTGCAAATATTTGCCAGCTCTCGATGGCATTTTATATGCCAAGCTAGGCCAAAACCTCCTCGGGAAGTAATCGTCAGTGGTTAGGAAGGTACGCGTTCTCAAGAATGTTACCAAAGCTATGGGATGATGTCACGGGCCTTTGTTGCGAATACTAGGTAGTAGTTGGCGATGAATCACACCTGGGATCATCATATAGGCGAGGCAGCACGATCCGGGATGTTGTCATGGTTCTTTGTTGCAAACGAATTCAACATTTCACTGGAATGCACGAAGTCCTCTTCTTCGGAAGAACGCTTTGACACACAGGCAGTCACTCGAGTGAAGATTTAATACCCTGAGAATAGACGCCTTACGTTTCTCAGAAAGTATATATTGTCTGTCAACTAATAGACATCGAGAAACTACCCTTCACGTTGTTCAACTGTCTGCAAAATGTTCTGGCCGTTGTTTTCTATCTTTTTGGCATCTGCCACAGCTTGTCCACCACCCCTAAACAGCTTCAAGTATCTAGCCAATGACACCCACACAACGTCACAGATGATCCCTAGTCAGCTCGCGCCTCGTGACAAATCTTCAGCACTAGATCGTAGGTGGGCTGAAATCGTGACTATGGTATACCCATTCCTACATCACAATGCACTATCTAGCTAATCGTCACCTCAGACTGGACAGCCTCGCACGAAATGGCCTGGCGGCCTTGTAACATACTGTTTTGAAGACGTAAACGCCCGCGTCCACTTCGCCGACGATATCAATGCAGCTTGGAAACTTTGGACGGACAAAATTGGAAAAGCTGGCAGCGTAAGCGGCCACTCACTTGAGTTCCATGAGTACAAGGTCCAACACGGCCAATGGCCCCACTGCTACAACCAACGCAAGAAGGATTCTGATCCTTGGGTTTGGAATGACGCTTATCCGCACGATGTTGCCGTTATTCAAGAATCTACGAGCCCTGATGTCCAGGCTTCTTCGGTCACGGGTTACATACCAGCAGAGTGGAGTGATTTGCCCGGTCGACACGGTGCGCATCTTGGTATAAACTTCAAAAGCAAGTATCCAGCAGACTACTGGCACACAACCGTTGCCCACGAACTAGGTCATATCTTCGGTTTCTGGCACGAGCATCAGCGGTATGATCGTGATGACTACGTTCATTTCGATTGTTCCAAAGTCCGAGGTTACGCTGCCGCGAAAGCTAAAGTCGACGCAGCGAAGAAGCATAGCATGGAGGAAGTCTGCGCCGACTATCGTCTAGCTCTGCAATATGACTTCACAGCTATCCAGGACTTCGATACAACCGACCATATCGATCCTCACCACAAAGATGGTAAAGGCTGGCCCTTGTTCATCAAGCACGATCTAGAGTTTGATGATGAGTCCATCATGTTGTATACCTCTGCAGAGTTTGCCAATGATGGAGCCGATATAGACGATGTGATGCAAGTACCGTTGGCATTCTGGAAGGATCGCGGTATAGGTTTCGATCCACCACCTCAAGTTGAGAAAGAGGACCTGGAGATTATCGACGTCAGGTGGAAGGTCAGTAATGGTGATTTAGAGGGCGTAAGGCACCTATATCCTTATTTGGGGAAGGATGAAGATAGTCAAAAGTAGACAGGAGAAACCGATTTGGTAGGAGATGAAGCTAGGACAGATAGGAGGTCTGGGGACCGCGATTCTGTATGACTGATCAGCTGTTCGTAAATGGCAACATGAAATAGAGTGAGGTAATCGAGGAAGTATTATAGATTACAAATGTATGTAAATGGCATATCCGTCCGTTCGATCAACGAACAAAACCATGTCCGTGAGGAGAGGAAGATCTTGAGTGGGGTATATAGCGAACCGAATCAAATCGGCCCAGTAAGTCGCCGCGCAAGATCATTTCGTCGTCCTTAACGCCGGTAGCCATAATCCAAATAGCGCGTAGTCTTACATATCGTACATATCTTACATATCTTACAACAAAGTCGAGCAAGGGCTCGCAGAAAGATCCAAAACGCCTCGCTGAATGATGATCCCGGATCCCGTAGTAGTTTTACATATATTACAGTGGCGTGTTCTCATAAACACGTCCCAAGGGCATCGGTGTGTTGACGCGTGTGATTCTTCGTTGAAAGTTTAGAAGAAACCCTTGGTCTTCCCAGTCTTTGGGCTCATTGGCCCAAAAAGCTTCATGTCTGTGTTCATCTTCTTAACAAACACCAGATAGGCCTCCAACGCCTCATCTTGTGTCTTGAACGTCTTGTCGCGATTCATCCACATCTTCAGGTATTTGTCTGAACCGACGTCTTTCAGCGCCGCGTACCAGCCGCCGGAGGACCGCTGTCGCAACGATATCGCCAGGCTCTTGCCCTTGAGACCGGTGACGTTAGATACTTCGCGAAGACAGGCAGCGCGTAGATCACTGTGTTCGTCGTCCTCTTCGAGGGAAGAAGATGAAGAGCTTCGCTCCATCTTTGGACGGGAGGTACGGGTGTCGAGCTTAGGACGCGAGGGTTTCTTAGGTTCGAGCGCAGGTTTTGATTCGGTCTTCTTTTTTACAGGCGTAGAGGTCTTAGTAGCTGCGCCACCAAAGAAAGACCCAGAAGGTTTGGGAGTCGGAGGAGTCTTGGGTCGCGAACTTGATTTCTTCTCAGACTTGGATGACTTTTCAGTCTTGACAGACTTCTCAGCTTTCTCAGACTTGGACGACTTCTCAGCCTTCTCAGATTTTGACGACTTCTCCGACTTTTCGGTCTTTGAAGGCTTTTCTGACTTTGAAGGCGCAGCTGATTTCGATGTAGTAGCTGTCTTGGACGACGACAATTTCGATTTCGATGGCGTTGGTGGCGTGGTGTTCGCTGTTGGCGATGTCCTTGCCTTGAACGAATCGAAAGGGCTTGGCCATGCGCCTATGGCTTTCGGTGTTTCTTCGACCACCGGTGTGGCATCTTTCTTTGATCTTGCGTCGGCTCTGGAGGTTTTCGCGGGCGTCTTGGGTTCTGGGGTCGCCTTGGGGGCTGCAGTCGCCTTTAGTGGCGCGCCTCTCCTTCCTGTCGCAACCGGAGGGGGAGGAGCGGCATCAGGTATGGCAGCCTCTCCAAACAGCTGCCGCGCTCGGTCCTTCACACTGGGAAACATGGTGTAGGATAAGCTGGGATGGTATGATTCGGGCCGAGTGTACGAATGCTGGAATACAAAGTGCTAAATGCGCGATTATGATTAAGACGTACTACAATACACAAAATACAGCGCGCGTCAAGACTATGCGAAATGGAAGAGGTAAACACGATGCGGAAGAGATGGAAGCATAACTGGGGACCTCGGGATAGATACCGATTATTCTGGTGCCTAGTTGTGCAACCATGACACGCCCATTCTCGCATCGGCCAGCATGCGAACAGGCGTTCACATCCAAAATATGCGGAAATGAGCTAGCGGCCGCTTCTAGAACGCCTGAGAGCATATCGGAATGCGGATGGCAAGCGGGTCCAACAGGCGCAGTTGTTGTTTTCAACTACTCATCGATTGACTCCACTGCAGACAATCTCTGCAATGTGCACGGTATGTGAGGATCCATCACTTTGACAAACTGGACAAGCGCTTCCAGCCAGTTGAAAGCAGGATCGTGTCATCGCGAAAGGGCGTACAATACGATGACCGTTAGGGGCAGTAACGTTACGAGCCACTGTGGCCCCTTTTCCGGAGCCGGGGCTGTCCGGGAAATTGGGAACGGGAGGAAGGATGGCGCGGCAAACATCAGCCGCCGAATGAGAACAATGGCCACGACACAGCGCAGGTGGTGTTTATAGAGACCGTTGCATCATTGTCAGACGCTCCATGATGGACATGAGATGAGTTGTGATAAGGCGAGTTATCTTGGGATGCATCATGCACCATGCACGTCAGTTCAACGTGCAGCGAAACGGGATCAGGAAGTGGTATAGCGGGCTCCACCTCCCTAGCGTACCCTATTTGCAGCCATGCCTCTCATCCCCCATATTTGTCCTTCGCTTACCCAGTCGTTCGAGATCACTAAACTTGCTCGGACGGTTTGCGAAACGATCACTTGATTCCTAGCACCCGGAATTCCTACCGCATGTTGATAGCTCAAAGGCCTGCACTCCTCACAATCTTGTGACATCTCCATCGACGCCCGGAGCATTTGCGGCTCCCCGTAAACTCTATGAGTCCCAACCGTTCTGCTTTTCAGCCATTACTACAGCGTCCGTTCATAAGTCTGGGGTCATAATTACTGGCCAACGATGCGATCCGCAGCTTCAATAGACTGTAACGACAAAATTGTACGTAAGACTCGAGAGGCTAAACATATGGTCCAATAATTTCCTGTGTTTTGACCCAAACCTTGTCTTGTGCGCTGACCCTCAATTTCTTCAATTTCTTCTCATTCAGCGTCGTTTCACAAGTATGATGCACCAGAAACAGACTCCCGTCCCTCTCTCCCTTTGTGTTCTTCCCCTCAACAACATCTGCACCCAACGGCACACCCTTTCCTCCAAAAGCCGCACTGGTAATCTGATACAGGTACCTCTCTGCGGCTTCCTCTTCCGTATACGCCATAAGCCATATAACTGGATCCATGAAAACTGCAGCCAGCCATGAACCCCAAGACCCTTCCTGGAACCCGCGGAACAGATTTCCCGTCCGCACGCTACCCGGGTGACAATGCATGAAAACGATGTTCTTGTTCTCTGGCATCTCCGCGATGCGTTCCAGTGCGAGTGTATTCATGTTGCCCATATGTCTTACCGAAGCCATGGCTCCAAACGCGCCTGGGGCTTCGAGTAACAGATCGTCTGCATTGAAGAAGAAATCACCCTCCATTCCACCTGAACGTACACTCATTACGCGTGCGTGATCTGAAGAGCGTAGTACAGGAAGCAGGTTCTGCGCGAAGCAGATTCGCGAGTAGAACTCCAGTGCGTGGCTGATCTCTAAGCCTTCGGACGTATCTGGAGATGTAAGAACTCGATTAGCATTACTAGGAGTGCACCGAGTTTGGAGCAACGTACTCTGTCTTCCGTTGAACGCCACATATCCTGCGGTCATGAAGAGGAGGTCGATACTGGTCTCGAGTTCCTTGATGTAATCGCAAGTTCGCTTTACTTCGGATAGCAACGAGATATGCCCTTCTACCCATATGATACTTGCATTCGCATTCGCCAGGTGCAATTCCTCGATAAACGGTTTGAACGCTGCCTCACTCTCTTGCCTCCCAATGACGTACGCCTTGAAGTGTGTTCCCAGTCTAGCTAATGCATTGAGCGTAAGTTTTCCTATGCCTGATGTTCCGCCAACGAACACTGCGACACGGGGTGCCGATTCTTCGTCGATTTGGACGTTGCTTTCTTTGATCTGGGAAATGTGAACCATGTCGACGTCTGCAATCTCCAGATCCAAACTTGTGTCCTAGGGCGACGTGATCTATGAACAATATATAAGGGCTGAGAGTGCTTGAGTACGCGGATGCGGATGCGGATGCCGGAATGCGCCTCGAGGACGAAATCCGGACCACAGCCAACAGCCGGGTCATATCGACTGCACACATGTTAGGCAAGCGTTGTCACACAGCATGCACGCGGCACGAACGATGCGCATGCATTTCAACTGCTTACAATTTCTTACTGGTTGCTCGACAGCTCTGCCTTTCGGTTACGTTTTGTGTGTCGTGTTCTATAGTACCTCGGTCAACGACCACAGCCCTATGTTCAATAAATGCGTGGTATGCAAACTCGCGGTTGTAATGTATAAAAGGTGATATTCGCTGTCATATAACTATACCCAAACGCCTGCGTAGACTCTTGTCTATGAATGCTTATGCTTGCGCACTGACTGGCTTGATGCCTACTTCAGCCATCTTCGTGGCCTCTACCTCCTCCATCGGGCTGTCTGCTCTCTCCACAACATCTGTGAGACCTAGGTACTTCAAGTTCGCCGACCAGCCTAGGTCCTCACCAAAGTACCCCTTCATGACCTCAACACCGTACTTAATGCCATTCTTCGGGTCGTAGGTCAGACATTGCTTACCAACCGCTAGACCGATGACGGCGTCCCATGCTGGTAGTTCTATCTTGATATATTGCTCGGATGAGGGAGCAAGCTCAGAATTGAGAATGTCGGAGTAAATGTTTTGTGCAGCCGCCTGGCCCATGACCGTTGCGCTGCCTGCGCGCTTGATGCCTGACCATGCGATTACGTCGCCGACGCCGAAGTGAGACGACGAGTTTGCGATAGTGTCCTTGAACATCAGGGATTGGTGTACCATGATCTCCTTGTCATCGTTCAGGCATTCTGTAGGTAGGACATCGGTGGTTGGTGTGCCCTTCTTCGTTGAGTCAATGACGAAGTCTGCTGTTATTGTGTCCTTGTTCGCGAGTGTGACAATGAATTGACCATTGGGGAGGTCCGTGATGGTTGCCCGGCTACCCAAAGCCAATTTGACACCCTCTTCCTCTAGCAGGATTTTTGCTCGTTCTTTAACATCTGCTGGTAATGGTTCCGAGGAAAGAACCTCGCTTCGTGAGTGTACTAGTGTGACATCAATCTGTGGGTAATATTGCTTGATCTCAGCAGCAAATTCAACACCGACAGCACCAGCGCCGATGACTACCACTCTCCTCCCTTCACACTTCGATGGGTCGCCACCAGTAATCTTTTCGATGAATGTCTTACTGTCTCTTTGGTACTCTTCGAAGCTTCCAGACTTTGGCACAGCAGGGAAGTGTCTCTTCAGACCGGTGGCCATGACAAGATAGTCATACGCTTGTTGTTGGGTCTTGCCATTGCGGTCGCACCACTCTGCAACCTTGGCTTCAGGGTTGATGTTCTTCACACTTCCATGCTTGAAGTGCAAGTTTGGGTGCTTTAGCTCGTTCAAGTGGCTAAACCTCTTCCACATATGGTTTGTGTACTTCGGCGTGACATGGGCAAGCGGTGCGCCAACCGAGTGGACTGTAAGATATAAGCATTAGTGGAAGCTCTCATAACGCAAGGTGACGAGGTGGGGACAGGGAAAATGGTGTGCCTCGGCTAGTGGGGTAGAGTGACGCACAATAACCATCGCGCTCATCGATGACAGTAATTTCCACCCCTCTTCTACTTCGAGCACCTTGAAAATCTGGACCTGGGTAGACACTCTGTCGGGCCTTTCCTTGTGAATAGTCGAGGAGGTTGATGGCAGCGGAAACGCCACCGTATGCGCACCCGACAATGAGTACGCGATGGGGGTTTGATAGGCTGAGGTTGCCCAATGTGTCTGTAACGCCTTGAAGCCTCATTGTGAAGATTTGATCTGATAAAGGAGGGGTCGTGGGGGGTAGGAAAGATGGCAGGGTGGGATGGAATGAAGATGATCTGATTAGATTAGAAAATGTGGCAGAACGCCCACTTCTATATGCCGCCAGCGCACCACATGAACATCACACCGACATCGGAAATCAACTAGCAACAAGCAGGCGGGTTGCTAGGCTATACACGAGCTCCCGAGAGGTCCACTGTCGTCGCGGACGTGATGTCTCAAGATGTGATTGGTAGAGGGCCACTCATCTTATCAGATCCGAGCATCATCCGGTGCAAATTTTTATCTGATGCCCCACCACGCCTGCACCTTCCCATCCTTCGCGTCTTGCCAAGGTGACAACCAAGGACACAACTACTCAACGAGATTCCGAAACAGCCTAACACTGGCTACATCTACCCCGAAGTGCCTATTTGGTCCCTCGGTCGCTTCATTCCGACATCAGGCCGCCCAATGATGAGTACACATCCAGGGATAAACATTCATGAAGCCCTCACGTGATACAATCACAATGAATTATGAAGAGCATAAAACATATATCCTTATAGCAGGTTTGCAGCTGTTCGAGATGTCCCTGTTCCTAACATACACCGCTTCATTCAGCAACATCGGCAAAGAACAGTTTAATGTGGGAAAAGTCTATATTCAATCTTCGTCTTCATCGTCAGATCTATTAGGGTCGAATCTAAGTAGTTCGTCAATCTCTCCTCCCTCTTCATCCTCGCTGTGCTTGCGCAATGCACGTATCTGTTATTCTCCTTTGAAACCATCCACAAGGACAACAGGGCCCTTGTATTGCTTGCGTCCTCGAACGATGTAATCGATCAAACTCACAAAGGCCACGCCAACAAACATGACGGAGGCCCAGTTGAAAAATTCCAGTGTTGTGGGTGTCGAATCTGGCCAGAAGCACCAGAAAAAGGCGTGTGTGGAATACAGAACACCACCGATGTTGACAGGGACGCCCCACTTTCCGAGGGACCAGCGGCAGTTGGGGAGGAGTTCTGGGTGGCGAATACGGCGGTAGAGAACGGCGCCGATGGAAAACATGTAGGTTATCATCAAGGCTACAACGTTGAGGGAGATGACTGAAATACGTTAGCTATCGTTACAGGATTATGCATATGAACAGGGAAGACATACTAGCGTTGAAAGCGGTATCCGAGCCGATGTTGATGAGCGAAAGTAGAATTGTGATGGCACAGGTAACAGTCACAGCGTTCGCGGGGACCTCCAACTTGGGGTTTACTTGGCTGATCCAGTCGCTGAACGGCAGTCCCCTATCTCTGGCGAAGGCCCAGGTCTGACGCGATGTCGACAAGTTGAAGGTCACAGTACCAGCGAAGATGAGGATTGTGGGAATAGCGTTGAGGGCTACTACACCGCCAGGGGATACGGCTTGGGCAAAGACCCACATATGGGGATAATCAGCCTCGAGCGCAGCTGGGACGTCTGTGACCATGAACATGTAGCTGATGAGGAAGATTATGCCAAGAGAACCATTCATGAGGTAAGCGCCGATCATCGCGCGTGGGACAGTCTTGCCGGCATCTTTGATCTCCTCGGCCATGTGGGCTGCGGAGTCAGAGCCTGTGATCGCTCGTTAGTACACATCCGATGGGAATCGTCAGCGGAAAGGTATACTTACAGATGCAAGCATAGATGGCAGATACTTGGCCTACCATGAGCGCCAGACCATTCGAGTTCCAGCCTCCTCCGTTGTAGAACTGGGTAAAGGTTACTTCAGCAGTAGCCCGCGGCGACAAAACCCAGAAGACGATGATGATGGCCAGGAAACCAAATACGTGGACGACCAACATGATGTTCTGGAATAGGGGCATGCCCTTTGAGCCCCAGATGTTAAGGACCCAGACCAAAAAGGTCACGGCGATGACCATAAGCGTGCCCTGCCATTTGGTAGCCTCATATTCTGGATACATGACGGTGGCCGAAGATTGAATTAAGGTACCAACAAGGAAAGGTCCTGATGCAGTACCGGCCTGCCATGATAGTGTTGACATCCATCCGATGAAGTAGCTGAATGGCTTCTGGACGCTGGGAGGTGAGAACTCAGAAACCCAGTGGTATTGTCCACCAGCGGTTGGCGCCATCGATGCCATCTCTGCGAGTGACAGCATGACAGTGCTGAAGCCGAACCAGGTCCAGACGAAACTCCAGATAAGACCTGCTGGTCCTCCATCCTGGAGGCCTTGGTAGGTTGCACTATGGTGTTGTCAGTTCTAATTCTTTTTCAGTGGTATCGATGTTACCTACGTCAAAAGAACCTCCCACGTTCCTTGTAGAATAACGGTAAACGCCAATGCTGATAACGGTCGATAATTTCTTCTCAGCTCTTGCACCTTGCCCATACGCTCCATATCAGCGTGATCAGCTCTAGTGTACCCCCTAAGAGAATCATGATACTCTTCACTCTCGTCTCCATCGATAGATCTCGTCGCACGCGCTCGCGACTCCAAGGTGGCCTGCTTGTCCATACTGCCAAGCGGTTGACTTTCGTAAGCAGCCATACCCAAAGCACAACAAGCCAGAAGCGAATATGCAGGAACGCAGCGCCACGGATAAACTCAAAAAGGTCCCAAGAAACAGGAACAGATGAACAAGCGAAACGTTGCGATAGAAGTAAAGAAAGGGATTTCCCACACGGACACGAATGCATGCACATGCTGAGCAGATGGACTGGTCCAGCTGGTGCCAAATGCCTGTCTGCCGCTTCCACGGGTGGGGCCACTAACACTAAACCCCATCTCATACCGGTACATCCTTCTGTAGCAAGGCCAGGGACCAATGGTGCAGATACCCTCTGGTGCATATGTCAGCTAATGAGATCATCGCGGCGTCGTGGTCGTGAGCTCCGGCTGCGGTGTATGGTTGGGTATATTGGCTGCCTATGTCCCACTACCCTGCCGTTAGCGCGACGCCAAACGGCCCGCTTCCTCTTATGGGGGTTTCGTGCCGCTGGACCCTAGGCTATAGATGCAGGAGTCGTGGATTGATTGCATGTAGTGGCTTCTGCCGCGGCTCGTGGAAAAAGTAAAAAGCGCCGAGATAACATGCCATGAGAGGTGGAAGTTACATAACAGCTTCGGAAGAACTCGTTCTAGAACATGTGCCGCCTTGCAAGGTGATGAAACCGGGATCATCTCCAGATTCGCGAGCTGTTGAACATGGAATGGTTTCTTGCTTTCGTAACCGTTCTCCTGCTAAGACGGATATTAATATCAAATCCGTCTGTCGCAGCCGAGCGGGAAACCCGTGGGAGCGGTAAAGTTTGAGAATTTTACTTATTCTACCGTTCAGTAACCTGTGAACGACAAAGCCAAGTATCCGACGTCCCGTCAGCGTATTGCAGGTTGCGGCTGGCATCCCGCCAAATGCCGCGCCCTTCGTATGTGTTACGGTGGCTGACGCCAGGAAAGGTGGATCGACTGTTATGCGTTAGAAGTCTTTTAGTCGTAGGTCGCTTAGCATCATGAGCAATCTGCAACTGATCTCTCGTGAACCGTGTACATGGGTTATATTCGGTCCTCTTATAAGCGATAAGGATGAGGAAGCACGCAAGGAGGATAATGGGCAGGGAGGTCCGCGCTCGTTCTTCATTGGGCTGTAGTAGTCAACCACCGGGGAGGTAGGTTATGTCAGACGCGGCTTCAGCTGTATACAGCCCAAAGCGCCCTCTGACCGCCGCAGAACCTGCTCACATCTTATGGCCTCCTTTCTGTCGTATTTTTGCCTGTCGTTATTCTCCCTGATACTTCATGGCAGGAGAGGTAATCCCCCCGCCGTACGTTATAACAGCGGATGACAAGCGCGGCCTGATTGTTGTAACCGGTGCAGCAGTCTTGGCTTTTGTCTGGTCTTGTTTTTTGATCCGAGTGTGGTTGCGTCTGCAATCTAGAGAATGGCGGTCCGATGGTAAGTCTTCTTTGTATTGCACTGCATCCATGAGTCGAGACATTATGCTGATTTTGTGTGCGCAGACTGGTGGCTTGCAGTGGCAACCTTGCTGGACACGGTTCAATCAGGCATCATATTCCACCTGGTGAACCTGGGTCTGGGAGCTTCACAAGCTGGCGTACCAATATCGCAACTCCAGCAGCTTGGGAATGTAAGTGATGTTCACCTTCGGCGATTTAGCAATGCTTTAGGATCTGCGCTTGGGTGTCGGCTCCTTGCATCCTTCTGGCGCTTCTGGCGTTCACGCAGGGCAGCCGCGCCCGAGCAAACAGCCGATAGACTGGGGAAAACAAGTCTGACAACTAGCAGGAAGGTTTCGCATCACAGATCATCTACATTTTTGTGATACTCGCCTCGAAGCTATCGGTGCTGTTCCTATACCTACGACTATCACCAGGCGGGTCGCATCGCATTGCATCATGGTCGCTTGTAGCCTTGTCCTGTGTATGGGCGCTGATGTCGGTCATCTTGATCGCCATACCATGTAACCCTGCGCAAACGTATCTCGATGCAAAGGATTGTACGAATAGGGTAAGTGAATTCGAACTCCAAGTGCCCGACCTCGCGCTGTACAGTTCCAATCGCAATACTTTGCAACATCATCATGCTAACAACCACAATAGTGGCCAAAATGGCTCAGCATAGGCACCTTCGACATCCTGACCGAACTCTTCATCTTCCTCGCAGCAGTCCATCTAATCTACTCCCTACAAATGCGTCTCGTCACCAAACTTGTTGTAATCTTCGCCTTTAGCGCACGCCTCCCCGTCATCGCAATCGCAGGCGTACGCCTCTACTACCTCGACCAGCGCCTGCGCGGAATCACCTTCACTTTTGATTATGTCGTAGCCACGCAATGGCAAATGGGCTACGCGATCATGTCATCCACGATAACGGGTATGGGCCCCTTTCTCAAGCCTTTCGATAAGGAGTACGTGTCTAGTACGTATAAGCACTATGGACCGGGACATAGCTCGAGTGGAGGGACGTCAGGGTTGAGGATGGAAAGTGGGCTCACTACGACTACAAGTTCGGGTTTGCCGCCGAGAAGACAGGGACTCGGTCATCATCATAGGAGGTCTGCAGACAACATCTCGGAATCTTATCTCATGGATACGCTGCCCAGTCGGCGGACGAGCAAACAGTCCATGGGGAACGAAGATCGCGCCAATTCTCTTGAGCCGATGCAGTCGAGTAGTCCGTCCTCTCGGGCGTCTCCGCCTGCGCCAACTGATATCTTGATGACGGCGGACGAGCACTTCCGTCCAGCGCACATGTACCGCGGACACGAAGCGGAAGTCTGGGTCGGAGATAGGAGTCTGAGTATTACGAGGGACGAGATAGAAGAGGCCGCCGCTCCTAGGGGAAGTTCACCCAAGTCCGGAACCAAGCTGGTGATTGGAAAGAAGAAGGAATTCAAGATCGAGGTTGATCGCGCTAGTCGTGTTGTCTGAGTCCTGCTATCTTATGGGCAGACTTGTGTTGCGTTGAACTAAGTTAGAATACCCCCCCTTTTGTACTTTGCGTTGTTTTGGTGTAGTGTCCAGCAGCAAACCAAGAAAAGTATACATAGACGAACTAATGACGATAGAAATATTTATAGACAAAGACTCCGTAAGCGATACATTTGTAATCAGTGGGGAGCGCTATGTTCCTAGCAGATACCTCTGTTGTGAAGAGGGAAGGGGTAAAAGTAGGAATATCACATGTGACTATTGTCCTGCTTTTATGTGTCGGGGGTTCAGCCGCTCTCGTGGGATGCCATCATTGCGAGTGATTACAACGAAATTCAGTTTAAAACACAGATTGTCAAAACTCCTCGTTCCAATGCGAACCTAAAATACAGCAAGCAAAACTAGCAGTCCCTGACCATACGAGCTTCCCATTGTTCCGCCCGGGTCAACAGTCAAGATGATATCCTGATAAATAGCTTTTCCGGTTCGTTCCATGCTCTCTATACTTGTGCCCACGGCCGGGAACAGTTGGTAAAGAAAAGAACACGGGTAATCGCAAATCGAGGTTGAGAGAAATGTTGTGGTCGACGCAGTAGAGGGCCAACCTCAACGTGGGGGAATCGGTCGAATGTTGTGAAAGAGGCATCTAAAGATGCGTTTATGCGGAAAATCGGCGCATGACCTTGGCGATGACTGATAAAAGTTAGGTTAATCCTGATCGACGAAGTTTGGAAGTTCATACCGTGAAGAGCGACAACGCTGAAGATGAAGACAACGGACAGGGTCATGACCACAACGGGATCGACCTTCAGGCCAGGAGACTCATCGGTGTATAGTCCTGCAGACACGTATTAGCCAAATTTCCACAGTAACGTCTCTGCTAATCGCCGTGCGCCATATCCGCTCTTATTGTTCCCGAACAGCTCGTTCCAGAAAGTATCCGTCTCTTCTCGCTCTGTCCATCTTGGGGTGCACTTACTCAGCATAGTGCTTGAACTGCCACCGGCACCGGCCGCCCTTGTGCTGCTTGGTCGCAGGTTTGCGGTCTTCTCAGCGCGGTCAGCGGCAGCCTTCCTTCGCATAACGGTCGCGGGGCCACCCGGGGGCTTTGGCGACGCAGGACGCGCAGTCGTTGAGCCTGAAGAGGCCGTGTTAACGGGGGAGGTGGCGCGTGGAGCAGACTATCAGCCATGTTAGTGATGATCTTTGGTGTTCTCAAGTTCAGCCAGTCTACGAAGCACATGTCTCGGAGCTTATTGGACGCATCGATAAGCTGGTTACGGCAAGGCGAGGGGAAATGAGCTCGAGAAGTGACAGGACGTAAAACTACTCCAACTGTTTCGCTGGCAGGTCCTTGTTCTGCTGCACTCCTGGCGCATGCTCCCTGTCGCAAGCCAGGTGTCCTCGTACGTCCAATGGCTTCTTCCACTATCGGGAAAGGTGTTACTAACCATGGTGAGTGTTCTTGACGGTGACCGGTGCGAATAGACGAAGTGGTTGTGATGAGGGTTGTGGTTAAAGTAGGTGGTGATAGTCGCTCGGCGAATCTCAAAGGCCACGATTCTGGAGCTGGGGTTGCCGCGCCGCGCTAACCCTGACCTCGAGAGCTTCGCTTAGAGAGACGCTAGCAAGGGTCACGTGTTAGCTCACTCACCACGGTTGCAATTCCCCCGAATAGGCAGGTACATAACCGCTGCGATAGTATGCAGAAACTCACTTTGAGATATCACACAGGGCAGTTTCACTGTGAGCCATAACTCGTCCCAAACCACTTTTCCCATTAGCGTCCCAAGATCATCCGCGTAGGACCAAGCCTACTATCTGATGATGCAGATGCCCTCAACCAGACCCGAAAAGCTAGCAACCGGTAATCGCAAGTCATCCCTAAGCAAACTCCCGCAAGCCCTGTAAACCGATGCCGAACCTAAACCTGCCTAGCAAACACCCGTGTAACCGCCCGTGAAAGGGTATATTATCTTCAGTAGACCCAGAGATGTGGAATGTAGACGGGTATGCCCAAGAGCACCGCCAAACCCACAGGAAATATTCGCCAACCACCAATTGACCGGGTCCACCCATGGTTGTATGTGAAAGACCGACACAGTATGCCCGAGACACCTGAAATGCAGTAACTCCGGATGTGCATCATATCTCCCTAATCAAAACTCCGTTTTCTAACCCCAAACAGACGCCTGGACTCCTTGAGTGGGTGTGTTGCTCCAGGGTCCGTTGTTCCAAATACCAACGCCCTTGTCAGTGACAGTAGAAGAAGGGTTCATAGACGCAGATGTCGTTGACATGTTGTTCTGCTCGCTCGCGTTGTACGAGTTGTAGCCAAGAGGCGACGGCAGAGGTGAGTTTGCGCGCTTGCCCATGGCGCCGCCTGGTTGCTGCAGGTTCTGGTTCTGGGGACGAGTGCCAATAGGGGCAACGCCAGAGCCGTTGGACTTCTGACCAGGCACAGGAGGCGAACCTCCGGGCGACGAGTTAGAGGTACGGTTCGCCTGCTGAGCATCGAAGAGGTTGAATGCTGAGTTCTGGGTACCGGAAGGTGACGAGGTGCTGTTGGCACGAGCATCTTGAGCACCACCAGTGACGTCCTTGTCACGGGGAGGCATCTGAACGGAACCCTCACCGGCGGCATTCTGGGCCTGCATGCCGAAGGGGTCAAAGGCGAGGGGAGAGGGACCACGACCAGCGGCAGAAGTCTGAACGCGAACATCCTGGCTCGAGGTCGGGTTGTTGTTGTACAGGGTGGAGGTCTCGCCATACAAAGCACGGTGCTGGCGGGCGATGAGTTCGCGGCGCTCCTCTTCATTCATGGCATTGGGGCTCATGGAGCGGTCGGACTTGGAGGCTGAGCCTGAAACGTCTGTATTACCCTAGTCAACCAACTGTCCTGCTTCTATTGTTGCCCAGATTCCGAGTCCTTACTTCTGTGGTATTGCTGCTCCTGGTGATAGTTGCGCAGCTCACGCTCACGCTGAGCCGCCATCCGTCGCTTTGCCTGTGCCATCTGGTCTGCGTCGTTGGGTCGGGGCGCATAGCGCTGGTTCTGGTAGAAGCCCTGGACGTTGGACGCCGAGTGGGAGCGGGAGCCGTCGTACTCGCTGACCGAGTGGTGGCGCTGGGGGCCGCCCATGCGCTGCTGCTCTGTGTCACATGTCAGTGTTGTGGGGCAGTCGTTGTATACAGGACAGCGTACCGAAGTCGGGGTATGGGCGGGGAGCGCCTCCTCCCATCATGGGCATGGACTCGCGGCGGCTGGCACCCATGGGCGTGGGAGGGAAGCCGGGGCCGAAGGGCTTGCCGCTCTTGGCGAGGTTCTCGATGGCGCGGTCGACCTCTGTGGTGTTGTTAGCACTCGGTTACGGGACTCGTCTATGGTTACCATGGGGCCTGTCACTGCCACGTATTGTCGCATTGGCACTGACAACCCCCACTATAAGAAGCAACGTACCCTCAAATTGCGAGGCAAAGGCATTGGCGACCTCGCTGTTGACAGTGGAGCTTGTGCCTACGTCCATGTGAATCGCTGCACCTGCACCGTTGAAACCCATTTGGCCGGTACCTGATCGCGAGGGCGGTTGCGGTTGCTCCCAGGATGACTGTCGGCCGGGAGCAGGCGTGTTCCACGACGCGTCGTTGTAGTAGGACATGTTGGATAGGAAGAAGGCGGGTGGATTATTCGAAGTCGGGGTAGTTGCGCAACGCCGAAGGGTGGGTTGGTGGGACTAGATGTTGATTCTGAGAGCAACTGATCAGTACGGTTACTCTTTTTCAAAAAGTGCAAGCATCAATTGGCGTCAGAGGTTCCAGCGATTGTCGGCGGTCGGACGCAGGCAAGTGTTGTCGATATGGGGGCGGGAAATGAGGTCGAGGCGGGCAGCGGAAAATTTTGGTGGAGAGCGGAGATGTTTTGGAGAATGGGGTGGTGCCGCGTACCGAGAAAAGCGAACCGTGTACTCACCTTCACCGCGAAAAAGGAGCGACAGCTGTTCACTTAGCAGGCAGCAAGTGAAGTCACCGAGAAAAGCACACAACTGAGCGGGTAGGGGTCAGGGAGGCACTTCGGGAGATATCGCGGGAATGATGAGGATTATGTCGAAAGGGGATGCTGGATTCGTTGCGCTAAGCAGGCCGAGCAACGACTTATCCACTTAATTCATCTCCGCTTCCCAGACACGGGCCTCACCAGCTGCATGCAATTAGTTCGATATCCCATTCCATCCCGTCCACAACCAACCGCTTGCTTCGTATCGCGACAGACGCGCCGCAGCCCTGCGTTGGGGGGCTTTCATCGTCTCGCGACGCCCAACTCTACGACTCTACCAGCGGTCGGCCAAGTGGAAGAGTAGGCGGATGACGTCCAAGAGGGGCAGCTGCATATCCAAGTCGAGTACTGCGGGATATGCAGTGGGAGCAGCGGGCGCGTTTAGCGATTTAGCGAACCGTCGTTCGGCCTCTCACCACCATGGCTGTCGTCGGCTATCCATGAGAGAGAGCCCCGCGCGTCTCCTTTACACGTGGCTTTTCGAGACCCTTCCTGCTTGACTCTGTCATGACTCTGACGTTCACCGACTCAGGGTCTGAAGCGTGTCATAATGTTAGATATCTGCGTGGTAGCCACCATCTGCGAACTCAACGTTCGCAGTGCCCCGCCAACGCGTCCGGGAGTGCAGCGATATCAAACCGACACATGCCACACCGCACTGCCAGCATGATCACTTACCCTACACCATGACAGACCATGTGGGAGCGCTTGGGCTCTGGTGCGGGGCATCCAACGAGCATTGTGGGTTGGCTTCCAATAAGCTCCGACCAGAGACAGGCATTTGTGAAAATATCGACTTGTGGCTTACTTCTCCATCACTGCACATGCACAAGGGCCGAGAGAGATGATACCATCGGTGTGGTTGTCGCCTGCATCTATCTCGTGCAGAGAAGACCAAGATGGCCAGCTTCCGGTGCCGGCTTTGTTTCCAGATGAGGTTTAACAACGCCAAAATAGTAACGCCCTGCACGCCGAGCTTCGCATGCTAATATGCGACGTCAGTGTCCAAAATGTGGGGGTTCGGAATGCGCTGCCGAGTCTCCAGACACAACGGTCTCTATACAACAACGACATCATTCTCAGGAACATGTCACTGTATAAGCAATATTACGATGGCTCGTGCGGAGCGCAGACGAACGCGAAGACAAGGACCCATTCGGCTAGGCATACGCTCCCGCCTACCCCAGCTTTTATAGTTCGCCAACTTGGCCAACGTCCCGCCGTTGCGCCATAACCTTCAAAAGTAAACCTGGCACAGGTCATCCATGTTGAGATCAGTGTACTCTCCATTTTCCATCTGTCCAGTCGTCCCTTTCATTTCTATTCTCTGCCATCGTCATCACATCGTTCACGTCGGTGACAGTCAAACGCTCTTTCCTCTTTCGCTTCGATATCATCACGCGCCACAACCTGTGAGTCTTGGTATCACTTAAGACATCAGCCACACCTTCGACATGACCACTCGTTCTCCATTCCAACAAATACGCCCGATAAGCCTGTCGCGCATGATGAGGCGCAACGTCCATCTCACACATTGAATATGAGACACGGCCCTTTGAGAGGAGGAGGGACCATGAGTGGCCTAATAATACCGACTTTGCAGTCCTGATGAAAGAACACTGTTCGCCCTCATAGCTGGACGTGGAACCTCACAACGGTGACTGCAAAGCTCGAATGTCATCAATATGGCTGCTCAAATGGATATCGCCATGTGCGCGAGCGCACTGCATATTCCTTTTCCTACGCTTGTTTCCCAGCAACAAGTTACGAATACGAGAATCCATGTTGGATCAACAACTACCTATACCGAACGCACAAGATGCCATGGCTCCGAGTACCGCAAATATTACAAACCTGCCCACTGAACTTATCCTCGAGATTACCGATCGCCTTCAGCTTGACGCTATACTGGCCCTGAAACTCACTCAACGACGATTCAACAACATCCTACCTCTTGATCAGAAGCGTTGGCGGGCTCCACGCTCACGGTGTACGCAGCGTGCTATTCATGGTTACTTAGCGCCACCATTGCCTCAGCCCACTCATCGACACTGCATCCTGTGTAATGCTACATATCCCATCAGCGATTTCAAGTCATCAAACAGCACAGCTTGCGTGCCGATGGCACTGTTTAGCGTCCCTCATGACGTCGTCAAGTTACCACCGAGAGTCTGCTCCTGGCACGTTGCAAGATTTGCAAGAATCGTCAAAACTGAAGCTGGAGGCAGGGACGAATGGGTCAGTCACGAGGATAGAATGTGCATGCATTGCGGACAAATCCAAGGGTGGGATAAGTGCAAATGCGGATGCGACAGCTGCTCGTTTTGGGAAACCACGACCTACATTCGGTATCTCAGCAATGAGTCGGAGTGTCAAAACTTCGTCTTCTGGAGAGAAAGCCCCGGACTGGATGAGGAAGGACACGGCCAACTTTGGGTTCGGGAGATACGTCGGAACACGACCACCCAAGACTCGATCATCCATTTGCCTGTCCGATCCGAGTCAGCCTAATCGACGAAGGAGCGTGATTAGTATCAAGTTCCACTCGGTTTTCGACCATCTCTGAAAGCTAGCCTATCTGTTCGACCCGGTGTTGTTTGTACTCTTTAATTCATAATGTCATTTAAAAACCAGTCTTTTCGTCATAGGTCATATCATCCCCCTCCTGTACAAGGCCAGCCTTTTCCACGTCCATCGCTCCAATCTGCCACTGGCATCCCAACTCTTGTCCCCATCTCCGGACGCTGGCCAAAGCCCACCATTGGGCGATCATCAAAATCAACCCCAAGCAGGCAATCCCAAACTTGACAATCACAAAAGCCGCCGAGCACTTCTCCAACCACTCGTCGTCCCACCCAAAACCAGCATCAATATCGCGGCATATCGACGATCCGTCAACGGCATAGCTCGGAATTACCGGGTTTAGCAACCGGAAGTCGAAGGGAAGGATTAGGTTTACGAGAGCGATGGTTACAAAGGAGAGCGTGGTCGCGTGGACAATGGTGTAAGCTGACACAAGGCGTGGTATTAACTGCAGCATCGGGCGTTAGCGGTTTGCGCCTGTGACTAATGATATCGAGACAGCGACTCCGAGCGTACCCGGTTGGATACAGCCTGCAGTCAGTCGCACGAATCGCGGGGAAGAGCTTGGCTTACCCTTATGGCGCCCAACAGGCCTAATATGCTTGCGCTGCCGGCAAGTACATTGTATGTGACGGAGAAAGATGCGCGATCGAGGTCGGAACCGGGTAGTAAAAAGGAGAGCGCGAGCAGTGTGTGCGTGCAGAGTGTGAGGGCAGGCAGCACGATGGCTAAGAATCTAGAGACCATGTCAACACCCGTCGTATGTAGCAAACCTCAGGCAATGCGACATACCTTATTTGGCTCTGCTCCGTCGACAAGGCCATCTTTCCGATCCAGTCCGGTTCAGTTCAATCAAGATTAAAGGTAAATGCAAATGCGCTCAAGTAACAATGGGATGCGATGCGACGAGGTGCAACACGTAACAGCCGTATAAAAAGCAGATCAGATCAAGCACGTCAGGCAGGTTCCGGGCCCGGGGGGTATCAAATATGCAGTCGGGACCGAGATAGCGGGTGGGAGCAAGGAGAAGAAGAAAAGCAGTAAGCCGGCACGCTTTTTCCTGTATGTATAGTAGAGTAGTAGCTAGGCTTGGGGAGAGAAGAAGCTTGTGTGAGCAAAAAGCTGCGACGCGTGAGTAGTAGATGATGAGTGAGGTCAGTTGCCTGGATTCGCCGAAGACAGATTGTTAATCGCGTTGGTTGTTCAAAGTTTAGCAGTGTTTTTAGTACTAGCTCCGGGATCCGCGGATGCACCAAGAGATCGTGCTGTGATGTCACGGGTCGATTGTCTTTCGATCATCCACAAGACACAGACCACTGCGTGCACATTGTTTTTTTCATGAAACGGGGGGGTCGGGCTTCGGAGATCAAACGTAACTTTGACTGGGTTTCTTCGAGGCCTGAAGACATGTCACAGTTGTGAATTGAGCTGTTCACCGTGTTATCTTTACGATCTAGCACTAACAACATATGCAGCGCGCACAAGTAGTCTAGCCCTTGCCATGCCGATGCGGATCATGCGGCATGCGGCTGTTCCAGTGGAGCACCTTCCGGAGCTTAACGGAAACAAGACGAGAGCAGAAACGGGAAGACCTAGATCACAAGCGCGTCATTCCGTACCCTTTGGACAAACGTTATCTTGATCTCTTGGACATGTCAAGCCGCGCTTGTACGGTAATCGGCAGCGCAAAGCATGTGAGCATCGCGACACACCCCGCAGTAGTAGTGTATTCGATAAATTTTTGCGCATGGCATTGTTGGAATGCGCATCTGCAGCGGAGTGTGAATAGCCGGATGTGCGTGCTTCCTTATTCCGTGGCGAATCACATCGCGTTGCGAACGAGTACCCTGGTCGTTGTGGGCAGACGAATCAAGATTGTAGACGATGACTTGTTTCACGTATGCGCAAGAGATCAGGATAAATGCACAAGGCGGGTAGAGATTCTAGACTTTCCTTGTTATCGTGGAGTGGATGCGTTAGTCGCATATGCACTTAGTAGACCCTAAGCTTAGTAGACCCTAAGCTTAGTTGACAGCTATGACAACAACTGGCGTGCTATATGTGAATGGAACTGCCCGCCCATGACTAGGAGCTTTTTGGACCGGCGAAGACGAAACCATGTGACGGCGCGTTGACGTGATGTAGGGAAGAACAGAATGATGGGCACACGACTGATTCTTCACACCGACAACGTTGGCCAAAGGCGTCAACTCGGTATTCTTCCACCATAAAACGAACAAGAGCACCACGCGATTGCTAACCAGGTATTTGAACAATTTTTTTCATGTTGCTATCCAATATTGCTATCTAACCATCAGCGCAACGCACCGTTGTTTGTTTATTCATGTCATCGTTCTCGATCGTTCATAGTCATAAGACATTATCTATGCGAAGACGTAGCAAGGGATGCCGTACTGCACATGACTATTAGCACTCATCTTGATCTATACACGCACATGGTTGTACTTACGTTGGTAGGAGCGTTGAACTTCAAGTTCTTGTCCAGACCCGAAATCTCCTCAATCTCGCTGTCCTTCAGATCAAAGCTCGTCACATCCAAGTTTTGCGCCAGACGGTTCGCCGAGTTGGACTTGGGAATAACGCTGAGGCCACGCTGTGTCGACCAACGGAGCAGAACCTGCGCGGGCGTCTTGCCATGCGCCTCTGAGATCTTCTTGATGACTGGGTGATCGAAGAGGAGGGGTGTGTCGGCCGCAATCTTCATGTCGCATTCGATGAAGCTCTGGGGTCCGAAGGAGGAGTATGCGGTGACCTTGATATCGTGCTGCTTAGCCAGCTCGATCAGGTAGGGCTGGACGTAGTAGGGGTGATGTTCGATCTGAAGAGTCGCGGGCTTGATTTTTGCATACGTGAACATGTCCAAGAGCAGCGCTCCTGAGTAGTTGCTCACACCGATGCTCTTGGCCAAGCCTTTGTTCTTGAGCTCCTCAAACGCCTCCCATGTGCTTTGTAGGCTGGCGTTGCTGTGCTCGATCTTGCTCTTACCATCGACGAACCAGCCGGGTGGGTAGCGCTCCTTAGGGTCGACATACTTCAGGGCGACGGGGAAGTGGATAACGTAGAGGTCGAAGTAGTCAACACCCCAGTCGGCCAATTGCTTGCGGCAGATGGGCTCGACTTGCTCACGCTCGTGGAAGGTTTGCCAGAGCTTGCTGACGATGAAGAGGTCTTCTCGCTTTACGAGGCCTTCCTTGATGGCGCGAGCTACACCTTGACCGCACTCGACTTCGTTGCCGTAATCTGTGGAATTTGGTGTCAGCCATGATCACGCGCGAATTAGTTCCGAAAAATGACGCTAGCATTCCGAGGAAAGGTAGGAATGCAGGGGCCACCGGTAAATCGGAGTTATGAACCCGTCGAAGATTGCCAGTAGGTCGCTGTGCTCTACGGTTTACGGGCCGATGGAGCGTCTCGTGACAATAAAGACCGATCTCCACACATCCGCTGATGGTGGGTTTGGTGTTGAAGAATCAAGATGTACTTACCGCAAGCACCATCGAACAGCCTGTATCCAGCCTTGATGGCGTTGTAGACAGTGTCCGCGCATGTAGCATTGTCGACCTTCCACAGTCCAAAGCCAACCTGCGGCATCTTATTGCCATCGTTCAGCGTAACGTAGGGAGTGTTGACAGCCATGGTAGCGAAGAATTTGCGATTGGCAAAGCTATTTCTTTGTAATAATGTAAGCGTTCGTCGTTCAATGCAAGGTCTTGAAGAACGTAGAAAAGAGGAAGCAAGAGGTCTGGAAGTAGCAACGGCAGAGGAGCAGGCGGCACGCAGCGTATTAATACTGCTAGCACGGCAATGAGAACGCCCAGCAATCATGTCACCAGAAAATATATACGTGTATTTTGCAGACGGAATAAGAGAATTTGGCGCCAGGTACAACAGCCTGCCGTCTATATACGCCGTGTTAGAGGCTAGCATCAACATATGACCCTGCGTCTTCAACCGGACGACTGGGTTAGCATGATCAGTTTGCCTCTTTACCCTGATGGGCGATGGTTCCGCCTAGCATTTATCCTTGTTACGCCGCATGCTTGTGGCGGATGTTCACCATGTTGGTCGGCCTTGGTATTTGACATCGTTTGGAAGCTGTAATCGCACTGCCACTTCCTTATCCTCTTGCCCGGCAATTGTCGATGGAGGGGTAAATAGCGGTCGGCTTCAACAGTATCGGTCAGAAACTTCGTTATTATGGAACCGCATATGCGCGCTGTGTTGCTGGCAAAAGAGCGCTCACAGGCACCGTAGTGACGATAGTGGGGTAGCAGGTGCCCCTCCTTACCCACAATTTGGCCCTGCCACCACGCGGTGGACGGGTAAAGAGCTGTTAGTCTCGAGGCACCGGATAATTAGTACGCGCCATAGTCGTGATTTACCGTTCGTCCATTGCATTGCCTAGGCGATGATTCGGCGTGGGATTCCTGACGTTGCGTGAAAATATTAGAGGCACGTGAAGTTGCTCTTTGGTTTTCCGCCCGGAAGTTGCCATTGTTGAGAAAGAACTTTCAAGTGGAACCAGTTCAGAATTCTTTGATAGCAGGATACTCAACGCAATTCACGGGAGAAGTAAGCAACAGAGGATAGGCCGTCAAAATGCACAACCAGAAGCCCTTGTTGATTGACGCTAATATCAATAACACAATGCACTATTCATATCAAAGACATCATACCCGCTCGAAGCGCAGTCGTACAAGAACATTATATCGCCCACCTTCGATGCGCCGAGAAAACTCCGATAAGTGAAGTGCATTCCCCTTGTTAGGTCCAAATGCCTAGGGTTATTTCCGCGAACTCGCCATCTCTCCAAACCGCCCTCTTTGCTGTGTGGTATCATAGGCTTGTAGCACCCGAGCTTGTGATTCGTCCGTCTGCGAGAACGCATATCCACGCTGTTTGCGCATACGCTGCACCTGTCTGACTTTTCGGATCGCCTTTTGAAATTGCTCCATGCTGTTCGCGGGTTAGTCAATCGTGGCTAGTAAATGTCAAGGGAAAAGAAAGCATACCGTGGCCGATAATCTTGGATGTTGTACTTCTGGATCTCTTGGACATGATGGTAGCTCTGCGGGAAGTACATCCTCTTCGCGTACTTCCACGCGAAATCTCTGATGAGACAAAGTGGCGGCAGTACCAATACCATTGCCCAGAAGCGCGGATCAGGAAACAGTCGCTCGATTACGCCAACATATTCGTTAGAGATGTTGACCTTCGGGGCTACAACGGCGTAGATGGGCATCAAGATGAACCACAGCAGCATGGAGCCCGGAATAGCCAGCACAGTGTACTTTGTCCAGATGTTGGTGATGAGAGAGGCTTTGAGAAGGACGGTTGCTAGATTGGCGGTGTAGGCGGCAGTCCCCCAAACCCAATGGCCTGCATTTCGGCCATCCCACTGTGGCCAGTCCCAGAGAATGAATGCTTGAGCGCCAAAGTACAGAATGAGCGAGTGATAGAAGCCGTTTCCAACCCAAGACCAGAAAGAGTGCATCCTGAAGAAGACGCCGGACTGACTGAGGCGGTAGAGTTGCGGATACCTATCCAGAAGCCGTGCGCTCACGAACTGGTCAAAGATACCCAGGACGAAAGGCGGCGCAGCTGTGAAGAACACATTGTAGAACGTCAGTGTCCACGACTCGTAAATAATCTGGCCCGAAAAACCGTTCTGGAAAGAGTACCAAAACTGTGTCATGAACATGGCAATGTTCTTGTAGAAAGAGTACAAGATGACTTTGCTAACACGCTGGTAACTCCAGGCGCCATGGACAAGTAGAAGTTTGCGCAGGTAGCGGAATTGGCC